CGCATGGATCTGTCACAAAAGATTGAGGAATTGGTATACTCAATATCCTGCCCCTGTGCTCAACCTTCGGTTAGATTTTCTGGACAGAATTCACATTCCGTCCACGATATTCTCAAAAATTATCAAAACTGGTAGTTGAGAAACTAGACTATGTTTTTGTTATAATCTGAATAAATTTCCATGATATGTCGTTGTCTGAGTGGAAGAAGCAGAGGATGCCACAGAGACCATGTTGTGCTTGCATACCAGACGTAAGATACAAATACATCAATCTAATAAAACACCCGAGAAAGGATGAAGCACATGCCTGTATAATATAAAGTTGATCTTTAAACGCTAGTATCTAAAAAGCTCCCACAGATAGAGTGAGGGTAGTGATTAGAGTTCAGACAACCGCTCCATCCTTATGAATGATATGTACTATTCCAAGCCACCTAATGATACACCCAAACGCCAACGCTTCAAACATGCAATGCAAACCCCTAATATCCATATCCTACAACGGCGGCAAATTCTCCCTACAAATCGGGCATTGCAGACGGAACCGCATCCAACCCTCCAAACACTGACTATGAAACATATGTCTACAAGGCGTGACCATATACTGTCTCCTCGCCAGCATGCCCGCCACGCCCGTCGCGCCAGCCGCATCTTCGCCAGCCGCAACGACGGGAACCTCGAGGTTCTGCATGCAGATCGCGCAATCAAGACTCATGACCGTGCCTTCCTTCTTCTTGCGGTCTTCCGAGCTGCCGGAGTCGGTGCGTTGAAGGGTGGGTGAGTTCGGGACTTGAACGAGGCCAATAGGTAGACCACCCGCTTCCACGTTGTCTTCGCGGAGGATGGGATGGTAGTCCCAACCTTCCTCTGTCCAACCTTTGGGTATCCCCCATCGAGGACCGAGGATCTCTTGCGCAACGAGCATCCAGACTTGGATCCATACCCAGCCAGCGTAAACGCAGAAAGCTTTCCAGTCCGGATCCGCAAACAGGAAATTGTCTTCGCGCAGGTAGAAATAGGCGAATGGGAGGAGACGGAGGATGGACTGGCCGATAATGAAGCGCCAGAGGAGTGCTTTGCGGCAGTTTCTGATGACGTTGCGTCGAATTTGGGGAACCCAGAAGGAGAGGTAGGTGAGTGAGAGAAGGTGGATGTATGCTGATCTCCAAGGCTTGGACCAAGATGAGGCGGAGGCTGAGACGAAAAGTAGAAATGTAAATGCCATGACGGATTTCACATACAAAGCGCCGAAACTGGATGTCGCCGGCGTTTGGGTTTGTACATTTGCGGGGGTGTTGGTGATAGGGAGAAGTGGTGCAGTTGAAGCAGGAGCAGCTGCTCTATTTTCTTCAATCTCTGCATCGATATCTTGATCCGAAGGGATTATGATAGGTATTTCCGCTTGTGTGCGTGGTGCTTCTGCTCCTCCGACTAGCCCAGGTGAAGTGATCGAGGAAGGTTGGTTTGGTACAGCAGAGATACCAGACGTAGCAACGGCCGTTCCATCTCTCTCTGCTACGACCCTCGCAATCGCAGCTCTAGCAGCTTCTGCAGGACTGACTGTCAGACGAGGCGGCCTGCGAGCCTCTTCAGCTGCTAGTTGAAGACGAAGACGCTCTCTTCGCTCTGGCTCCTGAACATTATATACTGCTCCAACAAACCTGATACCAAGCGCAATTGACATTAGGGCTGCAAATGCAGCTATTAGTGATGAGGGAAAGAGGTTGGGAGCCAGTGTCGAGATAAAGCTCAAAGTAACAAATAAAAATGCATCTCCTGCCAACATCATGGTGACAGTATAAAGACTAACTCTTCCAACAGTTGAAGGTGTAGATGCCTCCTTTGACTGAGCCTTCAAGAGTAAAATCTGGGCGGACATAACCACCGCGAATACCAAAAGCCAATATTCGATGTCATTGAGCCATACTTCTTGCTTCAAACCGACAAGATGCTCGCCATCTGCATGCGAGAAATCTGGTGGTCCTTTCGATTCTAAAATGAACCCGCAATCGGGTGAGAATATGACAGTCGACATTTTCAATTCGGGAGCTGGAGGTATGGGCGCACCATTCGGAAATCTTAATTCTTGTTCAATCTCCCCAATGTACTTTTGCCGGCCGAGGGAGTTCTCGCCCCTTGGTGAAATGGAAGGATACACCACAGGATGAACCTGAGCGTAGACGAGGAATTCACAGTGAGGCGTCGGCATCATTGCATCCCCTTGGCTATCTGGACTCGATGTCCATGGATTACTTGGATCGATCCAAACCGCCTTTTCCATGCGCTCAACTGTTTTCTCTAAAGTCATGTTGAGTAGCTTCTGGCTAGAGGTATAATAACCCGCATTTGTAGCAAGATGTGGCAGACCAAACACACCAGCAAACTTATCACTCGTAGTGGTCATGAGCACAACTCCTGTTCTCGGCCAGTGTACACCATGGACCCTCATCTCCCAACCATCACCACTACTCGTCTCGTCCTGAATCGTCATTGTAGCCCCGACTTCCCTCACCCATGCCGCATTCCTTTTCCCTACAGAAGTATCCCCCAAGTCCAATTCCTCGACGTCTTTCTCATCGATCCTCAGAAGCAATTTTCCCTCCTGCCCAGTGATATTTCGTGTCCAGAACTTCTCATTCGTAAAAGCCCAATCCGTATGAGGACTTATCTCTGTAAGATTTAAATGTCTCGTCAACTGGTCTTTCAGTCCAAGATCTTTCTCGTACCGCACCCACTCGCCCACCACAACACCCGTAATATTATTATAAACCTGTCCCACGAATCCAGGTCCATTCTTCTCCTCTTCGCCCTTAACCCACTCCTTCCTTGAGGCCTTGCTGAATTCATCACAACGCTCTTTCCATGGGCCCAGCCTCCTCCAATTGTAATCGTCCTGGTCTCTAAACCCAGTCAAGTTAACATACCTGCCAGGTTCGTACCCGGGGGTATCATATCCTTTAGGCGCAAAGTCTTGCCATCGCGTACGGTTCAGGACATCGAGTTGCTGTCGCGATCGTGTTATGCGCTCTTGAGCGTAGTCGCGTGCCGATGGGAAGCCTGCTCCCGCGGGTGCTTGATTTCCTGGCCCGTTGAGGAAGAGGAAGAGAATGATTACGAAGAGTAGTCTTCCAGCGAACTCTTGGGAACGCGGGACTTGTTGAAGTGGTTGAGTGTCCATAATTGATTTGGTGCGGAAAGTACAGGCATAGCACAGAAAGACTTCATCGTAGAAGCATAGCTCATAGCATGTCGTTCAGCTTTCGAGCAAATTTCTGATCCTCAAAATGATGTGCTGCTACTTGGCTGGGAGTCGTGTGCTTGCTGGATTATGAGCTCCACATACATCCCGCCCCGCTCCGCTGTTGTCCCAGATCTGGGGTTCGGCCCGGAACGTTAATCCCCCTCGCACCAAGCAAGTGGCGGAACAACGTGCAGCCGCCGTTGAAAGCGCATCAGCCTTGCAGTGCTCCATAGCTATCAATAACATTTGTTTGGGATAATTCTTGAGCACATTTAACAACGTAACCACCACTTGAAACGACATGGCTAGCAACTTGAATGGCGCGCAACCAAACTCGTCTCCTGGCGATCAAAACCGCATGAGCACCAATTCTGTAAGTCGCCGCTGTACTCAAACACAGAGCCACACGATCCCAAATGCGCCAGGAGACTAGCAGGAGCTAATAACTTTTACAGTCGACCGCAGATACCTCCGCGACTGCAGTACCAGAGCTGACGGCCGTAATCGATGATCTTCTAAACCAATTATCCAATAAGTTCGCCGGTGCGTCGAGCGAGATATTTGCGAAGTGTATGTAATTGCCGTTCTCGATTATCTCTTTTATATCGTACACCTGTACTGATCTGGTTGTAGTGGATGAAATGTCACGGCGCCTAGATACCCTCGAGCAGAGTATGCAAGCCAGTAACGAAAGTGCTGGAAGTCGAGACGGAAAGACTAGTCCAACGAAGTCGTGATCAATTTCATAAGCTGCTACGAACGCAGCATCCAAAGCAGGTCATTTCCTGTAGCCTGAAGGGCAGTGAAGGGGCGGAATCAACATGTAGTCTGGATCAGCAGCATTCGTGGCCTTGGAGTTTGGCCTGAATACATCGTGTTCGGACACTAAGTCGTGTATATCATCCGTTCGTTCCTTGGAACTTACAACTGTCGATGGGCGGTGGGCAGCCGGGCAGCCACTGGGGAAGATACGAAGCGAGTCTGCGTATTTTGAGATATCACATGGAAATGCAATAAGGATGGCAAAGGCGTTACGGATTCAGTTAAAAAGGAAATACCACCATATTTACACAAGTACATAAAACAAGGGGGAAAATCGAGAAGCATCATACAAAACTACACAAAACACAACACTAACAGTTCAATCATTTAATTCATTTAATTTAGTCGTGAACCCAAGCTTTCCTAATTCCTATTGTTCATCATTTTAATTTACAATTCAGACTTGCCCAACTTCTCAGCAATGAATCGTCGGAGAATGTTGGTCTTGCTGGTGAACTCATCGAGCTTAGCTGGCGCCAAACCACCCTTCTTGATGATACCATCGAGACGAGCCAGTTCCTTAGCAGCATAACCCTCGCTCTTGCTCAATTTGTCAAAAACACGGACATAGTACTCAGCATACTTGTACTGGGCGCCCTCCTTGAGACCTTGAGCAGCCTTGGTGGCCTCAGCAGCGACCTCAGCAATGCTTGATCCCCCAGTGAATTTGGAAACGATAGAGTCCAAAGCTTCGATAGTTCCGGCGGTGGCATCGAGTCCACCTCCTGGTGTGCGGTGGGTACCGGCCTTCTCGTTCATGAAGCTAACGATATCTTGCTCGGTACGTCCTCCGTTGTATTCGACTGGCTCCTTGCTTCCCTTAGGGAAAAACTTAATGGTTGGGTAAGAGGAGACGCCTTGGTCTTTGGCGGTGGCCTTAGCATTCTCGGCTTCAGCATCGACCTTGGCGATAACAACATTTGGCTCGTTGACGAAATCGGCAGCAGCCTTCTCCCAGACTGGTGCAAGGGTTTTGCAGTCTGTTGGACGTTAGTTTAAATGAATCAACTTAGTTACAGAATAACTTACGTCCACACCAAGGAGCGGTGAAAGCAACCAAAACATCCTTATCACCACCAATAGTGCTCTTGAAAGAAGAATCTGTCAACATCTCAACCTCACTAGGAGCGGCCTTCGCCTTCTTTGCTTTAACGCCAGTCTTCTTGGTAATGAACTCAGTCAAACTCTCCAAATCCCTTCCTCCATTGTAATCCTCAGGCTTATCGCTCTTCCCATCAAAGAACTTAATCGTTGGGAATCCTTGTACACCAAATCTTTTTCCGAGGCTCTTCTCGCTATCGGCATCAACCTTTGCAATTACAACTTGGTCTTTGGCAAAGGCAAAGTTCTGGGCCAATTCTTCGTAGACGGGAGCCAGCGTCTTGCAGTGTCCACACCATGGTGCGAAGAATTCGACGAGTGCTGGCTTGCCCCCGAGAGCGATCTTGTCGAAGTTATCTGGGATTAAATCGATTACTGCGGAATTGCCAGCAGATGTGCCGAATGCGTAGGATGCTGTGGCAAAGGAGGCTGCGAGCGCCAGGCTCTTGAGTAATTGCACCATGTTGTTTTGCTGAGCGAGTACTTGCTAAAATTGAGTGTGAAAGGTCTGTAATTTGATTTAGACAGCGAAGTTCGAGGTGTTTTAAGTCTCCTGGTTGGATTTCAAATCGACCCTGATATGGCCACAGTTTTCACAAAGTATGGGGAGCTATGATGGTGGCGGACCCTTAGCGCCACCCAGACCCGGTCCTTGCCTGCGGCCCCACCCTGAGCAAAGAGCTTGGAAGCAGAAGCTTGGGGGGTCGCAGAATCAAGACGATGATTTAAGAATTTTGGTTTACCACATAGAGCAGTTACTTCTCGAGAATTTTAGTAGCCAGTTCATGGTCTATGAGGCACGATAAATCAATTCACCAAAAAGACGAGCTTCTTCGTTGGTGATCTAACAAGCTAGAATACATCCAGAGTCGCCCACAACTGACATTGATTACTGAACTACTCGTATAAACCAATTTCAGCTCACGTTCAATACGAGAAAAGACAAATGTATGTTCAGGTATCATTCATTATCATATCTATATACATGCGCACTTGTAATGTCTAAGCCAATCTACTTCTTAGGCCACTCAGCCACCCATTTTACGATCTGGGCCACTTGTGCATCAACAACAGCCTGTACACCAGCATTTGCTTGTGCATTTCGGAGTCTTAGGTCGGAGCAGTGGAAACCGCCTGGGATGACGTTGAGAGGATGTTCAGGGGTAGATTGGAGTGGTCCACCTGGTCGGTACTCTGAAGACATTCCAGAGGTCTTCCATGGATCGAATTCACTGAAAGGTATTAGCAGTGCCCGGGAATATGTGGAATCTGAACAAGTACTAACCCATTGGTCCAGATCAAACGAGTGGTCTTCTCTAGCCTCCATCCTTGTGTGTGCTTGTTTACCTGATGTATGTTGTTGTCTGGAGAAATGGCGCTTCCATAGGTGAAGCCATTAACCGTTGGAAAGAACAGAGCACATTGACGTTGCCAATAAGCAGAGTTAACAAGACGAGAGACGATGCTTGGTTTTCCTCGAGGGGCACCGCTACATAAAAGTCAGTGAACCCTTTTTTAGCAATTTCCTTGGTAAAGACTCACTTTTGCCAATAACCGAAAGGTTCGTTGCACAGCATCCATTGCCATTGTAGATCAATGGCGTTTCCGACACTTCTGTCGGTGAAAATCTTATTGGAGGGATTGTAAGTATCCAAGCACTCAACGGTGTTGGCATCCGTATATCCGTAAGATTGGCAGACTGCAATATCATAAATGATTAGTTGCATGGATAAATGGTACTCCAAGAGAAGACTTACAGCCAGGAAGAAGCTTAGCCTTAGTCCACTTGGCATAACCTTCAAGAGCAGTTTGAACGCCCACACCATTTGCATCAGGGGTAACGGCAGCACCAGCAGTCACGTTCTAGACAAAGGTCAGTCAGATCCAGGCCGGGCGGAGCACTTTCGGACATACCTCGATCGCGTCGCAGAACTGGAAGAAGCCGGAATAACCTGTTGTGAAACTGTTGCTCTGCCATAGCCATGGTCCATATTCAAGGGTTCTGATACAATTAGCAGAGCAATAAAACATTGGGAGTATACTTACGCCATGACATCGGCAGGTTGTGCAAGTCCTTGGAGGCCAAACTTAGTCTTCAGTGCGAGCTTTTCGGCCGCACTTCCAGTATTCCACACCTTGTCCATGTAATCAATCACCAGAGAGAGATCTTTACTACAGTTCTTTGGCATCCCCTGTTGGATTGGAGAAAAGTATTGCCAATAGTCATCGATGGCTTGTACTGGCGCACTTGAGGCATGATAGGCCCAAAATGTGCCTGGCGATGTTGATTCGATCCAGGCCGCCAAAGCACCGGAGTAGCTTCCCCCAGAAAACACCCATGGCGCTTTATCCGCATTTGACTTCTTGGTGTCGAATGGAAGCGGGGCTACCTTTGCAAAGTAGACAAAATCGGCAATGGATTGCTCAAGGGTGAGTAGTTGAAGGGTCTCTGAGTTAAGGGTTTGGTATGGCGAAGATTCTCCCCAGAATCGATCTGCAAATTTTATGAGCTTAAACTTGAAGATGGCTTTGAAGAATACCTACGTTCTACCATGATCACGGCGCCCTTGATTTCTTGTGCATAGAGACCGATGACGGTAGCGTTGGTGAGATATGCTCCGTAGTTTGCGGCAGCAATTTCTCCTGGAGTGAACATAACGATCTAACATAATTTAGCACTCTTCTTAATGAGAATGGTAGACAATAGAGCAACTTACAGGTGAGCCTGGTCCATTCCAGAACTCAATGTTCCACCAAAACTTTTGCTTGAAGGTACCCTTGCTTGGGTTCTTGTGATCGAGCAGCTGATCGAAAAAGCCAGAACCCATAGCATCATTCTGGGCGATGATCGTAACAAGACCTGGGTCAATTGCTTCGACTGGAGGAATCAGTCGTCCTAGGTGGACGAATTCGCCATCCAACGCGGTGGCACCAGAAACGAACAGTGCCGCAAAGGCAGAAAAGATAGAGAGCTTCATCCTGGACAAAGTCTACAGAGGGATTGTCGATCTGTAGAATATGGGAAACTCCTCTGAGAATGAGAAATCAACAGACGGAGACCTGAGAAAGAGGAAAAAGAAATGAGGGCACTCCAGGCTACTTATCAACAACTTTTCTGCTCGCGAGACCCATGTTGTCCTGCATGGAAACCCACCTCTGATTAGATTAAGGTAACTCTCTCTGTCGCCCCAGACCACCTACCTTCCCTGGTACAGCGTGAATGCTGTTGTGGGTTGGAGATCCGTGGGAGTTGCGGACGGAGTGCAGATCTAGCACCAGGGTCCAGGCAGATAACCAACCGACTGTCAAACATACGAACCACTAAGCACAAGAGGCCGGAAGTGGAATCGCTGGCGCCGAACGCCATTCCGAAGTCTGGCTGCTGTGTACCTGACTAAAGCACATTGGCTGTGACATGTCGGCCGTTGCCTGTCTGCTGCTCAATGGATAGCAATGTGACCCTGGAGGGAGGCAGTGACTGTTTTTGGGTTGGGACAACAGCTTCGTCCCAGACAACTAACTGCTGGCCGGCCAGCTGCAGCTTCACTTAATCCTCGTGGCCGACGAAACCTTGCCATACATGAGCACGCAGTGGCGAGGGGTATTTGGAAGGCGAAATTGTCGAGTAACGTTCAGAATGGGGTTCTCAAATGGTGATAATTAAGGTGTGGCTTTGAAAAGGGAAGGTGGTTCAACTTGGCGCGATGCGAGGGGGAAGAAATAAACGTTGTGGGGAGCCCGTACCTAGTCGATCCTCTGCATCAGGGGTGCCGAAAGCAGTACCAGAACGTCTAATTGGCCTATCAATCCAACCGAGGAAGCTTTTCTTCCAGAGCTTCCTCATAGAGATAGTAGAGCCAAGACATGTAAAGCTTTTCCTCGAGTAGGTTCACGCCGCCGGTGTGTCGATCATATGCTTATTCACATTATGAGCATCTTCGTACTTAGCTGTTGAGTCCGAGCAGACAATAGCCATTCTTAAAGCCGAATTCTCCGATAGCTTTGTGCGATGAAATGCGATATCCCGAGCTGTACAATCTACAATCTGTTCTATTGGATACTCTGCGTCCAACGGAGAGCATGTACCGTTCAGGCAGACAATATAACTAAATTAAAAGACACATTGCCAAGAGTAAATAAACTATTATGGGAGGTAAGTCGCTGCCTCAAAGTTGTGGCGAACAAAACCTCGCTCGTGACAATGTGGGCTGGATGAATTCAAACTCACTACCCGGAAGCGACGTGTCTGCATCCATAGCGATCTAGAAACCTCAAAATGACGAGGTGTCCTCCTCGACGAGAGCTGGAATTTAACCATTCAAGACTTTTTGTGCGCTTGAGACTCGTTCGAGCTTGGAGTACTATTTTTACTCTCTGTATATCTGTTGTTTGGCTACTCAAGAAGACGATATGACTTCCAAGAGCCATGGCCTCCCAACAAATTCAACCATGGTTTGAGCCCAGTCTGTTGTCTCTCCTCCGCTACTGTTTTCGTCTTCTTACGATTCTTTTTAGAAATTTAATCCTTTCAATTTTGGTTTCTTTTAATTTATCCATCTTGGTCAATCGGCTCATGACCAGGAACCCAATGATAGGAGATCAAAAAATCTGCGATTCTTTTACTTGTCTTTCGCCTTGAGACGTCTTCTCGGGCAGTATCCGCTTTTGTTTGTGGAATGTTATGTCGAAAGACATTTCCAACACAAAGAGGGTCCTAATCCATTTGAACCGCACTATGCGAATCGGAAGTATCGGAGCATCCAATATTGCGAACAGAACAAATCTATAGGAGCTTGGTGTTGCAGTTACTCTCCTCCGTTTCGAATGTCTCGGTGCGGACTGGAAGGCGCAGCCATTTCTCTTTTGTTTGCTGTCTAGCAATCCTAGCCTAGTAGTGGTATGGGGAGCGTTAGAAGTCTCTAGCTGCATATTGAATCCTGTTTCAACCGGCCCTCTCTGCTATACTCCTTGACTTCAATGAACACATTGTAAAGTTGAAAACCCCCTGGTCCATTGCGTGCTGCCCATAATGACAATCAACAGACACAACCCGATGGCAACACTTGCCGATCCATATATATAGGAGTGCTTTCGCCTTAAAGAGCTCAATTCGCTGACCCAAGTGCTGACAGTTGTCAGACAACCACAAAAGCCATCCTCAATCCCTTGCAGTACTTGACATCCAACAACACCTCCTAAGGGCACATGTTGTAAATCATATGACATCCCGATAATAGCGGTTCCAAACATATTGGCCACAAAAGTGCCAAGTGGAAATGAAGGCAGCTTGCTGTTAAGATATATAGACAAATAGAAGCGGCCGAGGCAACCTAATGGTGCAAAGACCAGCGCGAATACAGCTCGACCACGCCATATTTCGGGTGGGCTATCATTTCTATCTGGTGGAAATATAGCAAGGAATATTGCACCAATCCAACAGCCCCATGCGATGAATACCGTTACTCTATCTAGAAATTTACGACCCACAGCAAATGGTATCGTGGGCGTCCATGGTTCTGTTAAAATCGCAAGATGTGCGCCAAAATGAAGCCCCGAGACACAGACTGTAACTGTCACAATGATGACAGCTAGCAGAGCCATGAAGGAGTAGCCTCCGTTTCGGGATACAGTAGATGTAGTCGACGAAGTTACCGGACCATAATCGGCCGGGTGATTGAGAGGAGTCGGAAGTTCGTTTGACATTGCCAGAAAGGTATCTCGTAAAAAGGATGAGAAAGAGGTAAAGCATCCACAAAACCCAGTGGTCAGACCAATATAGAGAGGGATAGTCTTCTTGGTCTTAGCATGATCTTTCTTTGCAGCCGCCAAGTCAATGCCATGACCCTTCCCTGATCCGGCCTCTTCGTCCTCTCTCCTTTTGGCTTCCTCGATCAACTGGTGGTATCTTGGCGTACCCCATTCTTCTTTGAAAAGCATTCGATCCTCACTGAAAAAGCCCATTAAGATACAACCTCCAAGATTTGCCCAGAGTTCACTGAAGACTACCGGCGCACCGGGGTACAAAGTAATTGCTTGCAAGCCCAGCCTAGCAAGAGTACCGAAAAAGGAGAAAAGAATTAGGTATGATATTGTGTACATCTGAGTAGCGAGTCGTGACGCCTTTCCCGAGTGATCTGGCGAATTTCCCTTCTTCGTTGCCCCAGCCATGTTGGTTTGATCTCCATTTTGATCGTTTGCTCCTCTCTCACGGATGTTCTCTTCATTTCTATTCTCTTCGAGCGACCTGTGTGTATAGGCCGCGCTCTCGGATGGGTTTTCCACTGGTGACGTCGCCGCCAACTCATCCAAGTTCGCATAATTGTTTGGGCTCTGGTAGCTATCTTCTTGCTCCTGATTCTCCCTTTGCAACTCAGGATTGCTTGTAGACATCTTGAAGGCAGAATTGGTGACGGAATCCCGTTTGTCCTCAATGTCCCCAATCCAATGGCTAACGATATCGTAGCATGTCTAGATCCGACACGACACGTCCACCGCGAATGGGACAATGTCAATTGAGCGTATCATCGGCAAGTAAGAAGTCGACAGGAGTGAGTACAGAAACACTTTTCATAATTTCATGGTCTCGTCGGTCGGTAGTAGAGACATGGAAAACCCCTGAGGAAATTCGACCCATTCGTTAGTGCACCGAGATCATCGTCAACGTCAACAAAGCCGCGAAAGTCCAAGCTTCCGCACCTTATCGGGCTATCTAGAAGAATGGAGCCAGGGGTCGTTAGTATGGAGGGGTTGCCAAGACCGGAATGCGGCGCCTCACCGTACTGTTTGCATCCATCAACAGTAACAACACACAACATCCATTTAATATACAAACACAAGTCTTTCTAGACTTTGAAGAGTTGATCGCTCCTTCATTTCACTACTTGCTTGATCGAAATTACTTCCAAATGTCTCAATCACTACCCAAGAATGTCCATTGTTCGACTCACCCATGCTTACAAGCAAAGCTCTCGCAACTTCGCGGCGCAAGTACAAATGCAAGAGAGACAAAAGCTCTAGTACATGAGATTGCTTTGATAATTGGATGCGAAGCTTTGGGTGCTGGATTATCTGCGACTGCGGGCTCTACAGTAAGTCTCACTTATTACCAGCTTGCATCGATGAGTTACTGATGTTCCGAAAGAGCAAGACGCCGTTAGGATACGATTTCACAACTACTGAAATCTTACCGTCGACAATCTCAATTGTACCAATTTTACGGTCTGGTTTAGGGATGCTAGATGGTATGTCTTGTCCTTATACCACGCAGATGTAGTCCCTTCTACCAGCACATCCTACCTATCCACTCCCATATTGCGTACATGAAATTGACAGTGTATAGCCGTTCAGACCCTCCTCCCGAACCCTGTACCAGTACATCATCTGGGACTTTTCCGCGAACCAACAACACTTGAGCCAGTAGAATACTACAACAACCTCCCCCACCACCGTGTCGCTACCTCGACCAGCACTTCTAATAGCGGCGCTTCAGACCTAGCTATCCTCTTGGATCCCGTCATCGCTACTGGAGGTACCTGTGCTGCGGCAATCCAGACACTGAAAGAGTGGGGTGTGAAACGCGTTATTGTCATTGCAATTTTGGGAGCTGTGCCGGGGTTGGAAAGAGCTGCAGGAGAGTGGCCGGAAGGAGTAGAGATCTGGGTTGCTGGTGTAGACAAGGCTATCAACGATCGAGGCATGATACAACCTGGGTTGGGAGATGTCGGAGATCGTTTGTTCTTAACAATCGGAAAGTAAATGTTGTAATGTGCGAGTGCCTCAATGAGTTGCCTTGGAGTTTAGGAAGATAAAGGTTTAGATTAGTCGAGTTAGGAAAAAATGATTAAATGAGAAATAAAAACGATACCCGTCACACTTACAGTCCAGAAACCACCCTACAACGTCTTCTTCCCGAGACACATAATTATGGAGTTTCTGAATTACATGTTAATTAATATCATAAATCAGGGTATACCCATGAATAAACTCCTCAGTCCCAACCAGAGGAATGTGTAATAGTGCCACACTTCAAAACACCAATAGCCCAAACCGAAAAATCTCAAAATTACAGCTGATACAGCATCACAGCTGCGAAATGGATCGTCTCCTCTTTTTCATGGTAATACCACCGAAGTCAAGGATATGCCAATATCCATTCCGCATCATCCAAAGGTAGTAATACCCATGCCACAAACAAAGTGGCTCGCCAAATAAACTTATAGTATCTTCCAAGCAATAAAATAAAGCCCAAATAGCACAATGCCCAAGCGACTAAGTAGGGCGTTGGCTCAATTAAGAAGTCTTTCCACAGCTCGACCAAGAACTGCTCAAACTCAGAATGAGATATAGTAAGAGCAAGGAGGCTGGTTAAGGGTCCTTGCGGATCTGGGGATAGCGGGGATCGATGTACTTTGAACCGTACTGGCGCATGGTAAAATGTTGTTGACCGTTGCAAACACCTTGACCTGGCGTAGAGCGACTTCAAGGAGGATGACCTATGCCTAGCATTTCCTCTGTATGGAAAGCCCATACGTACACGTACGTACTTGGTCATCCCTTTCCTCAGTATCCTTTTAACAACAGGAAGCCTATTTTGCTGTCCTGTTGGTGGCGACCGTCGCTCATCTGCCCGGTGCCAATAGTCCTCTGACCCTTTCAATTCTCTGGACGGCCCCTTCCAACCTGTCCAGTCTTTTTCTTTTGTCCCCGTCCCGGCTTTCCAGAACTGCAACCCTTTCCTCCAGCTTCGCCCTGGCCTTCCTCTCCGTTGCCACCATCTCATTGGCCTGTTGGAATAGTTGCGCGCTCAGTTCCTCCAGCTCTCCACTCGCTTCATCTAGCTTTCTATCAGCTGCTTGGCGTAATGCCTTTTCTTTCGCCAGATCTGCTTCAAGCTCGAAAGCGGAGGGTGACGGTGGTGGGATCTGTAGGTTCTGGGTGGACTTTCTTGCTGAAAGGAAGGAAGAGAGCCTGTTTTGCACAGGGAGGTAAGAGAATCGAGAAGGAGAATCGGATCGCGATTTTTCGATTGAGTTTCGTTCTGCTTCTTTCTGATTTCGAAGTTGTTGAATCTCGTCTTCGTAGTCTGCCCATCTATCAACTGTACAGTGGATTAGGTCAGTAAAGCATTGTAGGGAAGAAGAAAGAACACGTACCGGCAGCTGTAGCCTTTTCATTCAACAGCCGGACCTGTGCTTGTAAATCTTCAATTTGTCTCTGCGCTTCTGCTGCCATGAATGAGTGCGAAGGTAGTCCTACACCACAATTAGGGCAACAGGCTGCCGAACCATTTGCAGGCGCCATCGAGAGGGTTACTGTCGTAGACATTTGACTCGATGTCCAGAGATCATGCGACAGGTGTGAATGAGGCTGACTTCGTGGGAAAGGCTGGTATTAAGAGAGGTATTGAGGTTGGAAGATCGCTCGGTTATTGTGTCACGCGCGTTGCAAAGGCGAAAATCTCGTATGAAGGTTGTCCCAGATGAGGCTCGTGAGAGCTAAGTGATCCTCCTCGTGCTTGCTTTTGGTAGGAGTCTCGTGTCGCGGAAGTTGTGTTCAGCGGCAAGTCTCTTTGCCCGGCCGCCACCTCTCTCTTAAGGGTCCGGGCCTGCTGCTTCGCCTTACTCGGAACGAGGCCTGGTCCGTGCTAGTATCTTGCCTTAACCCTATTTTTATCTCTTCGATTTCATGCATTAGCTTCAACGGTCGAACAACAACAATATTAACATTCCACGAAGTCCATGGGGGAATTTGTACGATTCCAAAACTTTATAGTCTAAAAGGAAACGGATCGAACCAACTGGACTGGTATCCTCGCTGGACGAGAACTATCCTGAGGACTCGTCACTCCCGATGACGGCTTTCATGCTTCCACGTACCTAGGTAATCCTCAAACAAGTACAATTAACATTCAAAACATGAGTTTGTTAACCTCACTACTGGGTTGCCAGGAACAGTGATTGAGTTCTACTATTTCTGAGACTAATAGTTTGCAATTTGTGAAACAGGGAATTGGGAACTACTGTACCAACTTAGTTTTATCCCCAATTTATGCTTTTGTCTATGCGCATACGGCACCAACAAAGTATAATTGACAATTGTTACCTTCAAGCTTTATAAGAATTGGAAATTTGCATTTTTCATTCCTTAGTCAGCTAAACTACCAGGTTGGAAGGGGGGTAGTTTTTGACTCAGCAACCTCGAGATCGTGTTGTTCGAAACAATGCTCATCAAACACGTTGTCAACCGAGGCGTCACCAAAATTCAGCGATCATGATATGAACCCAAATCCGTTTTTTGAGAATCAAAATACAATAGTGTTCTTATACTTAACGCAATTTTTTGTCTTGTCAACTCAGATCTCCAACTATAGCTCATCTTCGACAAATGTAGGATTTGTTGAAGAGCACTTATTGTAGACTACCAATATCGCTTTAGTCGGGGGATAAAGAACAGTGTTCCTCAAGGTATACGAGGTGTAACACCAAAGGGCTCAAATGTACTGCGCAGCTGGGTGAGTCAAACCATCAGGATGGCCTGATCTTATGTGCAATGGTGTATTTGACAAGAGGAGACATATCCAATACGCTCATTTTCACAGGGAATGTAACATCTCCACCTCTAGTGTCGCCCAAGTCTACCTTCTCAAGACCCTACTGCTTAAATGAATTGATTCTCACATAGCACACAAAACACCTTCACTTTACTACAAATCGTCAATTCAACTTTGTCTTAAAGCTCAGGTCAAGTCTCGCAAGGGTCATAACTGGTCAAACAAGAAGGAATGATCATCAAAATGATGATCTATGGTAATCGGGGATAAGTTGATTAACTTCGCGTGGAATAATTTGAAGAGAAACAGAGCGATAGCTAACAGGGGTGTTCATTCTCAGGTTTGAATACACGGCTATTTCATGCTGAAATTGCTGTCAACGGATTATAGAATAGATAGGCAAAAACCAGAACGACGAGGCATATCCCTACCACATTAGTAGTGATTTAAGCAAAGAATCGGCCGTGTGAGGACTCTTAACTAACGTAGGTTGACAATAACCAGCGGTGTCCGGATTTTTACTGGCACAAGATTGAAATGAGCGAGTTCGAGTACTGTAGTTGTTGAAGGGGTATATGGAGCATAATCCCAGATCCAGAGTCTTCATTGTGTCCAACCAAGCCATAAAACGATTTAGCCTTTGGCTTGTAAAATCAACTATCGATCGAGACATGTATCTCGTGATCTTTGTGGCCATCTTCACATAAAGCCGAATAGACCAGAATTTTGTGCTGATGAGATTCCATTGGCTGAGCATTTTACAATCTTTTTGTACTGCCCTAATTCATGATAAAAGCAAGCCCGTACCCCATGCAACCCAAATGAAAAACCCCAATGCCATTATACCTCGGTCGTGACCCTCGCCTTAGGGTTTGTAACCTTGACACCAAGCTCCTTAGCACGCTCGATGATTGTGATACGCTTTCTTGAGGATACGGCATGGTTGATCCTAATCGATGTTAGCAATAATTCCATTGACCCGTGTCTCACACGACGTACTCTGCAGCGAAGGTCTTGTTGTGCATGAGAAGGAGTTCGACATCTCTAACGTTGCTGACTAGGAAAGCCTTGTGGCCGGAGGGCATCATGTGTCGTGTCTTTCTGTTTGATCCGAAACCAATCTACCCCTTCTATCAGTGGTTGTCCTCGAAATAGCGAAACATATCCCATCTCGATTGCGCTGCAACATCGACATCGAGACCATATCAACGTACCGATGGCATAACCATTTGTCCCTTGAATCGTCGGCGGACTCTGTTATCGATACCCTTTGGCTTTCTCCATGATGCGTCGACGCACATGTAGGTATCGCTCTGATGTCTGTGGAAACGCTTCGTGCCTGTAAATTGCTATCGTCAACGGCGCTCTTATCCATAACCCTCAACTTATGTGGATTAGGCTTGCGCTTCCTCCTCCTCCATTCCTCATCGCGCGGTACACAGGTATCGTGATATTGATTGGGGCGGAACTGAACATACGCTTCTTGACGATCGGAACATGCTTCTTAGCGGAAACCATCTGTACAAATGTTAGCCTCGTTGGAGTAGCTACGATGCGTTGATAGCATGGGTCGAAAGTTTCGCATACCTTGTCGTCGTTTCTGTGGTGGAATTGTCGATTGAAGGTTGTTGAATTTCGCCTGTCCGCTCAAGAAATTTTGAGGTTCGGTTCTGTGGGATTTCGCAGTGGATCTGGTCGGCAAGCTGGCCAATAAAAGGCATTGATGTTCGGTCACGTGACAACCCCTCCGCCGCCTCTACTGTAGGTCCAGCAACGTTTGGAAATCTTATATTGATCATACAATGAACAGTCAATTCAGACAACGGTACTATTAGCATCTCATCTACATGCAGCTCGACACTTCATAGATTTTGGGCAACGAAGTGTATGTAAAGGGATCTATTTTCAGTAGTTTCAATGCGGTCTCTCTATGGAATTCCATGTGCGATACCTTCGGTCGCAGGCTGACGATTCTTTATAAAATAACTCCACCCAAGTAACCCAGTTATGAGACGTTCGCATTATAGCTTCACACAGCTCATATGTAAATTTACTGTTGTGCACATTGTGCACCACCTTCTCCTTCACCCTCGTCATCTTCCCACTCTCCACCAGCACGAGGATCCCCAGAATTAGCACCGAACTGTTGGTCATACGTCAGCTAGGTTCAAAACGGCGTAGGGAACAACTTACATCTTCAATATCCGCGTCAGAGTCATACTCGACCTCATCAACTTCTGAAGCCTCAATCTTTGGGTCTGGCGCAGGGAGCACCTTCTGAAGACTAGCGAACGCTGCTGGGTCTGATGTCCATCCGTTCTCTGGGAACTTCACCTTGGCAACAAGATACAAATCACCCTTCGCATCGCTCTTCTTGAGCGGCATACCTTCACCTGCCACCTTCAACACTTGCCCAGGTTCAAGGACCTTTCCTTGCGGAAGTTCCATATGAATACCACGGCCGTCAAGGTGCTTGAGAACGACCCTCGAAAATCCAGTCAAAGCCTCGGCAAGGGTGACCTCTATTTCTGCAGACAAGTCGTCGCCAGCTCGTTGGAAAACTTCGTGGTCGTCTTCGACTAAAGTGAAGACAATGTCGCCCGGTATCTGGTCTGGCACTTGGTCTGCTTCACCCTCTAACGTGATCCGTTCTCCTTCACGAGCACCTCGTGGAATATAAATCTCCAAAACCTTCTTTTCCGAAGTCGTCCGCTTGCCTTTGCACTTCTTACATCTATCTTTCTCTTTAAAGACCTTGCCGGTTCCTGTGCAGGTGTCGCAAACCATTCTTTCCTGTGTAACAAGGCCTGGTCCAACTTGTCTTAACCCAACTGTGACACCATTGCCCTTACAACGTTCGCAGGTAGCTGGCTTTGCCTTGTCCTTTCCTCCACTACCCTTGCAGTGGCTGCATATGATGTTTTTGGTGCTGGCAAACTTTACGGTCTTTCCCTTATAAAGTTCCTCTAAAGTGACTTGATACTTTTGCTCTTCATCGCGGCCTCTTCGTGGCCGTCTAGGCATTCCACCCTCGCCCCCAAATCCGGGCATACCGCCTGGCATACCACCGCCCCCCATACCAAACATCTGTGCAAGAATATCATCGAGATCTACACCAGCACCACCAGGGCCTCCTCGACTAGAATCGAAGGCTGCCATGCCATGCGTATCGTACATGTGTCGTTTCTCCTCATCGTGTAAAATTTCATATGCTTGACTAACAGCCTTAAACTTTAACTCGGATTCTTCTCGATGTTCTACTGCCACCTTGTCGGGATGGTGTTGTAAGGCTGCCTTCAAAACGGTTAGCAAAGTTGGTAGGAAAAAGCTGAAAACCGACTAACCTTGTGATATGCCTTTTTAACTTCAGATTTGGTCGCATCTCTTGAGATACCGAGGACTTCTGTTTGATAATTAGTATTGAATGATGCTTTCAGCCAAACTTTACTTGCCATAGAGATCGACCTCCTCGGGAGCTCCATTCGAGGCCATGGTCCAGACTTTTGGTGGGTTGTGGAGGGGTCGATAACTAATGTTTCAAAGGTGGTAGCAATCTTTCGAGCGCTGAATGTGGAAGCGCGCACTATCTTCCTGGTTTTTGGATGACAATGCAAGTGAGGCGAAACGGCAGATATGACAAGGACAAGGCTGAAATATATAGATGAGCGTAGTCTCGGACGGCGATAACTACGTCGAAGATATTATTTTTTAGCCTGCTCCCAGAGGCGTAGATGCGGGACTGGAGTCTGGGTCAGAATGCTTGGCATTGTCGCGGGCCGAGAATACGTCCGATGTGGCCCGTCCGGGGAGCAGAGAATGTCTGGTTGATCAACATTGAGTACCAAGACAATGCTGCTCAAATAGACACCGAAGACGGGAGAACATCATCTAGTGATGCTAGTAGTAGTAGCAGCTGTGAAGAGAGGGTGGAGACCTCATTTGGCTTGCCGCACGTATCGTTCTATCAGTCATTTTTCTTCGGATTCGAGTAATAGATCCCTTTCCCCAGCTTCACAGCGACTTCGAGAGGCTGGGCCTGCTAGAACACGATTTGCGCCCTCTCCCACGGGTTATTTACACCTTGGGTCATTGCGAACTGCCCTTTTCAACTATCTTATTGCGAAAGCTACAGGTGGTCAATTCATTCTGAGAATCGAGGATACGGATCAGGTGATGTTCTCTAGGTTTTGTGGTTCCCTGCATACCTACTAACTGTTCAGAGCCGGACAATAGAAGATGCTGAACATAGGCTATTTGAAGATCTGGAGTGGGCGGGATTGGAGTGGGACGAAGGTAGCTTCTTTCTTGTAGCAAGTCTAACGTCATTTCCTGACTCCCATCCCAGGTCCAAATGTAGGAGGGCCATTTGGTCCCTATAAACAGGTAAGTTCATGCTAAAAATAGTAGCTATATGTTCTAATTGGTCCCAGTCACAACGTCTATCAATATACAAGCAACACGTAGATGACTTGCTATTGTCTGGCCATGCCTACAGATGCTTTTGTACCCAGGAACGTCTACACGAATTAGCCCAACATCGAGGGCAATCAGGACAGCCCCCTGCTTATGACAGAACCTGTGCACATATTCACAGAGACCAGTCAGATGAAAAAGCAGCACATGGTGAGGCTCACGCCGTTCGACTTTTGGCCCCAGAACGATACCCAGCATACGAGGACTTGATATTCAAGGAAGTTCGCCCACGCTTCGACAGAACAGCCAAAAAATTCTTATCTCAGGGAACACGCGGCTCCTTCGATGATCCAATTCTTCTTAAAACAGATGGGTACCCGACATACCACCTTGCTAATGTTGTGGACGATCATCTTATGAAGATTACTCATGTGATTCGAGGCTCAGTAGGTCTAATTGCTACCTAAGAATCCGATCATGTCTAACATACGCTAGGAATGGATAAACTCGACACCAAAGCATATGTGGATGTACAAAGCTTTTGGATGGGAACCACCAAAATTCGGGCACGTCAGTTTGCTTACTGACAAAAACGGGCACAAGCTTAGCAAACGAGAAGGCGCTATTGATGTCCGCTCAATGCGGGATGATTTGGGAGTCTTCCCTGAGACGCTCACAAATTTTGTTGCTCTGCTTGGGTGGTCTCACGATCAAAAGTCAGATGTCATGAGCTTGGAAGATCTAATCAAACATGTAAGTCACAATATTGCTATGCGGGGGTTTTACTTTCTCTTCTAATTATATTTTAGGCTAGTTTGAAATTCACGAAGGGCGATACTACAGTTTCTTTTGAGAAGATGTGGTTTTTACAAAAAAAGCACGCTGTAAGATATGCCACCGCGTCCTCGGACGACGTCTCGACTCCACCTGACCAAGATCTTCAATTACTAGCGGCAGGTCCAGTATTCAAGTATCTCAAGTCTCTATTATCTAACAATGGAGACCTTGCTTTTTACAAGAGTCTATCGGAAGCGCAACAAAAACAACTCGTTTCCAAGTTGGTGAAGGCTGACGCACAAAACTACACCTCAGCTCCCGAGTTCATCGGCCGCAACATAACATTTTTCCAAGCCCCGACCGCTGACATGCTTCAAGATGGTCTTCCTAAGATGAAGGACGCAACAAAGGATTTGAGAGAAACCTACGATTTGGACACTTTCAATTCTAGACTTGATGATTTTCAGGACATTCCTACTGGGGATTGGAACGTCAATCATTTGAAAGAAAGCATTGACAAGATTATCAACGTTGAAGCGCCAAAGGATAGTAATGAGACCTTCGGGGCGCATTCGAAACCGCAATCTGCTGCAAGAAAGGTGTGGCCGACTTTCGTCCATGGATATTTGCGATGGGCGATTTCAGCTGGCAGACCGGGTCCAGATGGTAGTTTGACGATGGCGCTCTTAGGAAAAGAAGAGAGTATGAGAAGGTTGGGTCTAGCCAAAAGCAAGTTGTTTACGGCTTCATAAGTCTTGTTATGTGCTTCTTCGCTATTGGTACACTCTTATCCGATGGCGGAGAGTTTCTATGGTGAGAATGACCTGATGAACTTAAGCTTTGACTTCACGCCTGAGGGCATGGAATCAACAAGTTCGGGTCCCAACCACTGGCTCTCGGATTGGAGCCATCAACTGCAACACAATCCGGCGTTGAAAAGGAAGTAGAACTATATTTCAGCTGAAACTCTTCAGGATGCCATAGATGTGGAGCATATTGTAGAGGAAAACTTGTAATAGATAAGGCGAGAGTCTGGAGGAACCAGGGATGCGAAGGACTTTTGTATATTATGTATATTCTAGATATCAGCCTCAGCCAGTCTTAATTCATCCATTTCCTTGAACGCCCGTATCATGATTAACGCCAGAAATGCTCTGGAGACCAGCTTCTGATTCCCCTGTTGTTTCACCTCTCCTGTTACGCCATTCTGTAGATCCTGTCCTCAAGTATCCACCACCGGCTCAGTAGCAGGTGCTGTTGGTCTTGCTGCAACCCCCAGGCCATTGAAAAGCTTAGCCTTAATTTCTCCAGCCATTAACCCGGTGACTTCCTCTGTAGCAATCTTATTGCCGTCTTTGACAGCCTTGACCATTTTCTCGTCCATTGCTTTATTTCCCTGTGCCCCTTGGGGGCCCCTCATTCGCGAGATCATACTTCCCGCCTCTCGAACTTTAGAGCTGAGGTCAAGCATTTGCTTGCTACTATACTCTCGGTTTGTAAACAGTGGGCTTTGACTCAGAGTCTGCACCCAGTATTTATTCCACAGCTGGTCCAACAAATTGGCATCAAGAGTGCTTTTATAGTGTGAGACCTCAAGAGAATAGTATCTACTTGCGTGAGCACCGAAGTCTTCTACCTTCGCTAAAGGAATGGTCTGGTATCCATCACCGGCGCCGTCAGACTCTGCTGGCTTGTAGTCCTCTGGGTATGTCCTGAAAGCACCAATTTCGACTTTGCCAGCCGAGATTGTGCGGTCTGGATCAATAACTACAGCAAGGAAAGGATCGCTGAACGTCTGCTGAGTCGCTTGTGTACCGACATCAATACCACTGAGCCAACATCCGTAGCCCGGATGGCTGTGATACCATCCAACAGCGTTTTCTAGTTTCCCCTGATCACGACAAGCTTGTAGGTATCCGACCATGTACTCGTTCGCCTCGTCTTGAGCGTTGACTCGGGTTTCCGTGCCTTCCACCGGTAATCGGAAAGCATCGGTAACAATGAAAGTATCTCCTGAGATCTTGCCTTGCATCAAGCCCATGACTTCAATGTCGCCGCCAGACCGCGCATGCATCACCATTTTTAGCAGAGCCACGGCTGAAATTCGCACATTTTTGAAATGATGGGGATCAGATTTCCATGGCTTGTCGTCGTTGATCTTTTTCTGCTCGGCGACATCGTAGGTGTAGAGGGCGTCTCTTTGGGGATCCACCAGCTTCACATTGTTGTCGAGCTCTGTTATCGATAAAGGTTAGGATAGCTGTATAATAGGTAAGAAGACTTGCAATTGCAATGGATACTCACCCCAGGTCTTGTATGCAGTCTCCATTTTGGCACCTGGCAGAAACTCCTCGGAAGCTTCGTTGGGTTTGGCAGATATTATTGTCGAAGTTGTGCGTATGAGACTGTCGTGATTCAATATATTCTAGAGGTTGCGGCAGCCTTGTGTAGACCCCAGTTAGCGGGGTAGAAAAGCGGGTCTTATGTCAAACAGCTTGGGCGTTGCCGTGGAGACAGCCCGATCCCGGTTATTTTTGTATCCCGTCCCTGGAGTGCTCTCTAACGGGTACATGACCACAGGATCTTCCTCTTTGCATAGAACTCGCGATTTGCATGCAATACCACCATTGATGATCCGTGCAATCAGATATTTCGAGTCTTCGCTGCTGCGACTGAGTCTGCATTGTTGTCAATTTATCGAAGGAGTCTAAGAATCAAGTCGAGGTGGCCGCCTATTCGGCCTACAGGTCACGGTACTGCGAGCTGCACAAATATCGTTGAATTCGACGCGCTTTTCATAATCCACCACCATGGATACCAGCTATCTATCGTCGCAGGTTTCGACCATCATCGGCCAACTCCATGGTCTTTTTGATGAAATAGGTGTTCCTAACCATGACCGAGAGTCGAGAGAGGCAGAGGTATGTCACACACAACGCGCAGATTCGATTATCGACTGACTTTTATATAGCTTTTCGCAGCTCTGTCCGAAACCCTTCACAACCAAGTAAAACTAGTTGCCGCTGAGAAAAGCGAACTTGGCGAAGAAGCACAACGTATTATCACCACAATCAGACAAATGGAAGCTTCATTGGATGACGAAAAGGCGCATCGGGATTATGAGCCAGAGGACGAAGATTTGAAGATCACCTATCCATTGTTAAGATGCCTTCAAGTGCTGAAGGAAAAGCATCAACAAATTTCCAAACTTCATAAGGAGCGGTTTGACCAAGTCAAGAGTGAGTCTAGCTTACCGAATCTCTGGAGCCAAGAAGGGTTTTTAACAATAAGCAGAACTAGTACAAGCTCTCGAATCATATTCATCGCACCTCGAATCATCCTTTATTAAAATCAAGCTGCCTCCTACCGCTCCGAACTCAACTATTGCGCCAACTTTTGACCTTTCTCCCACCTACGTGACGGCTCTTGACGACGAGTTCACTCGTGTATATGAAGAATATACGCGCAGGGTTGCCACTGTCAAGGCACTTTCCGAGAATGTCATCCAGCTGTGGGCCGAACTTGGAACTCCTCAAGCGCAAACCGATGGCATGATAGTCAAGTATTACCGTGACTCGCCAGAGCAACTTGGCTTGCACGAAGAAGATATCGCGCGATTGAGACAAAAGCGAGACAAGCTTGCGGAGGAAAAGAAGAGTCGAGAGAAGCGACTCAAGGATCTAAAATCTATGGTTGAAGGTCTGTGGGAGCGACTGGGCGTTGAAGAACAGGAAAGAAAGCGTTTTCTCAATGGCAATCGTGGGTGCGGGGTTCGACAAATCAATGAATTTGAGGATGAGCTATCAAGACTCAACGAACTCAAACGCCAAAATCTTCATCTATTTGTTGAAGATGCTCGATACAAGCTTCAAGACTTGTGGGATGGGCTTTATTTCTCGGAAGAAGAAATGCTCGAGTTCACCCCCGCGTTTTCCGACGTGTACAGCGATGCTCTCCTAGAAGCTCACGAACAAGAAATCGAACGTCTAGAAGCATTGAAGGAACAACGTCTACCAACATTGTCACTCATCGATGAGCATCGATCACTGGTCAAAGATCGCGACGACCTTCTAGCATCCAGTCAAGATGCATCTCGTTTATTAGGCAGAGGCCAAAAGGGCGAAAAGCGAGATCCTACACGACTTTTAAGAGAGGAGAAGATGCGGAAGAGAATCGCCAAGGATTTGCCAAAAATTGCAGTCAAGTTAAGAAAGCTTTTAGAGAAGTGGGAGGACGAGTATGGCCGACCCTTTCTTGTTCGCGGTGAGAGATACCTTGACGAACTTGAGGCGTCTGAAGCAAGACCAGCTCCTGGCCCTCGATCGAAAACACCTGCAGGACCGCCACCTTCTGTTGCACGAAATCAGCCAAAGTCTGCTCCCCCAAGCCGTTCAAATAGCATCAAGGCACCTCCACCAAGAGCGGGCGCAAAGACCCCTACTGCGGGTGGAACTCTTAGACGTAATCCCATACAGGCGTCGGCCGCCGCAAAATCTCCTTCGAAAATTCCTGCGCGCGCGCCACTTTCTCATCTTAAAGGCGGAAACAATTCGCCGGAACGTAAAGCTCGTCCAGAATCCCGGATGGACACTGATAGGACTTTAAGAAGCAAAATGCCACCTCCCCCACCCCGAGCTCCACCACCCAAGATGAGAGATCTATTCGTTCCCCCTCCAGCACCAACACCAATAGGGCGTCCAAACCCTCGCTCCGAAAGTGTACTGTCAAGTGGAAGCGTTCGAGCTGTTACTCCTGAAGACCCTTATGGATATCCTCAAGGACGCCAACAACGAGAACAGTCTTATCACGAGCTTAAATCTTCAATGCGACAGAATGAACGGCTCACGCAGTCAAGCTACTCGACAGCACCCCCAAGTCGACAAATATCCAATACATCTAGTGCAACGACAGGCGTGTCCGGAAGTGAAAACTGGGAAACGTATTCGGAAATATCTGAGCCGGAAGAGGACGCTTCTGAAGATTACTATGCAAAGCTTCGTGCTGCTCGTGTAAAACGTTTTTCTCCTGATGACGGATATCCACCTCAACAAGGTGGTCCACCCAAGAAACAAAAAGGAATTCCTCCGCATGGAGTTCATGCTGGCCATGTATTATACGATGCCCATGGAAATAGAATTGTCTCGGGCAGTGAGGCGAATTGGACCGACGAAGACGCATTCTAGCATGCTCAATCTCATTATCGCCCTGTCTTCCACTCTACATGACCGTTAGACGATAGACGCGATGTTTACAAGAGGTACTCTTGATGATGACGATGACTCCGGGACGATGGACACTTAAAGTTATCAATGGTTCCACAGTCGTCGATCTGGTTCCAGGATAACCTTCTACTTCACGATTGGACACATTACAAATTTCATTTCTTGTACTTTGAATTCCGGCACGGATATCTCTATGTTCGATTATTAAATTTTTAGCAAGGGTCATTCAGCATCACGGTCTGATGACTTCTTCGAACAGCATTATTTTGGTTGGTTGGTGGGTTGGTCTGATATTTCGCGCATTTGGAGTAAAGCGTTCGGGGCCTGGACTGTGAGGGACAGTGGTGATGTATTCGGGCGTCTTTGGATGAGTGCTTCTGATACTTAGTTAAGTAGTCTAGTGGGAGACTGGATATGAATAAAAGATCTGTACTTCTGCAAAATCGAGATTATCTTTATGTTTGGAGAAGTTGATATCTCTGACAATCATGCTGTCGCCTCCGTCGTGTCGCATTCGAGGTTGCAAGACTAGATATATAGACACTCTTCCTCTTAGATTTTATCAAAACTTTAGGGTAAATTGTTTGTGACAAGAAGACTCTTATTTTGGGAGGTGGGTGAATGGTCGACTTGTTTCGTGGTTTCCGGTTTACTACAATATTTCTTTGGAGCTTAATATATCTATAAATATTTTAGGTCATAGACCTCGTCGCCAGTGTCACTTCCTCCTCCTCTAGGGTTTTAGATATCTCGCTCAAGCTTCACTCTCGCTTAGCACTCATGTATGCTCCCGCTTCACACCCACAAGTTCGAGGCTATCACCTTCAACTTCAAGAACTTGTGAGTCTATCGGGAGTTCCTTCCCCAAGTAGTGAGTTAAGATAACTCTGACTCATCCTCACTTAGTCTAATAAATACCCCTCTTCGTATTTTCTTGCTCAGCTTCTTACATCCACTTCTATCTCGATATCGGATCAGTATCTTCACTCCATTTTCAAGTCTTGAGCCGTTTCTATCCAATGATTTGATCCGACAAACCGTCACAGATACAGCGCTCACACTGCAGACTTAGGAAAGCTTCGAAGGCTTAACTCTGAGCTAAGTTCTACTAGATCGATATGACTTCCTCGAAGAGAGGCCCTGGTCGACCACCGGGAAGTACCAAGCCATCCAAAGAGAAAATTTCTCAAAAAGGTGGTCTCCAAATTCTTGTCCGAACGAATTCCCATTTCGATGCAGAGTACATATCTCCTGAAGAATCTCCTACCAAGAGAAAGCAGAAGAGAAGGGCCGAGAAAAGATCGGAGAAGCCTACTAAGAGAGCAAAGAGGATTACAATCGAGGAGGAAGTCGTACTATCCGACGATGATAACACCACAGAAGCCACATCAGCACACCACTCTGTCGGTCACTACTTTAAACCAGATCGAGCATCGGAGCTCATCAGTATCTTCAACCAAGTTGGAGTATCTGCTTCAACATTTATGATTTCCATGGACTCATTCTCGGGAGTCAAAGAATGGCTCGACACTTGTCATCTGGACAAAGATGACGAGCGGATTAACGAAGTTGAGGAATTATGCGGCACAATTGCTAAACTTCTACGAGAGAGACGAGCACCGAGAGTTGCAAGACAGCCTGCTTCTCCAGGAGATGCTCAAATCATGCCTAGTGAGCAACTCTTCTCCTTCAGAGATGTCGGTTTGACTGTGGCCCTCCTTGCGCCTGTCGAAATGTTTAAGGGTATTACAACTGTTAAAAATAAGACTTTTGGTAAGTAAATAAATAGTTAGGATGCAGATCTTCACGGACTAACATTTTCCTCTTAGGCTTCGTGAGAATCAAAGGCGACTACTTTCCACTAATGGCAAGCAAAATCTCACATCAGTTGTAGTAGACTTAACTAATAGTATACGCAGTGCTCTTTATCTGGAGTTAAGAATTGCGTTGAATCTCATAGTAAGATGCTGGATAACGAAATCTGGACCCGAGTAGGTAAAATGACTATAGTTTTCACACAAATAGCTAAACAGAAGAAAGGAAGTATATCGACTTATGACCTACCGAGACGCGACCATGAGACACGGTCGTTTCGAGAGTAGGAGAAAATTCCCGGTCGGCACGGAGTTCTGTTCACATTGCGAGCCGTAATTACACACCTTTTCCTTTTGTTCTTCCTTCCAAGTTCCTCTTCGCAGTATCTGCGAGAGCGTATCATCCTAGCACATGGCTTTAGGCTCCCCCTTTTCTCACGGGAGATACAAATGTTCATATACTAACTTCTTGCAGGAAACTGATGCTTTGGTTCGCCTGCCACTGGCTGGCGAAGCAAACAGGAAAGGTTACGTCGATACGTGATCAAGTCGGTAACATCTTCAAAATCAACCATCGGGGCATGCCTAAACCTCCAAAAGCCGAGATTGTCTTAGATAGATTGCCATGCCGTACCTGTATCGAGTACAAGGGCCATGTATGTGATCGTCTCCTCTCAACTATTATATCAAACTAACCACCGCCTCCTTTTCAGATCAGCGAAATGACCGGCATCGAGTACTCTTTTGTCTACATGCCCAAGACCGGCAAGGTATGTCCTTTTACTTTTTCTCTCCTGTTAAGCTTTATTCCCTAGTTGCCAGGAGCTTGTTTGTTTTTCGATACCGTTCTCGGCTCTGGAGCGAACAAAAAAAGCGCATACTAACAGTTTATTTGAAGGTGCACTTAGGCAAGGACAAATACGGCAATGTCGTTTTCCCCTTGTGCGCTGATGAAGAGGACTTAGAGTCTACGGATTCGGAAACAGAGCAAGAAGATTTCCAACCACGGGTAGAAGTCAGACATACGACTGTCTCGACTCTTCAAAAATACCGACACGTACCAAACCCTCGAAAAGCCAAACGAAATGACGCGAGTTATTAGTGGGATCATGGGTTTCAATATAACAAGTGCGATCTATGTGCTTTACATGTCAGTGTCATAAGATATATGCCGTGTCAAAATAGCAGGGAACGGGGGATATATGGTTTCAGATTCACCGGTACAGGCCAGTTTTCAGCGATTTGATTTACGCTTGGGTTCGGGGATCATGATATCAAGATTATGAGTCTGAGGATCAGCTCTGCGCTGATATGCACATGGCTTCAGGGTTCTGAGAAAGGAATCACAATGTTAAGAATTGGCTGTGCGTTGATTTACACTCCGTTCGGGGGATCTGATATTAGGATGAAAGGTTTAGGGAATGGTTTTGCGTTGATGTATACTCGGTTCGGGGGATCTGATATCAAGAGGGAAAGCTCAAGGACTAGTTCTGCGTTGATCTTAGGCAAATATTGAAACATAATCAAAAAGTCATCTCAGAATTGATTCAGGTATTAAAGTGGATGTGAGTATGAGATTGAATACTTGTGTTTGAAGTCAAGAACTGTAGGTCATGAACCTCCACTTCGAGAGACGCTGATTCCTTGAATTTTCTTCAAAGTTCAAAACACCACATATAATTTGGCTGTGATCATCAAAACAGCTACAGCAAAGTCCCAAGGTGTTAGTTCATGTAAACCTCAATCATCAATCAAAGCTTTCACGTTCTACCGAAAGTAAGGCTAATAAGTTAGGCGTATTATCTCACCAGGTACATAATCATTTAGTTTTACCATGTATACAAGAGTAAATTCTCCTAAGCTTTAAAAAAAAAACTCCCAACACAGCAATTGCTTTTCCCTTCCAATTCAAAGATTTTACAAATCCTATTGTGCTTGAATTGCTTCAAAAGGTCAATTCAGATGACACTTGTTAGGATAATTTACTAACTTCATAGACACATTGACAGATATACCAATTATAAAGCACGAAACTTGTATCGATTTCAACAGTGGAAAAGCATTCTCCTCAACTTCCTGAGTACAAATACACAATCTATCTTAAAAGAAGTTTCTTGTATTCATTACACAAAGAGGAAATCCAACATGAAAAACTTCTGAATGTTGAACAATCTCACCAATCTCACGTCATGTAAGTTTAGAACATATTTGAATAGCTTTCCGAGTGACTTACATCTGACCAGATAAACTCAATTCAAAATCGAATGTCACAGCTGTCGACCTTCAGTACACAAGGCAAGTGTAAGAGGAATTTGACCAAGTACTCTTTTCATCCTACTATGGTTTATACAGAATTTGAAATGTCTTACACAAGAAAAATTAACGAAGTAAATTGTACTGTCATCTTGTCAGACTTCACAAGGGGTTGACAAATGCCTCGTTCACTAACAATGATATACACATTATGAGAAATCAAGTTGATTCAGGATATATCTTATTTCGACTGCCACTTGTTTTCCCTACCGCGAGATCGATCCGCATATCTACCACAAAACACAGATCAAAAGCATCACGGCCTAAATGAATTTCCGCGTCTATAGCGCAAGTTCTCATTATGTCTAAGATTTCGTGAAGCCTCATGATCGATACCCAATACACACCCGAACTCCAGAAAATCCTCTCGATCTAGCAGATTCTATCCATGTTCATAAATAAAAGTTCAAATGTCGTCTAGAAACCTCCCCTCCTCTCAGCGGCTGCTCACCCGTGTTCTTACAGGGTCGGAGCTCTCTTCAAGCCTTTACAGTACCTGACGTAAAGCTCGTCTAAGAAATGCTCGTGCCTAATGCCATTTGGTCTCTTGACCCTGAATTCCTCAATGGCGTCTTCGATAGTATAACCGCAACGCTCGATCAAATAACAAACCACGAAGAATCCGGTTCTGTTGAATCCATAATGGCAGTGTACACCGATATAAAATTCATCTCCCCAATTCTCAGAAACCTTTCGAGAAGGCTGCGATTTCCGAATATCATCAATCGCCCGTACGAATTCTGTAACTTCGGCTTCGCTAGGAGGAATTTTAGAAACAGTAGGGAACTTGTGATAAGTCACTCCATTCTTGGATAGATTCTTAGGATCGTAAACAGGCGCTTCATGTGAGATGTCTACGATATCCTTGATCTGGTTTCCCCATTCTTGACTGAATGTCACAGGGGAATGTGTCGGATCGACCTCTCGAAGGGTCTTCATGGCGCGAAAGATATCGTTTATAGGTTCGGAAACAGGAGGCACTGCTTTCCATTTCTCAACATTTTTTACATCCCATTTGCCCGATGAACTCAGGTATTGTAATTGCCACCCTAGGTCCAAACGAGGCGAGATCTGTTTAGATAGGAAATCGAAGATCAATCCTGCCAGGACGCGGACAGAGGTAGGCTGATAAAGCATAGCATGTGATGCTGGCTTCGGAAGGAGAGTAGTTTTTAAGAGTTGCTTTCTTGAGTATTGTTGTGGTGGGAGGGTAAAAGTATTGCGGGTATTCGATGGGTCTGCGCTGGAATCTTCTGTTGTAGGTTCCTTGTTGGCTAAGAAGTCCTCTGCCCGGATGGACGATATCGTCCGGTCCTGAGCAGAGCTTGACTTGTGATCAATAACGGTGGTAGCGGAGTCAGTAACTGGCTTGCTGTTGGCAGCTAGTTCCCTACTTGCACCTCCCTGTCCAAGAAATGAAGCTATCTTAGTGATATTGTCTGGCTTCGTGACGTGGTCATCTTCTCCAGCGATCAAGAATATGGGTACACGTAGATTGGCCCATGTGTCTTTGCCTGGTAGCCCACCCTTCGCAACTCCATTCTCATATCTCGGCAAAGTGCCAAAGGCCATTCTCCTCCAGACCGGTGTCTTACTCTGGTTGTTAAACCGATATTGAAGTAATTTGGTCGTCACGTCTGCATCTGGTCCCACGAATCGCCGTACGCTTATACTGTCCTTTCCGCCTCGTCTGTCCCACCGTCGCCAAAGATCAAATACTGGCGAGGGAATCCAGAGTAGCTTCGTGAATGTCGCTACTTCCTTCTCTGTCGGTGGCTCAGCGCGGGGACATATTGCAATTAGTCCAATAACATGTTCTGCTACGGAATTTGGCACCAGATCTTTCGAAGCGACCATGGCTGCTAAAGAACAACCCAGTGAGTGACCAATAAGTACAACTCCTTGTCCGGTAACCCTATGCTTGGAAATAACTACACTAATCAACTCGGCCATATTTTCCATTGTGTATGCGCCCCAAGCTTGCTGGTCAAATGCCGAAAGCCCGCATCCTGGCAAATCGATAGCTAGCGATGATGCTACGTTGACTAAACTCGCTAATAGGGGATCGAATTGAGCGACAGACCCTCCTAGTCCGTGTAGGAAGACGAGGAGAGGCAAGGGAACGGGATCAGTAGGTAATTTCGTAAACTGTGGATGCTCACGGAAAAACACTCGAAGGTTAGGGTATTCGTATCGACTCGTGGAGTATGTTTGTACTTTGGAGTGCTTCTTTAGCAGACCGGACTCTACAGCTTCTGCGTCTACAGCGACATTAGTGATAATGCGAAGAAACTCTAGCGAGCAATAGCTTACCTGTATCAGTACTGCTGTCAACGGTAGTTTCTTTCTTGGTCTGGCTAGACATGCTGTCGGCAGCATCTAAGGGCGGCGCGCTCAAACCCATCCATCTTCGGGCCAGCCAGAATATCAAGATAGGCACCAAGCTACCGACAATTGGCAGATATAGCTGCTGTAATTTCGACATAACCAACATGATTGAGCTATCAATCCCCATTGGCGTATTAGAAGCTAGAACGATAGTACGGTCTGCCAGAGTAGGCATTGCGAAGAGGAGAGGAGAGAAAAAAGACATGGCAGAAAAGTTGACATATCAGCCATTAGGCGCGATCGCTCGGGAGGTGGTACAAACATGAAGTGACTATCGCAGCTTCAAGGTCAATACAAAATAGATAGTGTAGGAGCAGGCCTTGAATAATATCAGAGCTCAGGGACTAAACGGCGAGCTTGAATGTTATGCTCGGTTGTAAGAAATATTTGACCAGAGAAACTTGAAAACAGACCCTCGTGCTGTGAATGCGTCATCGGGTTGGAGTAGAGAAATCGCACTTCTAAGGAGGGTAGCACAGAAACAGCACCATGTTGATATGTACGCTTGGCCTGAGGTATTGAGTCAAGGATTTGTATGAAGATATACTCGCATGTGTCGGTGCAATGAAAGTGAACGCATGTGCAGTTCCTGGTTTGGGCAGACGATTGTAGCTGCGCCGGAGCCTGTTTGAGGGTGTCGGGTGGATTAGCATTTTTCCGGTCGTAGTTGTCATCTCACGAGTCACGACGGAGGAGGATCTCCAGTTGGCAGCTGGACACATCGAGACTGATTGTAACATCTGCAAACAAGATCGATTTCCTTGACTACGTTTGCTGCCGATGTCGGAGTGCATCATCTCCATTGTTGCTACTGGGACGGAAGCCACGATACTTCTTAGCCACCTCACCACCGTTGAACTTGAGCTGTCATCAGCTCTACGCTCTATGGCTATTCAACATGCGTACTCGCGCTACCTTCCGTGGTGGTTCGTTAGGTGCGTCGCAGCCGTGGCCGAACCGCGGGGTTGTACAAAGGTAAATATCTGTCTAAGTCACAACTGGGTACAAGTACTGTACCTTTTCGACCAGGGACTCTGCCTTTTCAATCGTCGAATCTTAAACAAATTTTATCGTCTTAAGATTTTATAATTGCTACAACAATCACTTCATACGGGGGATCTCAGTCACAATACTTACATTGACACTAATATTTAGCTACCCCACAACTTAGACCGGTGTTCTTCCCGAGTTCTTCTTTCATTGCAACTTCATCCCTATTCTTTTCACTCAAGTCAAGAATCTCATCATGGAGCCCTCAAACTATACCGATATTCCAGACGAACCTAGATACATTAGTTTCCCCAGCGTAGAACCGGGCACAAAAACTTCTGATGGCAAGCAAGTCTTGAATAGATGGAGCTCAACCATAACTAGAGGTAACAGTAAACTTCTATCTCACTCCGAGTGCAACGCTTACAATCTTGCATAGAACATGATTTCCCAGGTTATAAAACTCGACTAGCTATTAGTTAAGAGAGATCAATACTAATCCGAATCAAAGGCGCTCAAGCCATGCTGTACGCAGCTGGCATTCCGGATAGAATGTCCATGAAAACTTCCCCTCATGTGGGTATATCAAGTGTTTGGTGGGAAGGCAACCCTTGCAAGTTAGAATTATTTCACCCTAACTCCAGTGCTTTAGTTGACTTTAATTAGTATGCACTGTATGTGAATCGTTGTAGAGATTCTCGAAGCTTAGATTGACTCTGGTAGTAAACGATCTGGGGAAAATTGTCAAGCAGGCTGTTCAGAAACAGGGTATGCTCGCATGGCAATTCAATACCATTGGTGTCTCCGACGCGAGTAAGTACATCTAAGTATAACATAACCCAAAATGGGTCGTATTAGCCTTTCAATCACTCCGTGTTCTTGGCTGACCCAGAATAGTTACTATGGGAGGCGAAGGTGTGTGGAAATTGTTATCAAGCCAAGTATATACTGACTTCACCGAGGAATGCGATTCTCGTTGCAGACGAGAGAAATCATTGCCGATTCAATAGAAACAGTGTAAGTGCTCTCAATATGCTTCTCTTAGCCCCATGCCAGCCTACTATCAATTAAACGACAAGTGACACAAATCTCACTCCAACATATCTATCACTGGTGGTTAACAAAAAGATAGAACATGCGCTCAGCATCATGATGCAAACATTTCTATCCCTGGCTGCGATAAAAACATGCCTGGAGTCATCATGGCCGCAGCCAGGCATAATCGACCATTTCTAATGATCTATGGTGGTTCAATCAAAAAAGGACACTCCAAACTTCTGAACAAAAACGTAAACATCAGTACATGTTACGAAGCAGCAGGCGCATTTGCATATAATAGACTCCAACCAACTGAAGAATACGCTAACAAGGGATGCACAGCCAGTGACGTGATGGAAGATCTGGAGAGGCACGCATGCCCTGGAGCTGTAAGTTTCCCAACTCGACCGCGTTACAGGATCTAACAGTCATGTTCTAGGGAGCTGTAAGTTTTCCAACTAGGCCCCATAATAGGCTCTAACAGTCATGTTCCAAACAGTGCGGAGGTATGTACACTGCAAACACGATGTCGACAGCAATCGAGGCGATGGGTCTATGCCTTCCTGGTTCATCCTCTAATCCAGCTGAATCTCCTGCGAAGATGCGTGAGTGTGAGAACGCTGCTGAAGCAATACGGATTTGCATGGAGAAGAACATCAGGCCCAGAGACCTGTTGACCAAAGAGTCATTTGAAAATGCTCTTGTCATAACCATGGCTCTAGGAGGTAGCACGAACGGGGTTCTTCACTTCTTAGCAATGGCAGGTACAGCAGAGGTGCCACTCACTCTAGACGATGTGCAAAGAGTAAGCGATAAAATACCTTTTCTTGCGGACCTTGCGCCGTCTGGAAAGTTCTTGATGGAGGATCTTTTCGAAATCGGAGGAACGCCTTCAGTCCTGAAGCTCCTCGTCGCTGCCGGACTCATCAATGGCAACATACCTACTGTTACAGGAAAGACTCTAGCAGAGAATATAGAACCTTTCCCATCTTTGCCGGCTGATCAGAAGATCATTAGACCTTTGTCAAATCCAATCAAGAAGACCGGCCATCTCCAGATCTTGAGGGGCAATCTAAGTCCTGGAGGAGCTGTTGCTAAGATCACTGGAAAGGAGGGCTTGACCTTCACTGGAAAGGCTCGTGTTTTTAACAAGGAACACGAGCTTGATAATGCTCTCACTAAGGGCCAAATCCCTCATGGAGAGAATCTGGTTTTAATCGTCAGATATGAAGGTCCGAAAGGTGGTCCAGGTATGCCAGAGCAGTTAAAGTCGTCAGCTGCCATTATGGGAGCAGGATTGACGAACGTTGCACTTGTAACGGATGGCCGCTATTCTGGAGCAAGCCACGGGTTCATTGTTGGCCATGTTGTGCCAGAAGCTGCTGGTAAGTGCTGCGGATTGAACTGTCTTATAGCAGATTTTCTTCAAATGGTATGCTAACGAAGTGTAGTTGGCGGACCTATCGCAATTGTTCAGGATGGAGATATTGTTACTATTTCAGCAGAGACTAACACTCTCAGTATGCATGTTAGTGATGATGAAATTGCCGCTCGAATGAAAGCTTGGAAACCACCAAAGAGTGTTGTGAATCGAGGAGTGTTAGCGAAGTATGCCAAGTTGGTGGGCGATGCCAGTCACGGAGCCATGACCGATTTATTCTGATCTCTAGAGTTTTATCGAACAACTATCATTGTTTAGATTTTATACAATGGATACAGAAATTTGACATTGACTCCTTGATCCTCGATGTTCATATCTTGATAATAGGAAATAATGATCACGTGTTGATATTTACATGACGTCCTCGAGCTGCATCGTGCTTCTCATAGGTACTTTAAATTTCAGAACTGCGACATTGACACTACAAACATTCGCAGCTATTGTCCATCAGCCACATCGCATCTCAGAACCTCGCAGCATACCAGTCTTAATCACATCGGAACAATGCCATCTCTCCGTCCATCAATTGCCCGGCCCACGATCAGGGACCTAACAACTTACCTCTTCTCACCACCACAAGCACGCTGCCTCTCCGCTCTCCAACGACCTCTCACCCGACGCTCACCTCAAACACACACATCTCTCCCCCCGCGAACCTTCACTACCAGTCATATCCTGCTAAATGCCTCCTCCCACGCACCTAAATCTCACGACCGCGGTCCAACCAGCAAAGAAGACACCCAGACAGACTTTGGGGCTCTCAACGTACTAGGCAACACGCCCGCGCCGAGCACCAGCATAGATGCCTGCGCCTGGGATGGCTTCCATCTGAACAACGGCGTCAAGATCATAGGCGGGAAGGGCATATTATTGGTCAATGGCGAGGCGTTTGAATGGAGTCCCTGGTTAGGAGGCGGGCACACAGCAATGGAATTGGTGAACGCGAAGGGGCAATGGGATGTCAGTGATGAGGCGTGGGGATTGCTTGATCTGGTGTGGCCGAAACCTGGTTTGTGCTAATTTCCAAAACTGATGACTGCACCTATTCTAACATAGGAGTTTAGATCTTCTCATCCTCGGTTTAGGCAAGGAAATGCGACCTATATCCCCGAAGACGAGACAGTTCATCAACAGTTTGGGCATCAGGGTGGATGTGCAGGATACGAGAAATGCGGCTGCACAGTTTAATTTGTTGGCGACGGAGAGGGGAGTTAGTAGTATTGCGGCGGCGATGATTCCAATTGGGTGGAAGGAGGGGGTTGGATGTGCGTGAACGATCTGACGAACGAGATGCCTAGCGGTGGTTGAAGATGAAAGATAGTAGAGTGTTGGCAGATATGTTCGAGGACTGTGCACAGTGGATATGTATGCCAGCTATGTCCAATATGAAAGTATGCATCTCGGATGCACATACAAGACACGTTTATTAACATGATATGTATATATCGGATCGTTTGAGTTCACATAGCTGGGTGCACATACACGATGATGCTTTTAGTTAAATGTACAATTTCGGACATGTACAAAACCATTCTATACTAAATATGTCCATAAGCCCAAATGAAGGACTAAAACACTCTGTACGCCATTTTGTATTTCCCAAGGACTGAGATCCTGAACATCAATCTAAACTCCTGCCTCCGCTTACCCAACAAACAAAATGTAAATGTCACAGTCTACAACATCGCTCTCCCCTCCGCATTTCCTTTCCACCCAGCTTCCATAGCAATCAATTCAGCCGCTCTCTCGCCCACAGCCAAGACTGTCAACATAGGATTGATACTTGTCATCGTGGGGAAGACACCCGCATCAGCAATCCTCAGATTGCTCATGCCTCTAACCTTTAACTTCTCATCTACAACAGCGAGCTCGTCGGTATCGGCTCCCATCTTAGTCGTTCCGGCAGGATGGTAGACAGTGTGAGCCACGCTTCTGGCATATGCGGAAAGCTCCTCATCGGTTTGAACCTTTGGGCCTGGTGCTACTTCTCGAGCCAGCCAGTTGGAAAAAGGTGCCTCCGATGCGATTTTGCGAGCTGCTTTCATACCTGTTACAAGTGTCGCAGCGTCGTATCCTTCTGGGTCTGTGAAATAGCGGAAGTCGAGGGCGGGTTTGACGGAGGCATCAGATGAGGTGAGGTAAATTCTTCCGCGGGATCGAGGACGAGGGATGTTAGGCGTCATACAGAAAGCGTTCAGAGGAACATCGTAACCGAGACGAGCAGTGTTGAGACAGAAAGGAATTTGGTAGCAGTGCATCATTATATCTGCGATCTTGCCGTCTGCGAGCCCTTTCGGATTAGTCGCTGGATCTCTGTGGCTCGTTGCCGCGTCTGGAGCTTCACGACGGAGGAAGATGCCGGCATCTGAGTCCATTGTGGTTTGCGGTGGAACGGCAGTGTTGAGCTCCCACATGATGATCGACTCTGGGTGATCAATTAGGTTTTCTCCAACACCTGGAAGATCATGAACGACTGGAATGTCAAGGCTATTCAATTGCTCCTTTGGCCCAATTCCAGATAAAAGCATCAGACGAGGGGTATCGACTGCTCCAGCACAAAGAATGGTCTCGATTTTTGGGGTCAGGGTGAACTTGGCGCCAGACTTGAGTGTCACATCTACACCTGTAGCTTTCTTATTGGAGCTGTTGATTTTGCTGACCCACGCACCGGTGAGAATCGTGAGGTTGGGTCTGTTCTCTGACCCTCGAAGAATTGGATGGATGTATGCTACTGACGCGGAGCTTCGTCGTCCATCATCTGGATTGTACGAAACGGAAAAGAACCCAACTCCCTCCTCTAGACTGCCAGTCTCTCGAATCTGGTGGTTGAAGTCATGGATGACAGGTATGTTCATAGCTGTAGAGGATGATTTGACCCAGTCTTTGCATATTTGGTTTCGGTGACGGTTATGTACTGGCTGGATCGAGTTTCGAAGGTTGTCCACCAGGCGCATCATTGTTTTGAAACTCCATCCTTTGCAACCTAAGCTTTCCCATACCTGGCAATCGTATTCGAAAGGTCGGAAGGAGATGAGGGTATTGTGTGATGAACAGCCACCAAGCACCTTGGCTCTGGAGTGTCTAATATGTGAGTTTCCTGTACGCGATCAATTTGGATTTTCGGTGATACAGCATAAAAGCTTACCATTGGGCTGCTCTGTAGTTCCATAGTCGTAGTCCAGATCCCCTCCGAGTAAGGAGAGCCATTCTTTCAACTTCAGTACTCGATCATCATTATAGTCGCTTGGCCCAGCTTCGATCATAAGAATTTTCTTATGAGGTAGGTATTCTGAAAGTCGCGAGGCAATCACGCAACCGGCTGTGCCACCACCGACAATGACATAGTCAAAGTCTTTGACTTGCGAAGAGGAAATAACCTCAGTAGTCATTTTGGATATCTATATTCTTTTCGCTGTAGGGAATGTTGTAGGCCGTGTTCGTCGCTAACGGTTTTGTTTAATTGAGCTCCAGTAATTGCGAAATGTCTTCCTGCCTTCCCAAGCTTCAATAGCTGCGTTGCGGACAGTCGTGTTATCACAACAGCGATAAGAAAATTTAATTGAGAGCTAGCTGAGTTCGTCTAGAAGATGTGGAGGGGTGGATTACGTGCTTAGAAGAGGCAATGACTTAGTGCAAAGAGGGTATAGATGCCGCAAGACTTCGTCGATTAGTCTGATCTAAGAGGAAAGAAGCTAGATGAATATAGAGTGGAAAGATGTGGTCCAGTGAACAAAGAGAAGAAAACTTAGGTAGTAGATTGAACACTCATCTCCTCTTGTACAAGAGTCCAGATAAAGTTTTCCCTCGTCACAGCCAAGTGAGTAGTATCTGTCCTTCAACCGGAAGGGAGCATTTGTCTTCTAGTAAGGTAACGGGAATATCCTTGGCGATGATGATTGCGTTGTCCAATCTGCTCATTACTGTAGGACATGGATGAATAAGAATAGGAGCGTTTTTGTAAAGTTTTTTCATCAACAAACGACCCCAGCACAGAACCCTGGGAGGTCTGCTAGGGTGGCATGATGTGATACTGTCCAACCCCGCCATGGATCACGCTCGGAATGCCGTTGCCCCTCCATTCCAAAGCTCATAGCAGCATACTTGTACCTAGCTGAACAATTTTGTGGTGCAACACACTTAAGTGGTAATTTTGCAATTAGGAAGTTGAACTATAGCACTTATCGGAGCAATTTGCATTCATCATTCACTCCTCTATTGTCATTTGATTGCTTCAGCAAGTCACCTCTATCCGCCGCTTTATTATCAGTCCCCTTCGGCATTACTATGGCTTCCGTGAACACGCCGTTTCCAAATCCGGTCCTCTTTTCCTTACAGTTGCACGACTCAAACTCAGTTCCAGCCAAAAAAAAAAGCTTTAAATCCTGCAACTCGCCATCACCGCTGACTCCAGTCGGACAAGCCCGATGATCTGAAGAAATCTTCCTTGTTAGGACATGACAAGCTATCTACCCGCGCTTCCTCTTGCAGTCTATTTGCTCCAGGATCGATACTGACAACTCCTGAGTCGCGAGCTCTTGCTGCTTAGAGCTCTGTTTGCCGGCTCCTCAATTATTATCACTCCACTTGCTATAACCTCTCAATTGCTTTTGCACTAACCTTCAGCACGTAGGGAGACAAGCAAGAGTCCCCAGAGTCAGCTCAACATGCAATACGCTACTCAGAAACTATTCTACAACGGCGATGCCCAAGCCAGCACGTCAGGCAAAACATTTACAACTATCGATCCATCCACCGCTCAACCCGTAGCAACTATTCACACCGCTTCAGAAAAGGATGTTGATGCGGCAATAGCTTCAGGTCGAGCGGCTTTCCGTTCGTGGTCACAGACACCGCCTCTCGTACGATCCCGAATTCTTCTCAAAGCCGTATCATTGCTGCGCGAGCGAAATGACCGTATCGCCGAGGTCGAAACACACGATACTGGGAAACCTTTTTCGGAGACAAGCACAGTCGATGTTGTCACGGGCGCTGATGTGCTCGAATACTTTGCTAATTTGGTTGCGAGTGGGGGGTTAAATGGGGAGACTACACAACTGCGACCGGATGCTTGGATATACACAAAGAAGGAGGCATTGGGTGTATGCGCAGGAATTGGAGCCTGGAATTATCCCATTCAAATTGCTTTATGGAAGTCGGCGCCATGCTTGGCGGCAGGAAACTGCATGGTGTACAAACCATCTGAAGTCACACCTTTACATGGACAGGTATTAGCACAGGTATATGCTGAAGCAGGCCTCCCGCCTGGAGTGTTCAACGTCGTTCATGGTGACGGTGCTGTTGGAGGTTACCTCACGCAACATCCTGGGATCGCCAAAGTGAGTTTTACGGGCCAAGTATCAACTGGTGCGAAAGTCGCTGCTTCAGCCGCTGGCGGCATGAAATACGTAACAATGGAACTTGGAGGAAAAAGTCCTTGCATCATCCTCCCAGATGCCGACTTGGAAAACGCCGTAGACGGAGCAATGATGGCAAACTTCTTCTCCACTGGTCAGGTGTGTACGAACGGAACTCGAGTATTTGTACCGAAAAACATAAAATCTGCTTTTGAGAAACGACTTCTCGAGAAGATGCCATACATTCGATCACTTGAACCAATGGATCCAAATAGTAACTTCGGGCCATTGGTTTCCCAAATACACTATAAGAAAGTCCTAGGCTATATTGAGCATGGCATTAGGGTCGACAAAGCGACTCTACTATACGGTGGCCCTACTAAACCATTTTCGATCCCGAAAGGCTATGAGAATGGTCTCTGGGTACAACCGACGGTCTTCACGGACTGTACCGACGACATGAAAATCACAACCGAAGAAATATTCGGCCCGGTCCTATGCATCCTCTACTACGACACCGTCGATGAAGTTGTCAAGCGTGCTAACAACACCAAGATGGGTCTTGCAGCCGGTGTATTTGGTAAAGACATCAATCAATGTCATGATGTGATTAGCAAGCTCGAAGCTGGTATTACCTGGATTAATACATGGGGCGAGAGTCCGGCGGAAATGAGTGTTGGAGGATGGAAATTGAGTGGTGTTGGTGTAGAGAATGGGAGGAGAGGATTGAGTGCTTGGGTTAGAGAGAAGAGTACTCTTGTTGAGGGAGGTGGCATTGTAGGCACTGTGTTTTCGAAATTGTGAGGTCGCATTAGATAGACCGTTGCGGAATGTATATTATATTACTCAAAATTCGCCTAATGCTGCGCACTATACGACCGTACTCTGGGCTTTATAACGTGCTACTTCTCTCTGAAAGTAATAATACAGCCAGGTTCGGATCCAAGCTTTGGGACATAAATCGGTAGTCTCGAGAAGTGCAGGTCACAATTTTTTGTTCTTCGAGAAAAGGGGTCGAAAAGAAAAACCGAAGTCGAGTAGAAAGGGATGTATATTGGTTAATCATACATACCATGAAGTGTGCCATGTCTGGCGGACTGGCATGGACGGCAGTCTGTAAATTGTCCAGCGTCGTCTGTCACATGCATCACGAAAGAGCATGAACATGAACCTGCCATCTGTGATATACCTAGCATATGTATAAACTAGTTTCTTCTATATTGCAACCCACAACTACCCGTAAACTCCGCGCTAAATTTCAAAGTCTTCCGCCCGATGACATATGTGAGCGCAGCTTGGCCATCCGAGCTGTCTAAGAATGTGTGAACGAAGAGTTGTGTTAAAGTGGTCGAAATAATTTATAATTCAGCTCAGCTCCGACTCTTCCTCGACGTTGATGGCTTTTTGATCCCCGTGACTTGAATCGTACCATTCGCCGTGAACCCAACCTACAATGAGCCCTTGGGCTGCTTTTGTAAGGTCCTGATAGCCTGGGTTGTCTTTAGGAAAGAACATTGCTACTTCCAATCAGCCTAAAACGCCTAGATTATCGAACAGCAAGGACTTACTCATATGTGCACCCGGTTCATCACTGGCCATATCATTGATGGCTTCTCTCCAAAACAACTTCGCCTCACTCCTAGGTAACGAACAGAAAGTCCTCTGATTCCCAACCACACCTCCAACCAAACTACCCGTCTCCTTACTGACCGCCTTCTTCCCCAGCCGCGTATATAAATTCGCCCATCCAACATTCATCTCCTTATTCAGCGTCACCATCCCCGCAACCCTCTTCTTCAACTCCTCCCCCCTCATCAAACATCCCACAAACTCCAAATGCGACCCAACCCACCCCCACCCCTCACTAATCCTATCTCGATTTACAAACGCCGCAGCCCCAGCACCTGCTACAGCCGCCGCTCCTCCAGCCGCAAGCGCGATCTTCCCCCATCTCGCCCACGGCGACGCAGGAATCTCTGGCGCTGGCAGAGCTTTCGGAGCTTCCTTCGGTTTCTCCTTCTTCGTCGCCTCTGCAGAAGCGTTTGCGCCCCACAGCGCACCGCTTAAACCGCTTAACTGCGCGAATGCGGAGCTCGCAGTATTGTATTTTTCTTCCGCACCGTGTGCTACCACGCCGGGCGCGATACCAAGGTATGGGGTATCGAAGGCTAGAACACCTTGGATGTAGGGGAACATGAGGGTGTTGAGTGGTGTGGAGGTGTTCGGGGGGAGGACTGTAGAAGAGCTGTCGCCGGAATCGATGGGTTGGTCTGCTGTGAGGGATAGGATTGCGTCTGCGGCGACGATGCCGCCCATGGAGTGGCCGATCAAGATTACATGTACGGAGGGATCGATGGTTGGGGATGGGGTGTGCGAGGTTACTTCGATGTCGATGACTTTCTCCAGAAGCCTGCCTTCGTGTAAGTAGTAATTTCCTCCAGATAAAATTTAAAATACCAATCCCTAAACCTATTTACACACTCCCCAAGATCGCCTCGAGTCTCGAACTTGGGATACACAATCGCCTGAACATCGACTTTTGGAAGCCCCTCGGCAACCAACGTCTTGAGGTTGGCAGGAAACTCTCCAAAGGTGTTGTCGTCTCCTTTAAAGCCGTGTATGAAACACAGCAAGAGCGTTTTCTTCATGGCGGATATGTTTGCATTGTATGCGTGTAGCAAATGACCATGTACGAGGACGTTTTCTAGAAGCTTGTCAGCCTGTCAGACACCCCACCGCTGGCGCCCCGGTTTGATTCATGACATAACTTGTCGCTTGTGATCTTGGCAGTGCTTGCCTAAAAAGGGGTTGAGTGACCAGGTGGTGCACCAGGTGGAAGATTAATCTGACAGATGAGAGACTGAATAACTTTTACAGTAAAACCAAAGAGTGATGAATCTCTCAGGGCCATTATGGCATTCTCTTTCAGTCAATGATGACATAAATTCATACTATTGGCAGCATATTTGAGTACTACGACTTGTGTAAGTTGTATTCACATAACAGGGCTATGGGTTAGTGTTAGTTAATAAATAAATGGCCTAAGTATGCCTAAAACTCTTCTCGAGGAACATTTTGTTACTATATCCCAAAGGACTACCTAGATTCAGCTCTAATAAATGCCCATATATTGGATGACTATGTGGAATTTACCTGCGTTCGCATGTGAAGGTCGGCGCTGGAATCAATACTATCATTCTGAAATTACAAGATGTGATGAAAAATTAATAGTATTACACCACCCACATACTCTTGCAAGCGTGATGCTCCAAATTTTATCTGTCTATAGACTACAATACATCTTGTCGTAATTGTCACTCCTCTGATTTTCCTCTAGCTAACCTTTGTGCATAATATTATGACTATCAAAGAGCAAAATCTGGTCCGATTCTCCAATTCCTTATATAAAGCTCTTTTGAGAGAGAAAAGCCACTGAAAGACACCACTGGATCCATCGTTCGTGTACTGTCCATCTTAAGCACCCAAAGCGATCGACTTCATATATAACCCCTCCCAGCTGCCTGCATCACTTATTAGCCTAGAACTTAAAAACAGATAACACTAACTCACTCTGATTAATTCTCTTCTCTTCACATTATGCGCTTCCACGGTAGCAGCACTCGCATCCACAATTTCCACCCCCGCAACCTTCACCGCAGAAGCATGAGTTCGGCTTTTAGCACCACTTCCCAAAGCAATAGCGTGTTCTATATCGCTCTGATTGAAGTGAATGAAACAGCCTGGGGCGGTATCAAAATTGCGGTTGCAGATCGGACATAGAAGGATATAGTATTTTCCTGGGCCTCGGGTTCTGGATCGTGCTGGGAACTCAGTGATCTGTGATAGGATTGGGATCATGGACATTGTTGTCTTTCGGGGTATGAGTATTTGTGCGTTGGTCGAGTGATCGGTGATCTTTGTTGGAGCTGGAGGAGCTGGGGGGGTTAAAAGTGCAGCATGTGCTGAAAAAGCAGGAGGTACTGAAAAATCTGGAGGAGGTACTGCATTCGAGGATTGGTAGGTTTGTACTGGTGTATTTTCTGGGATCCGAGGGATTGGTGAGGACGCGTTGAATTCCTGAAGTAAATCTCCGAGTTGTTTGGTCGTTTGCTTCTCATATGCTTCGGTGTAGGGATGACTGAATACCGGTGGGAAGCTCGTGTTATGCTGTGCTTGTATCCTGAGGACCTTTGTATCTGGAAGGATGTTTGGCTCCGTTCGTATCTCTGTAAAGGGGCAGGGCCGCTTGAGAGGGCTAGCATTTGCGGTGAAAGCAGGCGGACATGGCGCTTGCATATAATGTTGCGATCCTAAACAGGACGGAGGCGTCTGGAGAATATAACGACCGTGTGGCGATACATATTGCTTTGAGTCTTCGCGTAGGCACGATGCAAGAACCTCGTTGATGGTATCAGAAACATCCTTCGTCGATGTCTCGAACAGAAGCCTACTCAGTTTCTGTAAATTTTGCGACTGCGCTCTGAAGATCTCAGTATCTTCTAGGTAGGATTTCTGGTGAAGTTCCATGATCGTCTTTACTACATCTGATGGCAAACTTTTAAGATCTCCTTCCATTGCTTCAACTCGTCTTTTGCGATTTGCGTCCATAATCTTTTCGGTTGCGAGCTTGTGTTCTTCCCACGCCTTGCAGAACCCCGCCCAATTATCTTCGTTTGGCTTGATGTCGATGGTGATGGAAGCCATAGTGTAGGTTATGCAAATCTTTTCTGTTTGATATCCAATCCCCTAATCTTTTGGCAGTAGCGCGTAACCCAGATGCGAGCATGAACACGTCGTTCGCAATCTGCGGAAGTTCTAAAGAAAATGAGTTTTAGTGTACGCGAAGGTTTTGCGGATTGGCTTGCCTGTGTAAATGATTTGAAGGTGAATTCCAGATGTAATATGGAATTGTGTGTTAGTAGCAGTCCGTTGTAAATGTAAGCTGTTGCTTATAATCTATGGCTACATTAGTACTTTAATTGCGTGTTGGAGCCTGAAGAGGCAACTATTCATCATGGAGAAGATGCTCAGTTGTACATCCTCGGTCACTTCAAAGCGAGAAGTTCTAACTTTGAAAGATGACGAATAACAAGTTCGGATGTATCACTTGAGGAAGGTGCGTCCCGTTCTCATCTGAGCTTCAAAAAATATTGCTAAAGAATAGTGAATGTGATACCCAAGATATTATGTTCGGCTCCTGCTCTACTGAAAACAAGTACTTCGGATATTTGTTTACAGATAAGTCTGACAACATCAACATGTGTTCATTTGGGGACATTGTGCGCAAAAGCGCAATTTTTGTGGTCACAGTAAACAGAGGGTAAACACAAATCTCCGCTCCAAGATCGTTTCAATTATCTCCAGAGTCTATCTTAACCTACACGATATACATCCTATCCTTCACAGCTCTTACTCAATCTCAGAGTAGGGAGCTCTCTCCTCTGAACCCACAGAGTGATCTCCTCGTATCGAGTCACCTCTCTTCTTTAAACGGCGCAAGAAAAATGCAAATGCAAAACGCGGTCGGAGGATTGCTTCCTACCCCAATGCGTGCCCATAAACTCCGGTCCATGCAATTATGGTATAATAAGCACCGTTTTCTCAAACCTTGGAGAGAACGAATGTAAGTGCTGGATTGAAAAAAAAAAACGCCCTTAGAAATGCAATGTAATGTGGTGGCGCGAACCAAATGTCTTTGTCGAGGCTCATGTTTTTGCTTTTTGAGCATTAATGAGTAGTATATACGTGGCCTTCAACGTACGACGACCCTGTTGGTGGATCTAAGAAATTCGAATTTAGGTCAGACTAGGCAAGGAACTTTGGTTGTGGTATTGGAAGGACAGGGTAATGTTGATAGTGGCCATGCGAAGAATACTCTGGGACTACGCCAGGCCGGTAGTCATTCCTTCGCCCAAGAGGTTGGTAATGCATCTGGTCAAGATTGGCGGAATAGCCATGCATTGCGGCCGAAGGTGGTGGGTAGAGCAGCGTCTTCACATTTCGTATTGGCTTATATGGAGAATTGCGTTGTTGAAGATAGCAAGAAGGAGAAACGTGCCCCGGATTGTGACCTGGGAAATTGCCAGAGATAGGGGAAGAGCCTAATGACAGAAGATCATGGACCGAGTGTGGACTTGTCCGGCGAGAGGGGGTGGTGTAGCCATTTGCACTTGGCGTCCCATGCTGGCTTGGTGGACCGGTAGGTGTCAATACTGGCCACGACGGTGTTGAAGAATAGACTGAAGACATCGATCGACCATTAAGCGGTGGCAGTAAGGGAGCAGCGTCTGACGAGCCTGCGCTGTTGTTATAATTACTGCTCATAGGCTGATTCGTCGATATCGTAAGGTTGGGAACTGGCAATCGAGGAAGATCAGGCCGCATAGCGGGTTGGCTAAGGTTATAGGATGATGAGCTAGTTGTTGGGGGTCTCGTCACTCGCTTGGCAACCGACTCTTCCGAATCACCATCATAACTTCGCTTTCGAGCAGATGATCGTAGGTCAAGCTCGGGTATCATATGTGCAGGAGAGGGTAAAGGAGCCATATAGCTGCTGCTGGCTGATAAGTGCGGGCGATATGGACTGCTCATAGAAGATGTATATCCACTAGTCAAGGACGGCGGCGAATTTTGCATCGAGGTTGGTGGTGAAGGTAGCGTTGGTTGCAAGTGTGTCGGGGGGGATATTTGAGGCAATGGTGCCCTGGCGGCCGCGTCGCAGTAAATCCAAAACTGAGCCAATTTTTCCTGCCAGTCCTGCCACTGCTCTTTTGATGCTAACAAACTATATCTCATGTTGCTCAGAAATTCAACTTCCATAACGTGTATTTCTGTAACCGATATGCCCGAGACTTCTGCCCATGTCTTGTTCGTGTAGGTGTTGTCATCCAGGACTGAAATTATGTTAACGAGTCCGTCTTCGAAGATCCAAGTTACGACACTTACATTTGTTTCCCAACATCAACGCAACAGTCAGCAACCGGTATTCGCTTCCGCTTCGCCCTTTAACTGTTGGGTTGATCTTTTTCAATCGGTAGATAAACAGCAGAGCAAGGATAATAACCTCTGGCGAAACCTGTGTGGTCGAGAGAATAGAAACAACCCATTTCCGGAAACCACTCGATGGCACCGCCTCGCCTTTCAACCGTTTTACCACCGTTGTACTTGATACTGTCTCAGCCAATTTTAGTGTTTCGGTTGACTCAAACCAAAATAAGCATGTAATCTACGTGATGTTAGTAGGAGGAGGTTGAAACATCGAATAAACAAGTGCTTCCTCACCTGTGCAGCAAACTCGGCTAGACTTCCACCGCTATTGTTTATCGAAGAGGGTATTTGAAACGATTTGGCTACTACATCTCCGCTGGAGCTAGATCGTCGGGTTTCATCGGATCGAGAAAGGGTGACGAAGTCCGTCAAAGGGGCACTCTGCACCAAATCTGGTACTCTGTACGGTGGGTGCGAGGAGACGTGGGTTTCGTTACGCATTGTAGAGGGTAAAGGTGGCGGTAGATGATTCAGAGAGGAATGCGGTACTGAGTACGGTCGTCCTTGAGTGCTACTTCCAGAACGTGCCCCAGCATAGTTGCTCTGCACTCCTCCATGATTTGAATATGTGTCTGGCCGGCTCTCGTATTGATTATACCGCGATGATTGATACGTAGTTCCCATATCGTCTGCCGGCGGAGTAGGTAGACCGTCCCTCACTGGCGCCTCAAGGTACACCGGATGTCGTTGAGACTGCAGAGTCCCAATGTCTTTCCGTCGGTCAATGCTGAAAGCTGCGTGTACGTGTGGCAGAGGGAAGTTGAGAGGAGCCGGCCTTGTAGCAGTTTGATGCATGGAGACAACGGCTTGAGGTAGAGATAAATGCCCTTTTGTTCGGAAACCTGGGTTACTGATTCAGATCGAAGGTGATGTACGAGAAATCTTGTAACGTCGAGACTTTTTGAATTATTCCACTTCCAGAGCTTCCAGCACTCTTTTCCCAATCGATTCCCCTTGGTGTCCAACGAATCGATTCACCTGCCGTGAGAACGAATGTTACCGCAACGCCATATGGATCTAAGGCCGGTACCTGTTGGATCAACAGGGCATCGAATTGCCAGTCGGAGAATGGAAATAAGGAATATTGAAGCTGAGAGGAGGGTTGGCAGTCAAGAAAAGTGAATAGAAGAGGTTCGTAGTTATTTGGGACGTGTGAATGTGAAGTGTAGACTGTGAGTGAAGTGGAATGGAAGTATAGACTTTCTAGCAAGGTTGGCCAAGAGCAAAGAAAGTATTACAGGCCCCTCGACGCTCCGTTAGCCATTCGCAACCGAAAGCGGTTAGGCACGAAACTAACGCTTTTGCGAGGCTTGTAGAGAAAACAAAGCAGCAACGCAGCGTTGGAATGGAGTGCAAGACGGTCTTGGAACTGTCGGATTCTAGACCAGGTAGAGCAGCGCAGAAGACCAATGGTGCAATGATGCCGTTGCTGAGGGTGGAGGCTGATCTCAAAGAAGTCAGTCCAGGTCCGGTTGATGTCACAGGCCCCATTGGCAAGTTGCAAGGTTGGGCGAGTGTCCTCCATTAGGGACATTTGCACCAGTCGCAGCAGCTGGGGAGGGGAGGCTGCGGACGTTTGCACTCGTCGTTGCTGGTCGCTGGCGGTCGTTGGGTCGTGGGTCGTGGAGCAGGGGGATTGACCGCGGCGGCGTGGGAGGTGGGAGGTGGGAGGTGAGAGAAGGCTCAGGAGTCAGGCCCAGCAAGGACTCAGGGAGGGAAGTCAAGCAGAGTCAAGACTCAAGACATCCAGGGAGCGGCCAGGGAGCGGCCGGTGGAGAGTGGGAGCGAGAGCGAGAGCGAGCCACCGCAATGCTGAGAGCAGCAGCAGCAGCGCAGAGCCAGGCAAGGCAAGAGCACGATAGTTGCCAGTTGCCAGTTCCAGTGTACATTATTACATTATTACTTAGTTCCACTCGACTAGCTGCAGCCAATAGAGTGCACGCTGACGCCAAATGGGCAGATGGGCAGATGGGAAACCTAGCGGGGCCAGGGTGGCAGTCTCCGGGAGACACGAGCACCTTCTGTGATGGTCACATTAATTAGTTACAGCAGCTACAGTACGAAGATTACGATACGAAGAAAAAAGGCAAAGCGGCAATGAAGAAAAATAAAAGAAATTCAAACATGGAGCAAAGCAAGCAAGCAATCCCAACATCTCTATTCTTATTTGCCATGGGTTGAAGCCTTCAAGTGTGCCAAAAGTAGTGCTGTGGTTCGTTCTAGCGTGCCTTTCGTCTTCCTCGGAACAGCCAGCGAGGGGTTCGTTTGATAACACCGCCCCCTTATCCGCTTTCCCTCTCTCATCGCCTCGCTTGTTTTGCTCTTGCCTGCCTGGCGGGCAGGAGACGGAGCAGAGGAGAGTCAGCAGCTGCCCAATCAATACGGAGGAGAAACTGTCTTCGTCCGCGGTATGTATGTCTGTACGGTATGGGCTGTGTGCCGTCCGTCTCGTGTCCAGCCTAACGTCGGCCTTTGGCTGTTCTCTCATCTCATCATCATCACCTTATTACCGGACCGCTGCTCAGATATCAGCAGGAAGCAAGCAACCACGCACGCAGCCAGACACACGACTACAGGAGTAGCTGCGTTGCGCCCAGGACCCGGCATGGACGGGTGGTATATTTATGAGCATCCGCGTCGACAAGGAACACACTGAGGTGACGGATTCAAAAAGACGGGGCGTTGGCGTTCCAGTTCTGCAAAGTTGGACCAAGGTTCGTTGAATGTCCGAATCACCAATGAAGACGACCTCCAATCTACGTGCAGCTGGCATCGGTGGAGCGCGTGGAAGGCACACCTGCGGTTGCGGTCTATCAAAAGAACCCTAGCAACGAGCACCCACGGAAGAATATTGGGACGAGAAATGGATGCGCGTTCCGTCTCCAATGTTCGTGTCTTTGGTTGGCTTTTTGGATTGGTGCAATCCCCCCAACGGGTTGGAATGCGTAAAAGGGCGCGATGCCTGGCTTGTGGTCCTGGATCAAGTATCAGTTCAGTTGGAAGCATATCCGTGCTACTCAGCGCGCTGAGCGACTAGTGGACAAAAATGGATTTGGTTACGAAAGGTGTGCCATGATCGTCATTAAGGAGCAGATTAGCGAAGTGAGCAAATCCGTCACGAGTTTGCGAATTGTTTCGTCAAGAAAAGAGTGTTTTTTTAGTTCAAAAAAATAAGTTTTCCTAGTCAGGTAATGGTTGGCTGTATGCCGTATTTCGTATTCGAACCATGACAAGTTTGGTCGTTGTCTCCAGAGGCTCGGTCTTTCTGCTTGCACATCAAAATGCTGAAAATGATCCGTTCTTCATTCAGACAATTATCTCTCCCGTAGCGTAATAGGTAGGTACTTTACTGTACGTCGCAACCTCTTCCCGAGAATCCAACACGCTGCAGTTCCAGCACAAACGATAGTCTTAATGCGTGACCCTCGCTAGGGGTGGCTACATCGTGGTGCCTCGGACCGGGAGGCATTCCAATCTTCGGACACGTACCTTGTGATTGGGCGACGCTGTATTGCTTGATCCGTTGGTAAGGGTCGCACTGAATGAGTGAGATTTCAAGATTTGGCCAGGATCTGTTGGGTGGCAGTATTGATACCGAGCTGGACTAGACTGGGTTCTGTAGCAAAGTGCTTGGAACACGAACGGTGTGGACTCGTGGAACCAACACCGAAAAAGTGATCCAAGAACACGCATCTCTCCACGAATCCACACCCTCAAATCAAATCAAGTCAACTTCAACCATGTCGGCCAGCCAGCCGCCTGTGCAAAGTTCATCTTTTCATGGTTCAGCAGAGGAGCAACGACGCGCTACGCTCGGCGGTAGTCTGCCTGGTTGAGTGTCGAGTGAGGGCTCCGGAGGGGCTACATCGAGGGGCAATAATCAGCGGTCTCATACTCAGTAACATGGGGAGAACCCATAGCCAAGAGCACGATTCTGACAACCGCTCATCCTGCGGCCAAATAGACCGGCAAGGCAAGTCCCCATGGAATTGCAACATGACGGAGCATCGCAGCATGGTTGGTGAAAGTCACGGTAAATTTGCAGCAACGCATTATTACCATACTCAGCTGTGGTATGCCTCAGAATCAGGCTGATAGCAACGTCCGAGTCTCACTGCTTCGTGTGGCTGTCCACCCAACTGCTTCGTGATGTCGATCTCAAGACCTCAAGTGCCCTTTGCTTGAAGCCAGGGGTCTGATATGAGGAAAAAGCGACGTTCGGACGGAAACATTTGAAGCACACACTACGAAGCAGAAACCTTGGTTATGCCGCTGCTGCATGAGCTGGTGTCCATTATTTTTGATATTACGACGACATAACCTTATCATATTTGAGAACAAGTAAGATGTTGCGTGCTGGCGGGCCGAAATAATCATGATCCGCATATCAAAGTTATACATGGTGCTTTGGGGGTCAGCGATTTTGAGTGAAAAATTGTTTTAGCCGTCGACCGATATAGTAAGTCGTGACATGTGTCTAGACCAAAGTATCATTATTCAACTCCATGATTTGTTTGAACGTCCCCATTTGATTAATCCATGGTCACCTAGGAATATCTTTGCAAACGTCGGAGCTCGGAACAGTCTTGTGGCGGCTCGTGATGTGAGCACTACTACAGTTCGGCGAGGTATTTGCAGAAGATGAATGATAGCCTGCGTCCATATGGCGTAAAATCGTAAGCGGTGGATCATTCCTCTGGCTATCGACGCGGTCTTGATTCAAAGTGGTTGCATAAGAATTTGCCTCTGCTTTTTCGGAAGTCGAGACCTGGGATCACTCCTCAGACCATAACATTCGCCCAATCGAAGACCGAGCGGATTATTAGCTGAATTGCTTCGATGTGCTTCGTAAGTTGAAAAGACTAGATGCTGGGCAGAACCTCCGAGCAGGGCATGATATCTGAGTATCGTCAGATCCGGACATCGTTCCTGTTGATAGTCGCTATCTCTTTGGAGGTCCTGGAGGGATTGAGATCCGTCGGTCGTGATGCTGAGGTGTTCACTGTTAGTTCCCGCATGGTCCCAGATGATGTTGAGTCGTGACGCATAAAGTTTCTCTCGATCCAGTTTTCAGCCCGGTCTTCGTTCTTCTTTCGATGATGGTGCCTCATAACGGGAAGCCGAGGAGGTCGTTTTACGTTGTGTCGGTCAATGTTTCGAAGCGCGGGGTCTCTCCTGGCTCACAAATACCGTTGTTGAAGTGAGTTGTTGGATGGATAAGAAGCCACTCCACAATCTTGGGTCAAGTGTGACAGCGTTTCATTTCCGTGTGCGGCATTTGAGTGCCGCTTTATTTGAATGTATGTACGGTCCATAGCACTTTTGAGAATTTGAGAGGAAGAAACTGAAGGCGCGCGTACAGTGGCACATTTTGTGTGGATAGTAGTGGCACCTATCAACCCCTCACTCAGTGCGGGGGAGCATTTCACCAAATCATCGGCGTTTACAAGTAACACTTTTGACGCACTATGAGCCCAGCTGAAGTGAGGTAAAGCACTAAACATGCATTCATACCATTACTATTAATTTCGAAGTCGTTAGACAAGTGGAGGAAGATAAGGAAATCATCAGGCTTAAGAATACGGAATCTCGATTTCATACGGATGACGCTGGGGACTTTCTTGGAACGATCCGAAGTAATTTGGACGATTTCGCAAACCTGATAGATTCATTTAGACACCGGTGGACAACGGCGACATTGCAAAGAGCAAATTCACGGTGAGACAATTATATCAAGTATGACTTCTAGCAGTAGACAACTCATTATTATGTGAAAACCGGGCGTCATTATTCCTGCAGTATTGTCGTATTGACCTCACTTATCTCGTGCCCAGCAAGCTTCCATCCAGAATGATCCGTTGAACTATCATCAGTTTCTGGTCTGACTCAGGAATTGTCGCGTTTGTCGATCAATTCGTTAGTAGATTTAGTGAGGAGGTTTCTCCCCACGCCATGGGTCTGATCAAGGGGAGATATCATTGTTGGAGAATCTAATTTGAGTGTCTGTATCACATAGAATTATAATTTTGCCTTTTCCCCAGTCGAACCATGACGGAGTCATAGCGAGGTAGCAGCAGAATCTTGCTTGAAACGTAAGAAGTGATACTACACTGCACCCGCCACATCTGAACATGTAATCTGATCGACGAAGAACTCGTTTTAGAGATTGCACCTACCTTTTACAATTGCATCATGCGCCTTCGAGCCCCTAATGCGGACGAAGCGCCAATAACGATAAGTCCTCATACTTCTCAGCCCCGGTGGACGTGTTAGCACCTTTGGAATCGGCATTATTCTGTATCCATGCCTGAGGAGGCTCAGTTACCGAAAAGCCACGGAACCAGCATGACAATCTTCCATGATAGATTGCACGAAGTATCACATAATCATTGTCACACCACGACTGTTTCCCGTCCCCAGGGTGGACGAATGACAATCGATGGTAATCCCAGCTCAGCCTACGATCTCACAGGCCTTCGGATTTCCAACAGCTGCATATTCTTTACCCGTCACTTGCTTTGTTGTATCAGATTAGGCTTCACGCACAAATTTACAAATCGCCGGATTGCGACCACCTACTCGCCGAGCGGTCGCGCGCTCCAATCAATCAAACAGTGCCAATATGCTCAATCTCGTAGCCTTGGTCTGAATGACCCTTGCTTTGAGCCAGCCTCGCAGGGAAGCGCGAAGCTTGCAACCGACCGAGTTTCTCAAGGCAGACCATCAATACCGTTCGCGGAAATGTCAAGGTACTTTAATGAAGAGTGTTGCGAACCAAAGACCAAGGACATCCCACAGTTGAAGCACCTGAGCGGTAACCATGATACCGGTTATTTAATTAGACCATCAGGACTTTTGGAGTGCCGTTAAGGTATTGTTGCGAGCAACATATCACGGCCACACTGCTCCATTACCTTACACCAAGATCCTCTCGACCGCAATCGTGCAGCAGTGCCGCTATTTCCTGCCTTTTCTTTCTACAAATGACAACACGATTACTATCCGTATTCCGTACAGGCCTCGAGACTGGCTTGTGAAGGATGAATCTTTTGAAACTTAGTTTCAAAAAGATATTGTTGACCCACAACAGTGACAGCACTCAGGCGTCTACAGACCATTCGTATGACGGCCCTATCAGATTTTGATAGTGCCGTTGCCAACGCTTAAGATCCTCAACATCCCCAATATCATCACAAATGATACAGACTGCTGTTGTGTACTGCACTTTCTGATGTTGGAAGAATACAGATCAGGCAGCGGGCATTCTTGAGGTATTCCAGAGCGAAGATTGTGCCGTAACTCGCTGCTTTGAGACTCCTGCAAACGCCTTATTTTCTTTTTCTCAGTGCGAAGATCATAGCCTTGTAACTCCGCCATAAGTTTCCACACACCCGTAACACCTCGATCAACAGTCAGCAGATGATATCGGTAATGCAGACGAGCATCCAACCCCCGCGTCGTCTCCTGCTCGTGGGCGAGAAGATCCAAAAATTCCATTTGTGCCAGCTCACGTCTTAGCTATCCGGCAAAATTCAACATCACACCAACCTAACTTAAGGAGCTTTCTTCGGCTCGAGACCGAGACTGAGACCTTGCCACAAGCGGATGCAATCCTCTGCTCACATCAGTGCTCTGCATTGATCTGTCATGCGCTACATGATGGGTTCTGTCTTCTCGCTACATCGTTGTCAATTTTACACGTAAGTCGGGGTAAATAATGAACTACCAGGCATCAGATACCTCAAAATGCACGAAGTGCAAGTGTCAGCCGTGTTGTATGTGGTAATGTAAGGCAAAGGAATGCCTCTTTTCCCGGCTCACAACTAAAATGCAAATCTTTTCACTGACTTCTCAAGCGAACCACTCGATCAATTGTTCTTAGGGTCAAGTATCCTCCTTCCTTCAAACAAATCTTCAGTCCAAGGCACCACAAAGCCACAAGTCGTTCACATGCACCGATGTTGTCGTTCACGGCTGAGCCGCCCTCCTGTACGTACAAATGCGCGCTCTTTGCGAATCTCGGCATACCTGTCACAATGCAAGTCATGGTAACCGCTTATCCAAGTTCACATTACTCTGTCCTTCCCAATGTATACTCATGCATTGAACAGAGGAAACGATCCAGACGTCGAAGTGGTTCGGAGAGGAAGAGTCCCTTCAGCAAGACCACAGGCCTCTTGTGTAACGACTACACCGTACTTCAACTTGATGTCTTTCCAAGCACTCACTGCATAACCGCAGAGTGCGTTCCCGTCTAGAGCATATCAGCATCTGATGTTCTTCAGGCGAGCTTTGAGGATCCGTTGCGAGCAATCGCTTCTTCTGATACTCTTCGTTTCCTCTACTCGAAGTTGCGCTCCTCCTCCGTTGAATCGATTACCCCTAAGCAACCCTTGTGGAATTACGTTGGTCATCGGGTTGTTTCTTCCCCATTAGTTACTCGTGACGATTAGCTGATTTCGTCCCATCTGCCTCAGCCCGAAAGCAACCGCATCTTGAAGTTCAGTTATGCTGGTCGAGTCAAGATTCTTGTGGTATATTATGTCCAAGTATTACCTCGCGTATTCCGTGGCTACACACCCAGAAGTTGTTATGAACTGACGTGATGGTGCGATTCTCAGTCGTCAGCAAATTTCCAGAGACTCCAAGGGAACCAGGCAACAGTTGTTCCAGCAGGATCAAGTTAATAAGCAGATGTACTGGTCCGTACGTTTGGCTACTGATACAAGCACTTGTGGTTGAAAAATTCAACATGGCTTGGGATTTCTACCAAGTATAGCAAGCAAGGGGGAAGATCACATGGAAGAACTATGAGCTACCCCGGCATTGAGAGACATATTTTTGCCGTTGAAGAAGAAAACTTCCAAAAGGTAGGTCTTAGAAGTAATGTCAAGTGAGCTCAACGATCAATCCGCGCAAACCTTGATAGTTTCGTGTAGCTCAAACCCCGTATATTCATGAAGAGTTTGCTTATCACAAATGCCAATACAGTGTGAGAGCAAGGTAACTGAATGCTAACAGTTCTCACAACCAATCACAGAAGATCTCGTACAATTCAATATCACGTGACCTAGTCCACCTCGTGTTTAAAAATAAATGCGAGGAAAAGGACGCTAACGTTGCTGCTAGCGACCCCAATGCCAAGACATCGAAACGACGACCGGTTTGTTTGTTCCATCCCTTTTCGAAGGAGCGACAACGAACAAACGCTGCCTCATCCCCCGCAAACAGACTCAACCTCACACTCGCTACTGCCTCTTGCCTTTCTCCCTTCCCTTCGCTATTGCCAAAAATTTTAACGAATTTCGATACCTCCGTATACCCGTGCACATTCTTTTCGCCTGCCGACTGCTTGGGTGACCTCCATCCCTATCCTACGACCCGATTATCTTTCCGGAATAGCAATATCCATATTGGCGACACAGAGGTGTATACAGGCTATTCACTATGGGTTTTGGAGACTTCGATTCAATATGCCACGCTGCTGCGGTGCCAGTATGTTCGGTGGTGGGACATTTCTCGACAACATCGAACTCTTTTGGAATCGAGGCGGATTGCTTTGCGCGTAATATTGAATTGGCCAACACCATAATATTCCAAGGCGCTGCATCATTCATGCATATTGTTGCGCTCATAATGACGGTTATCATGATCCTTCATGTGCGGAGCAAATTTACTGCAGTTGGTATATTGAAATCCATCTTTCAATTTGTGTGACTTGAAGCTAACTCTGAATTTGCAGGCCGCAAAGAAATCATCGCATTCTTTTATATATACATGGGCCTAACCTGCGCCTCTCTCATCCTCGACTCTGGTGTTATACCCGTTGGTAGCGACGCATATCCATACTTCGTCGCCGTACAAAATGGCCTCACATCTGCTCTAGCGGTTTGCCTGCTTATCAATGGTTTCGTTGGTTTCCAATTATACGAAGACGGTACCACACTCTCAGTCTGGCTTCTCCGCCTCGTCAGTTTCGCATTCTTCGTCATTACCTTCATGGTTTCGTTGGCAACATTTAAGACCTGGGCAGGTTTGAGCCCGACGCACACCTTGGGTCTCTTCGTCGTTCTTTACCTTGTTTCCGGAATTGCGCTTGCGGTCTACATCATCATGCAGATCATTCTCGTAGTAAACACCCTGGAAGATAGATGGCCACTGGGAGATATTGCTTTTGGGACTTTCTTTTTGATCATCGGCCAGGTCATCCTGTACGTTTTCAGTACCAAAATCTGCAACGCAGTTCAGCACTATCTGGATGGTCTCTTTTTTGCGACGATCTGCAATTTGTTAGCTGTTATGATGGTTTATAAGGTACATCCGTCTCTTTGGGGCTGCGCGAACAATACTAACGTGCTTCTAGTATTGGGACTCAATCACTCGTGAAGATCTCGAATTCTCTGTCGGCACTAAGCAACACAACTGGGAAGTTAAGGAACCTCTAATGGATGATGATCGGAGAACCACCATTTATCAAGATGAAAATTCCGGAACCTTCAGCCAGCAACAAGCACACGGACGAAATTCCAATTATGGTGGTTTCAACTACTAAATAAGGTCCTTTGTCACAAATGTTTTGCACATGTGGCGTCGTATAATATCGAGCACCATTAGACATCGAATGAGTTGGAGCATTAATGCATTAGCGGGGATTGGCTTCCTGAATCAACATTTATGGCGCATTATTAGGATTGGTGATTGGATAGCTTGTTGTACAGCACAGGATAAAATTGTTGTAATCACGGATTGGATTGGCAGGGCGTTCTCAGGACTGGTTGGACTGGCGTTGACTGTAAATGAAGGGTGGTTCGATATGAAGAGCGATAGGGACCTTAATACATATATTTACCGCTTATTCCTTCATATCATTATGTGCAAGCAAACTTTTTGGAAGTGCAATATTACGTCTTGATCCAACAAACGCTAACTAATCACTGCAATCAGTTACAGATTAAAAGATAATAAGAGAGTCGCATGAGGTTTAGATGCGCGCGTAGACTGAAATGATTCTCTCGAAAGCGACCAAAGGGGTCTTCAGGATAAACTGTCACCTTGAAGCCCCAATCACCTTGGCCGATGATGCCATGCAACATGTGACTTAGATTTCTTTTCCAGAACCTGGTGCTCACATGTCTAACATCGTTGAATTGATGGCGAGCTGATAATGGGCTTACGAAATATTAATATAGAGCTTGAAAACATGTTCTCTGCACGGGAAGCAGAGTGAAGCCTTTCAAAAATTCTTTACATTTTATCTATAGTACAAGTAGCAACATCCGTTTCCAAACACCACCCCGATTATTTAATCATTTTTGCCTTTCCCTCCACCAGTCAGAGTCTCCTCACTATCAGTGACCTTCCAGCTAAAATCTGTTTCTCCAACTAAATCCCTCACAGCCTCAATCAACTTCTGCAAGTCGTCGTTGATGAGACTCGTCGCAATCTGACAAACAGCATAAGCGCTATATCCCGGTTCCTCCACGTGTCGAGCATCGAGAATGCCGCTGTCGAGTGCTTCAAGGCTTTTGCTCAGGTCAAAGGTCTTGGGAGATTCGAAATAAGGGGGAAGAGGCGAGCCTTGAGTCACGGAGTGTGAGAGGAGAATCAGCGTAGAGGTCACGGAGTGAGATGTCGGCGCTGCACGGTCGATGAGTGAAGTGAGGTCGTTTAACCACGCTCGTCGTGCTGCAGGATTTATTGGCTCGTCGCTTGGGTGATCATTCTTTGAGGACCATGATTGCGTTGCGTAGCCAAGTAGAGAAAGGTAACTCATTATACTGCAAAATATGTGGTTAGCATCGGCGTTTAACTACTTAAAAGTGGCTTACTTAGTTGTGCGGTAGATTATTTCTTCATAGCTTTTCTGTGTGTATGTGTGAGGACTTGCAGTCACATATTTTGGGTGATACTCACTCTAGGAAACTTCCCACCAATAGAGATCTCCCACTTTTCCCAGTCAGCGTGTTCTACAGTCGATTAGTTCTGTCCGTATAATCCGTAGGTTCGAAAGACCTACGCTGCAGTGAAGGCAAAAGAAGAAGCAACTTTCCGAAGATCTTGTATCGAATCTTCTCAAGTTTTCTTCCAGGAGACGTTATAAGCTCCATGTCGCCTTCAGTACCATGCATTCTCGACCAAATGGTTGAATGCATCGAGGAATTGTAACTTGCTAACAGAAAAATCGTTGACCCCAGGTCTTTTCGAAGCCATGACCTGCATGTCTGTCAGCATGTTTATGCTCCACTATGTTGACTTTTGTAGAGAAAAGATGATCTTACCTATCCGAGATAGGGTATGGAAAGATGGTCCAGAAAAACGCAACAAATGAACCTCCAGCAACGCATGCCAATCGATATGGACCAAGCAAGTATATCGGGTAGTACGGCTGGCCATTGGAAGTTGCCTGCGCAACACCAAGTTGGCGCACTTCAAGCTCATATCCTATGATTAGTACTTGGGTGACGATGCATACCAACCATATCGGAATGAAGCGTGGATATTTCAAGAATCCATACATCTCTATGAATATGAAGAGCCAGAGGAACACAATAACTCCCGCTGTCTTTTGATCCACAATATACCAGATAACAATGGAAAAGACCCTAAGATTATCTCATATTAGCACACTGTATCAAAATTTGGATAAATGAACTTACATAGAAAGAGCAGTCCCAAGAATTCTTCCGAAAAATCCGAACATTGACGAGCCACTCGTTACGTTCATGCCAATGGCAATAATGACTTCAAATGGTTAATGTTTGTTGATGATATGCTCACCAAGGTTGACTTACTCATAGCCCAAACGACTGACATGTATAGTTAGCAAATATTTCCAAAACAATTTCCAGTGCGAAAAGGACAGGCTACTGACGTCTCTGTTCAATGAAAAAGCGCTGGCTATTCTTCAAAAAAGCAACAATACCGACAGTCAATGTAGCGCATGCTACACGGAAGCCGAAAGACGACTCTGTGGATCCAAGGAATTTAGGAACCTTTCTCAACCCATTTCCAAAATGTTGCCAGGGGCTCTGTGCCGGAAGATGTTCTGGGTCTTTCCTTGGGCCAAAGCCGGAACCCATATACACATTGGGACTTCCACTCTCCATGGAGTCAGGTGCTGTAAGAACTATTAGCATCAATCGACATAATAATTTGGCATGAAGGGGGCCAGTCACCTTCCCCATCGAGACTAGAGTCCTCTCTTCCGATTGATAATATCCACTTACGAATCCGTCGCTGGCCTGGGAGAATAAGCCGATTCTTCTTCATGGTACCGTCCGCAACCTTCTTCTCGGCATATTCCACCATTTCGAAAATTGCCATACCGACAGAATATAGCTAAATTCAATCAGCAAGTTGGCACAGCCTGGAGGGCGGCGAGCACCTTCTCATTCAGCAGACTTTAGTGTACAACGACTTCAACAGGGGAAACTCACCAAAAATTCCATATATAGAATCAAAAACAGTTGTTGTTGATCCTCGGACCGCTGGATGTTATCGTCTTTGGTTGAAACAGAAACCGGGGACTCCCTTATGGTGTCGAAATGATCTTGATCTAGTCCTCGATCTCTCGCCCATATTTTCACGGCTGCGCCACGGGTACCATAGAACTCCTTCATTCGATGCCGCAAATGCTGAGAAAATTCCGGATCACCGGGTTTAGGTCGCGTACCATTTGACTCGACATCCTCTTTCTTCTTCGGCGGGCTGATGATTCCTAGAAGCAGAGCTGCGTGCTCTATCCCCTCATCCATGGCGGCCATGACGATGGCAAATGGCTCGTGCAAACATTTCATCATTTCGTTCCAGACCCTCTTCTCCTCCTCCTTGGTTTGGCGAAGTTTCTCTCCTCCTTCCACGTGTTGATCATCGGAGGGCTTGACCCAACCTCGCTTTTCTGCAACGCGCTCGAATATGTCGATAATCGTGGTAAGTCCCACAAGAGGGATCAGAATTTTACGGAAGAGAACGAAGATTTCATCAAGGTGATCTGCGTTCAAATTTCCCCAGGCAACCTCCCTCTTACCAAACGCTAGGTCACCATACAGCTTCCCATGTAACCCCTTTAAGCCGTCAATCGCGGCCTTGAGCGCCCTGGCTTCTGGAGATTTTGGTCGTGCAGCATTGTCTCTATCTTCGTCTGCTTTCTTACCTTTCTCCCCTCTCTTGTTGTTGGTGCCTTCGTCGGAAACATACGGTGAAAACATATCACTCCGCTCAAGACTCGCAAGATAAGCCGTCTGCGCTTTTCTGGTCAGATTTAGTGAGATCCAGTCAAGGAAAGCTTTGTGGCCAACTTACAGCGTTCCCCTGACGGCTTGAAAGTAGCCTTCAAAATCTTTGAAAACCACTTTCCTGGACGTCACAGGTATAATGAACAGATTGACCGCGGTTGCCAATGCAAAAGCTGTGAGAAAAGCAACAAGGAGGCCTAATACAGCGTCAATACACATTAAAGCGACCAACGAGTGAATCTAGTCATAGGCGTAAGAAGGTAATGCAATGGTAGACTTACTTCTAACAAAAGACTCGACCTGCGCTATACTCGTGAAAAGATGGCCATAAACGAAAGCTACATTGGTAAATATACTATACTAGAAATCTTTTAGCGACTGCGCAGCTGTTATTGAAATGTAAGTTTACCATGATAACAGGAAACTGCAACGCTGGCATCTTGGCTCGTACAGTATTGACGAAATATATATTAGCAAAGAGCCATATTGCGCAAACAGCTGATTGTGACGAGTTGTATGGCTCTATGGAGTTTGCTGAACTTGTATTTTGCCGCGCTTTGAGACCAGTCCAGATCCCAAGAAGGCTGAGGGCTGCACCAACGCACACGGCGAAAACATTCATGATCATAGTTTGAAGATATTTGGCTCTAGGCATAATAGGAAGAGAAATCACAGTAATGATTGGTACCAAATACCCAATTGTGCCATAATAAGTGGATACATTCCGTGACTGGTAGAAAGCCTGCCGATATCAGTATTAGTGTTATTATATAAGTACGATTTGGTCAACACTCACTATACCAATTGTAGGTGCAACACTCCCTCTATACTCGCGTTAGCTAACACACGACTGATGAGGCGTAGGGATCGGGATTATTACTTGAACATCATCAAGATAGTGCCCACATCTAGGCCTAATTTGCTCCATATCTTCTTCAAACGCGATTGAACCTTCTCTGATTCTAGCTCCGCAGACCCAGATGTCGTATTAGGCGTTGACGAGGCATTTCCCCGTCCATCATTCTTGATACCCTCGTCCATGGCAGGTGGCACATCGTCGTCTTTACTGTTTCGGTTGATTGTTGTCGCTGGCGCGTTGCTAATGCCGGCCGCGTTGCTCATTTTCGTCACGTGAATCTGATGGAACAGATGTCCAGCAGTACAAAAACAAAAGATGAGATGGCAGCACAATTAATCAAGTGATTCAAGTCATACTGGAAAACGATAATGATTTTGATGAGCTGGTCGGAAGCCTCGGACCCTGAGACTCTTATTTTGATATTAGCTCCTGTTACGCTGGCTGGCGCGAAGGCTAGCGAGTTTAGTTCGTTTGTTCGAGGAGCGACATTGACAGCTGAAACACGACATGAGTAGTACTCGAGTAACAAAATATACGAATTTTTACTCAAATGCGGCTTGCAATCTCACATTGTCTAAAGCAAGGTATGCGCAGGGTACAGGACGGTCCAGTAACCAACCCCAGTTGTATATTTATTGCTTGCATTTCCTCACAGCGCAACGGCACAAATATATTCGTTGTATGGTATGAAAGACGCTCAGGACAGATGAAGATGGAATGGAAAAAATCCCTTGCAAGTCGAAAGTCGCTCGGCACCAGAAAAATAAGAGAGTTAACAGAGTGTGGGAACCACCCCTAAACAAGATTCAAGTATCGGGCTGAGGATGTTGTATAAAGTCATTAATATATTACAACGATATAGTATACATTCGAGGACTAATTGAAGTTAAGTGTTGTACATCTCGGACCAGTACTAAAGATATATATCCCCAACGCCGCACCAATGCAATGGTCTAATTCATAAAAGCATCATGCATGCCCACTGTTCGAAGGGGACAGAGGGTGTTTCGAGTCATATCTATCGAGCTCACTTCCATCTCCCGAGTATCCGATCATGTCCCGATTGTCGTCAATTACACGGGCATACTCGATTAGAAGTCTGAACATATAAATCTAAATAAGAAGTCAGACACATTGGTCGCATGAAGGAAACGGGAATTATGATACTCACTTCGATATCCTCTTTTCGTAGAACCTTCTTCGCCCATTCACGTCCCTGGCGCCCTAATTTCCTGCCCTCAAAGTCGTGCCGCGGCATGTAAGGCTGGTCGCTTGCTTTCGCTCTTTTCCCAATACCGATAAAGTAGGTCAAAATACTATACAGGTCGTCATATCTGTTGTCCATTGGGATAAAATGCCTCCAGGCGAAGAGTCTCGAATCGTGCCATTCTCGGAAAATGGTACTCTTGATGCCCAAACTCTTACTTTCAAGGAACGCGTGCCACCGTCCTGAGAAAGAATGCCCATCCACATCCACGACAAACTTGGATTCGAATTGCTGGCTCAAAGTCGTCATGTTCTTGTAAGTCCAGACACCATCATAAAAGCCGCAATCCGGCACACAGGCAAAAGCTTCTGTGAAGCCAACATCTGTGTGGTCGAGCGCGAACTCGCTGGGTTGATAATGTTTGAAGTTGACGTAAGAGCCTTGGTTGTTGGGGTCCTCGGTCATGATGAGAACCTCTTTGCCAACCATTTCGGTCCCATTAGAGGTGAGCACAAGCCGCTGGCGATGCATATCTCTCCAATTCTCAGCGGTATTCGTACCGCCTGAAGTGACGCCCCGCCAAATCATAGTATCATTCTTATCATCCCAATCGTAGTCGTACTTAGAATCATATCTGTATCGAACGTCATCGGCGTAATACATGTTGGCTGGGAACAATATATCATTGTTGACATTAACCTTGCATTCTCCAAATATAGGGAGAAGACGTTTGCTGGCAATTATGGTGCTTGGGGCAAAGAGAAACCCATGCTTGCCCTGGACTTCGGGTCCCACGGTACAAAGATCAGAAGATCTGTTGAAATTGGAAACGAAACCACCCTGAGGGTGCTTATACAATGCTTCAGACGAGCTCAGATTAGAATTGGGATCGCGAGCGTGAGAATCTGGAGGGCAGCCTTCTTTCGCGATCAACATATACTGCTGGCCATGTTTGGAGAACCACTCGGGGTCGATCACAACCGGAGCAGTGTCATTGTCCTTGAGTAGTCCTTCCATGTTGGTAGTCCATTCGGCTGCTGCATCTGGCGCTACATGCCTAGTAGCTCTTTCGCTCTCGAGGAGTTTTTGCATGTCGTCCCAAGGAACGACCACTCGAGGCTGGTCCAATCTGTTCATAGCAATGTCCATGTCCGGTAAATATTTGACGAAAGGTTGGACCATTTTGGCCATTATCTCCACTCGCCAGTTCTGGTTCGTAAGTCTCCAGACCTTCTTGTTTCGAATGTGAAGACCAGAGACACCCCCATGCTCCTCTGAACTCATGTGTCCTGCCAGGTTTCTGATCTCGAATGGGTCAATCCCCCAGAATGGCCGTAGGTCATCCATAATCTGGTCAAAGTCGTCTACGTTGTAGACATTCTTGTCTCTAGCCATTTTGTACCAATCGCGGAATCCTGGGGGCGGATGCCGGCCATATTTCCTCCTATACTTTGCGACCGTCTCCCTAAATGTTTTTGATCTGCTCTCATCATAGATTCGGAAAGCTTCATCAGCGTCTCGCATCAAGTCGAGAATTGGATGCTGGTCGTTGACAGAGGCATGCTCCTCGAAGACCTCATTGTCATGGTACCATGAGGGCAATTTTGGCAGCTTAAATAAGAGTTGTTATTAGCATGGATTCTTGCAGTAAGTGTAAGCTCGCTTACATTTGGATCTGATGGCGTTTGTTGGCCGTTCTGCTTCCCAGGTATCGGAATTGGAATTTTTCTTATTTTCGATTTGACATCCGTCCCAGAGACTAATATTATATTGACGATAAAAACAGTGACCGAGATTGCAACAAGCAATGTGAAGAAGCGCTTCTTCCCCGGGTCAAAGCCCGCCATTGCTGGCTCGCTGGCGCAAGTTTGAGAAGAGAGGAATCGAAGGGTGACTGCAGCAATGGCATGCGCTCAGGGGGTTGAACGGAAGCCTGCGTCAAGACCGAAGAATGAGGTTCATACAGTGGCGCATTCTCGAAGCATGGCAGTGTTCACCAAACTACCATTTTCATGTAGAAGTCATAGATAGGAAAGGATCTGGACAAACAAATATACAGGAAAAAACATATTAACTAAGAGTACATGTGCTCCGTACACATTTCGTTCGTGGCGCATTAATCGCGGAACATGGCCTAGTGAGGAATCCAAGAGACGCTGCTTTAGACTCCATACAAATAGCCGTCGGCATCGCATTCCAGCTGACCTTGCTGGCTCCGAGCTTGAAGCACGAACCGCCAATAGCGGCGCCGCAAACAAAATTTGGACTTGGAAGCTGGTGTCGCAGACCATCAGTCAAAGAGACTGAGAGAGACTGCGAAGTTATCTCCCACCACCACAGCCATGCCTCCTCGACTACCAACAGTTCAGGCTTTTCGCAGGACGAGGCCTATTCTACCCTTCGCTGCAGAATCGTTCCTATCCCCTTTCCTCCAGTCGCGCCAGTCATCCATTCTTTCAAACCTGTCCGACAATGCAGGAGCGTACAACAAACGTATTCGTCGTGGTCGTGGACCCTCGTCAGGAAAGGGCAAAACGGCAGGGCGTGGCCATAAAGGACAAAAGTCTCGTGGAACGGTACCGGCGCGGTTCCAAGGAGGTCAAACACCACTGGAAATCGTCCATGGAGTGAGAGGATTTGAGAATCTGTATGCGGTCCAACGACATCCTTCGAATAAATAATCGATCGACTGACGTTCTATTAGATTCTCGGTTGATATGTCCACCGTCAACTTGAATCGAATCCAGGAGTGGATAAATCAGGGCCGACTCGATCCAACAAAACCGATTACGGTCAAGGAATTGGCCGAATCGCGATGTCTCCATGGAGTAAAGGACGGGGTGAAGGTTTTGGCAAGGGGAAAGCAAGACTTGAAAACACCAATAAACTTATTGGTTTCGAGAGCATCTGCGGCCGCTATCGAAACCATTGAAGCTGCTGGCGGAAGCGTTACCACGAGATATTACACGAAACAGTCTATAAGGCGTCTTCTGAAGGGCGAGTCGGAATCCAGCTTCGTACCACTTTCTCAATCTTTCAGTAAATCGGAAACAGAATCTAGCACAGGCGCTGCAAACACGCCCATCGCATCCCCCTTTTTATATCGTTTACCGGACCCGACCAGCCGAAAGGATCTGGAATACTATCGAGATCCAGCACATCGAGGGTATCTCAGTCACCTGTTAGAGAAAGGTCAAGGCCCAAGTTTGTTTTTCAAGACCCCGGGAGTTGGAGTTCGGAAGAAGACGAAGAAGCCAGGAGAGGCACAAGCCGCAGAGAAGAACAGGCTGTGGTAATTGATCCTCATATTGTAGCCCACCTGTATGTATATTTGTACCATTACACCAGTTACATCAAGTGCAGGACGGCGTCCGGTTTCATTCTCGCGCCCTCTTTGAGTACATCAGCAAGCTTCGGCACGTCCATCACCTACTATGCCACTCCGCCAAGGGTCACGAATTCCTGCAAGATAACTCGAAGCCAAAGTTTAGATCAGGCTTGGATCTGTAGTTTCTAGCATAATGTGATAGACATATGATCTAAAACTCCTATTAATAGCCAAGGAGTTCACAATCCAGGTAAGATGACAATATATTCCATTGTTTAAAATAGTAGAAATTCTAAGAAGTCAATATTTACGCAAGGAGAAGTGTCAGGAATCCTGTATATTAAACTCTGATTAATCTCGATGTAAATATATTACTCGAAGCCATATCATTCCTGATACCGTGGGACACTATAGGTAGACATATTTTTTTCTGCCTTGAAAAATCATGGAGAAAAGGATGATAACAAGTAAGGAGCGCAATGGCGATGACGGCTGTCCGAATTTCAAGACTAGTTAGCAGACATCTCCGGTATACCTTTGCTCTACTTGCCGTCAATCTACCAGATATATCAAACACCTATACTTATTATTTCCTTCAATATCGACGGAATAATTACGACGAGATAAAGCCAATCCGGGCGGCGACAACCTTTCTCAAAGAAGAGTCCGGCGACATTCATCTCTCTAAAGTAGTTGACAAGATCATCAACACCAAAGATTGAAAAACCTACAGTAAAGAAATCGGCTCCAGCGTAACCAGAACAGCAACCTCAGAAATTGAATATCGTATATTCGATTGGCACGTCTTTATCTGTCAAGCAGCATGCCTCGAGCAAACTCTAATGATCTCAGGTGGCTGTCGTTTGTAATGTCTACTTTTTCTAACAAATCTGGGACAAGGTACCGATTTATGCTCCCGATATCCATAGCGACCGTGATAGCCTCTTGATAATCTCGCTTTGCCATCGCCGAAGGTAGTGATTCCCATAAAGTATCCCAGAAAGCAGACTCTAAGACGTTTTTGACGCTCCTCCCGCTCTCATCACCCGCTTGTTCGTCGAAAAATATCCACTTTGAATCTTTCATATGGCCCAGAAAACTCTCATATATACCGAAAATACAAAATCCGAATGCTTCACTCTGTGCTTCATCAAAGTCGATGACTCCATTAACACGCCCTTCTACATCAACTATAATGTTAATTTCCACAAAGTCGTGGTGTGTCAGGACTGGCGGAAGCTTGTCTAGAAGATATACCTTTTCCAATAGAATGGATGCTTTGACCAAGAAACGAGGCTCAATATCTCCCAGAGAGGTGTTTTTGGCTAGTTTTTCTAGAACGTGCCTGGCAGTCTTTGTCCAGGAAGTCGAGGAGTATGTCGACGCAGGCTGGGGCCAGAAAGCGGATTTTGCCACAAACTGCGCCAGCTCTGTGATAGTCTTCAGCTGCCTTCTCAGTGGAAAAGCATGTTTGGGAAAGTGTTGGAGAATATGGACCTTTCCAGGGATAAGCGGAGACACGTAAACTGGCAGAGCGAAATCGCCAAAAAACGTGTTAGTTGGGACCAGATTGCCATATATAGCCTGGGCGAGAGTCAAAACGTCTTCATTGAGCGCTTCAAGTCTGAATTGGATAATTTTCTCCTGGCTTAAACAAACAAGGGTGTAACTTGTTGCGCCTTGATTTTCGACGGGTTCTATGTCTGTTGCACCCAGAAGCCGCTGAGCATACTCAAGGCAATTGTCCGATGTTAGGCTTTCACTGACCCCCTTGCCCGATTTTGCGAGCGCCTTGGGAACCTTAATCGCAAAGAACTCCGCTATCCACTCCTTTTCCTGTTCGAACCATGCCTTTGAGCGTTCCTCTTCTCCTAACTCGGTGCTTCCTATGCTGTGATCGCTCAAACGTTCTAAGGCTGATAATAATTAGCTCTCGTCTTGATATATTTGTCAAGGCAACTCAAAATCCATGGCGTATTCGTCCCTTTTGCGGTCGTGTAGTAACGAAGAATCGATGAAATGTGGTGGACGAGCGAAAAGTGTGACTTGGGGAGCAGGGTCACTTTCGCTACCTATTTCCAAGCAAACCAACAATAGACCTTGAAGCGATTGGCCTGGATAACAATTTCATGTTGGAACAGGAAAGCGCCCAGCCAATGCCGAATATCAATATGACGGTTGATAAGAAGTGGTTGTAAAAAACAGAAGTTAAAGCTGAAGAAGGCTTCGAGAAATCTCAAGCGTCTGGAGACTAGATTATATGACTGTATGTCATCCGAGCATGCGGACGTCTAGAGATGATCTACATATGAACACTGGGTTTTGCTGAATTTTTGTACTGACATGATGTGACAGATCATGGATTGTTGAGAGATAGCAGCAGTACCTAGCTGAGGACTTCACAAGCCAGGTGCGGTAAACTATAATGTTGAAAATGGTAGAAATTCGAAGGTCTTGATTTCCAAAGAAGAAAAGAACCGAGTATTTTACGAGTAGCATCCAAGTACGATATAATTGTAATGTGTTCTCGCAGCCAGGAACGTTATCTAGGTCTCAAAGTCCTCAATCACTTCACGTCTCGAGCATCATCACGTAGTTCGGACGGTAAGACAGGGGCATGTGCTTTTAGACAGGGGTTGTTATGCCGGGTCGGATTAAGCGCGCCTTCAGTGATCGCATTCAAGCTTGGAAGCATGTACTTGTTTGGAGAGATTCTGTGTCGCATCCTTCCTCGTGTGTACACGTTTGACATTGCATGTATCTAGTCGTCGTCCTATCAACACACTACCAATACCTCGAAAAGTAGGAATGTCGCTGTTCGGATCGTCTCCAGAGGAGCCTGCTCCAATCCGCAGCTCTACCACCAAGCCCCGAAACACGCTATTCGACGACAACGATAGTCCAGCTCCAGCATCGAAGTCTACACTGTTTGCAGAAGACGACGCTCCATGGGGAATGCCCACGCCCAAAAAACCTGCTCGTGGTGATCTAGTAAAAAGCTTGCTCGATGGCGCCGACATTCCGGATAGCTACGTTGACATCTTCGATAGCTTGCTGAAGGATGATGCTCTGAGCAGTGGTGGGAAGATTAGTGCCGATGGAATTACCCATACTGTGAGAGCTGGAAATCTGGATGCTGCTTCACAGGATCGGATTGTAAACTTGGTTACTTCTGGCGGGCAAACATCGAATCTGAACAGGAACGAATTCAATGTTCTGCTGGCCTTGATTGGCCTGGCGCAAGAGAATGAAGATATCACACTCGATGGTGTTGACGAACGTCGACGGAGTCAGTGCAATTTCACGATGGTGTATGTCACCAGAGTATTTGCTAACCAGAATGATAGATCTGCCTGTGCCCAAAACCCCAAGTTTATCAACAGCAGCCGCCTTTCCGAATGCTTCAGAGCTTGCCGCGAAACCACCTCAATCAGTGTCGTCTTCCGCAAGCGAAACTCTACGGAGTCAGAAACCGAAGACACCGCGCAAGCCGTCAATGGACTTCCCAGAAGCCGACCCATGGGCAAGCCCTGCCCTACATCGAGGCCATAGTCATGAACAAGGTCTACCAAAGGCTAACGGCGGGACGAGTGCTGTCGAAAGCAATGGAGCACATGGCCCTACGCGAACGACGAGTAACTTTACCACTGCTTCGCAAAGTTCGCCGAATGGAGCGTCTCACCTTTCTTCACAAGCTGCCCCTACAACACCTGCGGCGGGTGGAGGATGGGCATACGACGGCGCCGAATCATCGGCCACGCCTTTTGGCACCGAGACCGACCCCTCAATCGGAGGCGATGGATTTGGGATATCTGGCGGGGATGGCGATCGTCCAATCCAAAATATCCCAACCAGGTCTTTTGGAGGGGGTCGCGTGAGTGGGGTCGGTGTCGAGGAAACAATATTAGTCACGCTGTTACCTGAGAAGGAGGGAATGTTCATGTTCCAGCATCATAACTATCAAGTTGCCAGTCCACGAAGGGGAAGCAAGGTTGTCAGAAGGTACAGTGACTTCGTTTGGCTATTGGACTGCTTACACAAGCGATATCCATTTCGACAACTACCTCTTCTTCCGCCAAAAAGAGTTGGAGGTATGTTTTTTTTCATTTACATTAACGCTCCTAGGAATAACAACACGATTGGTGATCGGCGAGGCTTCTATCTATATGGCAAGTGCCACTGTCTACAATACAATCGAATGAGTATGCGAGGGTTAGCGTAAAACCTACTACTCGTTAGATCAGTAGACTTGGCGATGGTCGAGTTGTGATATATATAATTTTTCTGAAATAGGGGTCTCGTCAAAACGCTGTCTTGGTATTTCTTAAATTCTGATTAACTTTCCAGTCAATGGCAACCATCTCGCTGCGGACAGCACGTTCATCGAAAAACGGAGAAGAGGACTCGGCAGATTTGCGAATGCTCTTGTTCGGCATCCTGTGCTAAGCCAGGAACAGGTGAGGTTCTTCAAGAAACACGCTACACTTGGGGCTAATTAATATACGCAGTTAGTGATAATGTTTTTGACTGTACCAACCGTGAGAAACCTTGTCCTATTCATATACAGATATAGTGTGGCTAAGATGAAAGCTAATTAGCACCAGGAGCTTGCTGTATGGAGGAAGCAGGCAACTATCTCGGTTCAAGAAGAGTTCGCTGGCAAATCTCTCCCCCCTGGACTTGAGGACTCTTTATCCCCAACACTTCATGAACTGTTCGAAACGAGTCGCACTGGTATTCGCCGGTCTGCTGATATCTATATAAATCTATGTAACCTTGTAGATAGGCTTGCAAAGCGGAACGAAGGGCTGGCCGCAGACACAAATCGTCTTGCCCTTTCCCTGCAGTCGCTCACAGATGTTTCACAAGACACTTACGCTACCGATACCAATGATGTACCTCTGTTGAATGGTGGCCTCCAGTCAATGGCTAAGCATCTCTCCAACAGCCAAAGTCTCCTCGAAGACGAAGCTCGTGCTTGGGATTTAGGCGTTCTCGAAGACCTCAAAAGGTGAATAGTCTCAGTATACAAGATGGGCCGAGCGTTCGCTAACAACATGATGATAGACAGCGAGATAGTCTAGTAAGTATGCGAGAAATGTTCGACCGCCGGGATCGTTATGACAAGGATAACATTCCATATCTGGAGAAAAGAATACAAAACAACGAAAACAAGCTCGTCGCGATTCGGGCGAAACCAGAGAATCTGATGAAACCTGGGGAAATTGAGAAAGTCACCGAAGCAATCATCAAAGTAAGTTAAAACCCCACGGTTAACATTCGTACTAACAATTATATAGGATAAGCAATCGATCGTTGCACAACATGCTCGTGGTGTTTTTGTCAAAGAGTGCATTCGAGATGAGTTGATGAACTTTCAATCCTCTCAGTATCATGTCAGCCGTTTAAGTCAAGACTGGGCGCAGGAGCGCGTCAAGTATTCCGAACTGCAAGCCGATAACTGGAAGCAATTACAGGAGGAGGCGGAGGCTATGCCGCTGGGAGAATAATGCAGAGAAGGAGGAGGAAAGCTATTTGTACGAAAATTGGTAAAGACTATATTTCAGTTTCAGCGGCATTTGTACACATAATACGGCTTAAGAAGAGCCAAGCTAGTGTTTACTGGACAAGGTGGTTTAACTTATGGTTACAACCGACCCTTGTGAAGTTTAAACTTTTAATCCGATATACTTGGTAGAGTGCTCAAAATTCGCCAGTGTAGATCTGATACAATTAGTAGGTGTGCGTTCAATCGCCTCTACCACAGATGTTTCAACGTGAATGCTCGGGAGGCATCCTCGAGGCAACCCCCTTTTCCTTCGCTTATGATTGCCCAGGTGTTTTCTTATCGGCAGGCGTGGCGGCCCGTGCCCGCCCGCTGCCCCTCCTTCCTTAACGCGATCTGAAAGCGCAAGTTCTCCTTCAACGACATTTTTGTTACAATAACCGCCATCATTCAACCTAGAGACCAGCTTGTGTAGTAGAAACCGCGACCATGCCACCAACCCCGAATCAACGTGCGTTAATCAGCCAGTTCATGTCCATCACCGGACTTCCAGAAAAGACTGCGACAAGAGTAAGTCTCAACATCTGCCTAGAAAGGTGAGATTCATGGAAAGCGCGACCGTGTTGACAGCTCTTTCTCGTATAGCATCTCAAAATTGCCAATTGGAAAATCGACCAAGCATCCGACAGGTGAGATATAACAGCTTTCTTTTGGATTACATCAAGTTACAAACGGTCAACATTGAGAACTGCTCCGCCTCACTCCGCCTCGACCTTTTTTAATCAATATGCGTTCCCCAGAGGCCGGAACTGAGAGCACTCCCCAGGCGGATGTCAAAGCAACTAATATCCGCATTCCTCCGATATTCCAGGATGGTTGGGAAATTTATGCTCAAGATCTTGCCGAAGCCTCTTTATCGCAGAGGAGTCATGGACTGGGCGTCTTCAGAAAGTATGTATTTTAAACGTTTATGGCATATGCAGGTGGTTTGCTCGGCCGCACATACTGGAACTCAAGCAGAGTATCATCATTCGAGGTCTGGGGGAAACTCTGATAAGTTCTCCTGAATTGTCTCATTGGGGAGCTGCGCGCAGAAGACTCCTACCAAGGAGCGGAAAAGTAGCTCTTTGACTCGCTATTGCTACTCGATCTCTCGAACCACGTACGCAGACTCCACGTCTTCTTACTCCTACAATTTCCGAGAACTACAAACTCAAAAGCGTTATGGTCAGAATACTCGCAAAATACGTTTCCCATCTTTGCGCCGATCAACGATGAGCCGGACACATACACTTGGTTGCCTTTTTGGTGGATTAGTTGAAGCTATACGGTGGATCCTAGCAGATGCGGTCTTTGAAAAGCCTGGATGTTCGGTCTCTGGAGCTTGGTATTCATCATGTACTATCTCACGCCTTCGAATTCTGCCGGCCACCAACTCAACGAGTCGATCGTCACATTTTATGGGTCTGCAAGACATTTCCAGATGCTCCATTTAGACGGCCAGTAGAGACGAGAAAAAAACTAGTTGGGTAAGCTTTTGAACAGTTGTTGTAAGCGCTGGCTATTGTGCGCGCCCACTCCTCGAACGGCGGCACGCTAGTATTCCTGGACCAAGGGTCTCTGCTGGTTCGACATTGAATGTTTACTCCCTCAGTGCCTAGGCAGCGTCTGAATACGACAAACGGAATACGCTAGCTTCTCTGCAGCTACCATTGATAGTTGCCAAAAGGCTTTTCAGGGGTCGTGTTCCCTTCTCCCGCTATACCTCAGAACTTATATATCGCCTAGGGGGTAGCAGCTGTCGTGGTTGGAAGGAACTCCTCAGATGACCGAACCGTATTCTATTTCAGTCGCGAGCACAACCTTGCCCATGATGCAAGGCTCAGATGCAGAAGATGAGCCTACTATGGCACCTTCAAAATCATGGCCCAGAAAAGATAAAAGCCACAGATGTGATCTGGTTGTCACAAGCAATCGACTATCTAAGTCTGCTTCGTGTTGCGCTTAGAAGTGCTCTCCCACATGTTCCAAGGTGGCCGAAGTCTTTCGCAGTCCTGTATACTGTGGCGTATCAGCATGCAATCGACGAGAACACTGGCGGCCGGGACCTCGGAAAACCTCTACCACATTTGGGCCTCGAAGCAAGCACCATGTTTCTGTGCTCTCAATTACATGATAAACTTGAACATGCAGGAAATGCCGAAACTTACTGACATGCGAATGAATAGTTACTATGCCTCGAATGGTGTCGCTCCACCAGTTGAGAAAGGAAAGGAAGCACTCGAGAAAATGTTCGACAGCTACCGTGGTACGTTCTGGAGAGAACAAGTATCTAAAACATGGACTGACATATTCTTTTGCATAGGTCAAGGCGACGATGAAACTACAGTAGGAGCTGACGGCACGATGAGATACTTTACTCAAGACCTGGAACTCAATCTGGAGAACGCCGAATTATTGATTCCGTTGGAGATATGCAGGGTCCAGGAGATCGGTGCTATGAACAAGGAGGGATTCGTAGAAGGCTGGCGCGCAGTTGGGTATGTGGATCTCCCGCTGATCTAAGAGAGTTTACTGATGAGCCTGTAGTTGCCCTACATTGGCAAAGCAAAAGGCATACATCGCTACACAAATTAAGGCGTTGTCTACAGATATGGCAGTTTACAAAAGAGTATATAGATACGTTTTCGTTTGCGCCAAGGAGAGAGGCCAAAAAGCATTACCACTAGACACCGCTATTGAATACTGGCGGGTTCTATTTGCACCTCCAGGTATGACTTGGGTCACGGATACAACCGATTGGACAGCCTTGTGGTTTGAGTTTCTCTCCGCGAAGTGGACTAAGAGCGTAAATAAGGACATGTGGCATCAGACACTTGAATTCCTTCAAAAGGCTGTACAAGACGAGAGTTTATCTTTCTGGAACGAGGATGGGGCTTGGCCTAGTGTCATTGATGAGTTCGTCGTGTACGCGAAGGAGAAGAAAGGGATACTGGAGAAAATGGAGACTGACTAAGCATTGCCTACTGCAGGTGGGCTATTGGCGAGCAAAGCGATACATGAGCGTCTTTTGACTGTAGCTCGAGCGAGCATTGCATATTGTTACGGCGTATGGTAAATCTGGGGGTTTCGACTCCATCTGAATACAAGATGAATTATGATCAAAACCTGTTCTTGTGCCCTGCTGCGATTCATGAAAAGTCTTATTGAGTCCTTTGTATAATACTCAGTCGTGCGCCATGCAATGCCATACGTTTATAGTACATCCTGTCCCTCGCCTCTTAATCTAGCGACCCGAATTTGATTAATTCCTTACACATCGCCCACGCTCACAGTCTTTGAACCCAGCACCAAAAGCCTAGAATTCCTCCCTCCTATCCCACTTCACATCACCCGAAACCTTGCTTAACGCCGCGAGCGTCCCATCCCCTAACTTCACACTCGTAAACTTGATCATCCGGGGATCCAAACCCAGCGTCGTCCTCACATCCTCCTGAATCTTAGACGAAGCGTCGTATCGCATGACGAAATAATGGCCATCCGTATGCTGGGCTTGATGTTTTCGGGTGCGTTTTGGAAGGGAAAAGACGCCCCAGTTGTTGAGGCCGCGGATTGTGCCGCCGCTGCGTAGGATTAAGGAGCCGGTCGTTCGTGCGATTCTAGAGAGGTGTTAGACTCGGGGATATAAGTTCAATTGTTGAGATAGTAAGGGCCTTGGGTTGTTTCTGGAATGAATAATGGCTCCTGGGATGCTTACTCTTTTACCTCGGCGAGATTGCCGGGTCGAACCTGGATAATCGTTAGTATTGTCCAGAGGATTGGCGAAATCGATTTTTACTTACGATTGCAATAAGCTCATACAGCATGTTTGCGCTCTGAGCCTCGTCGTTGTTTCCCCCGTAATGTGCTCGCTCGAGTTCTCGAATTCAGTTGCAGCCGGATCAAATATTCCCCGGCGCATGAACCCTTGCTCCAAAAATTTCGCGATTGTGCGAGCGATAAGAAAAATATCTTTGGCTCCCCGCAGTTGACAGTTGTGTCTATCCGCCGTCTAAGTTTGTAAACGTCCAGGTATCTTACAATGTCGAAACGTCCAGCTGAAGATTACGAGAATGGTGGTGTTGCTTTAAAGGGTGGAGATCGACCGGTGCAACCAGATGCTGCGGATGAGCTGGGGGACTTCGAGGACGAATTTGAGGACGAATATGAGAGTGAGGATGAGATTATAGAGGCAGGTGTGGATGGACGGCCCGATGCTGAGAGGGAGGCAGAAGAGAAAGCTGGTACTTTTGTTTTGTTTTATACAGATATGATCACAATACTGCAGAACACTCGCTGACTTGGATATACAGAACAAATGGATGTCGATCAACAGACATTTATTGTTGGACGAAATAAACTAGAGCCTGGCCAAACGCTTTCCCCAGATTTATCGACTTACGAAATGCTACATGCGCTCTCCACGCCATGGCCTTGTCTCTCGTTCGATATTGTAAAGGATAGTTTAGGAGATAGTCGCAAAACATATCCTGCCACGATGTATGCAGTTGCTGGTACACAAGCAGACAGTAAAAGAGAAAAGGAAAATCAATTGATGGTCATGAAGTTCAGTGGTCTAAGCAGAATGGATCGGGAACAGGATGATGACGACTCTTCTGACGATGAGGATGAGGATGCGGATCCAATATTGGAATCGACGAGTATACCATTGACGAGTACGACAAATCGCATACGAACACACCAGACCCCGGCGAGCGATTCGAGTAGGCCTCCTACGACTTTGACAGCGAGCATGATGGAGTCTGGCGTGGTTTTGATCCACGATGTCACACCTCACCTGAACTCCTTTGATACTCCTGGTACTACGATCACTCCACAACAAAATAAGCCTCTCTCTACGCTGAGAATGCACAAGTCGGAGGGATATGCTGTGGATTGGTCACCGCTGATATCAACTGGGAAATTGGTGACTGGCGACAATAATGGAAACATCTTTGTCACTACACGGACCGCTGGTGAAGGATGGGCGACTGATTCGAGACCTTTTTCGGGACATAGTGGCAGTGTGGAGGAGTTACAATGGAGTCCTTCCGAGAAAAACGTGTTCGCGTCGGCGTCAAGTGATGGGACGATCAAAGTCTGGGATGTGCGAAGTAAAAGCCGTACAGCTGCGCTCAGCGTCCAAGTCAGCAGTACAGATGTAAACGTGATGTCATGGTCACATCAAACCTCTCATCTTCTAGCATCTGGCGCCGACGATGGACAATGGGCAGTCTGGGACTTAAGGCAATGGAAGCCCAACACCTCATCGTCTTCCAGCCCAACGCCAGTAGCCAGTTTCAATTTCCATAAAGAGCAGATCACTAGCGTTGAATGGCACCCCACAGATGATAGCATAGTCGCTGTAGCAGCTGGCGATGATACGCTGACACTATGGGATTTGGCGGTCGAGTTGGATGACGAGGAAAGCAAGGATACTGGTGGTGTGGCAGAGGTTCCTCCTCAATTGCTTTTTGTCCACTATATGGAAAAGGTCAAGGAGCTACATTGGCATCCTCAGATCCCAGGCTGCTTGGTTGGCACTGGAGAATCCTTCAATGTCTTCAAAACGATTAGTGTGTAGATCTTGACGATCGGAAGAATAAATCAAATAAATTTCCAAGCTGGGTGGACCCTAATCGCCAGTGAGTCAGTAATGAACGAGATACAGGCTTGGTTGGCTGCAAGTCGTCGACATAACCCTTAGTGGGAAGAGTAGCGTATTTATGTGGAGGAGGTTTTGGCCACACTGCCCAACTTCAGAAAGAGCCGCTTCAGCCGCCGGAAAACACAACACTGTGTGAAGAAGCAAGAGTAAGCTTCTGGACGAAGCAATGATGCCTACGGTGTAGCTTCGCCCACCCATTCTCGGTATCCGGTTTCATGAGGAAGCCACGGAGAAGGCCGCTTTCCACATCGGAGGATATATCTTAAATTCGAACGCCAGTAACTCTGCCGTGGAGCCATGTGGTAATTATTTCCAGCAAAATTGGCGCTTCCAGGAAGGAGCTCCCTGGAGTTCATCACTGTCGCTGGAGAAAGCCATCCCGCAAAGGGCGAGTTTCTGCCGGTTGCCCATTGCGTCGGTATTCTGGTGGAAATTCTGTATCAGGCCAAGAAGCAAATGGAGTTTCGAGACGATGTTGCTCTATTACCGGGTTTCTCCAGAGGCTATCTCATGCTTTGTAATATCGGTGGCTCCCAGGTTGTTGGGAAGAGGGAAGAGGGAAGACATGCAAGCTGTCTTATCCATTATCCGCGGACCTGTAGGCTGCACATCCCCCAGATCACGAAGCAGCATTTTCCCCTCCTCGGCCCCAGGCACCAGACATCTTGGTGAAAATGCACCGCTCCAGGCGCATGAGGAAACGTCGATCTGTGGCGGTCGTTGTGCAGGCCTGGCCCTTTCGACCAGAGGCAGGAGCGAGAGGCAGTGATGCTGGAGTCGAACAGCAGTGTTCCAGTCAGCCTCATCAGAAACGTAAAATTTTCAGTTGAATAAGCAATATGGTCCTGCAGAGTGCCCCGAAGTGGTATTTGTCCCAATGTCGAGCGCCACGATGGAGGTGTTGTTGGTAGAAGCGACGCCAATGGGCAAGGTACGGCAAGGGCGTGCGGTGGAGCGATACCAATCAGGGCAGTTGGGTCCGGAATTCTTTGAGCAGCCTCGTGATCCATTCTGAAAATGCACATTTTGCTGATGCAGACCGCGCATTGGACGCCGGCTGTCCAGATTTTGCTGGAGGAGCATAGAGGAGCCGGGTTCCCATGCACCCCGTGCTGATTTCCCCGCAAAAGATCATGGGCATGATGGGCCAAAGGTGCGGGTGGAACGGGATGAAGGCCCAAACCCAACTTCCCGGACACAACACAACCACACTAGCAGCTGGACCGTCTCCTGCTGCTTGTGGCATTATTGCTTGCTCGCGCGTCTCTTCTCTTCCTCTCCGACCTCTGCACTACTACGCTCAAGAGAAAACTGCTTCACGAGACAGCAAAGACCGCCAGTCGATCACAGCAAGAGCTCGCCGGCCATCAGAACTAGCCCAGATGAGCGTCTGCTTCCAAGTCCTCATTTTCGTGGAGGAGATGATGATGCCCATTTAACGCGGCGACGCACAGCATACCCACCAACCCAAGCGCTCCTGTATCACACGTGAGCATGGTACACATCTTTTGTGACCAGCCCTCTTACAGAGATACCTTCACGTTCGGTCTCTGTTCAAGTCCCTCAATCAAGTTCTCCTTCAATGATCCGTTGCCGTTGGTGCTTCCTACCCACCAATCTTTTAAGCGTCGACGAGCCCTATCCGATGTGGATGGAGGTGGCAATGAAGGACGAAAGAAACGCCGGCTACGGTTGCATCTCATCACCTCCAGACTGAGCTTGCCTTTCTCTCAGCCAGCGACGAACATCGTGAATCGTGGTGTGGCCAAGGTGGCCGTCTGGAGACCGAAGAACAATACGCTCGGAAGAAGCGAGTTGAGAAAAGCTGCAATTATGAATCGTGTAAGAAAGAGAATGGATGCTGCCAAAGACTTTATGAGGTTGGAGCAAGAAAAGGGACGGGCGCCTCTTTCCTTCCGAGAGGTCGTACTTCAGAAGCCTCGGATTCATGAGATGCCTCTACCCCCGTCTCCACTGGGAACTTCAAACTATGATGCTCTCGAATTAGAAGACGAGTTTGACGACTATGATGAAGATGGAAGTGAGGGGTCGTCGGCTATCTATTCTGACTTCAACATCATGAATCCGATCACAAGCGATGGAGACGAGTATGACTACCTAGATGCCATTGACGGTATCACGACGCAGGATTTACCTGACACACCACCTCAACCTGTGGAAGAGGACATAGCAGAGTTACTGAGGGAAAAGGAACGACAAGGTGATGATTGTTCTGTTTATGCGGGGAAGTAATCGACAAACATATGTACGGGTAAAATTGCATTTGCATGGTTGGCGTCAAAGAGCGTTACATGAAAAGGACAGGCAAAGCTGGCCATACAAACGGAAGGTTGGGGGTAAAAAAAGGTGCATCTTCTTTCAGGGCTGTTGGAGTTTGGAAGCCCGATCGGCAGCAATATCACACATTGCCTTCCGAGTAGTACATGGATCAGCCAATGCGAATTATCATGTCCTTACTGGCGTCTTACCTTGATAGCCTCTGCTCGTTCTAGTTTAATATCACCGCGCGAGATTCTCTCTTGCATATTTGCCATGATCACAGGACGTGGTCTTCCGTTTACAAAAACACTAGATAATGTCAGCTCAACACCAAGAATGGCTCGTGCATCATCGTACACGTATTTCAGCCCTGGAAAAGTTTTTTCATATTCGTCGTTCAGTGATCTTAATTTCGCTGCCTCTCCTTCTCCCCCTGTGTTCAACTGAGCTTGTTCCGCTTGAGATTGAACGCTCTCGACTTTCTTTTCACCGAGCCTGGGATGTGCTCCAAGTATCTTGTCCAACCACTCTGTGTCACTCGTAGACGGACTCTCGGAGAGCCCTGTCAGTTGCGCTCCCACTCTTGCAATGAGCTGGTTGTAAGATTCAAAATTCTTAGTATGGAGAAGGTCAACCGATAACGTATGTAAAGCGGTACATGGTTCAAACAGAGCATCGAGAACAGCTGCTCGCTCAATTGTTGAGAGGGCCGGAATCCCAGAAATTGGAGGAAGCTGATAGCTTGCCATTCTGATACTTTGGATGGAAAAGTTCGATTTCACGTTACTAAAACGTTGTCGTGCTGAAATACAAGACCTGTGACAAGGCTCGATTTACCCCATAAGTAGAAATCTGAGATAGGCTCTTGGCCTATCAAGAAGTGCGCATCGCACTAGACCTAGTAAAGACTAGCGCGACAGGACCGCGACCTGCGAAAAAGATGGCTCTCTAATTCATGCAATGCGCCAAACACAATTAACGCCAGCACTCCAAGAAAATTAAAATGCTGTGCTCAAGTAAGTCATGCTTGCGACCCGATGAATTTGTGAAGACGCGACTGACCTCCATTAGTATCCGGCGAAGCTCCTCAGCACCCCGTGGCTTCGTCCAAGTCGGGTAAGTTATTGAGGAAGCTTCAAATAAACGACCGTGTTGACACCTTTTAGGAATTGTCTATGAGAAGCGTTTGATTGAGACATATATTGCAGAGAACCACAAAGATCCAGTAAATGGCGAAGAACTAGAAACTACAGATCTCATCGATCTAAAATCGTCCAGAATAGTCACCCCCCGACCCCCAACGCTCACATCCATTCCCTCGCTTCTCTCGACCTTTCAAAACGAATGGGATGCTATCGCTTTGGAGTCATTTACTTTACGACAACAGTTGGATCAGGTACGGAAGGAGTTGGCAACAGCCCTATATCAGCACGATGCAGCAATCCGAGTTATTGCTAGAGTTACAAAGGAACGAGATGAAGCTCGCGATGCGTTGTCAAAAGTTTCTGTTGGTGCTGGGGCCTCAGGAAATGGAGACGCGATGCAAATAGACAGCGAAGGTCTACCAGAAGACCTGGCTGCCAAAGTAGATGCGACGCAAGAGAAGTAAGATCCGACTTTGTTCAAGCGTTCAAGATGCTATACTAACTATCTCAAAGACTGTCCAAGACACGAAAAAAGCGACCCGTACCTAAGACATGGGTTGATAGGGACACGATCGAGAAGTTTGGTGTGGCGTCTTCCTCTGAAGAGCTATTCGCAGGGGCGAGTTCCCTCGCTGTGGATGAGAGCGGAGACTTAGTGGTTACCGGTGGATCCGAGGGTACGGCTGGGATATACTCCATATCAGAGAAGAAAGTACAGCAATCGTTTAAGGTTGGAGGAGCCGTCACAGATGCAGTCTGGTATGGCAGCCAGCCTGTAGTTTCCACGACATCTGGTGCGGTTAAGGTCTTTGGCGACAGTGAGGCTACATTCACATCTCATGCTGGCAGCGCCAATGCCCTTGCGTTACATCCATGTGGCGACATTCTAGCATCAGTTGGGGTTGACAAAAGCTTTGTGATCTACGATCTTGTAAAGGGGAGACCAGTAACTCAGATTTACACAGACTCAGGTATGTAAGACTGAATTTGGCAAATTATTAGCTAACACGTTGCACAGAGCTCACTACTGCCGCATTCCATCCTGACGGCCATCTTTTCGCCGCGGGTGGTGCCGACGGTCAAATCAAATTGTTCCACACGAAGTCTGGCGAAAACGCCGCTAACTTTGACTTGGGAGGACCCGTTCAAGACGTTTCCTTCTCTGAAAATGGTATCTGGTTTGCGGCCGTTGCTAAGGGGTCCAACAGTGTTGTGATTTTTGATTTACGTAAGGAGGGTAAAGCAGCAGAAGCTGAAGTCCTCGAAATTGGAGGCCAAGTTGATAGCATTCGATGGGACTATACTGGGCAATACCTGGCCGCCTCGGGCCCTCGAGGGCTTACCATCACACAGTATACCAAGTCGACCAAATCATGGTCAGACGTCATCAGTACAGCAGTTCCGGCAACAGCAGTTGAATGGGGGTCAGCGGCAAAGACCTTGGTGACTGTTAATGGAGATGGTATAATTACAGTGCTGGGTTAGGGTACGGGAGCGGAAATTGGGGGGATTCACAGTCGTTTCTGGCCCAAAGAGCAAAGTTCGGCGACCCCTCACATGTAAACAGTCGCATGTAATACTAGATATCAAAAATGTAGCGGGCTGGGTTCATCACGTTGATGACATTGACTATCACGTCTTGCTTTTAAATGCAGCCTTGTCATACCTAAGGACTGTGGCATGGTATGGTCAATTTTGTGAATGGTGATTGATACGCCTCGCAGGGACTTTATATTTGCTTTCACTACTTTGTCGACAAACTTACCTGGTACCTGGCCAAAGAGTGAGTAATTTCTGGGCTCCTTGCTTTGTCTTGAGTTCTGTCGGAGTTAAGAAGTTAGGATGCGCTCTAGAACAACAACCCAGTCCCGCCACTACAACACCTGTGATCTCACTTCATCCATTCCTCTCGCACCACCGAGGGACGAGCCTGGTGCCCACGACAACTCGACATTTACATTCACTCCACTTTTGGAACGATACAGTGCTCAGCCAGGAGAGAGGATTTATCCGCACCAGGAGTGAATAGTCAACGATTGCCCTGGGGATGGATGCACCGCAACGCCACAAGGTTAGCCTCTCTGTTTCCTTCGTACTTTATTCGGCAGAAAGCTGCTAACACTGCTCCAAACAGCGGTCTTTTACGGAAATGTCCCAGCAGGCGACGCTATCACCTTCACCTTTCAACTTCCGCGAATCTCCATCACTCTTCTTGCCTCGATCACCGTCTGCCGCACCTTCTCGTGGACCTAACACGGTCCATCCGTCCTCCTCTTTCCACGAGCGACGACGAACCCCACACCCTCACAATTCCGCGCAAAGCCCCCATGGAGACTCGCTGAATCCCTCAGCAAACGCTTCTGCCTCAAGACTTGGACACCGCGCATCACATCTTGTCATCGATCTTACAGAAGACCAAGAGGGACCGAATCCCACCATGCCTCGAAGAGCCCGACCGGATGGGGAACGATCCCACCAACCACCGCAGCTTGGAAGGAGTGATGCGTCAGGTTTGCGAGATGTTGTTGACTTGACAGACGATCATGAGGAACAGGAAGTCATGATAACTGGTGCTCGCGAACTTCCAGCGCCACGACCTCGAAATGCTGAAGCCGCTCCGAATCGCCCGCTGGGTGGACTTCGCCTACCAAGCATACGAGCCGAATCTCCTTCGCTATTTGTACCTCGCCCGCCCGAACAACATGCGTTTCAGCGAGCTTTAGGACGCCCACTACAAGCTTTCGGCGCCGCCCTGGGATTCGGTGGGGTGGTACGAAGGCCTGGCAACCCTCATGAACTTCTCAGGAACAGTGTAGCATTTGTGGAACAATTGCATGCGTTTGCTGAATTTGAAGAGCACCTTCAACACATACCTGGGCTTGATTACAGAACACAGGGTTTAGGAGAACCTCGAAAACCAGATCACGTTCCCCCGAAAGCCGCACGCGAGAACTTCACCCGATCTCCCAAGGAAGACGATGTTGTTATCTGTCCGAGTTGTGATGAAGAACTCGTGCATAACAAGCAAGATGAAGAGCCCATGGTGAAGAAGGGTGGGAAAACCCCGACCAGGAAAGAGCGCGAGGAACATTCTTTCTGGGTTGTGAAGGATTGTGGGCACGTAAGTCAATACTCGCCTTTTGAAAACCTGTACATATGGCTAATAAATATACAGGTCTACTGTAATAATTGTTACCAAAATCGCCTTTCTCACGCCAAGATGCCAAATGTTCATTTTTCCGAGGGCTCGAAGCAAACTAAATCCAAGGCCACCAAGACAATTACCTGTTCCGTAGATGAATGCGAGTCAGATGTCAAATCCAAGGACAAATGGATTGGCATCTTCCTGTAGATAGCCTACACGAATTAATAAACGGCTCCGAATTTCGCCGCAATATTCCGTACATATTTTTTAAGCATAGCGGGTTGGTTAAGGTTAAGCTGCCACGGTCTCGGCATTGCACGATGTTAAGCATGGAGCAAGGGAAGGGTTATTTCAAGCACTGGAAGGGTCCTCAAATAAAGGCGTTGGGTGATGTTATTACATCATTTGATCTGGCGTTGAACTGGTAACTGAAGACGGCCGGATGGAGTTCATGAGAGGTAGTCCGCGGAAGTCTTTCCTACTCATACCTGGTTGTTCAACTCTGTAGGCTGGCACATAGATGGGATATAATGAGGAAAATAAATATTATACGCCATGCAATTTTTACTATTCTGATATGATATTCTTTTTCGATCTATGCGATTCAGATGTTGAGGTTTTACTCTTGGTCTAGGATTATAGTCATCGTGGGCCAATCGACGAAAATGTACAAACAGGTGCGTACATGATCATCCTCATGTATATAGACGTGAAGACTCAAAGATCTAGCCTGTGAGCCGATGAGCCTCTTCGTCCCTGCTCCAGTATTTGCTCATACCGACTAGACTTTGTGATTGTTGATTCCTCCTTTTCTATTCACTTGAACTGAAAAGTCTCCGCGAGCTGCCATATTGCAGTGGCTTTTGTAATTCAGACTATAAGTGCAATGATTCAGGTGGACTGCTGATTTACTGCTGTAAATTCATGGCTCTCTGTCTCAAGATTGCGAACTAAAAGAATTACTCTTGATGCCAGTTGATGAGTACTCGTGCCTATAGCTGTGTTTCGTTGGTCGATGTCGTAGAAAACAGGTAGGGCTTATCATTCTCTTCGTTCGGTCTTGCTTATTTAATGCTAAGATAGTTCTTTAAAACAGTAGCACGCCAGGATAATTCAAACGCTGAACCTACGTGAGGACTCATTTGAGCGATTATCGATAATTTACAGCTACCTTGTTAATTAGATCAAGAACTTTCAATACTGTATTTGAGAGTCTAAGAGCATGATGCTCTTATTCTTCGAGCAAATCCTTCTAGAATCTCACCAGAGCTTGAGACATTGTGTATTTGCGATGATTCTCGGGAGTCATATGGTCCGCTTAGGCATAAATTAACAAGTTGCCGACGGGAACTCGACGTTCCATATCTAGACACCGAAGCTACAAACAAGGTTGTGATCTCTTTTAAGCCATTCCTTGAGCTCTACCGCCCTCGGGCTCCCTTCTTGCGCAGCAAACATTGTGTTGACCTTTGGCTTGGAGCAAAGGGCTATATTTACCTGACAGGTTTTCAATCCTAACCACCACTTGATCATTCTAAAATGCAGTGGCGATCCTCCGGTACAGTTCATATTGGTGGATCAAGTCCATACGCCAGTCGATCTGCATCATGACTATCCAGTCGAAGCCGGTATCGACTCCTCAAGTTTGTATAGGTCGTGTAGTGGTGGCCACTTTCGTCAAACCATACCAATGGGTTTTGGAATCCAAGGTCCTTGCCAGAGTGACCAGCCCTTCCCACTTGACGGTTCATCAACATCCATGTCTTCTCGTTCCTCGGGCACCGGTTCAATGTCTGCTTCCACTTCGTCAAGTCCTTCATCCATCGCAGCCATTTCCGCTCTCATTTTCTCCAATTTGGACATAGGCGTGCTAGATTTGGAGCTCTTTGCACTTGGCTTTGGCGTTGAGTCTCCTTTGGTAATCTTCTTGTGCAAATTGACACACCGTAATAAGACTGCCGGATCTTTTGAACTCCATTGAATTTCCAAAAGCGCCATCAAGAGCTCATCCTCGTCCCAGCCACCGAGTTTCGATTCTAGTTCGCTTCGCCGCGTCTGGTCGGTTTCTTGTACTATTCTACGGACGAAGGCTTTGCAGTCATGCTTTTGTGCTGGCGCAGTTTCGATGGTCAACTTGACCCAGTAGTAATCCCAGATCCAATTGAGTGCTTTTTGCGTAGCAGTTCTGAGCTTCGAGAGTGATGGTAGTTCCTCATGGGTGGCTTGGTGACGAAGCTCAACATAGGTTGCTGGTAGTCCGATTGATTTGGCAATTGAGTACATGCTCATTTTCTTCTGTTTGACTTGGTGTCCATCTAAGAGACCTGTTACAAACCTGGAAGTCATCAGCTTGTTGCTTAGGCTTTTACCAGATGGCGTAGCAGAGCACAGCCAGCAGCCTTCTTACGATCAACGTATTGACCTTCTGAAATATGCTCATGGTTCGTAAAGCATTTGCTAACATCGGTGTAATTTTGCAACCTGCAAGTACAGAAGTGAACAGTCTTCATGCCAATATTAATATAGAGTATCAAGTAGGACATCTTGATTGGCAGAGAAGTAGTAAATGTAAGACGAATAATTGAGATATTCTAGCAATTAAGACCCGCGGACCTTTTGCCCTGACACTTATCAGGTTCATTATCAAAGAACACCTTTTAAGGTTCATTGACAAAAATAATATCGAGCTCTGAGCGAAAATCACTGATCTCAAACAAACTCTCTTACACTCATGCTCCAATGTGACACAAACGATACGACAAGTGACTATGTGAAAATCCTCTCTAGTATTTCCGTGGGGGTCCGTTGGGTTTATGCGATCGTGACAGACTTGATGGTGCTGAAACGCTTGCTCAGTTGTCTACACTCGCTACCAGACTTGGGCCACGGCGCAAACTGGCTTCAATTCAATCCGAAAGAGGAGAGTGTTGTCCGACTTTCAGATGATATATTGCCGAGATAGAAGTGCCGTTGGCTTCTCCTGTTAGAGAGCAACTAGCCAAGGATTGTAGCCAAAGACACGTAGCCAAATGCTCTCTGACAAGACTTTTCTGAGCAAGAAAATTATTCTGCGTCATCGGCTGGTTCGGTCTGAACGGAGTGTACCGTATATCAACTAGACAGGTCCAGACCATTTGAGAGGTCGGGAAATACCTTTGGTTGGCTTGTCCGTCTGAAATGGAATTCAAAAAGCAGTATTATAGTAATCTCTCAACAAAAAGCTAAACTCACCGACTAAACGCACCTCCATAGGCGGCTCTAACACAATAGGTCGAGTTTCCACCTCGTCGATCGTTCAAGACCGCTGCAACAAGCAGAGCCGTACTCTCCACTAGATGCGGGCAATTACCTCTTTGCACTATTCGTACAGTCAGCGACCATATCCGGAAGGAGCGAAGGCTGCTATGATTCGGTAATCTGATCGAAGAGCAAACCATGCTTGCTTGATCCTTTCTTTTCTCCTGAAAGGAGTTGCATTCCAGATGCTGACCAGAAAGCCTGCTGAGAAATAAGGAAACTGCAGACTCACTCCACACCCCGACCAGATCAACCGCATCCCTCATGGCCGCCACTTCTTTCCCATTCCCATACAGCTTCTCCCGCACTTCAATAAGCTCAGACTGATGCCGCCACGGCGTAATGACATATTGGACCATGGCTGCCTCCTCGCCCTCCAGACCCGTCGTGTTTGCACTTTGCACTTGGAAAGCCCGCTCGGGTTGCGAGTCCTTCTTACATGTGTTTCCAGAAAAGTCGTCTCCACGTGCAAGCGTGGTGCTCCAGCTCCTAACTAGGTCGGCCAAGACCAAACCAACATCAGCCAGAAAAAGCCCGCGTCCCAGAACTCGGACCTCGGAGCCGAAACAAACTCGCTAAACACGGGTGCGATCTAAGCGAATCCCAGCACTTCACCCTATTCTTAGCCTCGAATCGTACCATACCCCTGACTGAGGCTCGATCGATGAAGAATGATGATTTCTTTTGGTTGCGTGGTACATTGGACTGGAACGCATGGTGGGAAAACAAGTGGGATGTCATTTGAGACCTTGAGAAACATTTGTGAAGCGTGGAACAAGTAGAAGACATATTGAAAAGCCGAGAGGATAGCGGAATGTAGATCCAATGGTGTTGATCTCCAAGTAATGCTGTTGGCTATGGCAACATTGTGAGTCTTATCGGTAGTCATTGCGGGACGAAGATTGCTTGTAAAATTTTCTTAGTTTTTATTTCATATTCTGAAATTTATGTAGTTGATTTGAATGGCTTCAGAGGCCAAATCCATTTGGGTATGACGAAAACTCCAGTAGCGCCTGATGCTATGCCCAAGCCAGAGAAAACGCCCATGTACCGACACAGATGCTATGCATACCTAATCCAAAATAACAAACGCCTAGATCGTGAGATCTCTAGTCCTATACCCAATTGCCACCATAATTCTGATGATCATGTGACGCTACAGCCACCGGGGCGGTATCATCATCCTCGTCTGAACCCTCGCCGTCTTCCTCACCATCGTCGCTAGGTGGAGTCCAGCCCTCCTCAAGCTTCAAACCTTTCCCATTCGAAGGTAGGACTTCTGGCCCTTGATATGGGTGGCCAACAAAGGTATTCATCAGAAGTGATTTGTAGTTATCCAACTGTGGGTCGGCCTCTGGTGACTTTGGTGTATCGTATAATCCTAGGCCGAGTAGTTCTTCCCCGCTGTCTTCATCATCAGAGAGAGGTTGATACGGGATAGACTCCATAGCGGGTTCGGGGTGCTGAATAGGTAGGAAATTTTCGGGTGTGGGTGGTGCCGTGGTTGACTGAAAGTTGGAGGCGGAGAAAGAATCCCAATCATGTTGAGAATATACCATCGATTCCAAGCTTGGTTCTGGCTGAGGTGTGTATTGTGATGGCCGCTCCTCAGTCGACATGGGCTGCTGAGAAAAAAGATAACTGTTTTGGAAATATGCACCAGAATTTCCCTGAAGATATTGCTGCTCATAAGAGCTAAGAGGTACTGTAGCTGGGCCATAGTTCATGCTGGGAGAGTTGTATGATGAATAGACCTCTGGAGTGTATGAAGGATATTGGTATTGCTGGTGACTGTAATTGTATGTCGTGGGTGGATAAAAAGACTGAGAGGGAACTTGCGGCGGTTGTTGCGAGGAGGGATGCCAGCTGACCGGCCTATTCGTTCGTGCTGGAACTTGAAGAGCTTCGTTCGAGACGAATCCAGCAGACATGGAGGTGGCAGTGTGTTGGTCATTAAAGGTAGCCTTTCGTCGATAAGGTCCATCGGACACCACAGTTCTCCTTTTGCCCGCACCCATGGATCCTCGAGGACTGTTGCTGGCGCTGCTTGGTTTGACGACACGCATGGAGCCGCTTGTCCTTTGCGAATATGTACTCGATGGTCGAGAGAGTCGTGATAGATTTGACATTGCCATCTGATTCGAGACGTCTTCTAATAGACTCTCAACTGTTGCGTACCCTAACCCGCTCGTTTCCCAATTCCCTAAATTCATGGTACTTGCTTTTGTGTTTGAGTACGAAGGAGAGTAAGGATACGTGAAAGGTAGAAATGGCGGCGGATATATAAATCAAAAAGTCTTCGAGGCGGTGACCGTGTATTATAGATTGTGGTGAAATGAAGTACGGAGTAAGGGGAAAGACATAATAAGAAGGAATCTAAGGGATCACCACGTCGAGGCTAGAGTCCTAGACAACGGAGGACAAATATGGACGGTACCTTGTAAGTGACTTAAAAATGTCCCGATATGTCGTCTGTGTCATCTGGCTGACGATGGGTCCAACGAACGAACGAGCCAGGATTCCATTCTAGGGAACTCATCGGGTCTGAGCTTCTTCTGGGGATGCATAGTGGCTCACCAGGATCTTTGTTGGCAGTTGAAGTCAGAATTTGATGGTGGAAGGTGGCCGAGCCCCTGGCCTGCAACAAGGACAGTTCGAGGTCAAGCGGCTCCACGACTAGGCTACATCCCGCGGCTGGGTGCGTATGGGTACGTATGAGCGAGAGAGGCGCACGGTGGTGGTTCAAAAGATGCAGAGTGTGTGACGATCAACATGCCAGTCCTGAGCCAACCAGCTGGCCAGCCAGTCAACAAGTTGAACCAACCCCACCACGGTCGTGTGCGGTGATGAGTACTCCGTACGGGTAGGATGCGAAGCACCAGTAGCAGCACCCTAACACAAACGCAATCACTTGAAGAGAGGAGTGGTGCGCCGGTGCTGGTGCTGGTGCTGGTGTTGGGTTATTCACAAAGCCACTTTGACCAGCACGAGAGGGAAGGGGCGGTCAGCCTGCCTTTTTCGTGATTCGTAGCGTACGAAATATCCTTTCCCCTCCTTGGAAGAAGGAAAACACTAAGGGCGGCACTTCTTGGAAGACAACGCTTTCCAAGCAACCATTCGAGGCACAAGCTTGGATCGACCGAAGGTGGTGTGTTCACTGTTCAGAGACCTCGTCTTGGAATGGGCCTGAGTCGCTTGAGCAACGACTCAGCGCGAGCGGCCGCTGAGGAACGATCTCAAAACACGAGAACGAGTGGGCTCCAGCTGCTTCACCACCGAACATTCCATAATTCCTCCTCCAGGCCTCCTGCCTCCTGAGCTGGGCGTGTCATTATCCGCATCTCGGCTCGCAGCAGCGGTTGCGGGTGGTGTGGCTCCAGCGTCGTAACCTTACGCCTCCTCTGGCATTTTGCATTATTAGTTTGGGCTGTCCTGCGAGTCTGTCAAGCTGGTTTCGTCCACAACCTCCGCTTGATGAATCGGCTTGACGAAGGGAACCGAACGGGGTCCGATGGTGAGAAGCCAATGAAAGACCGGCGGTAACCAGTCACACTCTGAGGACAGGCCATCGGACAAGTGTATAATCTATCTGTCGCTCTGCACCGAAAAGGTTCGACCGTTTGTGTAAGGGCAAATTCTTCCTCACTACTTTCTTATTGCATTTTGGCGGTTGGGGTATGAACGGCCTCGTGGTCTAACTCCTAGTGACAAACGGAGCAAATGAGCGGGCCACCTTTGAGTTAGCGGCACCTACGAGCGAACCAGCACTCAGTACCACTACTCTCGCTCAGCAGCCAAGTGGACGTTTGCAAAAGCATTGCAGTGGCAGAGCCATAATAGTGGTAGAACGACTACTTTGAGCCTGTCACTACTCCCGACCGCCGTTGACCGCATTTCTGAAAGCGAGGAAGCTGCAAACTCAAAGCGCTTCTTGCATTCTCCTCCATCCTCCAATGGTCGTTGCGGCAAGTGCGAGGGAATACTCCGTCCTGAAATCTGAATCCATCTTGAGTCTGGCCTTCGCAAGCCAAACCCTTCGAGTCTGATAGAAGTCCACTCGCTGCAGGTTGCTTGCTGGCGTCCATGTCCGCGGTGCGACGCCGCTAGGGTAATACTAATAATTTATTTCTCTTGAAACTTATTTTGATATTGATTATTATTGGCAAAGTTTTGCAACGCGTGGAGCGCGGATCGTCAAGGGCAAAACCTCCTTTCTTCGGGCTCGCTTGACTGGGCTGGATCCTCAACTGGACTGCACCGGAAACTGTCCTCTCAGTAGTGCTGCGACTCTAACAGTTGTGCCACCGCGACGTGACGCAAATTTTTAGTTTTCTGGAGAAGATAAAACGATGAGCACGATCCGACCATCAACAATGATGCAGAGCTTCGCTACGGCTGCTCATCTCACGTCAATAATCTATATTCGAACTACTCCACGTTCGAGCGTACCCTACTATCCTTTGGCACGAAAATCCTGATGGATCGAACACAGCAATCAATCCTCGCGAGCAACTCAAGCTTACTTTTGTACAGGTGGATGGCAGTTTACGCACCGTACTTGATTCGATGGTAATGGTCGCAGGCCATGCTGGCATTCGGGAAAACTGCACCACATCATCGTCACGGCTGTGACCCCATCCCGTAAGCGTAATCATGGATAGGCTGGAATAATCTCTTGAGTGGGAAAAGATTGTATCTGGTGAGACCCCTGTAGATATCTCCTCCTTGACACTTGGTGGAGAAGTGACTGCATCCCGATATACCCTTGATCTACCCTTGACCCGCGGATTCTTTTATGGGTTCGTGGAACGGTGGAAGTTGTGGAAGCCCTCCCTGCCCTTCCACACAATGTTTTGAGCCCTGTCCAGAGCGAGCATGCGGTGTTCTTGGGCGTTGTTTTGCAACGGAGGCCACACGATCCTGGTAAACAACAATAGCAAACGCTAAATGAAAAGCTTCTTGGGGGTTGCGGACCCAATTAGAACCCCAGCTGTGAGGTCCTGCGTCCTGCGCAGTGCGTACAGAATTGTACATATCGTGGCCAAAAGAGAGACGGGGCCGCATCTTCAAGGATGGTCATCGTACTCAACCTCGTCGTGGTAATCCTCAGCAGTCGAGTCATGCGTTCTTGATACTTCACGCGATGGGAGTTGAATTCTCGACGAACGGAAAGCCGCCATATTGTAATACTGGAAACCCTCTTTGTGCATATTGCTTCATTAATCATCTCAGAACCGCTTCGGAGGATGGTTACCTTACTGAAGTCGCGCAGGCTACACAGTTCAAAACAATGAAATACGACCAGATCCAGAAACACGACCACCGTCTATCGACTAGTCATCTGATGGTTTGACCCTCGCTGCAAGTAGTTTGCCCCTTCTTTTTTTTTCTTGGGCGGCAGACGGCTTCACCCACACTGTTGGGATCCTCGGCAGGCCTGGCTGAGACAGAGAGGCCATGGCTTCTTAGTGGTAGAAGCGTGAGACTAGTACTGGTACGGAAGTATGAAAGGTACACTTTCGTGCGCATGCTGTCGCCCCAAACGTAGACTTCTTACTAGTCTAGAAGTAGGATGAGGTACGGTATGACGAACGATTAGTGTTCGGTGTACTTCGAAGTGATACACTTCCCATTCGAGGTATGGGAACGGCGTCGAAAGTCGAACGACCACCAGCGAGTCGAAGATCTCCTATGGCCTTCCCCTAGGACCTCAGAATTATGTCTTTCTTCGATTTCCCAACCGCGTAATCTGATGGCAGTGATCTTCCTGAAGCCGGCTGCTGAGTTTGTCTCATCCAATCATGGAGAGCTTGCGAAATATTTATTCGCGAGGCGCATAACATCCGAGTGCTGGGTTTCTCACAAGGCGTTACATGGATCCGAAGAAACACCACACCTCGCTTCCTCAAAGGCGGCTTCTAAATAACAACATTATCAATTTATCACCCAATGATAATGATACCTCAGAGACTTCGGCAGAAGATGTATTCAATCACAGATACTGCCTCTACTTTCGGCCAATAAACCCACTGACAAAGCGCACCCTTGAAATCTGATTGTGAGGCCCGGCTATGTGTGAGATAATCATTAATATATTAGTACCCTTTAAGGCATAACGCGGGACAGCAAACGAGGCTTCGAGACTTACCACCCCACGTTGTCAGTCCCCCGCCAGGGCAGGTGAACCGCATTGGAGATTATTTGGTTTTCCTCGACCGGAGGAGGTCTGAGGCGGAACTGGTGGCACAGATCCAAGGCTTTTCGGTTGGAAACATGTTAAATCTTCAAAAAGATCAGGCTGAAAGAGGTGCCGGCCTCCTTTCGCTCTAGTCATAAACTTTTTCGGGATAATCGTTTGATCGAAGTTCTAATTGAATAGCTCCAGATGCTTTCTCAGTAGGTGAAAAATGATACGGGGTACAGCGACACACAGTAGCGCTCGTAGCGATTGTTGAGACCAGTTGTGATTACTGTTTCCGGCGTAAAGGGATGATATGCATCAGTAGAGGAGTAACGGCGCAAAGACCTTTGCCTCGATCGTGCTTTGAGTTTCTCTGTGGCCCGTTCCATTTTTCAGTATCGGGAAGGTTACAGCCTGGAAGTAAAATTGTGCACCTCGGAGTAGTGACAAAACCTTCCTGTACAGTGAGGACATGGTACTAATTGGTTAGTGTTGGTTGCACGACTGGAGCACATTTCGAAACCCAAGAATAATTACTGGAGTATGTTAGCATCGGCTTCTCATCCTGATCCCCTATCTGTAACCGAGCTCTTTGCAGCCGGCTATCAGATTGAACCTCTCGCACTTTATGCACACTGTAGTTTGCGTTATCGAGTCTTATTAGAGTAAATTGGTAGCATGGGAATTGCAAAGACTCTGTTTGGGTCTGTTTGATCCACCGAGGATGTTCATGTGACGGGATAGTGATTCGTATATTTGATTAGTCTACGCTCGACAAATTTGAGAAGTCTCTTTACTTCGGTCCTTTGAAACGGTCGCACTATATGGCTACGAGTGCTTTACCCTTTTCGGCACAAATGAACCCTTCTGACAATTAATTGGCGAGATACTGAAAGAAGTCAAAATGCTGGAAAAAGACGACTTTTAGCCCAGTGTTGTGTCTTTCAAGAGGACCTTTCAAAATCATTTCTTTATCATAACCTAAGCGTAGTGGCAGAAGCGTAATGATTGCGATGAGCCGCTTGGTATCTCATTGACGAAGAGGACCATTTTAGTGTATTTTAAGCGTAGAAAGATACATAAGTAGCGATAGCATCGAGGAGTGTTGTGCTATTACCGAACAAGGAAGAGAAGAAAAGTGCCACCAAGATCTCTTGTCGCGATAATATTTTTCGCAGTACAATGGCAAGCCAAGCGTATGTGTGAGTTCCGCTAACATCTTTGCCGTATTCCAGGTATAATTGACAAGTCCCCGAGGAATGTTCCTTTTGCTTGAGTCCTACAGCATCCTTTCTCAGCATGGCATTAGTGAAGGAAGATGGCTGGCTCAGAAGAGAGGTGGCATAACCATCTAGCACTCATTATTAACGACCAGGGATAACTAAATTGTTGAACATTGGCTGCCTTTGGTAGCGCTGCATGACTTCATGTTTTCCTGCTCTCGCTCGTGAGCTGGGCTGAGCTGATTACAGTATCATTAGAAGAGTTATGGATTGCCCTGTGCCGGACCATGTGAAGATTTACCCTCCTCGGATGATGCAATAATAAGCCGGTGCGGTCGCTGTGTTTGGAGGAGTGGTTTTATTTTGAGTTCAGCCTTCTGGAACGGTTGAAATAGTATATTGTTTCATTGTTTGGGCCGTTTCGTGGAAATGTTGTTGGTACGGGGGACAAGTGAAATCCGGAGGCAAGTAGAGTAACGTCGAACAATCATCAACAAGAGGCCATCCTCATGGCTCACGGTTGGTTTGTGATAAGAATAAGCGTGTAAAAAGTTGCTCGTAAAGTCAACACGTATCGGCTTCAAGTTTGGAAACGAGTAGGCGATACGGGGAGCAACTTCTCCTACCCAAGTAGCCCGAGAATGGGCCATCACATTTGACCATTGTGCAAGCTCCGTGAGCGCCGTTGCTGTTGGTGACAGGATTCCTACAACAATAATGTAGGGTTCGGAGCGTGCTGAACATTACTCGACTGCTACAGTAGTAGGAAGCGCCCACAGCAAGAAGGGACAAGTCAAAACTCGCTCCTGCAGACTCGCCGCCGCCCAGCGCTTCGACTTTGCGGTACCCAGGCCAAGTTCCTAACTACGCATGGGGTGGTACAGCATGCACGATGATTTTGCCCTGGTCCTGTCATCGTCACATATTACGCATGTCGATGGCAGCACTCGGATCGTCGGTGAGAAGTCGAATAGTTTCAACAAGAATCCACCAAACCATTTGCATCCCGGACTCAGCCACGGGGATGTGTAAAGAAACGCCGGCCAGGAGAGGCGATACGACCATTATGTCGAGGATGTTATTGCCCTGCACACTGACTCAACCCCGCCGGCCTGAAGTGGCTGCCAGTCAGACAGCACAACTTGTTGTGACTTTATAAGCGACAAAGTTCGAGACTCCTATTCCCTTGTTGGATCATGATTTGCGTTGCTTCCCAGAGAACGTCCTTCCGTCCGGAGGGTTCAAATTCGGCACCGCAAGGTAGGGATTATTTGACCACATGCCAAAATCACCCCTCGGTGAATAATATGCATGTTTGACCGCAGTTGTTTTTTACATCAAAATAGATGTACTTAGTGGCCGGCGAATGGGGTAGAAATTGGTATCGCCGACATATTACGGCGAGATCTACCCATGCACCGAAGCATCTGCAAAAGCGCGGCGGTCTGCGAATTCCCATCTCGCTCGAGACCATTTGATTCGCATCCAAACTGCTGACGACTCCATGAAGTCGTGGCACTGAAGCCTGCGCGAGATATTTACCGTCGGTCACGATTGGGCGAACAGGTACAATTCAGGGTGTCGGGCTGGTGATGGTTAGTGACACGCCGCCGCAGAACCGGTTTGGCAAGTAGATGTTGTCTGGATGTCGAGCATTTTGTCTGATGCTCGGTGAGGCTGTAAGCTAATTGACCGATGTGTTTATTATTGCTGTCGCTTTTCCGCTCAGAAACCGAGCCTTCGTCGTTCCCATGTTCTGACATGCATCTCATGCCAAACATACTCGAGCTTTCGACCTCGCGGATTGTATGCAGAAGAATGTGCCGTATACGAAAGGCACTAATTCTGGTGTAATGACAAGGAAAGTAGAGGAAAGAACCGAAAATATACTCCTGTTTGGTGCCGGCGACGTCTTCTTTTGCCAAGAAAAGAACACTCGAGCAAGAGGAATCTCGCTATCGATAAGATTTTGACGGACGAAGCGGGCGCGGGGTACTTCGAACTGAGCCCGACGTTCAAGCGGGGCAACGCCACTAGGTACTCCGACCGAGCAGCATCGTCCGATGGCGGCCCGATGAAGGCTCCGTTTACTATGACGAACGAATTTCTCGTTTTGGACCCGACTTCGTACCTCTCGTATCGTATGCCTTTCCTGGTGGTGGTAAGGCTGTGATTTTATTTCGAGACTTCGAATTCCAGAATTCAATCGCTGCTTCTACCCAGAGTGAACTTCCTTCGCCACACATCGCGAATTCACTAATGAGCCAATCTACTCTTCTAACCTTCGCAGGCCATCAACCCCAGACGCTTGCGTACCACTCCACTCTCCCAGGCACCACCAGGGTGAGGCTGAGCTCAACACAGACGACGACGATCCGAGAGAGCCGCGACCTTAAGCTGTTGTATAGAGGCATGAGCACTCCGCAGCGTGAGAGCCATAATCTTCCCACTATACTCAAAGTCCGTCACGATGTCGGTCCGAATTCAGTTCGACAACCCCCATACCTTCTATACAAACCTCGACTTTATCAGTGGCCGCATTATACTAAGTCTCACAAGTGAAGAAACAATTCAAGCAATCGTCGCCAAATTGGAAGGCGAGAGCAGGACGCAGTTGATGAGGCCATTGGGTCCGGGGCAGAACTCAAATTATCATGGGAGGAGGGATACCCGGCAAGCGGTAGCTGGAGAGAATCACAAGATCTTATACAAGGTTTTGCAAGTTTGGCCAACTGCAGACACCTCCGCGGGCTTATCTTACACGCTGAGGCCGGGCCAGCATGAATACCCCTTCCGGTTCAAGATACCTCTCAACAATGGCTGTGCGGACCCTACCTCACAGCAGATGGGTCTAGGAAGTGGTTTCGGTGGTTTAGGACTTGGGGGCTTACAGCAAATGCAATATCGCCATGTCAAGAAAACGCTGCCACCTTCGCTGACAGGATTCCCTGGAGAAGCTGAGATCCGATACTATGTGAAAGTAACAGTACAGCGGCCGTCATTGTTCAAGGAGAATCGGAGATCTGCTATTGGATTTAAGTTCTTGCCCATTGAGCCCCCGAGGCCACCTCCTACGTCGAATGAGGCATTTGCGCGACGTCCATTTGCTTTCCAAGCCGGCCTGGTATCGCATGCAAAGAAAACATCCATGTTCAAGAAAAATCCAACAAAACTTTCTGACACTGCTCCCAGCGGTGAAATAGATGCGCGGCTTCCAAGTCCCGCAATCTTGACATGTAATGAGTCTATTCCACTCCGTATTATTGCACGAAAGCTCAACGAAAGCTCAGAAAACGTGTTTCTAGTATCATTGCAAATACGGTTGTTCGGTTACACGGAAGTCCGAGCACAGGATATAGCGAGGAAAGAAACCAGCAATTGGATGCTAATGAGCTCGAACGGGCTTTCAATACCTATCGGTAGCCCCAGCGATCCTCTGAAGACAGAGACAATACTGGACAAGAGTTTGTGGGATAGCATTCCTCTGCCGAACACAGTAGCGCCTAGTTTTCAGACATGCAATTTGAGTCGATCTTATGAGATGGAGGTAAGAGTTGGGCTTGGTTACGGTGTCATTGGCGAAATTCAGGTTAGCTCACTCTCTACTCTTTTTGGTAATCAGAAGACGATTAATAAAGCTGTAGCCCCAAACAATAACTTTACCTCTTCTCTTTCAAGTACAGATCTTCTCCGGTATCAAGCCCCCAGCGGCTCTTCTGGCAGCAGTAGCATCTCAACCCCACGGTCCGCCTATACCGGTCCGCCCATCAACCGCAACCCACATCCCCGTTTCAAACGTTCCTCCACCTACACCTATCACGCCTCTTGCGTCAGATCCTCTATACCCGCCACAGTTGGGTACACCTGCAGCAATGGGCGCTGAGGAAGCGCCTCCAAGTTATGAAGATGCGATGGCTGAGGATATAACTCAAGCCGATGGCCCGAGAAGAGAGTACAGTGGTGTAACGGATGTGAATGCTCCTAATATGGATGAGAAGCAAAGTGCCGCGCCTAGATACAGTACGCTATTCTCTGGGGGAAGAGGCGGTGGAAATTCCGGTGGTAACAGTAGGGGTGGTTCTGGTGGGGGTTTTGGTGCGGTTGTCTGATGAGAGTAGAGAAGGAAATTCTCTCAAAAGACGAATTCAGTGGGTGGTTGGCAGGAAGAGATCTTTGATTGAGACGCGGAAATGAAGCATGGATGGTAATGAAAGCACATGGAGAGATGAGTATATAGCGTGCATTTGGTGATTGATGATACCCTAGCATACGGTTTAACGGATTGTTGGAAGAAAAGGAGTTCATGTAGACAAATTCAGCTTATACACAATGATACACAATTCAAGAACAGCGATGCTAATAAAGTTAGCGCTTTCTTGAAGTTTAAGGAAATTGACATTGTCTTTCCATTTCACAAACAAAAGCTGTAGAAAACATATGGAGACCTAGAAGAGGGTTTCGAGCCAGAGTTACTAGAGCTCCTAGGTACTCAGGGTTAGGCACAACATTAAACTTTATACCAGGTGGCAGATTCATCTACATAGTAGCTACTAACCATATAATAATACTATGTTAGTCACCAGAGGAAGTGATGAGAAAATGTATAGAGAGGTCTAGGTACTGCTAGTAGCTCAGTTCAATTGCGTCGCCAGTCCACACGAGATACGAGGGCGCTCTCAGTTTAACCAAAAAGGTTCCAAAGACTTCCCCGAGACTATTCCAACCGTCTCCGGCTCCACTCGACACAAACATCCGCCGTCGCGCCATCCACAAAATCATTCATTACCACAACCAACTGGCCATCAATCAACCTCCCCGCCTCCTTCTGAATCCAAGGTAGCGTCTTGCTGTCACAGATCGGTTTCGTTGCCAGTAAACAGCTGGAACTAGCATTCGTGTTCAAGATGCTGAAAACGACCACATCCATGATATTCGTGGCGGTGGCTTGACATTGTAGATTTGTAAAGGCATGGCCACTTTGGCGTTCGGGGGAGATTTTGTTGAATTCAGCGATTAAGGAGTCCCCGTTTATGGTTGCGTTTCCTTCGTCGGTGTAGGTTGAGAAAGAGTCTGAGTTGACGAAGAGGATTAGACGTTTGGATTCGGAGCGGAGCTGGGTTGTGGTTTTGTTGAGCATGTCATCTAAGGAGCCGTGTTGGATGGATCCGTTTGAGGCTGCGAGGGCGGCGTTCAAGTGATTGAGCATGTCTTCGTCATTGGGTCGAGCACATTCTGCAGGAACCCCATCCCAACGGAGCTGGACAACAACGATTTCTTCTGGGTGTTGAATGAGGAAGTCAACTACCTCCCGTAGGAATTGGGCGTATGCCATGCCCGGAATTGCGCTGTGTTGGAAATAGAGATCGTTGGGAATACCAGCCGTGTCACGAATTTCATTATGCAGGTAAGCTGGCCGGAACTCGAAGTATCTTGCTCCAATGCTGAGGATCATGGGCACCGTGTCTTTTTGAGTAATCGCCAGGCCCTCGATGATAGCTGGTGCAATCGCTTTGGCTGCTTCTCGCGTCATCATTCCAGCGATCTTAGCGACGACAGGGTTGATTCTCTTCATAACCTCGATGAGAGCATCGCTGTGGAGGACTGCTATAGAGTTCTGCATGCTGTTCATACCGATATCGTGAGCTGCTGGAAGCATCCATTTCGAAAAAGGCTTGTCTGCTTGCGGTGAGCCTCCCGGCGCCAGTTGTCCCATCCATGACGAGTAGTTTGGCGATACGCAGACCTCAACTCTATCAGCTTCTCATTCTTCTTTGAAGCAAACGGGAGAGGGGATGTACCCAGCACTGGTCGCTGGTCGGTAGTCCGGCCCTACCTTGAACAGCATCTGGAGCATCGTAGAATCCATAGGTGATGATAACATCACCTGCAATAATGCTTTGGGTATTGCCCATTTGGTTCAATGTTCCTCCCTCAATGTTACCTGTCATCGTGTTGATTTCGATTTGTTGGTGAGCAATTTGGTTTCCATTCTGGCTGACTTTGAAAGAGAAAGTTCCACTGAATTTAAAGGTGCCGTTAATATGCCTCTTGTCGACTTCAAGATGGTCGTTTCCAAATTGTCTCAGTCCATCTTTGCGAATCACGCTGCCTGGTACGGAGAATTCAATAGCACATCCAGGGACTCCAACGTAAGAATAACACTGAACACCTTTACTCGGCATCTTGGTAGCGATCTTCTTCCCAGCGTTAGCAAAGATGTCTTTGATATTGAATCCACACATCGCCACGTGCTGGCACACGATTTTGTCGAGGGGTGGGGTACCAAGAGCTGACGTTACACGATGCAAAGATTGAAAGGGAGGAACTGGAGGAAATAGTGAAGACCTACGTTGGCAATGAATTTAGGTGAAGAGTGAATTAATATGTGCAATTTTGATTCAAAGGCAGAGTTCGGAGCGTGAGTCGAGCAGCTGAAGGAAAAGGCATATCATGCACACAGTGCCACTTGCTTCTTCTGTTCCATTGAGGGGAACGCAAGCAGGCGTGTGGCTTGCGGGTGAAACTTTCAGCCAGCTGCGAAGGGCTGCTGACAGTCAGTTCTACCTCTTTCCTAGACAAAGGCCGTTAATTCTAGAGCTGAGTATTATCGCATCGATGATGCGAGGGTGTTGCTATGTTTGGTCATTGTGGTCACAGGAGATCCCATTCTCACATTGGGCGTGGAGTTGATCGCGGCAGGTCTTGGCAGCGATCGTTTTCCGCTTGTACCTGTCAGCCCTGGATTAGTTGGTGGACCCTGAATCGAGGGAAACATTCGTCATGTTGCTAAACTCCGAATAAAAAAGTCAAAGGATTTTGTGTATATTATAGAAATTACCTCCGTAAACATATCCTACTCCTGTGACGTTTCTCCAACTGTTGAAATATTGAAATTTGCATGGGAGAAATGGACGCGGTCCGATTGTAGGAGGTGACTACTCACCCATGATCATCCAAGGTCCCAGTTGGAAAGGTCGTATTTAGTTACCATTACCCATATATTTCTCAAGAGAATGCCATCAATCGGGCCACAATGCCAATTTACAAAATTGCTGCCTCCTCTACTTCTAAAAGCTAATCACTATATGCACGTCAAAAAGAACTTAGTACGCGGTGGACACAAGCAAATAATCAGAATGGGTATGTTGGAGTGTGCATTCTTGGAGATGAAAAGATAGAGAATCTGAGTACGCCAGGATTTAGCTTACATTTTCGTCTGGTTCCTGGAAGAGAAGATCGATTTGAGTTCGACACTTGAAGGTTTAGAATGCACTCTTCAATATGTTTCTTGTCTCCGACCAATCACTCACTTCCAGTAGCTCCGTCTACCATTCACAGGTTTTCCCTAACAAGGTCGCCAACTTCTCTAGCCATAGTTTATCGACCTCATCAAACCCGTCCAACGCCGCGCAGTCTATATCAATAATAGCAACCACCTTGCCATCAACCACTATCGGCACCACGATCTCACTCTTGGAGTCCCCATCACACGCGATATGACCCGGGAAAGCCTCAACGTCAGGAACGAGTTGCGTCTCAGCAGTGGCAGCAGCTTTGCCGCAGACACCTCGTGAAAATGCGATGGTTTGACAGGCGACTTTCCCTTGGAATGGCCCAAGGATCAATTGCTTTGGCTTAGCAGCATTGAGTGTATAGAATCCTTACGGGAAGTCAGTCAAGGAGCACTATTCCTTGGGAGTTATTGAGGCTCTAAAGAATGGAGACGCCAACAAGCGAAGCGAGTATTGACGGAAGACATACCGGCCCAGTTTACTTCCGATGAAGGTAGAGGAAGAGATTTGTATGCATGCCATAGAAGTGATGCTGAGTTTGCAAGGTTGCTGGAACACTTTTAGCATATCGCGCAACAGATTGAGAAACGCTTCCTTGGAAAGGGGGAATGAGGAGGAGAAGCACGTGATATGAAGTTTGTGAGAATTATGTACTGACCAGACCTAATCCATAGTTAGCTTCTGGATTGAGACCTATCGGAGTGTCCAACTTACCCAGTTTCTTTGTCCTTCAAACAGAGCCTCTGCTTGCTGAAGAACCTGTCTGTACGCCTTTTCCTTGGTGACACCCGAGGCGAAATTTGACGCATCGGCATGCACCTATTGCTGTTAGTCGTGTATCATGTACATCGAAGCCATTTGAGGAATAATTACCATCTTGATATTATTGATCCTCCCGCAACTTCCCCCAACACGAAGTAAAAGACCAGGTCTTCACGGTAACGACGAGGAGAAATTGAAGATTACCAATCTGTGCGGTGAGAAATTTCGAGCCCTGGAATATCGCAATGTCACGTGCTGTGAAATTGTTGTTAAGAAGAAATGAAGGAACGAGGATTGAATTAAGATTGAAGTGAGATCAGATCAAGGGTATTGGTATTCATGAAGCATTCCTTATTATCAGAGTTCAAAGTTTCAGTATCTTTGCCTGTGTTTTCTTCTTCCACCTGCATCATCTTCGTCCGGCTCCCGAGGAACTCCTAATACAGTAGCACCAATAGCTTTTGATGGCCATGGTCTTCTGCTCATCAAGTCTACAGGTTTCTTCACCACGCTCTTCTCGCTCTCCAGCAACGCTAGCTCTTCCTCTTCCCCCAGCATTGTCCCCTCAATACTGACGAACCCTCTCTGAGGATCTGAATCCGTTTGCACATCCTTGATTCTGAACATGTACTTCCCCTCCACTTTATTACCACTACCATCAACATAGTACCCCGCTCCATCTGGTGCGTAATTATCTTCCGCCCCCTCCTCCGCCTCTAGCTCCTCTACACCCACCCATTTCCAGTCCGCAGGTAATCGTTTCCGCTCAATACTCGCATTGAACAAATTCCAGCACACGAGACCAACATGGCCTTCATTCTGCAGATTAACGTATGCCTCGATCTCAACTCCGCTCTCCATCTTGAAAATCAAAAATTCCGCTGTTACCCAACTCCAACTGACGGCGTACTCATCGATATTCTGAAATAGCATTTCCGTAGATGTGTTTGTCCCAAAAGGTTTCTCAGATAGTCGAGGATTATCGTATGCAAGAACTACGCCGTTGAAAGGCGGGTAGTATTGAAGAATGAGAGGAGAAAGGTGCTCGGCGCAAAGTCCCTCGAGAGGGTATTTCTGGGAGATAGGTGCAAGCGGTAAATACATTGAAGCGGTTTGCATGTGAAACGGGGAATTTGATGGGTCTTCTGAAACAATATTCGAGACTTCCGTAGAGACTTTTTCCGGCCTGTCGCTCTTGTGTTTCTTCGATTTCGATTTATGTCCGTCTTCCTTGTGATCTCTTTTCCGCTTCTTTTCCCCGTGCGAGGACATCTGCTTTTTCTCCCCTTTCGAATCGAGTTTGTCGGAGGCCATACTGTCGGATTTTGAAAGTGACGAGGGTGGTAATGGCGTTTCAATTGACATTATATATTCACGATGGTGTTGTTGATATTGGCTGTCGCAAAATCAAAATTTCTGAGCTCACCCGCATCCGCTGCACGGCTGAGGAAAAACGTGGCGCTCAACCCTGCTAGCGCCGAGCCAGGAAACTGGACACATCAGCCTTGAGTGCACTCCAGTTGGTACTTCTCCATGATGTCGCGGGGCAACGATGCTTTGTCTCTAAAACATATTTTTTGGTCCTGCTTTTCGTAGCTCCAAGGCTTCGTATGGTCGCAAGGTTCAGGGCAGACATAAGCGGAACAAGACTGTAAAACTGTTACCATGTCTAATGCTTTCCTCTCTCTCGCTGGCTGGACGTTTCTACCAAATGTATGTACATCGCCTCTTGTGTTGTAATGCGAAGAAACACGTAACTAATAACAAGCAGCTTGTCACAGGATGGCTTCAGTCTCTTTACTATGGCATAACCATACGCGCTGGCGAACCCAAACCGCAGCCAAACTCCCCCAAATATGCCCTTCATGGCCGACGCATACACATCCTTGTTGTCGCAACTTACCTCTTATATACCATATACGAAGCCGACTGGGAGATACGGCAGTCTTCTGATTTCTACCAGGACCTAGGCGTTCTCCCTACGGCCAGCGAACGGGATATAAAGTCGAGGTTCAGACGACTAGCAGCTATGCACCACCCCGACAAAGTGTCATCGCAGAATCCTAGCGCAGAGGGATACTTTGTGCATCTGAAATTAGCACAAGACACCTTGCTGAATCCCACGAAAAGATTCGCATATGAACGCTTCGGACCATCGATGCTTGAGTGGCAACGCTGTTCGAGCATGCGCGACTACATCATTCAAGGCCTTCAATCGATCCTCCCATACTATGGCGTGGCAGCTGTGTTCATGTACTTGCTTGGTCTCCTGGGATACTTGGAATGGGGCAAATACTGGCGATGGCTTACCCTTTTCTCTCTATGCGTTTTCGAGTTGACCGTCATCTCACGCCCACACTTTCCAATAATGGCGAGCAAAGCCATAAATCCACTGCTGACGACATTTGCCAAACACCCACCGTACCTCCCATTTCAACTCATCTCACTTGCTAGGAAACTAAGCATAACGCTCTACATCGCATTCTCACAAATCGGACCACTACTCCAACCACCCACAATCTCAACCATGACTCCCGAAGCAGCAATGGCCGCACAGCTCCAAAGATTGGAAGCAACAGCACAAGCCGCAGATACCGAAGCTACTAGGCTTATGACGATGGAAATGAGTCCTTTTGCTGGCGATCCAGGCGCCTTGAATGATGTAAAAGGAAAGGTTAAGGAGTGGCTGGTCCAGAATACCATCAGGAATGACCCCGAGGTTCGAGATGCGATAGGAAATCTGCTTCAGAAGCGGAGAGTGGATGCGCCGGCAGGTGCGCGGGGGAATAGATGATGTTCATATCTCTGGAATTAAGAGAATATTTTGATTTTAGTAAATACAAATAATGTAATTTAACATGGTTTTGATATTCATCATCTTGTATTTTCGGAATAAAGCATTCAAGATCGAAGAACCACTTCCAGAGATTTACCGTATTCTCCGGTAACGACATACGAATTACGGCCCTGAGATGAAGAGTGACATCGATTGATTGTCTCTGACTGGTTTCACTTGAGACACTTCTCTGAATTAAAGAAGCTAATCTAGTTCCTAATTTTATTTCAGAGCTTTTCTTCTCAACACCCCGAAACGGTTTGGGATCTATCCTTGTTCTTAGATAGGCATTTCGAAGAACCGTTTGATACTATATGGCACATAGAGGAACGCAAAGATCCTAAAGCCACGAGAGAAGTTTGTAACATAGTATTTGTTTTTCTACCATCGAATTTACATCAACACTACCGCTATCTCTATCACCCCATAGCCACCATAGCCACCATAGCCACCATAGCCATCATAGCCACCATAGCCAAGCAAGACAATGCAAAGCACAACAAAAGCCGCCCCTCTCATGCTAAGCTAAGCTAGACACTTCTATTTGTGTTTCCGTGGCCAATTTTCTTCCCAAGGCCACATGTTGAAAATCCATCGCAGAAAATGCACCAAAGCTCCCGTGCAAAACTCCTTGGGTATGTAAAAGCAGAAACCATGAATAAACAAACAAAAGCTAATCAAATCCAACGGCATAAGAAACCAATAGCCGAATATGCGCCGCCGCAATGATTGTAAAATCCTTCAAACTCCATCCCCCGGACCGTGCCACCATAACCCATTGACGAAACCCGAAAGCGATAATAAAGACAACGTCGTGCTGCACCGTATAATTAATTATGTTGTTTGTAGTCGATTTATCCATAGACGAAGACATCAACTACTCGACCAAGCTGCACCTGGCGGTGGTAGATGAGGCTACAGATAGTGTCAACCCTTAATCATCATCAAGGTCAATAATCTCAATGACTCTAGACGCAGGCGCCTTGGCAGTAGATCCACTGACAGGAGTAACAAAATCGTCATCCTCCGAAGATTCGTCATCGTAAGGATCTCGTGTTGCCTTGCGTTTTGAGGAAGATTCTCGTTTTGGTCTCCACGTTCCATCTGGTGCGATGAGAATAGCCTTCACGTCAAGATCATTTTTGCTTGCAAGTTCTGTTCTAACTTCTACCAGGAAACCATCGATTTGCAATTCATAAGGGCGCGAATCCTTCCCGCACAAGGGGCATTTCCATACATCCGGCATACAAGGTTGTTGCGGTCTCTTCGGTTTGCTGTTCCGGGTTTGAAGGAATGTCTCGAGGTCAAAACACTCTCTATGGAGACACTGCTTACTCCTAACTGGTGTCTCAAAGATTTTGGCAGTAAATGGATCGGTGAGGTCTAGGGAAAGATCACTGACCACCATCGCGATATCGTCGTCATCATTTCCGGTCGGTGAAAGAACCTTTTTGATTGATTCAAGTGTGCTCTCTGCTGGAATTCGTTGATGCCGGATCATGTCGAGTATCTGTCTATGTTGAAGTAACTCTATCACTTCCACAGCACATAAATAGGCAGCAAGGTCCGGGCTGCGCCATTTGGGAATAGAGACACTGATCTGGTACGAAGAGTGGAGGTTGGATGATAGCAGCTTCTGGGATATGTCTATCGGCAGGTCTTTTCCATGATGAAACTTCCTTCGTAGTTCGAGTGGTTGGCGATTGATCGCAACAAAGGAGTTTTGGGGCCAGATCGTTTCACTCACAACCCAATCGGGCATTAAACAACGAGTAACCTCCGGTCTCGTCTGAATACAACGAAACCTATATTGAAGGGCGCCATGTTTAAGTATCCTTGTCCCTACTCTACTCGTATCGGGAAGAAAAGTGTCTTTAGGGATACGCGAGACATCCTCTCCTGATAGCTGAAAGTCAAATTTTGTCAGAGGACCATCGGTCCTGAGTTTCGAAGGTCCAAAAGCAAGAGACTTGACCACCTGGTAACACCTAAAGTTCGGATCGTTTTGAGGCTTGTCCACACGAGGAACAGTATGGACTACCAGTCTCGGGCTCCGAAGATGAGCCTGGTGTAATGCTGTCTTGTCGGGATCCACGATGTGTTGAGGTACCACAGAATTGCGGTCAGGAAGGAGAGGCCGACTACCGTCTATAGGCATCTGAGGGCGCGCAGGTTGCTGGATAGGTTGATTCTGGTTTGCTGTTTGAGGCATATGGGCCAACACAGTGCGTGTAATTTCTTCAATATTGAGACCATTTTGCCACTGGTGGGCAGTGTTCACATTGCGCGGAGGGTTTCCGCCAGTAGGAGGCTGACCAACATTTCTCAAATTGGCACTTGGGCGAAAGTTAGTTGGGATACTACTGTTCCTTCTCGACTGTGGATTTGCGGCATGTTGCCCATAAAGCTGAACGGGTTGTTGCTGCATGTTTTGAGCGAAAGGCATAGACTGCTGAAACTGTGGAATTTGTCGATGCTGCTGCAATTGAGGCGACTGAGGGTGTTGCTGCAGCCACTGATTCTGCTGTAGAAGATGCTGGGAAGGTAAGCCTTGGACTGGGGACTGTGCCATATTGAGCTGCCCTGAATTTTGGGTGGGGATTGGGTATGGAGAGCCGTTAGCCCCTTGGAAGTATTGAAACCCAGCATCTGGATACATGTGATGAGGAGATTGCGCCGACGCAGGTCGCATTGCTGTAGGGCTTGGGTTACCTCGATAAGGCTGTTGGCCAGTACTGCCACCGTTCAAGCCTACAGCCAAAGGCGACGGCATACTAGGCGACGACATCGTCGGCGCTCGAGCGACTCCGGGGTGTTGGCCTGACATCATTGAAGAGGTTCGCCTCTGCGTAGAAATTCTAGGAATTGTAGAATTATTCCTTTGGACATTAGACTGAGCAACAGAGGCAGCCGCAGCATTGCTAGGAAGTATTGGGGTTGGAAGTCGTGTCACAGGACTTGCCGGGTTTGAATTTGTTTGATTTCGCGCATGTAGTAAAGCTTTGTACACTACCAGATACTCATTTACCAAGCCGATGTTTCTCTCGTCGATCTCTCTTTGGGTGGGTGGCCGTCCTGAGTTGTACCGCGCTGAAAGTGCTTGGTGTTCTTTGCGGTCTCGCTTGAACAGATCTTCCATTCTTTGGCCCCAACTATCATCAATGATACCCAGATTCCTGCGAATGGCAGTGAATACCACCTGCTGCAGCGTCGGCGACAACAACGCTAACCGACCAACCATTTCGTCAACCAGTGGTGGGTATTTGCGTACTTTACACTCCACTTGGAGCTTCTCCCACTCCGTTGCGAGTTTAGCAAGGAATTTCCCCACATCTTGGACCATCTTCCTGTACGGCGCTGAGCTCCTCAACAAAATTCGCAGCGGACTTGGGAACCCAGCAAACCATATCTTGTGAGCTTCTGCCAATGAACCGTTGTCCCTTATCAGTTGGGCCATAATTTTGAATGACCTGAGAAGCACGGCCGAGCTTGGAAAATCTGGTATTGTGGCAATTTGGTTGGTATCTGGCAAGTCCCATACGCAGAAAACTTGGTGGAGAGCTATGTAAAACGCATCCTCTCCAAGACAGGCTTCCTTTAGTAAGTTGTATCTTGGGATCTCCAGCATATTATGATGGTCATAACCAGGGTTGGCGTGCAAATTTCGCAGCTGATTGTCGATCATTTGGATCCTCGGTTTCATTGTTGGCATGACAGGAACGTAAGTCCGCTGTCTCTTGTTTGGTGGCGCTGAGGTTGAAATTGGACTCGGATACGACTGCTGCTGCGGATGCTGGATCATTGACGATGGTAGAGGCAACGTCGTTGGCATGTGTACGTCGTAACTGGCCACGGATGCTTGCAGCTGCTCTCGAAGATGGTTCCCAGCTGCATCACTAATCACCATTGGGGACGTTGCGCCAGACAGCGACGAACTCGGGGGCTGTCTTGGTGATCGTACCTCATCGTGCAATAGGATTGGAGGCTGAACTCGAGAGGTTTCCAAACGTGTATCTGGCGGTAGTGGTTGTGCGATGTGCCCCAGAGAGCTCGCGTCAAGAGGTTGTGGAGAGACAGTCGACGGCATGTCCCGTGCGGCGGAAAGACGCTCGTTTGTAGTATGAGGGTCGTTTGAAGCAGAGGTCAGACCCGAGACCCCAGCTCCGACGCTGCGTGTACAAATATCTGGCCCATCAGATCCGATGCTGGCATTGGATAGGTCATGGCCCAGGCGATTCATGCTCACAGGTACAGCCGGTGCCCGTCCTGCGACTTCACCCTCTCGGGAGGCTTCACCATATGCGTTAGGAGAGTTGGCGAGAATCGGCGAGTTAGGCTCGTCGCTTGGAGCTGGTGAGGGGAGCACGACATTGCTACAGCAACAGTTAGTACAAAGCCATGGGAGCGCTGTTCGCCCATTATCCGGCGTTAAAGGGATACTGACTTCTGAATGTGCGCTTGTGGCCGAACGCTTTTGGTCTGACGCGGCGTAGGCTGGACTTGGTTGTGTGATCCCGTCATCCATGATTTCTGTCTACTCCCCCCGTTTAAAAAGGTGTTCAAGGTGGAATTCGAAGTTACAACATCCCGCGCAGAAAGAACATGGTTGTCTGGTGGTCGCCGCATATTTCAGTCTCGGTATTTGGGTGAACATGAGTGACGATGGGTGGAGGGAAGCCAGGCTTCGAGTCGCTCGCATTAATATCCTGTTCAAGCAAGTTCCGGCTGACTATAAACATAAGGCGGACGGTCAATCGTCGACTTGCGCGTCGATGTATATCTTCAGGTCAGGCTGGGCGCACTACTGGTCTGAATCCTTGTTGGTTACGAAGAGGCCTGACGGAAATGCTATCAGGGTCGCAACTGTCGTCGGTGGGTGTGCGACTGGTCGCGAGTGGGAAGAAACGCGCCAGTGACTCGCCAGACGAAGCACACTCTAGAGGCAGATGCAAATACAAATCGTCGTTGAACGACAGATTGACGGTGCAAAAGCAACGAGGGAAGAGGTTGTAGATGTTGGTGGTTATTAGTTCGTTTTGTGTATTAGCGCGATGCCTCCAGGACGCAAGGGACGGTCGACGAGGTATGGAACGACGAGAAGTTGCGTCAGATGCTATTGTTGGGGTTTTGGTCTCTTCGCCGTCGTCGAAGGGAATTCGTGAGGTCATGAAGTCGTGGTTGCAGACCTCGATGGTTGGATGGATGTTTGCGGCGACTCGAACCGACTTTCAGCCAGGCTCAGCTAGTCGGCGCCGTCAGTTCTGGCCAACAGCCGCCGGCATTTTGGGCGTCTCGCTTCGGTTGGCCAACCTGATCCGTGCCTGATTTGCGCCTGATCGGGATGCCGCAGTGGCCTTAACTGGCCCTGCAGCAGTGAATCAGCGCTCTCCCTTCAGGGCTTGTTGAGCCTGTGCCCACTGCCCACTGCCCAGGGAGAAGACCTGCGAACTGAACTGGAAGGTCAACACCAAAAGATTGGATCCCAATTAGGCCCATTAGCGCTCCCGACTGCTGTATTCGACACCCTCCTCGCCCTTCTCCTCCACCTTGCATTTTTCCACTTTCCACCCCCAAATCATCCTCAACCACGCCATCCAGCCACTCCATCGTTTCTCCGCGCTTGTCATCGAACTCACTGAGCATACCGCACTCCGTCCGAATATCTTCACGATACACCACGCGTGTCCCCTCCTTCCCATCTCGAGCGGCCAGCAAACCGCGGAACGTCCATTGGTCCCGCTGTCCTCATTGTCCACCTGTCGCTCAATCGTGCCACCCCGAATCGTGCATAGCCACATAAGCTCGCCAGCTGTTCTCTAGACCGCTGGGCGATAGCGACCATCTCGCTGCTATATCGCTCCAGCTGCCGGACTGCACAATCGCATTTGTCGTCGCAAATGTGTTTGTCCTAAATAAAACCGTCCTCCGTGGCGTGAATTCAATTGTCAGCCCAGATGGCATCCCGACTGTCTATCGAGCCGCAGGCCAGGCCCGATCAACCACGGCCTGAGCCTGGCCAGATACTCCTTGTGATCCGTAAGTCTTCAATTCTGAAAACCCTGGCGGTTCAAGCCATGGGGAAATTAATACGCTGTGGCCCACACGCAGCGGTGTTTCGTGGCAGCTACCACAAAAAGGACCACAGCTAATACGGGTGTAATGACAGACGATTTCGCAGCAAGGAGCTCCGATGAATTAAGTTTGGTGAAGGGGGACCGAGTAGAACTGATTGAAAGGGATGACGATTTTGGCGACGGCTGGTATCTGGGCCGGCACTTGATCAATGGCAACAGTGGTCTTTTCCCTGAAGGTGAGATACAGAAGTAGCAAAGAGAATCGCAATTGGCTGGCGCGCTAACAGATGTGTCCTAATAGTTTACACGAGGATTGCACCGCGAGGCCCTCCGTCCTATCCCCCTACTTCAGTGCTAGCAAAAGCTGCTGCAGCCGCCAGCGAGCCCCCTAAACAGGCCCCGATCATATCTCCTGCGACAGCCGTTGCTGATAGTCCAGCTTCTGTCTACAATGAGACTCGCATGTCAGCACCACCTCCCAGCTCGACCACGGCTCTGGACAATAAAGACAAAACCCAACAAGCTAGCCGACATGTGAGCGCCTCAGAAGTACTCAGTTCCTCAAACCCAAGTACACCTTTGACTCCCGCCTCATTTGCGACGTTACTTCCTGAAAAGGACCTGCCTATCCCGCCTACGATCATTACCACGTCGGCGCCTGCGCCTATACAACCTAAAAGCGTTACCGCCGCAGCAAAATCTCATGCTCATGGCCAGGATAGTCCTGTCATGAACGAGACCTTGAGTGTCATCGATGAGCATATCACGGATATGAATTCGCCCCACCATAGCGCTGTACTCTCGGAACGCAGAGGCACCAATGATTCTGGCAGCGAATACAGTAGCCATATCGACCACCGACTCTCTTATATCAATGGCGAAGAAACCGACGAGGAGGAAGAGATGTCACACACTGAGGAAGAAGTCGCGCGCTGGACACCGGATCAGGTGGCAGAATATCTTTTTACCGTGGGCGTTGAAGCGAAGCATTGTGAGGTGTTTCGGGATCAGGAAATCACTGGCGATGTTATCCTCGGAATGGACCAAACATCAGTCTTCCTGAAAGAATTCGAGCTCGGCTCTGTCGGTAGACGACTCAAAACATGGCAGAAGATCAAAGGCCTTCAAGATGAGGTTAGCGGGTCTTCTTCCACGAGACGAAATACAGGAACGTACGGTAGCGAGACAGGGTCGGAGTCAGGCCGCAGGACACGAAGTATAAATTCATCTGTTTTGCCCCGAATACCAAGCGTGATGGAAGATAGTCCCGGAAATCGCCAGAGCGCGCGCTTGTCGCTATCACGGGCCCCACAAGCTGGTGGACTACAGAATGATACATTTGTAGCTGCAGGAGCCAAAACAGATGAACCGTACCGAAGGCCTGGGGAAAAGCGACCATCCGCTGCATCTATCCGTGATATGCAACACTCACGCCAAAATTCCACGACAGATTTCAACACACCTCTTATAGGTACAGTAGCAAATTCTCCAAAGCTATCGCTACCTGAGAACCAAACACATAAGAAACAAGCATCATTTGATAAGAATTGGACGATGGGCTCGGCAACATCTCCCTCGCTTGCTAGTACTAGACCGCTTTCTTCCTCCGGAGTTAAAGGTGCAGCGCGAAGTACTACGGGGCCCCTATCACCTGGGATGTTACATTCTACAAACCTCGAGGTCCTCGATCGTGGGTACTTTTCAGGCGGGGAGGCTGATGGGAGACAAAGAAATGTGCTTCGAAAAAGGGGTAGCACTCAGGGAGGAGCGCACTCGCGCAATTCAAGTTACACCGATGAGCAAAGATTGCGTAGCGCTACCGCCAATTCCAGGCATTCAAGGTATGGGAGTGTAGATTCGACTCGTGACAGCGTTCTTCCGTCTGCTTCCCAGAAATACTACGGCCTGTCCGTGAACGGCCGTCGTAGGACGCCTTCCGAAAGTTCTGTTAACGCGCCTCCACGCCCTCCACCTCCTCCGAAAGATGTCCCTTCTCCAACGGTCACCAAGCTCGAGGATAACACCTTTGACGGTGCCATGGGGCCAAAATCGCCAGACGTCCAACCATCTCAGTCACGGGGGCCGGCGGACTGGCTCATGCCTTCGAAGTCAAGCTCGAGTCGTTCCTTTGGACTCCGTGCAATTTCAGACGCAGTGACTGGGCACGAAAAATCGCGCTTAAATACTCCTACAGAAGCCATCCCTTCACCATCCAAGGAATCACCGTTAGTATCTCCATCACGTACCGGGTCTAGCACTCCATCTGCTGGTCCCAGTTTCGACCTAGACTCACCGAACGCCGCCAACACAAGCACACCTAGCAATGGACGAGCAGCGAGGAAAAAGTCCAAGAAAGAGACAAGCGCATATACACGCGGCCTAGAAAAGAAGCCTCCTAAAGAACAGATGATCGGTGCAGACTACAGTGGATGGATGAAAAAGAAGAGCACAAACTTGATGACAACATGGAAACCACGTTTGTTTGTTCTCAAAGGCCGTCGACTCTCGTACTATTACTCTGAAGACGACCAGGAGGAAAAGGGATTGATTGACATCTCGTTCCACCGCGTTCTGCCTGCAGACAATGACCGGTTGACTGGACTCCATGCAACCTTGACAGGTGCTACGAACAGTCCGACGAGCCCTGCAGGGGCTCAACACGTGACCATTGCCTCTGCGGAAGCTGCCGCTGAGCCAGAGTCGACTCTGAGCAAAAGTACCGGGGATTCCATGTTCATATTTAAGCTCGTGCCGCCTCGAGCTGGGTTGTCGAGAGCTGTCACGTTTACAAAACCAACTGTTCATTATTTTGCAGTTCCGAATATCAAACAAGGGCGTTTGTGGATGGCGGCGCTCATGAAAGCAACAATTGATCGAGACGACTCGAAACCGATCACAACGACCTACCAGCAAAAGACCATCTCACTCGCGAAGGCGAGGCAAATGCGGCACCGTCCTCCTGCGCTCATGAACCTCGATGAAGCTGTGGAGCCGCCAATGCAAACGCCAGCGAGCGACAAGAATGGTCTAAACATTCAAGGCATCATATACGATCAGGAGATGCACGAAGGGGATAGTGGAGTGTCGGGAGTTTCTCGATCAGATGTCCAGCACCCGGAAAGCGCAAAGGGCGCTTTCGAGAAAAGGTACACGAATGGGTCGAACGAAGTTCCCGAACCATTAACTGCATAAAAAAACCATGCTTTACGATAGTGGCTCATTTTCTTGTGGATATCTGAGCATACCGGCGCTAGGCACATTTGATTCCCTATTTATTTTCCCCAATATCCAGTTCGAACCATAACGAAACAGTACTTATTTTTTCGAATTATCTCGACATGCATCTTGGGCCTGCTGAGCAAGCAACCTCGACATATTTGGTATTATCATTGCTGGAGGGAGATTCGGTGCGGAAGGTTTCAGACACGAGTATAAAGGGCAGAAAAACGGTGAACGGCTGGTGATGTCGGTATTATTTTTCAAGCGGATACACAAACTTTTCTCGCATCATCGGGTCACATTCTGTATCATATTGATTACCCTGTCATCCGGGAATGGGCAAATATAAAGCTTGCAATCTCCCAAGTCGCGTTGTATACACATTACGGGTGGCAGCTTACAGGCTTTAGTCGCGTCCAGACGACTGTTCTGTTGTCCTTGCCACAATTCTTCAACATAGCCGAAATTGGGCGGCTTCTGACTTAGATTTCACTTCTGCACCCGAAAGACTTGTACTAATAGACAGGCCAAGAGGCAATTCATTCAGACCATAGTTGTGTCAAGTCAAAACGTGATTGCAGGTTCTCTTGACCGGTCAACATAGGTGGTACTGTTGAACAGCTCTTGACCGTCCGCAACTTTGATGTTACAGACGATACTAATGGCATTGACCAAAAGTGCTTCTCTTAATAATTTATATATCAGCGACCGCAAACGAGCCACGATGATTCTCTATTGGATTCTACACACAAGTTGTATATGCCTCGTACTCGTACTTCTCTGGTTTTTCAGCTCAGCCTCGGCTCAAGGACAAGGCAAGTTCCACTTTCGACAACGTAGTAGCCTGTTATCTAGTTCTTTTTACAAATAATAAGTATCTCGAAGTTCGGGTCGTACGTTCTGGCGATGTGGGGGGCAAGGTTGCCACTAGCTGGGAGAATTAACAAGGCAGGATCTGGGCGGCAAAGGAATTTCTCTCTATTTTAACCTAACGCTCCCATTATTGCCAGTCAGCGAATTCGAGCATGTTCTGGCAACTTATCTAGACAGCCTCGCGCGTTTACGATGTCTCACGACGGTCAAAGCCCAGGCTCCTGCCTATCTTTGGAGTCTTTGGATACTCGCCTACTTGCTGGATCCACGGCCACAGGTGATGGTGCGTATTTTTTCCTCATTATGTCAATGGCGAGCACCCAAGGCGCTAAGAGGGATCTCTGCTCATGGCTTCGGGCGATCTACCGTTAGTCACTTTTGTTTTTTGGATCTCGATATCGGAGGTACCTGCTACAGCCATTTGCAAGTTCTGATTTGCTCGATGATTTAAGCACGTATTTTGGAGACTCCACCTTTCAGCAAATTTATTCCAACACCGGCTATCATACCCGTGTTACCTCGATTTTGCTATCACCACGACACGTTATTTACAGTACATATGAATTGATGCCATGGCGTGGCGCGGGGTCCTCACAACCCCCTCCACGGCTAGGGCAGCATAGGAGGGGGAGGGGTCCTTTGTGGTGTCTCCGTCAGTACCTCGAGATATCCAACAAAGAAGTATATCTTCAGGTCTCCTACTGGACAGGCATGACGTAGAACCCACCCTCTTGCCTCTCGGCCGGTCCCATATGCCCTGCAAAACGATTGATTACACTGCAAGAGGCTTAACAGCTGGGATATTGCAGATTCCAAGAGGACGAGAACCACGGAATTCCTCCTTCGGCCAGTAACGTCTGCCGCCTGCAAATCATATCAAGGACAGTCACGGCATGGCAGTGGAGGGGAGGGTCTGGAGTCCCTCGGGGTGTCACGCCGCTCGCCTAAGCCAAGGGTCTTTGCTCGCTTAACAATTGGAAGAGGGGCGGATCTTCCCTTCTCGACTGAGTACAGTACAGTTGCCGGTCCCAGGCCAGGGCCATGAAGATTCTGAACCTTCGTTGAAAGTTTAAATTCCTTCGCATCCCCCGTCGCCTCTTCGTTTTACTAGAAACACATTTACCCAATTCGACTCAGTTCACTTTGGATCGGTTCCATATCTCTGACACCAGGGAAAGTACGCCACCATTCTCAGTCGACATACAGAATATACTTTCATCCATCCATCACTCACACGTTCTTGCCAACTCTCGACCTGTGACCGTGAACACGTTCTGCAACCAACACCAATTATCGAATCCAGCATTGATATCCACTGCTTTGCGACATTGTGCGACTCGTCTGCCAATTATCTGCCTGACTCAACCCAAAACCTCGAGATATCCGGGCAAGCAGCCTGGTGCCAAAGCAACCAACAACATCAACCCACCCAAAAGCGCAAACCTCTGGACGTCTCTTCAGCAACCCTTAGCAAATCGATTATTTCACCCTATGCGCAAATCCGTAATTCATCTTCAGTAAACTCGATTTGACTTCGACAATACCGCAATCATGGGTTTCATGGGCCTCTCCAAGTTCGGCCACAAGGACTCCGTCAACGATTTCACGGATGTGCTTGTCCCAATGGCCGATGCCAAGCGCCACCCTGATGTTGTTGCAGAATATCAACGCCGTATCTCAAAAGAAGGTGCTCGCCCCGATGCTGCTGACGTGACAGGTGCAAATGACGAAAAGAAAGACGGCCCGCTCAGTGATACCGAGGGCGGCTTTCCCAGAACTAGCAGTGGAACATATAGCCCCTATACCGTCGAAGGCCTGAAAGCTGAGATTCATGAAGATGTCTCGACCAGTGAACACAATACCGCCTATGATTGTAATAACCCTCTGGCCCCAATTGGCGATTCTGGTGCTAACGATGAATAGTGAAAAGTAAGGTCATCAATAAAGCTATCCAAGATATTGGCATGGGGCGGTACAACTGGCAATTATTCATTCTTTGCGGATTCGGCTGGTTCGCCGACAAGTAAGTCATCGCAAATACTTGACCGAATTTCTCGGCTGACAGGACCGTAGCCTCTGGCTTCAAGGTGTTGCTCTGACATTGCCTTCCTTATCAGCAGAATTCGATGTGTCTGATACCCAGATACGCTATACTACGTGCGCACTTTTCATAGGTCTGTGTCTTGGCGCGAGCTTCTGGGGTATTGGCTCTGATATCATGGGCCGCCGTTTGGCTTTCAATTGTACACTTTTCATTGCTGGTGTATTCGGTATTGCCGCTGGTGCTGCACCCAGCTGGGTGGGTGTATGTGGTCTCTTCGCAGCGCTCGGCTTTGGTGTAGGGGGTAACCTTCCCGTCGACGGTGCTCTCTTCCTGGAATTCTTGCCCAACGCCTCGGGCGGTCTTCTCACGCTGTTGTCGGTCTGGTGGCCTGTTGGTCAACTAGTTGCTTCCTTGATTGCTTGGGGCTTTCTAGGGACCAGTTATCCCATCGATGAGGGCTGGAGGTATTTCGTATACACCATGGGCGCAATGACCTTTGTCATGTTCCTCTCCCGATTCTTGTTGTTCCATCTCTACGAGTCACCTAAGTTCCTGCTTTCTCGGGGACGTCAAGCCGAAGCTGTTGCTGTCGTTCACGGCATGGCGTACAAAAACAAAACCACTACGTGGCTCACAGAAGATATTCTGAATGAGATCGGCGGTCATCCAGAGAAGACTGAAGGCTCAACTCTTACAACCGCGGAAATCATCAAGCGAAAACTTGGTGCATTCTCCGGGGATCGAATTGGCCCTCTCTTCCACGACCGAAAACTTGGAATGACGACTGGTCTGCTTTGGTTCTGCTGGGCCACAATCGGAATGGGCTATCCACTTTTCAACGCCTTCCTTCCTCAGTATCTTGCTCGTGGAACGACTGCGGGTGGCGAGACTGTCAGTGCATCCATCACTTACCGTAACTATGCGATTACCTCAGTCGTGGGCGTTCCCGGTTCGATCCTGGCCTGTTACACAGTGGATGTGAAATACATTGGTCGTAAGGGTACCATGGCTATTTCCACGATGCTCGCTGGTGTCTTCCTCTTCCTCTTCACTCTCTCCGCAGATTCTGACTACCAACTCGCCTTCTCTTCGGTTGAGGCTTTCTTCCAGAACATCATGTATGGTGTCTTGTACGCTTACACGCCCGAGGTATTCCCTGCTCCAGTAAGAGGTACCGGTACGGGAATATGCAGTTTCCTTAACAGAATTGCTGGGCTATGTGCTCCTATCATTGCCGCCAATATTCCAGGTGCAAATCCAAACGCACCGGTTTTTGTGTCGGGCGGATTGATCCTGGCTGCGTTTGTTGCAATGGTCTTATTGCCGATTGAGACAATGGGCAAGCAGCGATTGTAGGGTGTGCTGATGGTGCGGAATACCCTTTAGATATGACGTGGAAGGAATATAATACTATCTTTACCCTGAAAGTGATTGATGAGTTCATGCACGAAATCCAACTTGAATTGTTAGCGAATGTTCTTGATATGACTGTTGAGTAAGGGTCGATAGTGTCAAGTTTCAACAAACAAATTTTATTAAAATCGGATTATTCTTAATTCCCTGAGATAAACGTGACAGTCCTCTATCATTCTTGTATCGCTCACTCCACCCTATACCTTATTCAGTGAGCCAAAGGCAGGAAACCTAGGCGTCAACTATTGATAAAGTGAACTAGGCAACTTCTCACGGGTGTATTTGACCGCTCTTGACCTTTACACCTCTCTGCTCCGGATTTATATTGATGATCTCAAATCAGGTCCATCTACTTCACACTATAAGGATTTGATTTGCAAGAACATGCAATGAGGTCATGTTGAGACTTCCTTGTGTAGGTTTAAGACGGACTCGCAACGGCGTGTCAATTAGTACCAGGGTCGTGGAGGTGATAGTTATGCTTGTTGACGGACTGACAAATTGACATGATTCATTATTAGAACATTATCTTTTGCTGCCTCTCAACTATTGCTTATTGTGTCAGGAACTGATCATCAAATCACGAAGATGTATCTGGATAGTGTTTCGGGCATTTCGCTCGTCACATGTCGAGGACATTCGAGAAGTTTAAAATTAGAATCAGTCCTGTTTCTAACACAACTTTGTTGCATGTCAACTTTCTTTTAATATCTTTCCTTGTTGCATTGGGAGTGAAGATAACGGAAACAGTCATGATCGTCTTGTGATTAAGCGATTTACAAGTTAGCTTAAGACCTGAATTATCTGGCTTCATCGTGATCGGTTCTCTTTTGGTTATAAAGTTGCTTTGTTGCATATCGCTCATTATAGTGAATTGGAGGTATTCTTTACTTATTTGTCAGAGATCATGAACTGAGGGTGAAGGTTGTAGAGAGGCAGGAGCGTTCCTGGCAAGTGAGAGTTTTGTTGCATGTCGCAGTTCAACGTGAATTCTTTTCGTTTAGCTATATCCGAACAAGGATTCGAGTAAATGTCTGCTTAGTTTCTCCTTCGTCGTCTTCTATGTTCTGAAAGAAGGACTTTCTGGATCTGAGGGTGTTGGGTCAAGTTATTACTAAAGTTCAGACATGCGTTAGGTTTGGAGTAACGATTGTCAACCAAAGGTAGTAACGGATGGAAACTTAATTGATCTACTCAATATACAGAGACTCGAGGTGTCCAGAAAACTATTAGGCCTGGTGAAGATAGTTAAAACGAAACTTTCATTTTGTTCGCAAGAATTGATTATCGGTAGAGAATTTTGTGGGTGACAGAGCACTGCTGCATTGGCTTCTCAAACTTAGTACCCCATGACCCCCAAACTTATATATTACGGGGCCTTTGAATAATCTTTTGCACTTCTCAGCAACAAAAGACCATATCACCACATCGATAGATGCTTAGTATAGGCGAAATCTTGTGCAGAATTCCAGACTCAAATAAACGTGAAAATGGGACAACACCTGTAGTTAAATAAAGAAATGAATAGCCAACTTTTGAGCCCCTATTCAGATAGACCTTTACCACAAGAATATCTATGATTGGAAATGTTGTTAAATTCTCGCTTAGCAAATGAGCAGCCACCTTGTGAAGTAATCAAAACACTTCTTCATTACTCAGAGCTTCTCGGTATTTAAGTTGCAGAAGTAGAACTTCAAGTTTTTTTCTTGGAACAGCTGCATTTTATAGTCTAATTGTTATAACTGTATATGAACTGGTTTCTTACATTAGCTCGCGTCGGTTTATGCTAATATAGACTCATATAGATGTTCTTCGACGAGTGGGTGGTTATATTGAACATCCTGATGCTGACACATTGAAATATTCAAGTGTGGACTGAAATCAGAAGTCGAAGAGATTAAATGAAGTGCAATCACGGCGCGTGTCACGGTTATAAAGGTTATGTTTTGGTATCTGTAGTCAGTGGTCTTTATATGGAGCGGGATTGAAGTGGCTTTGGTAATAAGGACCTGCCCAGAATTCTCGCTCTCCTGGCTGAACCATTCGTACAAAGCATTCCGTTGTATAAAAGCCACCATCTCCTTCCGCGAGGAGAGCGTCGGTAACACAGTGGTGTCCTCCTACACATCTGTATCCCTTGTCTTTTCTCACCCAAAGGAAGCCAGCAATGCACGCTGACATTGTACTCAATTGATCTTGTGCTCATTGTTCCTGCCTGTCACGTTCTTGACCTTGAAGCGTGTTGTATTTTAGTTGACTCTGCGCCATAGTATGCTGTTGTAGGGGGGGAACAGGGTTGTTTTGAGATGTTCTATGCGCTTGGCGCCTTATGTCGGCATGGGAGTGGGTTAATTGTCGTATTTCGTTCGCAGAATCTCGTTGAAGTAAGGTCCCTTGCGTTGGTCGTCCATGTGACATACTGCCTCTCCTATCGTCATCTCGTTGAAGCAAGGTACCCTGATGCAGCCGTCCACTTGAAGTACTGCCTCTCCGATGATCATCTCGTTGAAGCAAGGTCCCTGGATTTGGTCGTCCATTTGACATAATGCCTCTCATCTGTTCGTCTCGACTTCTTGGTGGTGGGTTGCCTGACTGTGACAGCCTTCTTCGACTGGTTTGCGACATTTGGGAGTTGACATATGCTTCTTTCCAGCTTCTAGATGGTGGACTCATTGTGTTTCTTGCTCACTTGCTCTTTCCGAGTCTTGCTGCTGTAAAGTCTAGGTGACGAAGAAGTTTTCTTCTTTGCTCGGGGAAAGCTGTCATTAAATAGAGATTAAACAATCTTGATTAGAAGTGCCGAGAAACAACATGAATAAATTTATAAATGGCAGTCTTGTCTACTGAATAACACGTTGTGAATCTGGAGACATGTGATGCGACAATATGTCTAGCAATTGCAAAGAAGGTAAACTATATCTGAATAATCTCGATTCGAGACACCAAATGCGAATGACAACCTACTAAGATTTTATTCTTGAGCATCTCCCCAAATTCTCATTCCGTCAACTCCTTTTTCAATAACGCCTTCTCCTGCCATTGCAAACTCATACTCGAGATCTGGCTGCATCTCAGCATAGAGGCTATTCTTTTCACTCGCCATCTTCATGTTATAAGCAGCTTCCTCATCACTGACAATGTGCTTCTTCAAATCCGGATTACCTCTCATCGCCGCCTCTACTTGGAGCTGAATAGTACAACCTCTGTCCAGCAGCCCAAACAGAAACCCAGCTTCGTCAACAGTGCTTCCTACAGATAACAAGCCGTGGTTGAGTAAGATGGCGGCTTTGTTCTTCGGACCGAGAGCAGCGGCAATATTCTCGCCTTCTTCGGCTGCGAAGACGATTCCGCCGTAGGAGGCGTAAACAGCAATGCTGTCGTAAAGATAACAGATATCTTGATTAAGCATATCAAGTGGACGAGCAAATACAGACCAGGCACGACCTGCGTCTGTGTGAGCATGACAAACAGCGTGTACATCTGGGCGAGCTTTATGAATTTCTGAGTGGATTAAGAAACCTGCTGCATTTGCAGTTCTGGTCTACTCTTGTATCAGTTTATGTTGTACATCGGAGATTGATAGCGACCCAAGTTAACGCTTACATTGTTACCACCAACCACTTTCCCAGAATAGTAATCAAGACATATCATGTCACCTGCGGTCATCAAGCCGAAGTGCTTCCCAAGCGGATTCATCCAGATATAGTGTGGAAATTCTGGATCGCGTACTGAGATATGGCCGGACATGCCCTCAGTAAATCCTTTTCGAGAGAAGTCGCGGAAAACAGCAGCCATGTGAATAAGTATATGACGACGATGTTCTGCATGCGATGAGAATGTTGGAATACCTGCGTTTTGTTAACGTCAACTAAAATACACCACGTCTTATCAGATGCTGCCATCATTTGAACGTGACAATGAGAACTTGCGAATGTGATTACATCTTGGTGAGGTTAAACATGGTCGTCGAGTACGTGAGGGTAGAAAGTACAGTTGTTGAATCTGTAAGTCTGTATCATACTCGAAAGCAAGATATTCCTGTCATCTGCGGAGACTTTACAGATAACGAAACCTGTTATCTCATACCTGAAAAAGAACATTGACTTACCCTCCATGATTATAGGCCCGTGACTAATTGCTTCCAACGGCGTTTTATCCTCTCCGCCATGAACATGGACTTCCGGCTGTTTACTCACAGCAACATCCTTCTTCAAATCTGTTGCCACAGTTGAGATCTGGTGGGTAGCTGAAGGTGCCATGATTGCGGATTGTAGTTAGCTGTCTGGTAGAGACTAGTCAGAGGATGCGAAAATGCTGGTCGTTTCTATTGTGGTAAGAAGCATGTGTATTTTGAGGATTCGACTATATGTACAAACGGCGCGAGATTGTTTGATGTTTTGATAAGGCCAAGATAGAAGGGCGTGCTTACCTGCTAGAAGGCGTTGATGAGAACGGGCCGATGGCCCAAAGTCAAAGATGGGGGAACACGACTTCATACAGAGGTGATTGGTTGGTCAGTCGTACTGTCATACACGGCCGAGCTTCATGAATGGCTACTTTGACAATGTTCTGCTAGTAAAGATGAAGTAAATGAATAATTTATTGGTATCGATTGCCAACTTAGAAAGAAACAAATCAGTCCTCCTCGATCATGACAGAGAAATCTAACATCCTAAGCGAAACTTCCTATGGGCAGGTAGTGAACATACACCACATCTTCTTCTAAGAATTGAAAAATGATTGGCCCGCAGTTTCGTCGAAAGAAATGTTTGAGAAACAGCGCGCTGCTATCAGAAATTAGGTACATTAAATTAGCCACATCATGAAGTAATAGTTGCCTGCCCCTAAGTCTCACACTATTGCACCTATCATCCATAGTAATTTCCCTTTGGCAACGCGACAAAAACGACCGTCAAAGGAATGGTGATGATCACCGCCCAAATGACCGCTCCAATAATAATCCTATCTTGCAAAAATTTCAGGGCTGGATCCTGGGTATAAGTCTCTCTATCGAAGATCTTTCTAAAAAGCGACTTTCTCTCATATCTTGATTTCCAATTCGCGTTCTCGTAATAACTGTTTTTCGGACCGAAAGACCTCATAGAAGTAGGCCGACTATAACCTTGTTGGCTGTCTTCCTGGGTGGTGGCATTCGAGTCTACGTAGTCCGGTGGAGTCTGGCTTTGAGGGCCGTCGCTGGAAGATACTTGTGCGCCACGTTGGTCACTAGCAGAAGATCCTCGACGATCTACTTCGACGTCGGTAAGCTCTTCGTCCAGATTCTGCTCCCAGGGTCGGAGAGCACGAGAGTGGGAGAAGTACATGATAACACAGAGCCCTTTATAAGCTGCGACTGTAGCTGAAAAGCCTCCCAGCCATATGATAGCCGCAAAGATTCTCCACCAGCGACTCTTCCGTGATAATGTTAAGACAATCGCAAGGATAAAGCCAAATATGACGCTATTTGTAGAAGCTGTGCGCACAAAAAACACCCTAGGCCTGTTTCCGTTACAGATACTCCAACGGATGAAGTTTGGATGCGATTGACCCCGTAGAGCTGCTTCGGCTATCTTGACAGCAGGCATAAGCGCAGTGGGATGTGTCGTGTGTTGGAGAGCATGTAAACATAAAGCGCGATCCTTATGCGACAAGTTCAACTCTCTCGGAGACGTGAAGGCTAAGTAGTGTCGCATAATCCTGTTTATCTCTTCACGCATAGGCTGAATGGTAACTACATGCTATCAGCACCAGGAACTAACATGCGGAGCAAATACCTACATGGTTGCCACTTCAGTCCAGCTTGAGCTGCTACATCCGCATCGTTTGGAATTGAGGAGAATTCAGAGGCAGAAGGAGTTTCGAAACTGTGCTCAAACGCTTCACCGGCTGGACGAGTTGGACTCGGTGTATTTTTGTCCTCGCTAAAGAGAGCGGCGCCGTTACTTTTATATCCAGATTTTTCCCGATCGTTATCCTTATGCTTTTTGACGGTGTCCTTCTCCATATCTCTGCCTCTCGATAAATCGGGAGCGTCCGCGGTCTCGGGATAGAATGGCGGCGAAAGTGCTTTCTCTCTCTCGGGCAATGCTTCAAAGCGCTGGCAGTAATCCTTGTACCACAGAAAGAACTGCAGATTTTCCGCGTTGTGCTCAATATACACCAGATAATCCATGAAATCGTTGAGAGAGCACGGCTATGAACTCTTAGAGAGCGATGAGAGGCATTGGGCGACACTTTTACGTACCGGTAAGGAGTGATGGTTCATAATCTCATCAAACGAGAGGCCGTCAGGAATTATCCGTTCGGATTCTGTTACAGATCAGTTGAATCCTGGAGCGAGTAAGAGGGGCACCTACTTTTCGCGCGCTCGACATATCTTTGGCAGTCTTTGTGGTTAATTGGACCAGCTGGTCTCGACAGATAGTCTGGGCGGCGATAAAAGAGGATTGACATGATGACTGCTTGTCGTTCCCTAGAATGTTAAAATTCGAAAATCCGACGAGTATTAGGGCAGTATTTGCGAGGCACCGCGTCGTCGCCGTAGACACCACAATCTCAAATCGACACGCGAAGGAGCAAAGGGGACGACGTGATGTATTTGCTGCTTCCCATCGACGGGACGAGCAGACTCCTGTCGTCAGCCATTTATTGCCCGGATGTCAGCTAACGACCCAACTTTTCCTGCTTCTAATCGGATCCTTTGCTAGTGACAAGATTAGGCGTCCTCGATTGAAGTTTAAAACAATAGCTTTCCTCGATCAGCCAACCAGGCGCGGAATTGGACGAGTCTAGTCTGAGTAGCTTCATTGTTTCGACCCACCGTCTGTGAGATCCCCAGATGGCCTAGAAGTTGTCACGCATGGCAGCCATGCTCGATGATTACTCGCGAGACGACATGGTCGGCAAGACCTCCGTGGATTTTTGAGTTTATACCGCGTGCAGCTGGGATGTCTGACGCCGAATATTGCATAGATGTGGTGGATGTGGATGTGTTGACTTCTCAGACGAACATCGATGACTCCATCCATGTTCATCTCGATTTTAGCGAGTCGTGACTTGCCAGACATTTAGCTTCCAGCTTCTCAGCCGTTGAGCCCAGCCCAGCACCAGCTTCTCTAGTTGCCGCACAGGTAACCAGATTTTTGACAGGTAAAGGGCCCGTCCGTTTGTGAAGAAGCCCTTACTGTCGGCACTTGTAGTTGTCAGCTCATCTTCATCTCAACTTCTTTCATATCTCTCTCGAAGCGGTGCTCAAAACTTGTGTACGCGGACATGTGCACTTGCGGTTGAGGCACTGGGCAACACGTCCGATCGAGGCATCATCATACCGCGAACCAAGCGCAAATGCGAGATGCGGTGCGGGCGGGATCTGGCTTTTAACATCGAGAGAGATCGGTCGTGCAAGGAACCCCCGTTACTCCCCCGTCAACTATGTCAAGCGTCAATCTGCTCGTGGACTAAAGTAATTCTTCTCAACAGACTTCGGCCGCTTACTTTCCTCTACATTTCTTTCACCATGGTAAGAAGTTGATTGCCGCACTCGCTCTGCAAGACTCCATGCTGTGTTATATTTGAGTAAGGTTCCGCTCTCATCTGCAATAGTTGATAGCGAACAGCCCGAGGGTCGAACGCCTAATCTGTCATCACCATTTCCCGAGCAAACGGAACTCTCTAAGTTCCTAGAACAGCTGATTTTCAGGTACCAAAGGACCGGTCCGAGCATAACGGGCTTTAGGCTTCTAAAGTGCCTCGTGCTAGTAACCTCAGACCATGTGAAATGGTTATCGTTACTCTTGACTTACGTTGTCCGACATTTAGCATTCCTACCCTTTCCACTTGATAAAACAGCACATGGACATTCTGGTCTAGTCCCCACGTGGCGGGGCCTCTAGGGAAACAAGGCGAGGAAAGGTAGCACTCCCGACACGTTCTTTCAGAAACTTCAGTGGGACGGATTTTACTCGAGCTTATCAATATTCAGCAAGGCCAACAGTTTGAAACATTTTGCTATCGATTATCCAACCTGCAAGCAACACAACTCCTAGCTAACTAAGGGTACTCGACATTCATGCTCACCCGAGTTAGGTTCAATCTGATGTTTGGTAGTTCTTAGTTCCGCCCGAATTCCATTCCTATAATCAGTCGCCTCACCAACAAACTGCCCCTTCTTGACCTTCTCACGTACATTGTATGGTCATAGCATTCCCATAACCGCTGCCGTCGTGATGAGTATGGCGACTGATATGTATGGATAGAACAAGGTATAGAAAATAGGGACCTTCCTTGCCAGACCAGTTGCCACCTCTCCCTGCTTGACTATTGTGACTGTCATAACAGGGACTTCAATTATAGTTGCAGTTGTGGCAAGCGAAGAGATTGGACCAGGTGTTTGTATACTGACAAGTGGTAAAGTAGGAGTCTGAGTTGGGACCGTCATAATTCGAGAATCCGAAATGGCAGTCGCAGAAGAGCCGGCGCTCTCTATTGAGGGAAGAGGTAGGGTCTCAACTGGTACTTAAGTAGTGGTGATAGTAGAGGCGGATAAGACCTGGACACATCCGTTCGGGGCACATCTTGTTCCAACAGGACAACATCCCCCGCCTGCCTCGACTGAGCACTGTGTGGTACCTTCTAGGCAGGTTGGAGGATTATGGGAAGAATAATCGCAATATTGGACGTCTGTCGCATTACAGCACAGAGTTCCCGAGGCGGTAAACGGGACGTTAAAACATGATGTTGCTACAGGGCAACAAATTTCCTAGTACCTGGTCAGAAAACTCGTATCAAATCTTCAGACGTACTCACAGGCTGGTTGAACGCAACACAACTTTGTAGCTGATCTCCACAAGCGTAGGATGGTACAGCCCAAGGCAGCCTACCGGTCACTGAGTCGCTGTGAAATATCTGAACCTTCCGCATGGGCAGAAAGGTCTCTCCAAATTGTTTATCCTTCGGCTCATCGGCAGACCTCACTAACTTGATCCAGTCCCTACCACCATCAGCCACATAGTAAAAGTGGCATGTATACACAATCCCAGCGATGTGAGTATGCAAAACAATAACCCCAGACTTATGAGCCACAATCGACGGCGTATCATGTATTGACGGACATCTGAAATGTGTGATCTGAAAGAGGATACTGTCCTAGCCACCGGCGGATTAGCCTGGCTGTTATTTGGGTGACGTATCATGAACTCGGTTTTCGTGGTTGAGAGCGTTACGTATTTGTATGGTGCGCATGAATGCAAAGGTATTTGAATTGCCGATTTGAAAATCCTCTGTGCCATGAATAGTAGGTATGAACTTGCAAAAAGACATGTAGGTATGGCGGTGAGAGTTGAGTAATGAGATAGCTGATTCTGAGGAGATATAAATCAGGACAGTCGAAGGAGCACGAGGTGATGATTCTGACCCAAAGAAAGGAAGGAACGAAGACGCCAACAGGGATGACAGTAGCGATAGTCAGCGAAACCATATTTCAGGATACGGACGGGGCTTATTCTGATATTCTGAGTACGGCATTGAGTTATGTTACGCTGCTTGGACGTGCTAGAAGAACTTGAATTTTGTCTCGGATGGTAACGAAGGGACCAAGGTTGGCATTTGGAAAGAAACTAAACTTAGCATTGAATAGAAAGTCGAAGTCTGCTTATTGATTGGCCATGGACGTGGGAGTATGATTTAAGTCTCATCATACCGCGAAAGACTTCATGGACGTTGTAAGTTGAGGTTATTGATGTTCTTGTTTACGAGCGGTGCGGACCCGTATTGATAACAGCTTGGACTACAATGATTGGCTAAGGCGCTTCGGTTGGAGGGGCCTATTTTGAGGATTACTTAACCTTATCCCTCATGACAACTTGGAACTCCTGGGCACAACGTGAGCCTTCACATGAATGCTACTAAATGGTGATGCATCACTTGTCCCTTCATATTTTCTAGCTCCGAGCGTAGTTGATAGCATCACCAGACGACCCTTCGAAGATGTGACCCTGAAGTTCGACGGCCCTTATTCCTATGGAGTCTCCATATTCTTGTGCCTCGGCTCGGAGCGTGGGCGGCGGTCGAGGTCGAGTCTAACTCAAGTGCAAGAAGACTGCCCTTGACCTCGGCGACAAAACGGACTAGAAACATAAATCATCATTTGGGACTCTGTCTCTTCCGTCTCCCTAATCTTCAAACCACTTCAATTGCAAAATGTCTCCTCCTCAATGGGTCAAAGATCTGAAACCCGCGCCTCCTCAAGGTAGTGACCTCATTCAAGCAGAGAGAGAGAAATCCAAACTCTCTGTTGACAAGCTATCCAATTTCCTGTTCACGAAACAAGTCATCGAGCGTCAGGAGCGCATTTTAAAGATTCTTCAGTCCGAGAAGGTCTTCGACAAATCCCAGAATTATTTCGATGGGAGAATCGATAAATTCAAGACAGCTCTAGCAAGAGCAAAGAGGCTGAGACAGCTTCAAGTTAAGCATAACTGGAGTAGAGATGAGTATATGTGTGCCAATGATTTGGTCAGCGAGCCTGGTCCTTATGGACTGCATGCTAGCATGTACTTGGTAAGTTTGGAGACCCTTGATAATGATGGAGGTCGAGGAGGTCGAGTCTTTGTTTCTAACTTCTTTACCAGACCACGCTTCGTGACCAAGGTACTCCTGAACAACACAAGCTCTTTCTTCAACCTGCAGAAAACTATAGAGCCATCGGCTGTTATGCACAAACCGAGCTTGGACATGGATCGAACGTACGAGGCTTGGAGACTACAGCTACATGGAACCCAGAGGACAAGACATTCATACTACATTCCCCACATCTTACTGCCTCTAAATGGTGGATTGGCAGCTTAGGAAGAACTGCCAATCATGCTGTCGTAATGGCTCAATTGGTCATTGATGGGAAAACATATGGTCCACACCCCTTCGTGTGCCAAATCAGAGATATGAAGACCCACGAACCCTTAGAAGGTGTTCATGTTGGTGACATAGGGCCAAAATTTGGATACAATTCAATGGACAACGGTTTTCTACTGTTGAACAAAGTCAAAATACCCCATATCAACATGCTGGCAAAGTTCTCTAGTGTCGATCCAGAATCCAACAAATACGTCAAGCCTTCCTCGCCTTCCCTTGTCTATGGAACACTGACTTGGGTCCGCTCAACGATTGTGCTGCAATCGGGAGGGGTTCTGGCTCGAGGTGTTACCATTGCAGTAAGATATGCTTCAGTAAGGCGTCAGTTTCAGGATCGAGATGCGCCATCGGACGCCGATGGCGAGAACCAAGTCCTGAACTACACCATGGTTCAATTCAGATTGCTGCCTTTGTTAGCAGCTACGTTTGCCTTGCACTTCACCGGGAAAGCTATGATGGGCCTTTATGAGGAAAATCAAAAAAAGATGATCAACTCTGATGCCGGAAAGGTTGCAGACACAAACCGAGGTGCTGGACCTGAAGAGATCCACTCTGGCAGTGATTTACTGGCCGATCTGCATGCCACATCTTGTGGTCTGAAGGCTCTAAGCAGTACTACCGCCGCTGAGGGCTTAGAGGTGTGTCGTAGAGCATGCGGTGGCCACGGGTATAGTAGTTTCGGTGGAATAGGTGCTTGGTACGCTGATTATCTCCCGACCTGCAGTTGGGAAGGAGACAATTTTATGCTTAGTCAGCAGGTAGCTCGTTATGTATGCCCTTCCGTCACTTATATCATATATCGAAAGGTTAAGCTAACTTTCAAAGCTTCTTAAATCGGCCAGAGCAGTTCTGAAGGGAAACGCTCCTAACAATGACACCACCAAGATCTTCACAAACTTTCTCCAAAAGCAAGATATGGGAGCAGCCCACGACGTGCTCGGCTCAGACGCTGACCTTGTTGCCGCCTTTGCGTGGCGTACATCATTTTTAACGTTTGAAGCACTTAAGCACCGCGACGTGGAGAAGAACTCATGGAACTCGCTTCTTGTTGACTTCTGGCGTCTCAGTACAGCTCACTCACAATACCTGGTTGTCAAGAATTTCTACGATGCTCTTCAGAGTGATAGTTTGCAGTACGAACTCGATTCAACAACAATCGACGTATTGCATAAACTTTTCCGTCTTTACGCCTTGAACACGCTGGAGAAGGAAGCATCGGAGTTTTATTCCTCTTCAGCTGTTACCGTTCGCCAGATCCAACTTGCCAGAACTAAGAGTGTCATGAAGCTACTTGAAGAGATTAGGCCTCATGCATTGAGATTAGTGGATGCCTGGAATTTCCCAGACTGGCAGCTTGACTCATCACTGGGACGAAAGGACGGGAAAGTCTATGAAGATATGTTCCATCGGGCAAGTGAGTTGAACCCTCTAAACGGGTTGACCATCGATCCATACCCAGATAGTGATGTCTTGGTCAAGAAGGACGAGAGCGAAAGATTCAAGAGCAAGTTGTAGTTGTACAATTATGAATTGCGAAAATACTAATAGGACTGTATGATTTAATGAAGAAAACTCTACCTCCTCTCCATATCTTCTTTATTTTATCTACGCACTGTTACGTCTTGAAAAGTTTTTCATCATTCTTACAGAAGGTACTTGATTATAACGGCTAGCTTCGGCTACCAACGGGGGTCAATGACCCCACCTGCAAATGTGGTTTTCGTGCGGAAGCAAAATGTTTCTTCATGCATGAAATCTCAACCGACAGGAGTGACCTTGTACTTTCCGCCTCCGAGGTATGACGCAGATGAGGCTGAACATTTGTATTTCAACGTCCAAACATGCAGTAGTAGAAACACGAGTTCTCGAGTCGTGTTTCTGGCTTCGTAAGCTGAGTTTTATTCAGATTACGGCTAAGACAACCGGACCGTCTTTAGAACGGACGAGACATTGTGTGGTAGAGCAAACTTCGTTTCACAGGATGACTGGCAATTGCTGAAGAGATGCATTTTACAATCGCCTGGCAATGTATAAAAGTTCATTTCGAATGCCTAGACATATCGATGCCCATCTCTTTGCTAAGCGAGATATCTCGCTTAACAGTGAAGTTGCCCCGTTCCATTTATCATCGACTACTAGGTCACGAATTATTTATAGTACCTTTATCTAGATTCGAAAAGACTCTTATGCTCGTACACACGGCTCTTCGTTGCCAATAGTTACACGATACAATGGCGGGCCTCGGCCTGAATTCCAGGTCGGCATTCGGCTTTAGAACCAACTTCGTTTGCACGACGAGTGAAAACCAAGGGGTGCGGGCGAAATGAATTGTTTCGGAAGAGTCAAGCTTTTCGAGAAAAGATTTTGCAGCAATCCACCAGTCCACTTCCCGGTCGAGCCAAATGTCCGAGCCCGCGAGATGAGTGAGTTCGCGACTCGAATCTCGATTGAGCCGATAAGGCTGATCACGTGGAGATATCGGGACAAGCCTCTCTGCATCAGCCCGCCACTTACGTCACCATTATGTGTTTGTTTGACAGCCAGTAGATCTGCAGCTTGTTTATTCGTACGAGTTACTGAGAGGAGGAAATGGTCTTGGTAATCTGCAATTCCATGCGGGATCAGTACGCCTTTCGCACGTCTGTTTGCAGTGTTCAAAAGAAAGAGGACTTCGCTCTCATCTTAAGTCCGTCGCCCTCGAGCCAACTTCAAGGGGCTTCGGAAAGAGACTCGGCAAATCGGCAGGAACCACATCGTGGATTTGGGCGGATTGATAGCCAGGGTCCTCTGAGCCTTGTTGGATGAATAATCACCCCTGACGCTGCCCAGGTCGGGTGTTGGCCGCTTTTAACCACTTTCGCCTCGGTGCTAGTATGGAAATTTTGGGTCCAGTTGTTTGAATAAATAAACCCTCAACCCACTTCCTCCTGGATTTGCAGTTGTTTTGATTATCGATACATTGTTGCTTCAGTATTTTCTACAGTCTCAACTCGCCAAGATGAACGAAGTCGATCGAGCAATCGAACGCGACGAGCGTGACAGTTCGCCTGCAGCTCATCATCCCAGCCATGAAATCGAACGAATAGCAACATCTTCCTCGACTTCAACGTCATCTTCAGAGGCCTCAATGGAGAGGAGACAGACGGCCATCAGTCGAGCAAGCACACAAGGAGATTTAGAAAGACATCCAACAGTACTCAGCCGAATTCACACTGCAAGAAGTCAGCATGCGGGGACGATTGGAAGAAGTCACACGGGAAAGAGTCGGGATAGTAGGAGGGCGTTTCCAGAAATGGGATTGGGAAAACCTTTGCCACCACCACTTCCAGAAAGAGACGAATATGTCGTTGAGTTCAATGGACCCGACGATCCTTTACATGCACAGAACTGGCCTATGCGAAAGAAGTAAGTGAAATAAGATCCACTTAGACGTGCGAAGTATTTCATGAAGTGGACGTTGTCTAACAAGCATGCTTAGAGTTCTTACCGCGATAATGTTGGGATACACAACACTCGTGTCGGCCTTTACGTCCAGTATCTTTTCGACTGCCACAACAACGGTAGCGGCCCAATTCAACGTTTCGTCAGAAGTTGGGTTGTTAGGGCTGTCGTTCTATGTCTTGGGTTTCGCTCTTGGTCCTGTATTTTGGGCGCCCCTAAGCGAGCTGAAGGGACGACGACTACCTTTGGTTATCAGCATGTTTGGATTTTCCATCTTTCAAATTGGTGTCGCAGCTGGAAAAGATCTTCAGACGATCTTGCTTTGCAGATTTTGGGGAGGTAAGTTTGCAAAATGTCCCGATTTTTGGTCAATACCTAACCTTCATAGGCATTTTTGGTGCGGCTCCTTTAGCAGTCGTCGCAGCTGTCTTCTCGGACATGTTTGACAACAAAACTCGTGGTCTTGCAATTACAGTATTTTCTATGACTGTATTTACTGGTCCTCTTTTAGCCCCGTTCATTGGTGGATTCATTGTCAACTCCTACCTCGGCTGGAGGTGGACTGAATGGCTAGTCTCTATCATGGGCTTCGTCGCATTCTTCCTCGACCTTTTCTTCCTCGAGGAGACATATCCTCCAGTCATTCTTATCTCCAAAGCCAAAGAACTTCGTCGTCGGACAAAGAACTGGGGCATCCACGCTAAGCAGGAGGAAATCGAAATCGACTTCCGCGAGCTCATCACGAAGAACTTCAGTCGACCTATGCGCCTCCTCGTCACAGAACCAATTGTCCTACTTCTTTCGATATACATGGCATTTATTTACGGCTTGCTCTACCTTTTCCTTACCGCCTACCCCCTGGTGTTCCAAGGAATTCATGGTATGAAACCTGGAGTTTCCGGGTTACCATATTTTGGTATGATTATTGGCATGTTGATCGCCGGTCTCTACATCGTCCTCACCCAACCATCATACAACAGAAAACTAGCAGCAAATAATGGAGTTCCAATTCCAGAATGGCGTCTTCCTCCGGTCATTGCAGGTGGTGTTTCGTTCGCTGGTGGTCTCTTTTGGTTCGGATGGTCTGGCTACAAAGCTGATATCCACTGGATTGTACCCACACTTTCTGGCCTCCTCACTGGATTCGGACTCCTTTCCATTTTCCTACAATCTCTCAATTACCTTGTCGACGCATACCTTATGTTCGCCGCTTCCGCCATCGCCGCAAACACCTTCCTTCGATCGCTTGCTGGTGCTGGATTCCCTCTCTTCTCTACCTACATGTTTAATGGGATGGGAATCAACTGGGCAGGAACACTATTGGGGTGCGTCGCTGTTGTTCTGGTTCCTATTCCAGTGTTCTTCTACATTTACGGCGAGAGAATCAGAAGACGTAGCGCTTTTGCACCTACAAAGCCTCTAGAGTCTGCAAGCGAAGACGACAGCGTCAACGTTATTCGTCAAGAGAAGACTGGAGAGGACGCTGTCTGATCTGTCACCTAAGGTCTTTATGGAGGGCCGTATCATTCGATGTGTGTATAGCTTGGAAGTATAAACTTTTATAATATGGGAGGATAAAAATCCTAGGAGTTCAGGAGCGTGCTTGAATATGGCGTTTGATACCAGGCTTGTTTTGTGTTGAAGGCAAAATGCAGACACCTTTAACTTAGATCGAAATATAATTCTAATAATACCACCCAACAACTATAAAGTTGGCTGCCAGTGCTTCAAATTTCATCAACCCACTCGATACAATCTGCTAGATTGCGTCTAATTGACTGAGAGAGTGACATGTTTGGCTTGAAGAACGGAACACTAATTTCATCCATCCTTGTGGCGGACAGTTTGATCGAGTCACCTCCCGGCAGTCTTTAATCATTTATAGCTATGTGTACCTTTCGTACCGAAATACGTACTTCCAGTAAGTATAATATGTGAAATGGAGTCGACAAATGTCTTAATTACTCAGAACAATAGACGGAATATTCGATATTTCGTCAACCATATAGGAAAATGGTCCTATTCTAATTACTGCTTATTCTCCTCGCCGCGAGCTTGCCTTCCTCAGTCTTGAATATTTCAAAATAGGGACTACTGTCAGTGTTTTACAAAACTAGTAAGATGACATTCCAGCATGTTGATGTCAAAAGAAAGAAAAACAGAAACACTTTCGGACATTCCTACCATCCTTTTTCGAGAGGCAGATTCGGCGCCTGTAAAATGAGATCACAGCGTGGACTTACTCAACGAAATTGAGTAAATGTAGCTTTTTGGAAAAGTATACGTTGTTGTTGCACTTTTAAAAAGGTGTCCTGTCAGACGTGCCATACACTGGTGTATTGGTGTAAAAATATTTCAGGAAATAAGAGATTTGCCTTTGAGAATCGAATACGGAATTCATGGTTCTTGGTCTTCTTTCTCTGTTATAATCTGAAAATGAAGACCACGGCAGCTTTCTTCGTCCACTGTTGCTGAATACTTCGCATTTTTCAAAAGTCCGCCCAATCGTCACTATTGTACTCGTTATAGGCACAATAATCTATCTGGTATCAGTAATCCCTGACAGAATCAATCCCCCAACGCCAAACTAGTGCACCCATTTCACAATCCCATAACCCAGCAAACTCCAAACCCAAAACCCTCATCCATACCACGCTCTTCCAATCTCCAAAAATCTCAGCTCTTCTCAACCATCGTTCCACTCCCCCCAGGAGCCCCTTTGACCTTCGGCATCTTCTCATACGCATTAGGACTACTCGCTCTATTCCCCCTAACCTTCCGTTTCCCCTTCGCGCCATGACTATGTTCATGATCATGCTCATGGTCGTCGCATTTCCGCCCCGAACCACTCATGCGCGCGGCGCCGTCGTCGTTATCGCTTGAGCTGTCATCGCTGTCGCTGGAGCTCTCGTCCGATGAGGAGTCGATGTTTCGCGGCGCGTGGTAGATACAACAGACTGGTTTGGATGTTAACTTGTGGGTAAGGCATTTCAGAAATGCGGTAATACCTTTACTCTTCTTCCTGCCCAATCCTTCGTTGTCAACTACATCCTCCGCCCATCTGATCCCAGGTCGCGCTTCCGCTTGCGCGCTCTCCACGCCTCTGAGATGGAGGACCGGTTGCCGGCTCGCGCTTGGTGTTTGGTTTAGTGTCAGGGTACGTGAGCTGCTAGGTCGGGCTGCCGTATTTGAGGCGAGAGATCTTTGATTTGATCTCGCAGGGGGTTGGCGACGGTTTGTTGAGGACGACATCGCGGGGAGATGGTGGTAATGTCGCGGTATTGGAATCGCAGTTGCGAAACAAAGGTTGGAATCTTTGCAGTTTTGAGGGTTTTACTCTAGCGCTGCTCTAATATATACAGGCTTTGTATTACATCTCAGGATTGACGAAGAGAGCTGGAGAGAGATGGTTCCGTTATGAATGAAAATAATGTTATGGAGGTGGGGTGATCTGCATTATGGAGGAGACCCGACGGTTGCCATCGATATGATTAGTCATCAACGCGGCGCCCCCCTCTATCTGAATTATATTGCTCGCGTAACCTCCTTCAAAGCTCCTTGCTACACTCAGGTTAAAATAGGTGCTTTACGACGTTACTCAACGTTATTTCATCGATTTGATATGAGGGTGCAGCTACTACACTCTTATCCGAAACCAATGAGAAATTGAGAACTCATGCGAAAGGCCCGTATTTACCCATGGGAAGTTATACTTAATGCTGGCTAAATCTCTTATGATTTCTACATCCTTAATGTTCTGTCGAGATTACTCGATGGCTTTTCCCTCTAGGTTGATGTTTCTCTCCACGTTTCTTGCCATTGGCAGTGTTGTGCTTGGACAGACAATCGTAAAAGATGGCGAGACGATTAGTAGGTCTTGTTCTCTGTTGACCCGGCTTAGGATATGACTATGGTTCCTGCTTAGGAATACAGTATAACCGGTCTAGGTGCCAACCAAAGACATGTAGCTTCTGCGGAGGAGATTGTCATAGAAGATGTCCCTCACGCCTTCTCCGAAGCCGAGAAATTCCAGCTCACTGACGCCGTCCTCGCAAACCTGACGAACTTGCAGTTGACCAACATCTCGCTCTTTAACTTTGCAGATGATAATGCTCCCCTAAAAGACTCCAACTTCACTGGTTGCAAGACATTCCCTGAAGACTTGTCCTGGCCTTCAAAAAGCGTATGGGGAGTTTTGGATCTATTGACTGGGAGTTCTTTGATCGAAACAGTTCCTATCGGTGCCGTTTGTTATAAGAATAACAAGCATTACAACGCGAAGAAATGTAGTACCGTCTTGAGTGAGTGGACGACATCTGAGCTCCAGTAAGGCTATCCCCTCACTCCCGTGTTGTGCTATTGGAAAGAACTAAACCCGTGTGAAATAGTGCCCAAGATCCAACCTCAGTGATGTCTCCCTTGTATCAAGGCAAGACATGCATGCCTGAAAATGGAAACACTAGTACTTGTGAACTTGGAGGCTTTCCATCATATGTCGTCAATGCCACCAGAGTTTCGCAAATTCAGCTCGCAGTCAACTTTGCTCGTAACCTCAACATACGACTTGTTGTTCACAACACCGGTCATGATTTCCTCGGCAAGTCGACCGGTGCTGGTGCGCTCTCCATATGGACGCACCATCTTAAGAGTGTTGATTTAATCACGGACTACAAGTCATTCTCTTGTATGTACTTCACTTATTCCATCATCCTACTCGGCCCATGTATTGAGCTTTGCCGTGAACGTATCCCCAAAAGCCAACATAGCATTTGCTAACATTCAACGACACTTTACAGATTCTGGTCCTGCCCTCAAACTTGGTTCTGGTATCCAAGTTGCTGATCTTTACGCCGCGGCAGACAAGTTTGGCTACACAGCCGTTGGCGGAGAGTGTAAAGGGGTCGGGGTGACCGGCGGCTACCTTGCTGGCGGCGGCCACTCTCCATTGAGTTCTATGTATGGTATGGGATCTGACCAGGTCCTGAGTATCGATGTCGTCCTTCCTAGCGGCCGTTTCATTACAGCCGACGAGCGCAACAACGAAGATCTCTTCTGGGCACTCCGCGGAGGTGGTGGTGGAACCTTCGGTGTCGTCACTAGTATGACCGTGAAGGTATATCCTAAGATGAACTTCTCGGGCATGACATTCAGTGTCTTGAGTGGGCCAGACACGAATATCAGTGTCGAGGTGTTCTGGCAAGCTGTTGCTGTCTACTGGCGAAAATTACCTTCCTACGTCGAGGAAGGTAGTTATGGATATTCGACCATTTTCCCCCGCGGCCCAGCTGCAGCCGGCAATACATGGGACATGAGACCATGGTTAGTACCTGGCATGAAGCTCATCGACTTCAAAGTCATGGTTGCTTCGCTCTTGAGTGAGTGGGAAGCATTGGGATTTGTCGTCGAGCCGCAGTACTTTGAACACGACAACTTTCACCAGACCTGGACTTCCCACTTCCCAGTCGAAGCGGTCGGCAACCTCAATCTGCGCACTGCATCTCGCTTGTTCCCAAAGAAGAACTGGCAAGATCCAGCTCTCCTAAACAAGACTATCGCAACCATTCGCGCAGTCGCACAAGAAGGCTCCGCGCTCATCCTCTACAATATCAATGGAGCGAAACCCGCTGGCGTTCTTGATAGTGCCGTCAACCCAGCGTGGCGCGAGGCAGTTCTCTACGTTATCATCGGCAGTATGTGGGCTGAAGGGTCAACCAAAGCCGAGATCGAGGCCGTTAACAAGAAAGTCACTCACGACTGGATGGAACGATTTCGTGAGATTACACCAGGTGCTGGCGGGTACGGTAACGAGGGCGATGTTATGGAGCCCGATTTTGCCCAGGCGTTCTATGGATCGAACTATGCTAGGTTGTTGAGTATCAAGGAGAGGATCGATCCTTGGGGCGTATTTTGGGCACCCACTGCTGTTGGTAGTGAGAGTTGGTACGTTACTGGCCAGGAGAAGTGGCTGACTTTGCAAAATGGCAAACTTTGTAGGAAGTAAAGTGGAACCTCTTTATAAGCATTTCGGTTATAGGAATACCTAGGATTTAAGGAATTTATCGGTAGTCCCGGTTTTTTTAATATAAAATGGGAAATAATCTAAGTATAAGGTTAGCGTTGGTATAAAAAAAGTCGCTCTTGGTTGTAATCAGCTGGTGTGTTGTATTATTGTATTAGTGGCGACGAGTAGTAAGAACTACCCGTGAGGGGCTTGGATTAAAATGTCATTTCTCATCATTGTCTATAATATTTACAGATATACAAAAATTCCTATAAAGTCAAAGCCCCCGCTATACAAAAAGCAAATGCTAGGAATTTAAATTCGATATCAAGTCTCGACCCTTTACTAGGACTTCCTTTCTGCACCACTCCAGTAGCGGTAGGGCTTAGTGATGTACAGCTAGCAGTTCCGCACTCCCAACCAGAGGGACAGCAGTTCCCTCCCACGCTGGCAGCACAGGTTGCCCAACCTGAAGCGCAAGGTCCTGTTGGCGTAGCTACTGTAGCTGCAGATCCGATTGGCACAACTATGGTTTGACCACTGGAAATGATTGTGGTCGAGGATGTTGCCGGACAGGATATCTTTGCGCAATCCCGATTGATTTGGCAGCATCCACCATCGTAATGCGCCGAACATGCATAAAACCCTGTCGGACATGCGGTTCCTGGCGCTTCTGTTGCAGATGACAGGGAAGAGGTGATGGATGTTGCACTAGTTGGCCGAACTGGGGGAACGCCTGTTGCTGTCGCTGAACTGGACGTAGTGGTTGAGGTTGATGAAGGTGTAATACTGGTCGTACTTGCTATTGAGGTTGAAGTTGTTGTAGTTACTGGCGTAGTTGTACTGGCAGTTGTGCTAACAATTGTGGTACTGGGGACGACAATTATAGGTATCGAAGAAGTACTAATTCGTGTAGAAGATGGAGTGACGGTTACTGTAGAATTAAAAACGCCTGTAATTTATCAGTTTCGGTTCAAATCTTACAGCCAGAAGCACTTACAGCCAACACCTTCACAAACATAATTTGGAATACAACATCCACCTCCCAAATTCTGGGCACAAGGCGTATTTGGAGCACTACAGCTCGAAACAGTTCCTCCACAAGTATCCCCCTTGGGACAGCAACCAATTGGTCCTAAGCCTGTCTCTACTATTCGAAAGCAATTCTCATCCGCTGCGCAACAGCTGTTGGGGAATCCAATTGCAGTGCAAGCGGAATAGCCAGTTGGGCATATGAATTCCCTCTTCTCCAGTATCGCCAATACCTCAGCTGCTCGTGCTTTCAGGTCCGTATCGTAATTGGCGTGTAAAGCATATGGCGTTCGGTATGGGATAGCTAAGCTGCCATTCGACAATAACCTAGCCTCGTTATCGTCTCGAGGTCGCAGAGACTGTAAAGACTGCAAAGTCGCTCCCGTAGAGTCTTCTTCAAACTGCCAATATTCCATATAAAACTTCTGGTTCTCATCCGCCGGCATCTTCATAACTCCTACAGGACTCCTTCCCATCCGCAGATGTTCTTCCACAACTCTTCGTCGAAGAACATTGTGTTCCAGCTTAGCATCGTCTGCGGTTTCGAGCTGGAGCGACGGAGATTTGCGACTATCAAGAAGCTCCGCAGACGTCAGATGCGAAGCTATGAGTATGAGTATCGAAGCCGGAAGGCCGAATATCGGATGGAGTCGCATTGTCGGTTCTCAAGGTAGTGTAACGCGCTTGGATGAAGCTCGTATCTGCAATTGTAGGTTTGTTGAATGAAGTATGTCCCAGCTGATCCTGTACAACGTCCAATCTGCAGCTACCCTAAGAAAAACAATTGAATAGTCTCAACAAAACCTGAAAAGGGCAGAAACAAGAAAGAAAGGTATATTTAAACTTAGTGGCTGGGAAATAATACCCGCACCGCTCACCGACTGGGATATCCAAAAACCTGTTGTTGGCACAAATGTACGTGGCTGGGATTTTTGTCCTCGTTGTGATATAATGTCCACAAGAGCAGTATGCCCCGGGTGGTATAGTGATCAAAAGTTTACAGAACATATGTTAGAAAACAAAGCTTTCGTCTCCAGAATGCCATTCCATGCTCGGAGGAGGATGCCTCGCGGGGGACAAAATAAGTGTCAGTCACCAATCCACTAAACTTGAAAAATAATAAGTCGACTTCGAATAGAGAATAAAAAACCTTATTTACTTAAAATAATTGACGAAATAGTGATAATGCTCTAAGTTAATTCGCGAAATATACGATATTTCGTCAATTTTATTGAAGAAATGTTGCGTTTCGACTGCCACTTACTTTGTCCTCCACGAGGATGCCCAATGTTTCGTAACTGATTCCGAGCTGCCGATGAAGTCAGCTGACACCGCGTCTATATCCCGACGTCTTCAACGCGACACCTCGAACTTTCCTTAAGATTCACAATCCAATTGATCACCCAAATAAAACATCAGGAATAACACCAGTAGCCTTACTCAGTCAAAATGGCTCGAACCGACGAAGCAGAAGCATTTTACTATGCAGTTTATAATGCGATACAAGAAATTCCTTACGGCAAGGTGACAAGCTACGGTCATATTGCACGGCTAATTGGGACTCGTAAGTAGAATTTCATTTCTACTAGCCATTGAATACCTGTAATCTTAAAAGAAGGATGACGGAAACTGGGAAAGGCAAATGTGGTGTTACAACTTTCCAAAAGAGATGAATTCCCAGCATTCATGTTCAACTTCGTTTTCACGGCGCCGATGTCAATAAACCCGCTATTACTGATTACAAATCACGTATTTCATATTTCGTGCCCAAGCTGAATATAATATCCAAGATATACTACCATAGGTTCAAGCCTTAGTTAACATAACCTACAGCTCAAAGACCACGTCAAGTAGGAGTCTGTCTCAAACACCTTCCCACTGACCTATCACTCCCCCACCACAACGCCAACGTTCCCTGGCAACGAGTTATCAACTCGAAAGGCATCATATCTCCCAGGTAGTACCTCACCCCACCCTATAATACAATGTCCGCTAAATATATCAGAGGCCATCCCTCAGGAGCAGCGCATCAAGCAGCAGCTCTTCGTGCCGAAGGTGTAACCGTTACTCAGTCGAATATGGGAGAATTCATGATAAACTTTTCTGAGTACGGGTGGTTTCCAAAACAACTACCCAGTGAGGAGGCAGAAGGCTTAGAACCTCATGTATTTACTGATGAGGAAGATAATTGACTCATCAAACATCACAACACGCCACTAAGCACAACTAACAACACTTGCCAGTAGCAGGACATGCGTAATGATTAAGAAGGCAAGCCATATTGATCAAAATATATTTCTCGGTTCAGATTAGCGCTTTGATACACAGCACAAAGACCGGGATATCCTCAGTCTACTCCGAGAGCCTTCAATACTGTTCGCTAGCCACACAATCCACGTAATAAACCACAACTTCTAATTATCACTTTCGTCCATCGGTATAGTTCAGCGTCACCAATACAGACAAAACCCTCGGCACTCCAAAGGGGGCTCGGGTCGAGTCGCACGGCCCTCCCTACCTCCCTACCTCCCAGGCTGCACCTTCAAGAGCGAATTGTCCAACCCTCTCCAAGAGACACTTTGCGTAACGAGCGAATGATTTGCCAAGACCTGTAGATGTAACCATCAGATCTCTAATTTAAAATGTTGATTGCCCAATAAGTAAGCGAAAAATGACCCACCATTGTTGTGACGGTGCTGGAGCATCTCCCGACCCAATAGGATGCCCGACCACTGGCCTGCCAGGCTCATAATCCAAGCTAAATCCAGTCATCTTATAATGATGGTTATACGTAAAGAGGATCAATAAAGAAATACCTCAAACAGTAGATAATTTGGATCGAAGGACATTTGCCTCCAGTGGATTAAACTCTGAAAACTTCGGCAGGATCAATAGGTTAGGTAAGTAGTTATGGGTGATGCTAAGCATCGACGCCGATTTGTAATTTCATTCATGGAGTTAAATTCACTCATTTCGCTTCTTCGGGTCCTTCAGATGCCCGAGGTTGAGATCCGTTGGATGCTGGGTTGGCCGGTGAAACGTTTGCGTGTTGTTGATTATGGGGCTGAAAGTTCTTGTTATTATTGTTGTAATTTCCACCATTTTGATGATTGTTTCGTGGCTGCGGTACGAACTGGTGCATTTGCTGCTGCGGGCTAGCGCCGAAATGATTTGGACCGCCAGGATAGCCGTTACGAATTTGCACTTGAAGGTATTAGTAAAGAGTTGAAAAATATAACAGGATCTTAAACTTACTTTGATTAGGTGGCGCTTGAGCATAGACAGGTTGCCCATATTGAGGACCTGGGCTCATACCAGGATTGACACCAAACATAGGCGGTTGTTGATGGCCTTGTTGAGAGCCTTGACTCATCATCATTGGGGCTCCTCTACCTGGACTTGGATAGCCGTTGACAGGCATGATTGGCGGCCCATTACCCTGGGGTATAAAGTGACCCTGTTGCCCTGGTGGATACATCATCTGAGGACCAGGTGCCATACCCTGGGAAGTCATAAAACCGTTCGTTGGATTTTGCATCATAATGGTCGGTCCCATGTGAGTCTGCTGGGGTATGAATTGATGACTTCCAGAAAGAGAACGATTTGGATACAAGGGTGGCCCACCGCCTGGAAAGGGTACCATTTGTGGGTTGTACAGCTGAGCCGATTGATTCATGGGGGACGGGTATGCAGCAACAGGAATATTGTGAAGGCGAGGAGAGGCGAAGGATTGCGCCGATTGCGATGGCATCATGCGATGCTCGTCGGGTCCATTGAAGGATGGCGCAGGCCCATGACCATGCTGATTCGGTAAGTTCATGGAAGGTTGTCGAGGAGATTGCCGCTGGTTCATGTTATGGACACCCTGTTGAAGATGGAATGGAAGTTGGTGTTGATGAGGGACCGGTGGGACCGCATGTGAAGGGTTTGGCGAAGACATTGCTTGGTTTGCAAATGGAGCCTCTTCGAACAGCTTCTTATACGTCTGATGCATGGTTGAACCAGGCTTCTCGTCGTCGGCGACTTGTCTCCAAGTTGGAGGAGTGTCAAAAGCAGGCTTCAGCCCTCCGCTCTTACTCCAATCCCTTCCTGGGCCTGGTTTGATTGACATGATGTGTTCAAGAGCGTCGAACTTTGCCTCTAATGACGGACGTTCTGATGCAGGGATTGGTTTGCGTTTTAGCAGTGACCGAGCGATTGGTGCAGGTACCGGAGTCTCGACGGCATTAGCAGCTGTTCTAGGACTAGAGCCGCTGCTTGGAATTGCATTAGGATTAAACGAAGCCGCAAATGGGCTTGGTCTGAATTCACTTATCATTGGATTCAACCGGCCTCCCTGGGCACTGTTGACACCACTGGACCGTCGAGAGAAGTTAGGGTCGACTCCGTTGGAAGGACCGGTAGGTGGCAGGCGAGCCTCGTGAATTGGCATAGGATTAAGTGGCATTTGATTATGCTTTTGCTGCTCCAGGCTTCTCAGACGAGCTCCCAAATTGCCTGGCCCACCCCGACCCTGCTGAACGGGAATTTGTTGACCTTGTGCAGATCGATCACCACGGAAGTTCTGAGAATTGTAACCACCTTGGTTGGGAAATCCAGCATTGCGATTTGGGGTCTGCCGATTAGGCATGTTGGACGATGGGGTTCCGTGAGAGGGTACTGGACGCTGCGAAGCAGCCTTTGCATCGGGGATTGGTGCAATAGGCTTCGCAGATTCTGCTGGGCTAGGTTTGGCCTCAGCGTTGCGCTTTGCATTTTCCTTAATCTCTTGTTGCCGCACTGGATCCTTTGCAATTATAGGAATCAGATCCTCGGGGACGGGTGTATTGAGCTTGAAAGAATCTGCAAACTTCTTCAAGTCACTCAGTTTTAGCTCCTTGTCATTTCTGGCTTTGCTGATTCGAGCACTCTCGACCCGTGTTCGTTCGCGCAGAGCGAAAGTTCTGAATGCGCCTGCAACATCGCGCTCGATACTTCCCTCAGCAGTAACCTTAGGAGAAACCGTGTTAGTCGCAGAAGGAGTAGCCTTTGGTACAGCAGGCTTGGAATCTGGAGTCGCGATGACACTTGATTCGGTTGTGGTTGGAGGTGTAGCGACTTCGCCCTTAGCATTTGCACTCAAAGCCGGCTTCTTGTCCGCGACAGGTTTGTCTGGACGGGCAAGCTGAGAAGATATAATGGCTGGGTCGACAGGTGCTCCGCTGACCGTCGATTGGCCAGTTGGCGCACGTCGTGCAGGTGGAGTGTACTTGTTGCTGTTATTTGTGCTGGAACTGAGAGGTGGGAAATCCTGTGGCCGTCGGACCCCACTGTACCTAGAACAATGTAAGTAAATGTGCAAGCAATGTCCGGAAGTGGAAACTCACTTGTCCTCTTCGTCAAGACCACTACTATCTGCTGTCAGATTGTCTGTGATACGCTCTTCAGCAACATGAACGTTGGTGGTGACACTTCGCTCAATCTCTTTCGCCTTCTTGTCCGCGTCCGCAACACGTTGCTTGTATTGAGGATGGCTCTTGTCAATTGGCGTGGTGTAGATGTTTTCGTCATAATCACTCTTGAGGCCAAAGCGGCGCTCATTCTCAGCAAATTGATCCCATACTGGACCTGCCTTTCGCGTGGATTCCAGGGAGCCATCCTCAGCTTCTGGCGCATCGGGCACCCATCTTTGCAGCACGCGCTCTCCTTGGCCCTTACTGCCTGAAATGGCACTGTCCGTTCGGAACGAAGCAGAATTTCCTATGCGAAATTAGCATGACGAAAGCATAGTATGCAGCCCGACTCACCGTTTTGTGCTTTATTAACACCTGCCCGAGAATCGACCATGTCCTTTCGCTGGTTTGACATATTGGTCTGATACTTCGAACCGCCGTTGGACATATCGCTAGCTTTCTTTCCTTGCACCATGTTCGGAAGGACTTGGGCAACTAAGTGATCCAGAAATACGGATACTCGAAGAGCAATTGACGAGAGGGGTCAGTTGTCCTTTCTGTGATAATATGTTAGCTCGAATCATGGTGGCAGAAGGCTCGGTTCGACTAGAAGTCGAAGTCCACGCTTGTCACAGGCGTCGTCACACCATCCCGGCGCTCGTGACGGTTTCGCGACAGCCACATGTGAAGGTGAAGGTCTGAAGAAAGAATAGAGATGGAATTATACTTCTTAACAAACCGCACAGCTCGTGCTATGCGATCGTAGCAGACTGGATTTCGCGCCGATGTGAGGCCTTTTTAATGTTTCGGATACACAACCCCTAGCCACAAGGCCAACAAAACTCTCTATTACAAAGAAACCGGTCTGTTTGGTAGAAGATTCGCAATTAGCTTATGTTCAATGTGATCAAGTATCTGCGAATAGAGAAGAATGATCAGGAGTGCCATGATCATAGCTACCAATCGACCCACAATGGGACGTGGAAAGAGAGGCTGGCTATTCATGGGTGTCTTACCTCGAAGAAAGAGAGAATATTACCACTTCAATCGATCGCAGCTGTTTTCTCCTTGACTCCAGGAGGTCAGGTCGCTCTGCGCAATGCAGGTCGAGTCGATGGTGGTGGGTGAGAAGGGAGGTCGAAATTCGAAGCCAGAAAAGGCCAAGCGATCGTCCGCGAAGCTCAACGTCAAATTATCAAAATAGCGCTGGAAGAAGGAAAGACAACTCAAGACTGCACTCCGATCTGGACATTCACGCTTGCCATCAACCTCCACGGGCAGAACGAGTTTGGCAGATGGGACGAGAAGCTGGTTGGGAGGACAGTCGTAGGATGAAGGGGAGAAGGTGGTTCGAAAGTCGATGAGATGAACGTGGACCCAGAGCTGGAGCCGTTCAGAATTAGTGAAGCGTTCAAGCGGGAGATGGCCCAGCCCGTAAAGCGGCGCCGGGGGCTCCGAGCAGGAGAGGTCAAGAAGATGTCGTGTGCAACCACGGGATTCACGAGCACGGAGGACTTGAGATACAAGGCACCGTTTTGATTTAATCTCATCTGCAGCCTTAACTGTAAGAATTGGAATTGTCTCGTAATCAAATTATCCAGCTCCCAAACCACCGTCAGTCTGCTCAGTTGCCCCTCCTGGTAGACTAAATATAAACAACCTGTAGGTCGGTCTACCTGTCAATTCGATCGTACCTAAGCTACAAAGTCCGGTGGTTTTGCCAGAACTCGGAATAGAGTCTGCCAAGGCAACATATACTGAACATATACCGAAAACATTCGAGAATAAAGAAAAATGTGTCGTCTATCGAGTACATGTCCTTCTTGGACTGCCACTTATTTGTCCACCTCAGGTCCCACTTCTTCTATATTCAATCCCAAAAAGCAGCCTCGCTCGCCAGGTTCGAAGGTCAAAGCTTTTTTCGGTACGGGAGACGAGGCAGCTCCCTTCCTTGTGGCTGGGCCAAACCGATTGTCCCTGGAAGCGTCTGAATCAGCTGGAGGATGCTTGGAGATTCAATTGTCGAGGATTGAGGTACAACGTTTCTGGGTATTAAGGCAATGGACACAATAACCTGATCGCCTTATGTTCCGGCCTCCTTGGGATTTATGAAATCTTCAGCTCGCAGCGCACCGCACAGCAACGAACTCTCGACTCCTCCGCAAGCATCATGGGCGAAAGAACCACCGAACGGCGGGCGCACAGTTGACTGTCATACGATGCAGCGCCCGCACGGATTACCTTGGTACCACCGTACTCGAGTTAGAATTGGGTTCTCATTGTCGAGGCAGCGACGCACATTCGCCATAGTGCGTGCGGTGCTTCGAGGACGAGAACATGCAGACGGACAATGAGTTTGATATTGACGCTCCAGTCCTCAGAATCCAAGGGTCGTCGTGGTGGCGTCTGGTGTGGGTTGCCGTGCTTGCTTAATTCCTGTCGAGTACCATTTATCCCTGGCAGCCCCAAAATGCAACTAGTAGACGACAAGAAGACCTCTTCCGTACCTACCTACTTACCCACCTACGGATGGCTTTGACTCGAGAGGTCTGATAGTAGGTATGTGAATTTAAACGATATACTAACAAACTCTCATACTCCCCCTCTTTGTATTGTGTCAAAACCGTTAAACACCGTTGCATGAGACTGAAGAGCTGCATGCCGGAAACACACATGCTCTCCCCAGGTTCTGTCGATCGTCAACCCGCTTCAACAAGACCCGTCTCCCGCACAAATCGTTATTGGTAGATTGTATGGGTGCTTCTGCGGCTGGTTTGGTGCAAAGAACCAATCGCCTGCTGCAGTGGTTTTAGCTCTGCCCAATTAAGCTACCTACCTAGGTAGGTAGGTAACTACATAGTTCTAGTACGAAAGCATCTTCGTATTCTACTAACATGACAAGAGACGAGAAGGGACCGGCTTTGTAGAGATTAGAGTGAATTTGGTAAGTAGTGATTATTCAAGTCAGATTTCTCACAGTTTAGTTTCCCTCCTCTTTCCTGCACTGCCTCGCCCCTAATAGCTCTGATCCTATCAGCAACTCCTTCGTATCATTCTGCTGTCTGTAGTGCATCTAATAGATCTGTCAATTGCCCGTGAAACATAGTGCAAGATGTCCAGTACTACCTCTGGTGATTTCTTGCATCTCTACATTATATATCCGCAAGATCAACGTCATAAATCACAGGTATAACTCGTTTAGTCTGTGTACGAAAGGTCCCTCGTCCGAATGAGGATTCGGTTCGGTAGGCGGCTCTTCTAGAACTCTGCCCGATCCAGTTGCATATTCCTATTATGGACGAGGAGGTCGGGGAGAACCCCTGAGAAAGTTCACAACCACAATCAAAACCGGCAGAAGTATAATAATAGACGACTTCATCCAAATAACATTGCAAGAAACATTCATCACCGTGCGTTCCCCAGACCACACTGTCAAATATCCGTTTCATGGGGGAAAATCGTAAATGGCATTCGCTTACCTAAGAGTGGATCATGTAGGTCGGCTGTTTAGTGTTCGTATCTTCAACCTGAGGTATTGAGAGACCTCCAAAACTGCACCCCGACCTGTCCACCAACGTCGCGACCAGGACCTTTTCACGCCAAGAAGCAAACGGCGTAGGATTTCTCAGACGGAAACACGCAAAAGGACGTTTCTAGGAGCTCCGCAGGCGGTCCGCGCCGGCAAAGGACACGCTCGAAGACCTTTCTCAGCTTGACAACACAATTGACATGCAGGCACCACAAACCTCGCAAAGATCGATGCAGCGGCGGTCACCAGCCGCAGACCCAGGACCTCCTCCAAATATGCCACCGCGGTCGATATCTCCGTCCCAACAGCGGGCATCATCATCCTCGAAGGCTTTGCCAAACGGCAGTGGTAGTGGGAGAAGACCAAACGTGAGTGCTGAGCAGCGTTTCCGCGCTTCTTTTCTGTTGCAGCAGGCGGAATAGTCTATGAGAACTGCGACTGACAGCCATGTCCTCTAGCCAGGCGGACCTGTCCAGAGCACGTCGAATGCTCCCCAGCTCTCCCAAATCGAAAAGAGTGTAACCCATCTTCTGGTCGCCACAAAGCAACTGCTCGAGACCCTGACACAATGGTCACGGCACCAGGCAACTGATGCGCAGGTATCAGACGTTTATGTGCGGCTAGGATATGAATTCAACATTGCCTGTAGAGCTTTCACTGCAATCAACGTAGACACAAGCGATTTAGGAAACGTTCCAGAACTCCTGCGCCATATACTGGAGTCCACCTTAAGCCAGGAAGCAAGTGTTGAGAGTCTGGAGAAGTACTTGCCGCGAATTAGGGACATTATAATAAATCTGTTGCATGGACTAAAAAGGAAGCAACAGAAACTGCGTCAGAAGCAGTCAACGAGAGATGGGCTCAGCCAGTCCGAGCCTTCTGTACCCCGAACGAGCAGTGTGGGCAGTGTAGGAAGTGCGAATACTGGTCTTACAAACATGCTGGATCAGGGGATCTCAAATGGGTATCAAGGCGATGGTGCGGCAAATAGTCGAGATAGCATTTCAAACGACGCGAGCGTCCCACCTAGAATGTCATCGCAAGCTTCCGGTCGAAGAGGGCTTCCTGGACGCGATGTTTCGAGGAACTCTGTAGCTTCAGACCAGTCTACTTTGTCCAGCACAACAATGCAAAACATGCCAGTCTTACCACCATACCCCGGAGACGACGTCCAACAACCACCAGGTATGGACGTGAACGACTTTCCGCCTCCTCCACCTCCGCCAAAGACTCAAAATGCCTTGGCTGCGCTGCAAAGAGGCGGCGAGCTCGAAAGAAGGGCCTCTAGACGTTACTCTGCATATCAGATATCAAAACACCTCGGCGCCTCGCCCGGCGGCTTACCTATGATGCCGCAAAATTCTCCAATTCCTAACAGGGGACGTAATGATGCTAGGGAATCGATGAAGGCCGTACAAAATCGCGGAGATCAGCGGCATAGCAGAAATCCGTCAACCCGTTTGCAAACTGATGCATCACCCACCCGAATCCCAAGTCGGATTTCTGAAGCATCTGAGAAATCGGATTTCTCGCCACCTAGTGCAATCGCAAACGATGTCAGCCCAGTTGCTAAAACACCCGAAAACATGGTTAGACAACCAATTGTCGATTTCGATGAGAATGTGCCGAGTGCGACCTTAAATGGCCCTCTGAAAGATCCATTGCCTGTGCTTACCCCTCCCCCAACCACACTTCTTCCCGAGACACCTAAGCAACAAACGGTCGTTCAGGAGAAGGAGGTCGCGTCATACTCTACAGAACAGAGTAACTTCACACCGGAACCATCACCCCCGCCGGGAAATGAGCTGACATTATTCTTACAATACAAAACAAAGGTTAAGAAATTCGTCCTAGCCGAGGGTTATAACGATTTGTCACTTGCCAGACTACAACTAGGATTTATAGACAAGTTCGCCTGGAATACTCATAATAATGGTGTCGATTTTCCGGAGATATACATTCAAGATCCTGTCTCGGGTGTCCGTCATGAGCTCGAAGATCTTAGTGATATCAAGGATCGCTCGGTATTAGTTTTGAATATCGAAGTCCTAGATGAAGTAAAACGTCACATCGATGAAGGGCTGGGGGGGATCAAAAAAAGTGTTGAAAGCGTCCGCACTACACTTCAGGACCAACAAGCTGCCATTCAACTTGTCTCAGACCGCCAACAAGATACCGCAAAAGAGGTAGCTCGAATTGCCACAGTGCCGCCGGCCTCTTTCCGTGCGGCGTCCAGCGATAATCAACGAGTGAACCCATCACCGATGAGCCCATCGAAGGTTACTACCCAAGCACAAATGAGTGAACTCCAGGGTCTCCGGCGAGATTTGGCTATCATTAAACAGACCTACTCTGCATGGCAATCTGACATTCAAAGCTCGATGTCCTTGATTCGCTCAAAAGCTGATTCGGTCAAAAACGTTGCCATCAAAGCAGCAATACCCGATATCAGTGGTGGATCCGGTCGATCTTATGTTAATTCTGGAAAGAAAACTCTCAATGACGATTCCGACAAGCTTGTCAGTCAAGTTGATGACCTCCAGGATATCGTGGAAGATTTACGCAAGGATGTGGTAATGCGCGGTGTTCGTCCTCGGCCACGACTTCTTGAGACGGTTGCGAAAGATATCGCTCAAGCCACCCAGGACCTCAACAAAATGCAAAACTTCCTCAAACGCGAAGCTCCCATTTGGCAAAAGATTTGGGAACAAGAGCTTGAGACTGTCTGTACGGATCGTGAATTAGTGACCATGCAGGAAGATCTCGCAGCGGATCTTCAAGACGACCTCTTGAAGGCTCAACAAACGTTTGCGCTTGTTGAGGAGGCCACCAAGGAACAGATGAAGGATGCTCCTCAGGGCGGTTCAATAGCGCCACGAGTGCTGTCAAAGGGGTTAAATCATGTAATAACAGCTGATCCTGCTGCCGCGAAAGAGGGCGTCCTAGGCGAAGTGCGTGCTTTGCAACCGAATCACGAGAATCGCCTCGAGGCTATCGAACGAGCAGAGAAGCTCCGGCAGAAGGAGCTCGAAAGTCGGCGAGGTGGCGAGTTTCAGAAGGAATTGGGGACCTTTGTTGAAGAAGGACGGTTGAAGAAGTCAGGCGGGTTCGAGGAAGTCGAACGGGCTAGGAAAGCAAAGGACGAAAAGAATAGGCGGGAGGTGTGGGAGAGGCAGAATGGCATGACTACCGCCGATGCGGACAACTTCATTGAGGAGCTCGCAGCTGATGAGGAAGATGATATGTTGAAAAGCGAGCAGGATGAGACTGTACAAGACATTTGAGATGTTTCCGAACAACTGTTAACGGGAATCAACATGGACCACCTGTATTGTTTGACTGTTTTGCGTTTGGTTGCTTGGAACTAGCAGCTGGTCGATCTGGGATTTGTTGGGGTAGGAAGCTTTGGGCCACGGGATCAGGGTCTTTGTGCTAACTCATCTTGGTGTTTCGTCTTTGAGGCCCGTTGATGATAACGGACCGTATTAACAGGCAAGGTTTGGGCACGGCGTTTGGGTTTGGTGTGTCTTTTCGATACAGATTATGTGCACACAGCACTTGCTTGTGGCATGAAATGAGCGCATCTGGTACTGAGACCGTCGGCGAGGTTGGTGAAGATCACGAGCATAATTAGCTGGTGGTACTGGTCTTCAGTTCTCAATCAAGGCGTAGCTGGAATTACCGGGGTCGAAGATGTACGAACTATATAGAGATTGTGTAACACCTAGTATAGAATAGATGTGCTTCACGCCGTTGGCGTAGGGCATCTTTATCTCGTCACCATGTCTCATGTTGCTTATGTGAAAAAATGGCCCTCCAGAGGTATATTTCATTATACAGGTGGATGAGAAGTGGATATTGTTAAATCACCACCTCCTCATCGATTAGAAACAGCCCCTATTCCATGTCAAGCTCACAACAATCTGCATTTGCTAGATGACGAGTCACGACGTTTGCGTTGCAGCAGCACTGAGTACCTCCAGACTGTCACCGCTGTCCAATCATTAACCGAGTCGCGACTTCCTAGAACGCCCACCTCAGCCTTCCGAGGCAATGGAAAGCTCACGCCCAGATCATCTGGATTCGAGACTCGCACGTCGCTGCCGTCGCAAATGGCTGTCGAGGTTGGAAACACAATTCCAAGCTGGCGTCTCAATCAGTGAACTTGAGAGACATGGCAGACACCGCTGAAGAACCCTTAATGGGACAGTCCTCCCACGAAGATGACCTTGATGCGACAGACGAGGTTGATCTCAGCGATGTCTCCCTTCTCTTGGAAAAGAACCTGCGGCATCCGGGTGTATTCGTATGGCTTCTTACGTTCAGCGCTGGGATAAGTGGGTTGTTGTTTGGCTGTACGTGTTCTGGCTTCGTTTCAATGAAGCTGCGCTGACTTCAATTCAGACGACACGGGTGTGATCTCTGCGACGCTGGTCTCGATCAACTCTTCTCTCGGCCATCCTCTCACGACGCTCGACAAGTCGCTCATTACATCCGCCACTGCTCTCTTCGCTCTTCTTGTCTCGCCCGTATCCGGTGTTCTGGCAGACAGTCTAGGTAGGAAACGAGTTGTGCTACTCGCAGACCTAGCATTCATACTTGGAGCCGTGATACAAGCTGTGGCGGGCAATGTTGCCGGAATGATTGTCGGAAGATCAGTTGTTGGACTGGCTGTAGGCGCTGGGAGTTTCGTGGCGCCGTTGTATATTGCTGAGCTGGCACCGGCACCCTTTCGCGGCCGGTTGATTACCTTGAATGTTCTCTTCATCACCATAGGACAGGTCATCGCTTATATCGTCGGATGGGCATTTGTACAATGGGGAAATCAAGCTACGGGCTGGAGATGGATGGTTGGACTTGGTGCTGTACCCGCGGGGTTACAGTGTTTGGTGATGATCATCATGCCCGAGACGCCCCGTTGGCTTGTAATGGTTGATCGGAGAGACGAGGCAAAGAATGTGTTGAGAAAAGTATTTGGAAGTGGTGTTGAGATTGAAGGATTGGCTGAAGTGGTTCTGGAAGGAATTGAGAACGAAGTGAGGGAAGAGGAGGAAGCAAAAAGGGGAAGAAACAGATCTCAGTCACAGAAACAGAACGATGCCTGGTTTTCAGACTCAAAAGATCTTTGGTTGGAATTGTTTCGAGTTTCTGGAAATAGACGAGCTTTGGCAATTGCCTGTCTCCTCCAGGGTCTTCAACAGCTTTGTGGATTCGTAAGCTTTTCACCACTCTCATCATGCCCAATCTCCATTACTAATGTACCCGTAGAATTCTCTGATGTACTTCTCTGCTACTATTTTCACAATAGTTGGCTTCGCCTCGCCGACGTTAACCTCGCTTTCGGTCGCGCTGACAAACTTTGTCCTCACATGTCTAGCTCTCCTACTGATCGACCGGATCGGGCGCCGCAAAATCCTGTTGTATTCCATTCCTATCATGTCCCTAGGCCTCCTATTCTGCGCCATTGGCTTCCATTTCATCACCCTTCCTGAAAATCTCAGCCTCGACAACCCATCCTCTTCCGCGAACGCTAATGAGGAGATACCTCTATCCGAAAGAACAGCGCCGATGCTCGTTCTAGCTAGTATCATGCTCTATGTAGGCGCCTATGCTCTCGGTCTCGGTAACGTTCCGTGGATGCAGTCTGAGCTTTTCCCACTGAATGTTAGGTCCTTTGGGAGTGGTTTAAGTACATCTACCAACTGGAGTGCGAATTTCGTGGTTGGCTTGACCTTTTTACCTATGATGGAATTCCTTACTCCTGCCTGGACGTTTGTAATTTATGCTGGTGTTTGTGTTGCTGGTTGGCTTGCTGTCTGGAGGATATACCCGGAAACGAAAGGACTGAGTCTCGAAGAGGTGGGGGCGCTTTTGGCAGAGGGGTGGGGTGTACGCGGAGTTTCTCGGGGGTAAAGCAAAATTGCATTGGTTTTTGGGAAAGAGGTAGATTGATGGTATGCGCAGGACTCTCTTCCTTGGACTCGCCACGTTAGCTTAAATGGGTGGAGAATGAGATCGGAAAGAAGGCGTTGACCAATAAGTATGAGTATCTCTCTTAGAACACTAGTTATGCTAAGTGCAGTTGCTTACCTTGTTTTACTTAGTACGAAACGTCCCTGTTTGTGCAAAAATAGTTTACTGAAAAATCATCGGCTTAATGAAATTCATATGTGCGTTCTGTCGGAAGTAGAACCTGTTTTGTCGTAGTTTACTCGGCTTTAGAGACAAGAGAGACTGTAAAACTAGGTGCCGAGCTGCTAGTCGCGATATGGATACATTTTGTACAAAAAGGATGGAAATTCGTTCAAACGCCTAGGGTGCTTTGCTGACACAATTACGTTGTGGAAGAGCTATCGTTCGAATCGGCGTCAATTTTCACGGCACATCAATCTTACTTAGTTTGTTGACTCATCGATTTGGATCTGCTGAGTGAGAAGTTCTTTTATTGCTACTTGAAAATTTTCAGGGAAACAGACAAACGAATCAACAGGTTGATATTTACAAGAATCGAAGGTGGTGATCGCTAAGGATCACTACAGACCGAGCTCTGGGCTCAGAAGGTGGCAAACGACTTAGCAAGAAGCACCAGTTGGTACACCCTTGCAAGCAGTGCTCTTCTTACCACCAGTAACGCTCACACCAGTCCATGTCCATCCCGAGCAGGCGGCGCAAAGGATCTTGATGTTGGTACCTCCTGAAGCAACGGTTCCGGTCACCCCATTGAGAGTCAAACCAGTGATTGGGACACCAGCTGTTGGTGTTCCTGTTGGCGATCCATTCTCATAATCTTGTTCGATAACCTAGACTGGTGTTAGTCGTCTCATTCGAATCGAGGAGATGGGTTAGAACTTACAATTCCATAATCGGAGATGTTGGAGAGGGTTATGTCTTTGTATGTGACGCCCGAAACACTTCCAGTGGCACCGGAAACTGTCTTGACACGGACACCATTCGCAGAGTTCACAATTGAGGAGGAAGAGATTGTGACGGTTTTGACGGTGTTATCATCACGTCCACCGACGGACCCAATGGATAGACCGTGACCACCCGAGCAGGTACCTTTGGTGAAAGTGATGGAAGTTCCTGAGTTAATCGCCAAGCAATCGTCCTGGTTCTTAACATTGGCACCAGTGATAATGATGTTGGTGCTGGATCCAACGTCAAAAGCATCAGTGTTATGCCCTAAAGCACCGGTGTCACCAGCACTGTTGTCGATTGTGATGCCAGAGAGGGTGAGGCCAGTAGCACCGTTGATGGAGAAACCTTGGACGGGAGTGTTCTTGACGTTGAGGTTGGAAATGGAAGATGTGCCAGTAAGGGAATGAGCGTAGAAGAATTTGGGCTTCGTCTTTCCACCATTCGTTCCCTTTCCGTCCCACCAAGCCGCACCGTTACCGTCAATTGAGTGTCCAGAAGCACCAGTAACTGTGATATCTACACCAGAGACAGAGATCAGAGGGCCGGACCATTCTTCGTAACCGAAGGTGGTTTTGCCTTGGAAGATTACCTGCGAAAAGGTCAGGTCAATTTCCTTGTTGAAATCAAGATTCAGATATGCTTACATGAGTACCAGAAGTAAGCTTGGTCATGTCCAGAGTTGTGCCAGAAGGAACAGCAATGTTGTTCAAGACAATGGTAGCGCAGGATGTCTTGGACTTGCTGACGGCAGCTGCGTCGGTGAAAGTGCAAGATGCTCGCTTCTCAAGAGCCACTGCCTGGTTCAATTGAGGACCAGTTGTAGGTGCTGGCATAGGTGAAGCTGCAACAAGGAGTGCGGCGCTGAGGCCCAACCCCAAGGTCTGGATGAATGAAGGCATATTGATGAAGAATTAGAAGATCCTGTGGATTCAAAAGGAGTGTAAAGGAATGAACTCTGATGAAAGGGTGAGGAGAGAAGTTGAAGAGGAGCACACAGGATTCTACTTATACTTCTACCATTGAAGAAACATCTTCATTGATAGCGCCATTGATGGCAGTAGCTGTGGGGAACCTTACGCAAGCCTCTCAATCCCCTCTTTCAGATAGAAGGGCTCCCGGAAATGAGTTCTTTCGTCCAAATATCGAACTACAAGGGTTGGACGATATACTTCCGTTAAGCTTCGTCATGCGGACCATCAACTTGGCAGGGAAGCTTGACTCCACGTTATGGATCTTAGGTTCGAGGCTCGGGAAAGGCTACATCGTGCTAGTAGAATATCTCATGTTCTAGTGCTGATCGTCGACCCCGATGCTCTATCTCGAAAACATGCTACATTAGACGGCCTGATCCGGGCCATTGTGTCACCTTGATGGGGTTTATATTCTGTTTTTCAAGGCGCTCCCTCGTGTTAGACAAAAACTTAGTTCTACTCTTTACCAGGTCAATAGCTGAGGCTGAAAGGGAGGTACATCGTGACAAAGGCACGAAAATACTCTCTGACTATGAAAGGAGGTCGACTAGGAACATGGGTGGGTCCGGCAACGAGGGAGATGAACGGGACGAGATTCGTGGAAACCCACCAGACCGTTTGGTATTGATGAACTAAGCGAGCTCGGAGTGTGGGGTATTATCCGTCGGACATCAAGTCCACAAAACTCCTCAAATCAGAAAATGTACCTTCGCCGGCAGTTCAGTCTTTTTCGAGTTAATGATATCTAAAATTTCCTGAAAAGAAGATTTGCGGCGATTGATAGGTTAAGTCCTGATGTTTTTACCTCTTAGTCTGACCCCTTCACGGCCTTTGAAGGGAGTCAGGAGACAACCTTGTGGGTGGATACTCGACTTTTTCGGGTCATGTTTCAACGTTCCTCTTGTATCCACAATACAATCTATCCGGAGAACTTCATTTCTGGAGAACACTGAGCGAAGACTGCGCCCAAAATTTACTTGATTTCACTTCAAAATATTAATGCGATGGTATCTTTGAATATGGCTTTGACAATTCCGCAGCATCGCTACCTCAGGGTAGGTCAAGTACTCTAAAATTGGCATAACAATAGCGCTGTGTCGTTGAGACATGAGCAAGCAGCCAAGGTGTTTCCCAGGTCCTTCCGAAATAAGCTTCTCGACAAGCTTTTTCTCGCTACTAGAGATGAGCTTAACCGTCTATCCCAAGGATAATGGTGCTTGTACCCCGCGGGGTTGAAGACTCCTTAATTTATCCGTTGGACAATAATCTCCGCTTGACGCGACAGCTGCATAATATTGACAGTCTTTTGATCCCTATTAGAACGAAAACATGTCTGCTCTATGATTTGTTTTGGTCATCATTTCCACTTTGATTCTTCCGTTCTATCGTCCTGTATTCATGATGCGTTTCTTCCTCACGCTCTCTTCATTTGTTGTGTCGGTGCTAGCTGCGAGCCGTACTACTGCACCTTCTGGTGCCATTACTGTCGGGTCTGGTGGCAAGTTTACAACAGTAAGTACTTTGTTCCTTATCTAGAAATTTTTACTAACATAGTTCTAGATTCAAGCCGCTATAAATTCTCTCAGTACGACTTCCACCACGGCACAAAGCCTATTTATCCTTGCTGGGACCTACAATGAGCAAGTTATCATTCCGGCAAGAAAAGCGGTTCTCAGTATCTATGGCTATACCAAAGATACAACCTCGTACACTGGCAATGTAGTCAACATTCAGCATAGCTCAAGTCTGCTTAGTGGTGCCGCTAATGACCAGGCTACGGGTACCGTTCAAAACAACGCAGCAAGCACCAAATTCTATAACATCAACATCAAGAATACTTACGGAAAAGGATCTCAGGCCATTGCATTAGCCGCTTACGGAGACCAGCAAGGATATTATGGTGTTGGTCTTTACGGTTACCAAGATACTCTGCTCGCCAATACCGGAAACCAAGTCTATGCAAAATGTTACATTGAAGGAGCTGTCGATTTTATCTTCGGTCAACACGCAAGAATCTGGATTGATAGTTCAGCAATCGCTGTATCTGCGTCCGGCGGAGCTATCACAGCCAATGGAAGGGCTACTGCTGATGATGTCTCCTACTATGTCATTAACAAGTCCACTGTTGCTGGTACTTCCAGTTCTGTTACATCTGGCTCCGTGTACCTCGGACGGCCATGGACCCAATATGCTAGGGTCTGCTTCCAGAATACGAGCTTAGGAGCCATCATCAACAAGGCAGGCTGGGAAGTATGGAGCACATCTGAAGCTAGAACGGGAAACGTTCTTTTCGAAGAGTACAACAACAGCGGAACCGGTGCTTCTGGAACTAGAGCTAGCTTCGCGACCAAGCGAAGCACTGCACTTTCGATAAGCACTCTTCTGGGAAGCACATATACCAGCTGGGTTGATACAACCTATTTGGGTTAGATTTCATAAAGAAATGGGTGGAAAATGTTGCCTATTCATTGTATATATTTTCATTTGATCATCCTAAATGGTTAGCCCTACATAGCCTAGCATTTTTATTTTCATGTACATACCTCATATGAAGAACCATGCAGCTTGCGACCAAAATAGTGCACATGTTCCCTGAGTCAAGACTTCTCTGTTTGCGCTCTTTTTGCTTTTGTTAGCCCAACTGTGGCTTCTATGTCACTCTGAGGCATTCGCTTAAATCCGACGGCTTTTTAAACGCCGCTCCCGGAGTTTCTCCCACATCACCGTGCATGAGCTTCCCTGTAGCAAATTCATACAAGTTCTGGATCTCGTTCGTCGGACTCTGACCAGAGCATCAGTCCACCACGCAAACCAGAACAATTCGCAGCCTGCGCTACACAACTGAATAATCATGGCTTCATAACGACGACATTTTAGAGCGAGTTCCATACCTCAAAAGAAACCTTAACACATACGAGTGTCAAAGCAACTATCGAATCATCCGGCGGATTCGGGTTATTGCCAAAGAGGTGACAGTTGGTAGAACAAGCACAATTAGAACTTTCAGAGCTGGGGGTTTGGAGCAATTACGAGGAGTCTTGGGAATTGTATTTGTACATTGGACGATTTTTGGGTTCCTGGATTCGCCTCGCTATCTTAACCTCGCCGACCATATTAAGCCGCAATGCTACGAACCTCGATATCTTCCGCCGGAAACCGAGGCTTTCCAAAAGTCATACGATCGATCACAAAAACCTCTCCCTTCTCGATACCGACTTCTGCACTAGCACGACGTAACATATCCACTGCCAGCTCTAAGGCCTTCTCGAAATCCAATCCAGGCACTGGCTTTGTTTTCTCCTTTTCCTCTCGTACATCGCCCGTCCGCCCGCAGACTGTTTTACAGCGAATACGTTCGTCCATACGTTCAATCCACAATTCACGGCGTGGCAGATATAGTAAAAATGAGAGCGCGAAGGGGCCAACGCCACCAGAACCAGAATCAACAAGTTTAGGGGGAAAGCTAAGGAAATTATCGAGAGAATATGGATGGTCTGCTCTGGGTGTATACTTGATGTTCAGCGCGCTGGACTTTCCTTTTTGTTATTTGTTGGTTAGGTACCTCGGTACGGACAGAATTGGTGAGTGGAATTTTTCCTTTCTCGGACAGAAGAAGTTAGGTATGGGTTGCTGGAATCTGGTGGAATGGATATTGAACGAATATGAACCCGGAATTCGAGAGTCTTGTTCTACGGAGAACTTGCTCTGGAATTTGGTCCAACAAAAAGGGGTGTGGGTCTTCCAATGATCGGAAAATAACGGCTTCTACAATAAATCGCCCACAGCGCTATTGAAGTCTGTTGGGCGGGCAAGTATTCAGAAGAACCAGAATATCACATGCTAGCGAAGCGATACGTGGGTTTCGAAACACTACTATGCACGACAACATAGGCTCTTCGGGAACTTCTAGGCAATGTAGTTTTTGATATGGTGTCGGGAAAGGACGGGAGGAGCCCAGTCGTAGAGATTTATTGGACTAGCACATATTCGAAGCCGACTCCTTCTGGATCTGGAAGTTTTTACTTATTTTCTGACTATGCATATACGAGCACATGACTAATTTTGATTGTAGGGGATTGGGAGGAAGCGATAGTCTCAAACGTCAAGAAAGTCATACCAGACACCGTGAAGGACAAATGGCATGAATTTCGATCCTACATGAAAAAGACGGAAAAGGATGTAACCGGCGATGACAGCATCAATGAGACCGTCGAGATGGCTGGCTGGGGTGTGGAAGAGGCCGAAGCTAAAAACAAGAAAGATGCCAGTGAGTTAAGAGGAACATGATATTATGAACCAACATTACTTACGCTCCTTAGGTCTTGCAACTCAGCTCGCGCTTGCCTACGCAATTCACAAGTCTTTCATCTTCATCAGGGTACCTCTAACGGCTGCGGTGACTCCGAAAGTTGTCAATACTCTTAGGGGCTGGGGATGGGATATTGGGAAGCGAACAACTAAGGAAGCAAAGGCTATGAAAAGAGCGAGCTTCCCTAAGAAGATCAAAGCAGAGAGACCGTGGAACAGGAACCGTAAAAGAGGAAACGGCAGCTGAGTCAATGTACTGATATGTCCAAATACTGTATTATAGGGCCCCTCCACCAGCATACCTACTCAATGTACATGATACGATAGATAGACTCTCAGTGCTGGATACGTAATGAATGTAGATTGGGCCATTGAATTTTCTTGTTTCGTAATAGTGTAGCACTTGTAGTATTCTAGGCGTCTGGCAACGAAGGTGTAAATATTTGTAAATTAACTCCAGATTATTTAACTTCCAAAGTTGTCTGAAAACGATGATTTATGAAGTGATGAATTAAGGTTTTACCCGTTGTAGTTTTCGGGTGCCGCCTCGGCCCGAAAGTATCAAAGGAACGGTACTATACATACCAAATATTGCAAAATTGCTTCAACCAATCATTATTCCCTCGGTCGTAAGTTCTTCTGAACCTAACTCAAACCACACAAAAATCTAACTCTCATTAGGTCTAGTTGGTTTATGGCGTCCGGCTGTAATTGTTTCAGTCTCACCGGAATGGTATGTTTCACCTTAAAACAATCAACTCAGGCGATGTGCTAACACATCGAATAGTCGGGGGTTCGACTCTCCCCTGAGGGAACATCAGCTTGCTTGCAAGCTTCTTTTTTTGCCATTTTTTTGGTGTTCAGTTGTTAATGTGTGGTGATACCCCACTTTCTCGGGTTTAAGCGAGAGGGAGGGGGTCTCCGCGTTTTTGGTCATTGGTAGGGCTGAGCAGCGAGGAGGAAGTGAGATATCCTTTCTGGGTTTAAGCGTTTTCTATTTTAGACATCAATTATCATTTTGTTTCGCCTTAAACATAAAGTATTAATTAGTGACTTCGTCGGGACAACTTTCAACTCCGGGAATGTGATTAACAATTACATTGCCAGTGACTATACTGACATAATACTTTAGAGACCGCACTTAGGGTAATTCGTTGTTCTATGCGGGAAGTAATCTCTAGACTTGATGAATACATCATAGCCCTGACAGCATGGCCTTAATATAATTACTTGCTAAGTTCATGAGAATAATATCGTTAACTTCGAAGGCGAAGGCATTCTCGAGTTTCATGATGACACGGGTTTGACACGCGCATCTAAACCTGGTATAATTATATAAGGTGGGTTCAGTGAGAAAGGGTTGTTGAGATGGGAGAAATTGATTGCTTAAATGGTGATTCTTTGCAAGACCCTATACCGAAAGCCCCCCCTATTCCACCTTCGCTTAGCATATGGTCTGAGCTTTGACTGCTTAATACTGAGAGATAAATTGTAAGACAAAGTAGATTGATTGACTACTATAGCTATGTAGAAACTTTTTTAAACCTTAGATGAAAGAAGTCCACCACTCTGTAGCTTCTGGAAACGCGCGTGACGATGCCGAGATTCGGTCCTCCACCTTTTAAAGCCCAGAAAAGATCGCTGTGTTCTGATTCGTGGCGTTAGTGACGATACCGTCTGCAAGTACGATCTAGAGTGGCTCTAGTTGATGTAGAAGGAAGATCAACGACACAAATTTTTCCATACCTCAAAGTTCTTGACATTATCTGCAGCAAGACCATACTCGCCAGAGCCACGGAATAAGCCATCTTCATTCGTTGTTATGTCAGAACTAAACTCTCGTAACTTTCAATAAGAAATAACGAATCAAATACCTCCAAGGATTAGGCCACCAATACCAACATCTGGAATACGTCCTCCAATTATGGTAGCTTCCTGCGCATCTAAAGCTGCTATAGCAGTGCCCCAACGGCCACCGGGTCCGAGACTTGCAAAAGTTTTATCCTCACTCAAAGTGTCCTGGTTAAGTCTTTGAAGATCTAGTAAAATAACTTCTTGGCCAATAGTAGAGAAGCCTGGGTTGGGTCAGTGCCCTCCACTTCGAACTGCAAATTCGGTCCGGAAAAATTCGAGGACCTTAAGTGCATTTGACAAATCGATGGTGTTAGATGGGTGGGAGAATGGAATATGGTTTATCAATAACCGCTTCGAATCTTGAGGAGTTAATGACTCCTCAATTGTTCCAACTGGATTTTCTGGTTGTCATACCAGTTCCAATCAACCAGAGCCTCGTTTAGCGGAGTAGTGTCTACTTGGTCTGTCCCAAAAACAAGCTTTGCGACCTGACACGCAACGAAAAGTGAAGGCGACGTTTTCTTCTCGTAAGCGTCGGTCAGACTTCCAACCTCAGCTCCGACCACGCCTACGCTGGAAAGAAAGGATCCGACAGTCGGCGCCATTGTGATACCGCAAGGTGCAAGTTCAGATTTTGCGGAATTGTCATTCAACACATTCAGTTTTATGCTCCAAAGTAACCAAGGCAGGAAGTTTATTATGTTGGAAAGGATTTTGCACGCAAGATATAGGGAGCAAAATCTGAAAGTGCAATCCAACCGCAGCAGAACCGAGAGAAACGTTGTAAGTTACCCAATGACTTATCGGATGGATAGAGATTCGTTTGCCCAGTAAAGTGCTTCTCTGCTAACTTATTAATTGGCTCGATGAGCGGCAGGAGAGAAAAGATTGACAACGGCTCGTCGTAGACGTGATTAGATTTGCCTTAATTCTGAGCAAGAAGAACATATCATGTCATATATGCTGGTTAAAGACTGAAATCGTAGGACCAGCCCCGATGCTTGAAATTCGATTCCGGGCCGGTATGTCGCCTGCGTCGTTACACAAAGGCAGGTGTTGTTGAGAAAATAGTCTTTCGCCTCCTCGCTGTTATGAAACATATTGTAAGACATTGCTTCCTTAGAGTGGACTCTAAATTGCAAAACCTGCAAATTCATATTTGTTCTCGTAAGTAATCCCTAAACCCGATTGTGTATCTAATCGGAATCACTATATGTGTCGATAGGATTACAACAAATTCCTGGTGTAAACTCATCTTCATATATGACGTGATCGAACTTTAGGCTACTCCCACCCTCGAGATATGGTGAGAGGAGTTCTACAAGAAGTTCTTCTTCCTCATCGGTTATACCTGGTCTCTTAGACGAAATGGTGAGTGTTATACGTCGTAAATTGTTTTTAATTTGAGTACTTTGATTTATGAAGTACACCAAGGTTCGCGCCCCGTGTTCGTAGTCCCAGGTATAACGCTCCCAATTCCATAGATCATCTCGTAATACCAAATCCTGGAGATTAAGTGGCAGAAGTTGGCCGATGTCTACCGCTGGACTTCGTTTCCACCCAAGAAGCACCGCTATTGGAAGCTCGAGTACTTGCAGTCGTATGAAATCTTCCAATGACGGCGCTGAACCTTTTAGTCCCCAACTTGTCGTAATGTCATCGTAGTCACCACCTTCTTCAATGATGCCCAAGTAGACACCGTCTTGATAGAAAAATCTCGAAGATAATTTTAATCGCTTCAACGAGCACCCAACCACACTCAATATATTGAATAAGTGCGGTACATCTATGAATGATTTTCCACGGTGTCGCTTATCACATTTGACCCAATAATCTAGCTCAAGAACGTTGAGATTTGGCGTTGCATGTAGAATCATCTCTAGCTGATCGTCACCTAGAAGATATTTGTGCAGGACAAGTTCCGTAATCGTTGTAGCAATGCGTGGAACAGTTGTAAATACTTCTTGTGTGGTGAAAAGGTAGAGGAACATTGATTTAATTCGCGGGGCGTTAAAAATAGGGAGAAAGTTGTTTATCTCAATCTTTGCTGGCTTCGTTTGCGATAAGGGGTAATCCCACAATGTCGAGTAGCGAAATCGCTCGAGAAGTAAAAAATCCGACGTACAAAGGCAGCTTTGCTCCGTAGCTTTCGAGTTCATTTCTGAGAAAAGTGATCTTGGCTCGACACGCTGACAGAAGCCATAAAGCTTCGAAGCTCTTTCACCAGGGTATCCAATATCTAGAGACTTGATGTTACGCGTTTGGAAAAGTAACAATGAGATATAAGCACTAGGCACGCCGGCAACCAGGTTTAAGAACAATTGTTCCCTCTGAGATGAACATAGAGGCGTTTTCGCAATAGCGCTTCTGCAAAGATCTGTCTCCACCTCCGTGATTTTTGTTTGACCAGGAGGGCCCCAAACATTTATCAGGTCACCAACATCGACGTGTAGATGTTCAACGTAAGACCCGCGTTGCGGAATCTGCAAAATGTTGAAGAGCACCGCGTGAAGCTTCAAGAAACTCGATTGTTTCACTTCCCTAGTTCCTTGCTCTCGCCGTTTATGACGCCATATCAACTTTATGTTCTTATAAAGTAACTTCTCTGCAACCCAGTTCATGAATTTGCTGACGCGTAGCAGAGCCAGAAGATCAGCGATAGGTAAATGCAAGAGTGCACTGGATATAAGTTCTAAGGGAAGACTAGTAAACGTGTCCATACCGGTTGTGTCTTATAGGAGAAAGGCGAGGCGAGAATACGACCGACGAGAAGAAAACTGACAGAGTGCAGTTTGACTCTAGATATGTAAGGAGGATTCAGTCTTTGTTGGTTATGTTGGTAGTCTAGCCATGTGCTACGCCTCTCTCTTCTTCCACTAGTTGTTGTGCTTGTAAGGCTGGTTAAGCGAGGAGGAGCTGAATGCCCAAGGGATCAGGAGTCAGTTTCAACTTTCCACCTTATAAGTCTAGCAATTTTGATCCTGGCTTGATTACCGCGATTTTACTTGCTTAAATCCGAGGAATCGTGGGGTCTGAATTGTGCCCGTAATACCAGAAAGCACTTCAACTGTGAGAGCGCTACTTTAGTTGTGACAGGATGTACAGACTAAGTTTGCGACAATCCGTCTTACTGGAAAGAATGATACTTGTCGTGTACCACAGAAGATTACATAGATCGACTAGTCTGTCTGAATCGTGTACAGAGCGATCGTGTGCTCGAATCATCGTCTGTAGACTTTCTAGCTACACAAAAGACGTGTCGCGCATCATCTTGTGCTTAACTAAAATCTCCGATCGATCAACGTAAACAATAACTTTTGACGTCTGTTCTACAAAGCAGCGCGCGTGACAGAAGACCAGTTGTCGTATCTGGGTTTGGCCTTACCTAGTCTATTATTCAACGCGTATCGCGGTCGCTTGAGAACACTAAAATTTGGCTTCTTTGGTTAGAGAGTGACAGCAACCTTGCATAAATTGACTTATCAGACCCGCAAACTTCTCTGACGCAGATGCTCTTGTCTCAGATTGAGGTGACCTCAGATTATCTGACATATTAGATAGCTGGAGACGGGGAAAAACGAAGGGGTTGTGATAAACGGGTTAATTGACTATACACGCGACCATTCCAACTCCTAGCAGATCCCCGACCCCATGTGCTAATGCAACAACACGACCTCGACACAAATTAGTTTTCAGTATGACTTTGCCTCCGACACGCCATCCATGCAATGCTCCAATGTTGTGATATCCCGAGAACCTAGCACTGAACTCCACTGCTTCTTTTGCCAAGCTCATATGTTGACCTCGAGTCCTCTCTTTGTTCCAGGTTGCTCAGTGCTGCATTGGCTAATTGCGCCAAAGTACTCGCCATGAGCACTCAATCCGTCAATAACTTCACCAATGGCTCCAAACTTGCTCTCTGTGCCTTCATTCCCGGCTTCCGTGAAGACGTGCCCATTGACAACCTGGATATTCGCTGCGGTTTGGGTTCCCTTGTCGATGTTTATGAAAAACTCAGGGTAAAAATGCCCCCAGTTGCCAATCTCATGAAATGGGAGTTTGGGAACAATATCATTAAAATGAGTCACTCTATTGTTCGATCCAAGAGCAGGTGCTTGAGATTGGATAAAGTTAGAGATGTCAGCTGTTCCGAGATGAGGCTGGCCATAGGTGTACTTAATGATGTTAGTGGTGCACAGTTGGATGACATACATGACTCACAAGATCTGTAACTTGACCAGCATTTCTCAGAAGCGTTGCAGTTAGTGCGGCGACAGCTCCGCCTAGACTGTGTCCTGTTACTACAACCCTATAGCCTCGATGCGTAGCAAGCGAAGCGGCCACAGCTCTTTTCACTACGTCCTGTGCATCGATGGCTGCATTTCTAAATCCCTCATGGATCTCGCATCCGTCATTCTTGTTGGCCGTACCACAAAAGTTGGTCTTAACCCGACCAATGCTGATGTCAGTAATAATATCCTCGGGATTCTTGTCGAAGAGCGAAGTTCCCTGGAAAGCAACAACGATCATCTTGTTCGTATCATCAGTTGCGACAAAGCCTCTGGTTCTAGAGATGCCACTACACACAGTAAGTTTCTAGACACGTAACGAGGCAGCGCGGTTCTTACGTTTCAAAGGATGTGGTAATATTTGTCGTCGCTATTTCCACTAAAGGGCAAGCTCCACCACCAGAATTACAACTTAGTTTCTTCCCGTTCCCATTCACGTTGTCAAAACAATAGGCAGCTCCGGCGAATTGTGACATTAACGAGAATTTGCTAAATTGGGCATCGGGAATGGCTGAAAAACATCAGTGCATGCTCCTCCACAAAAGAAGTTTCACATACCTCTAGAGAATAAAGCACCTAGACTGGATGCTGGGGCAGCATTTGTAGTTGTAATACAGAACAACAAGACATATTTCGCAGCAAATGACCACATTTTCCTCACCATATACGTATCAAACTTTAAAAGAGAAAAGAATTGAACGAGAGTGAGCCAACGAGTAGTTGACTAAGAAAACAGTAGGGAAAGAGTGAAGTGATGGTTAAAAAGAAAAGAGAGGAACTCCACTCGATATTTATTGATCGACTAACTCTGGGATCTCAAACTCTAAAAACGGCGTCCCCGCATTCTGGTAGTACAAGCTGATTCTCAGAATGTAATCTTTGATTATTTGCCGAAACCGTAATCCCTTCAGATGATGAGTGAGACTGAGATGCGCGGCATTCGAAGGATTTTTGATTACGCGAAGGGGGTCATTTGGAGATCGTACCTGACTTTCTGGTAAGCTAAATGCTCCTACCTGAACTAACCTATTTCCCCAGGCGGACCAATGCCGGGCTAGTCGACGGAAAGATAGAAGAGCCATAGACCACTGTCCCTGGGGTTGCACAATTGAGGCGAAGTCGTGAAATGGTTGCACAGCTGCTTCTTACCCCTCCAACCTGTCGCAGATCAATCACTCCAGCTTCTCAGTATCGGAACTCCTCCATCGCTAGAAGCGTTTTGGGGAAATGTCCATGTGATTCAATCTAAAATGAGAAGGAGGAAAATACATGATCGTTCCTTGAAGTTGGTGTGGTGGCAATGCAGCATCACCCATCAAGTCTCCAAGTTCCAACAGCCCCGAGGCTGAAATATGTCGCCGCATACGGGTGATCCAATTGTTGGACTGCGGGAGACTCGACACGGGACAAGAAGAATCATCATGAGGCTGCTAGGAGACGGTCGCAGAGAGGAAGAGAGCGCAATGCAAGTCTCCTAAGTTGGTTGGAGTCACTCGCGTCCTGAAGTCTGAGATTGTAGTGACAGTCCTCGGAAAGTTGGTGGCACCCGTCACGGTGTGCGGCATTGGTGGCCGTTACGAGGAGAGCAAACGAGCAAAAGACGAAGCGGCAGGAATAGGAACAGCGCGGTAGTCGGAGGAATCCTTCGTAAGATTTTTTTTAATCGCTTCCAGGGTTCCAAGGTTCTCCTTCTTTTTCGGAAGATTTTGGCGGAAGATTTTGGTTGGTTGTGGTTGCATGGAAAGTTCAAAGTTTACATTGTGTACGAGGACTGACTGGAGGAGCGGAGCTTCAAGCGTCAAGGCGTGTCACGTGGTGCTAGCTCTTTTCCTAACCTTAGTTGTTAGGCTTCAATACAAATTTGTGGGACTCATGGGACTCCTCAACCTCCAGCTTCTCCTTTCATCTCTCATCTCTCATGTCTCTTCGAGCTTCCTAAATATCCATCCAAGATTGGGCCTGCCTGACGTACTCTTGCGAACAATCGTGTCCACGGAAATACCAATTGTCCCAACCTGCTTCTACGGACCAATCCTCCGATCTCTTACCAGGCGTTGGCAGCCCGTCCATACGGCTTGATCATCTACCTACAGCTCGGAGCACTTCTTCTCTTCTGATCAAGAAACATCATGCCTTTATCCGCCGCAACCACATGCTTACGCTTTCTGCAGAGTTCGGGCTGCTCAGCGTCTTCACTGCTTTAGTCATGTAACAAGAACCCCTCCTCCCTCCAACACTTGTTAATGGTCACCCAAATTTCTCCGAATGCAAGTACAGCATGCAATGCAATTGTTGGTTACTCTCAAGAGAACCAAATCACATCCCGTTTCCACGTAACGTCAGCATTTATCAGTATCCAAGAGCCGGGTTAGGACACCTTCATCCCCTACTCTCGCTTGTAGCAAAGGCACCGCATATGCGTAAGCCATATGAGGACAAACTTCAAAATTATTTCCTACTGAACTTCCCATTCAGTTTCGACACTGTCTTGTCACTTGATCAGCTTCGTCGATGACAGAAGGTGTAGACAGAGATAGCGGAATCCAAATCGGAGAAAGATGAGGGGCCATGCCTGCCTCGACCCTTCGTACGTAGGAATTATCCGGCATCCCACACAAGTTGTATAACAGGATTTCTACTACATCTCACTGCAGGGTCTTCCAATGATATTTCAAGTAGAAAGCCCTGGAGTGTATTGGAATTCTTAACCGGGTTCAGTCTGCCCAAAACAGACATATCACATTTCGAAAAGAACGGTCAAGAGAGACCTCAACTATCATTTGTGCGACAAGAAATCTGCCAGCAGTCCATTGCATGAAGGCGCATTGGCGCTAAAGTAAGATCGAGTCCCACGAAATCGGTTGTGGCGTTCTCGCGGAGGCCCTCTCCAATCTTCCAGTCGAATTGTCTTTTGACACCTAAATACTTGGATCATGGTACGCTCTGAGTGGTGCAACAGAGCATGGTAATGTTTTTCATCATGATAAGGGCTCCACGAGGGGGTGGGGATGGAAACTCGGCTAATAGTTCCGTGCTCTCCATGTTGGTAGCCGGCAAGCCTTACTAACACTTGATAGAAGTTCTTACTCAAGAGTTTGTAGGGTGTTCGCAGCCATGGTGAAGAGTGGAAATAGAATAAAGGGAGCCATTCACAGCTGCATTGGAAGAATGTGAAGCACAGTATTTCAGCTTTTCCCACAATCACAAGTCTAACAACACCTGTCCTAAATTAAACATCAAGGCAATCAGCTCAATTAATCACGGTTTTTCTTCTCCTCACTCCTGCGAAGTCTATATGTACACCACGGATATTCCCCAAGCATGTTGCAGACAGGTTTGATCACACCTCCAAAGATGGAATTTCAACAATATAGCACCCACACCTCACCTAGCAGGCAGGCACCTCTGCAGGTCAGCCTTTCCATTGTAACCCCAAGGACCTTTTTTGAACCAGGATCTATCAACCTCGACAGCGATACATCACAAAGCTCAGAAGAAGACCAGTACGTCGTTTCAGAAGAAGCAACGATTCGCGAACCTACAATTCCAAGGAAAGACCTTGTCCATCGTTCATCTATTCTACCGTCACACAACCAGGTACTTCAGAGATCTGAGGACAGCAACTGTGAATACTTGTACTCACTTTATCCCGGACCACGATCCAGCGTCTTCCCAGATTCAGTTACCGCTATCATCTGTCACAATGCAGGTATATCTCGTCAATCCCTTCAAAATGCAGCCAATGTGTGGAGTAGAGCTTGCACCGAAAGGAGAGAAATCCACGTGGCATTGCTGAAAAAGAATTTTGGTCTAGTTCTGCCTGCACAGATCGGATGTGGTAATATGTTAGAGCTTATTGATTCAAGTGAACGTGGAAGTTCCAGCAGAAGTGATGGTTATCCGAGATCGGATTTTGAAGCTTCGGCTTTCATGGCGTTTATGCCTAATCGAGGTAATTGATTAAATAGCCAGTTATATTTCACTATCGTTAACGTATTTATCTAGCTTACCCGATTATTCAGAAAGCCAACCCTGCAGATTTGGCTTGCCGAATGTTACCTGCAGGCTTAGTGCCAGCAGGAGCTCGATTTGTTGCAGCATGTTTCTGGTCGTTCTTGTGTGTTATTGATGGTAAGTCAGCCCTCAATGCAAGCGGCCATCTAGTTAATATCCTATAGATTTGACGGAAGATGGCGAATGTTCTGATTGCATCGACACCGCGATCACTTCACTTACTTATCTGACTTCTCTTACACAACTCGATCAGAACATCCGTAGCATCTGGTCTCGATCCGCACCCGAGAATCCTACCTTGAAAGATTGTAAAGTAGTCATTACAGCATTTCATCATGCCGTGGCGACGATCGTCCTTCATCCTTCATGTCCCGAGAAAGAAGATTGGAAGCTAGATTTCTGGCATGAAGTCGGTACGGTTGTCCGCGCATTGCAAAGCGAGAAACCTCTTCACGGTCGTAACTTCTCTATGAATGAATGGATGCGCCTTCGTATTCTCACCATCTCAGCCCGCCCATTCATGGTTCTTGCTCGCGCAAGCCTTGGCCTGCCAACCAATCTTGATGCAGTCACCACTTCACCAAAGATTAACCAGATGCAGGTCTTAGTCCAGTCCGTCACAGGTCTTCAAAATGATCTTCTCGGCTGGCAAAAAGACCACATCGAAAAGAACCCGATGTGTGTCGTTGAAGTTATGATTCGTGACGGAATGCCCCACGACCAAGCATTCGAGCAAACCCTCACAGCTCACAATGATGTCGTACGTGCTCTCCTCAACCTCGCCGAGCTTGGACCGTCCGATGAGAGCACTGACGGCTGGTCCGGGTATGTGAGTGTCCTGGTAGGCTTCTGTCATGCTATGGCTACCTGGATGCTAGAATCGAAGCGATATCGAGTTCTAGACGAAAGGATGCGCGAAGCTGTTTCGAAGAAAACAATCGAGGCTCGGTTCGCAAATGGTGCTCGAGAAGAAAATGAAGTACGACGACATCAGCGAGAGAGTGACACGGAACCTGGACCTCTCCTGTTCAGTGCGGAGAAAATGCAAGCTGCTGCTGTTAATGGTAGATGTCAACCCTTGTACAACCTCTCCAAAAACGACAAGATGACAACAGTAGCGATAACTTAGGGTTTTCTTTTCTCGCCACGCTTTCGGTTTCCGGCGTGGTTGTCATAGCAGGAAAGAGGATTGGGGTCTAGTTGTTATCCAAGGCAGTGTTCAGAGAATGTCGCTAGGTTGTTGGTGCAGAAGGTCCGTCCGAGAAAAGCTGACATATCTTTCAACATTCTTTCTTGTCACATAGGGAGGCTCACTGTATACCCTTCCTCAATATTTTCACATGGGTGCGAAGGTGTGCGGTCACAGTTTCGTCATTATTGGGGCGAATTTTCCTTTTTGGTTAGGACAGTATTGGAAATAGGGGTCTACATAGGGAGCTCATAGGAATACATATTTGGAGAGAATAGGCTGCTTTCGAAACTGCGTGATGTAAAACAGCCCGAGTAGCAAACGGATTGGACAAGAGCAATCACAGTAACGGAGGCGTAATATGATATTCAACGACGCAAGTGCCAGAACAGCTTCCTCTTTCCTCTCACTACCGACGATTCCGAGCTTCCGTTTTAGAATATGAATAAGTAATGCACACAAATTTTTTGGCCTCGCGAAACGCTTCACTTGTACAATATATAATTTTCCAACATAACTCCGAGAACCTGCTGACAGCTCTGTAAAACAATTCCGACGCCATCGCTTTCCTTAAACATCAAGGTGATTCAAAAATATTATTTTTGCCACGCTCCAGGATCAATCTCAGTACCCAAATCCCTATCTTCCAAAAATGTCCTGCCCTGCAACTGATCTGGCAGGTACTCCTGTACCACTTTACCCTCCTTATAATTAGGGTTATATTTGTACTGATCGCCATATCCAAGCTCCTTCATCAATTTCGTAGGTGCATTACGCAAATGAATCGGGATAGGAAGACTCGCGACGCCTGGCTCCCGCAACGAAGCATACGCATTATTTAATCCTCGATACGCCCGCGTGCTCTTCGGAGCAAGACATAGAGCTACTGCACAATGACCGAGAGCTATTCGACATTCAGGCATACCTATCTTTTCGGCAGCCGTATACGCGCTTGTGGCAAGACTCAGCATGGTGTTATCTGCGAGCCCGACGTCTTCGGACGCTATTACGACCATTCTTCGAGCAACATATAGAGGATCTTCGCCCGATTGGAGCATTCGAGCTAAGTAGTAGAGTGCTGCGTCTGGGTCACTACCACGTACGGATTTGTGAAATGCCGATATTGTATCGTAGTGTTGATCTCCAGCTCGATCATATACTAGTGTTTTAGTAAGTGACGACTTGATTTCCTCTTTCGTGATATTAGGCCTTGTAGATAGAGACATAGCTAACTCTAGAAGGTTGAGAGAAGTCCGTGCATCTCCATCTGAGAAAGCTGCTAGGTATTTCAAAAACTCGGAATCCAAAAGGTCTTTAGGAAGGTTATCGCCCTCAGCGGCGAGAGCTCTCTCCAATATTTCCAAAATATTTTCATCGGTCAACTTTGAGAGCGTAAACGTCCTACATCGTGATAGCAAGGCGTTTTGGACTTTGAAGGAAGGATTTTCCGTCGTTGCCCCAATAAGTGTAATCTGCCCATTTTCAACCGGTCCCAGAAAACAATCCTGTTGCGACTTCGTAAACCTGTGTATCTCGTCGCAGAACAATATTGTTTTTCTTCCTGTCAGACCCAATTCCCCTCGTGCCTCGGCAAATATCTTTTTGCAATCGTTAACACCAGAACTGGTGCTATTGATCTCCACAAACCTGCTTCCAACCATGGATGCGAGACATCTAGCGATGGTAGTCTTCCCAGTTCCAGCACCACCCCAGAGTATCATCGAAGGCACCCTATCCATTTCTATCAGCCCTCGGAGCACACCATTTGGCCCAACAAGCTCCTGCCCTATACATTCGTCTAGCGACCGCGGTCGCATTCGTTCCGCAAGTGGCGCCGCTTTCTGGAGCGCATTTACTTTCGACTTCTTCGCAGGAGGCTCTTCGGCACTCTCTTTAGGCTCATCTATCTCTTTTTTAACTTTTGAGGTAGGTAGGAGGTCGTCGAAGGAACGTTTCCTCTGCGGCTGGCTCGGGGTTGTAACTCCATTACTCGTTTGCGTTTTCGGCTGGAAACTCAGACCTGGACTTGATTCTACTTTTGGGGTGGGATACGCTGCTACTCGTTTTGCTGCTGGGGTCTGGAAGAAGCTTGATACGGCCGGACTTGGCTTTTGCGTGCTGGGAGGTTTCTGAGTTGAGGTGCCATTTTGCTGTGTGAGTGGCGGCGATGCCGTCTCCAGATGCGATTCGCATCCAGAATCGATATGGTTATTTATGTCTTTTGCTTTAACTCCTTTGCCACAAATCGGGCAGTCAACCATTTTCAAAGAGCTATGAAGCTATTATTTAGAAGCCAACTTGTTCTGATTGTAAAAAAGTGTGCAGGATTTGGTAAAGTGAGACGCGACTTTCGGGTTCTCTGAGGGAGACGCGCCGAATACCACAGTACCCCTGTTTTTTATGTTCTCCGGTTCCGCTGCGCACGTCCTTGAGTTGGCCGAACTTTCAACACCACCTCCAGCAGTTCAAAATACGAAACATGCTTGATGTACAATTGCTCTTGATTATGTCGGATGAGACTAGCTACCTGTCTTATGCTCTTTCAACCGAAATCTTGGCGGACTACCAAAGGGTCTCGTCCTTGACCTCGATTGCTAGTCTCGACATTCAACGCAAACGTCACAATTTATCTACTGCACTAGCGCAAGAATGGTCATCTATTCATAAATAGACACATTGAGGTGGTCAGGTCTCAGGTCAATTATAGCAATTTTCAAACTTCCAAGAATGTTTCTTCTTTATGGGCAGTCAGTCAAGTGTGACTATTCATTAGAAAAGACGAGAATTTTTTTTTAATCTACGCCTATTAAGGTAGATTAGCTTTTAGGTTCATTTGCTTGCTTACCTACGCCTGGGCGTTCTTTCATGTTCGTTATGTCTATCGGCACATAACTTGGAACCTTTCCGAAACTCCTGCTTCGCTATCACATCTCAGTTGTCAAAGACCCGCGCTTGGTCGCGTACCCGGGGCCGACAGATAATGAATAGAGGCATAATTGTTGGCTGTAATTTTCGTACTACCGGTTACGTTGCATATACAATTTTTTCTCTTTAACAACGTCACGTATTTACAATGATCATTAGAATCATTCGATGTCATTCTTAGGATCCTATGTGATTCGGTAGCAGCTTTACAAAATTTCAACCCACGCCGAATGGCAAGTACCAACAGACGCTCATTTGTATTCAGAATCATTTCTCTTCTTTGATTGATAAAGAATCCGAGGATATTCAGTGTCACGAAGATTTCACTGTTTGAGATGGGAGCGATTATTCCCTACTTCGAAAAGCTACACATCTTGATTCTCAGTCTACAAAAGCTGCGTGGTTAACTGCTTCTAAGCGGCTCAAATCATTGCGATATTCACTATTCTCATACGGCCTACCTATAAATACCGTCTATGAGGGCTCTTTTGCACCTTTCTTCTCTGTAACCGACATCTACCAGCATCGCTACTTCAGTTAGACTTTATCAGGACCTCTCTCTCACTGTCTCTATATATACATCGGTCGTCACTTGATATCCATACTTCCAACCCTACAACAAGAACAAAAACACGTCATCCGGACGTACTTTCAAGCCGCATTTCGTGTGGAAAAAATAACTTTGATACAGCTCATCAAACAACCCATTAGACGAATCAATCAACAATATGTGTACCGAAACGGAATATACTTGCAAGATGTGCAATCAATATACCGACAACGACTGGGAAATATGCGCTGAGGGTGGCGGTCCAGCATGTCCGAATCCTCAACCAAAAATAGTTGAACCGGATCCTGAGACGGACTACGGTTGTGGACGGCCAGGCTGCGATTTTACAGACCCAGAGTATGAGTCTTCAGACTCGGAGGAGGAGTCTGAATCTGAGGAGGAAGAAATAGCTGAAGAGGAGGAAGAGGAAGATTAGGAGGAATTCGAATCTCGAACGTCTGGGTTCAAGGATTTTGCGAGGTCATGGACTGTATGCTTGCGAGGAGTTTCTCAAAGTGTTCTGTAAAAGCGAAGAGATATAATAGATAATAAAATCGTTGATATTTACGAAATTGCGACTATCTAGACACCTTGACCTCGAAGTGCATATTTATCTAACTATGAAGATATTCTTCACTTCATCTTCTGGTACCGGTGGATTTATATTTGCCGGAGACTCGCGTTCCAACTAGGAGTAGTCAAGTCCAAGAATAGATACACCTCCTCGGCTAGGAGAAATATGCTCAGTATTCGTTGACTTAAGGTATTCGCTAAAGAAATGGATATCACCTGCTGTTGACTAACCTGAGGTAAAAAAAAAAGTTCATATTTCGAATAAACACAAAACATAAGTGCCAAAGTCATCGTGGTATCTAAACCTCAAAATAGATCCTCCTAATATCAACTGGCGCGCACTTACAAACGTCAAAATGATTTCACTTGAAAGGGGGTAGTATTTCGCGACCTCGCTTAGCCAGCTCCACCCCCTGAGCTGATGTCCAAGTCTGGCCATGAAGGAATCGACGTTAGGACTTCATAGCAAATTTATAGGCCCAAGTTAAGTAGTCATTTTGGGGAGTATTGTAGATGTAGCGCTTGACTAGCCTATGGTTAGATTGATGCAAACGAGTTTTAAACAATGACGTAAAATCAGGTGTTATTACTTGCTTGGTGGCCATTTCTGACTGCGCAATATTTATCAACCTGACTCGCAAGGATGAACATGCTTTTACCGATATCAAAGCATATTATTGCTCTAGTCTTTTTGATATGACTTCCACACAATGTTCGAAAGGATAAATAGAAGGTATCATTTAGGAGTTTGTCCCATATCATAGATGACAATCAGAAGTTCAAAATAAAGAACATTTAAGCTAGCATACAATGTAAGATTATCATACAAAGATTAAGCACTAGTATCACCTCCTAGAGCATCGAAGTCGTTCTTTCCAGTCCCTCCCTTTTGTTTTGGAACAGCCTCAAGACCAATGTTCGCGTTCGTCTTTGCGAATTGCTCTTCGGCTAATCTGCCAGGATCATTCTCGGATCCAATATCTCCTGTAACAGTCTTTCCACCCTCAAATCCCTCTGTGATGTTCTTGCCGTGAGGGCCACTTTGATCCTTGCCCTGGGAATTGACATATGTCGGTGCAACGCCCGCGTTACTTGTGGAGCCGCCAGTTACGGAGCTTCCCGTGGTATCTGTGACCGATGTAGCTTTGCTCTGTCCACCAGAGCCTTCAGGATAAGACGTGCTAGAACCTCCAAGCTTCTTTTCCTTAGCCGCGTCCTCCTTGTCCATCCTTGCACCGTTATTGACCGCAGGATCTAGGCGATGAGCGCCGGAAGTGTTGCTGTTTGCAAGTGTAGAATTGCCTCCTGCAACGCCCAGTGGCTCGCTATCGCGATTTGACGAGAAACCACCGCCGGACCGCGTTGACTCTGCTGCTAGACTATCTGATGCCACGGCACCGGCTCCCTCCTTAACCGGGGGCGCGGGCTCGCTTGTAACCTAGCATTGTTAGAAGGGTATACTGCAGAGCAAAAGACATGAATAGGAAACAAAAGATTGGGAATTGACTTGAAGCAAAGACGATTGCCTAGGGGAGACTTTTCCGTTGAACCAATTCATGATGGCTTCAATTTCTTTGTCGTAGTAATAAAAGGTGAACTAGGGAATTCAGATTACCTTCTTGCCGTAACTTGGGTTGCTGGTAGACATAGTGAGGCGTTTTTTATTTTTGTTTTCAAAGACAAACGAGAATATTGCTCTTTTTGTTTTTTGGTTTCTTTGATTCTGACAGAAGATGTAATATCACTGAAGAGTTTCGCAGCTCATCACGACTATCTACTCGAGTAGCTCCAGCGACTAAAGCATGACATCACGAAAGCCCATGTGCAGATCAGCCCGGAGCATGCCTCCGTTAACCCCACCAAGTTTGATACTTTAAGCAGGACCCACCATAGTTAGGTATCAATCAGAAGCACAAAATGCGATTAAGGTACCTGTGTACATGAAGGCATTGATCGTTTAGCAGTTTGAGACGTACCGTTGTCAGCAGCCTTGTCCTCAAGAGGTTTGAAGACAAAGGAGCTCATATATGGCGAACTAAGGAGGCACCATCTCATGATCAAGTGCCTGAGAGTAGATTTTTTTTATAAGTCTCAATTAAACAGAATCTTTGAAAGAAAAGGCTTTCTGGTAGGTAAAATTTGTTTTAAAAGTAACCTGTTCCATAAGATTCCGCTAGTCCTTGAGCGACGGGGTATTTGTTTCATAGCTATCACTTGGGTCTTTCAAAACCACAAGACCGCGAATTGAGACATGCTCTAATTCTTAGTAGCATCCTTAGGTAGCCCATCTAAGTTCTCTGTTGCCTGTCGTCCGATATCACTGAAATCCTTTCCACCCTCCTCTCTAACACCGCTTCCCTTTGTTTGGGGCTCTGTCAAATCATCACGACCGCTTGGAAGTTCGACCTACATTTTGATGTCAGCTTTCGGCCCTTTTCATTCAGATTAATGAGGTGAACATACCTGTCTCTCTCCAGCCTTAACGTTTACAGTTCGCGCATCAGCTGAGTTCCAGTCAGAGGCAACTGGAGGGTCTTCTGGGAGTGGAAGGTTGGATTGAACTTCGGCGATGCGGTCGGCCTTGGATTGTTCTGGCATGTTGGAAGTTTTATGGAATCTGCTTCATGTTAGTTACCCCCAAATACATGATCCCATAAGATGAAGTTTACTTGTTTGTAGGCTGGTCTTGGTATAAACGAGTAGAGTTGAGTCCAATTGATGAAATTGTTCTTGATTTTCTTGCAGTTTCGAAAGACTTGAAAAGAATTTGAGAGCTACAATGCCGTGATCACGAAACCTCACTAGCGGCACATCTGCGGGGGGTATGATGTAGTGAAAACAAGGGAAGTGGTTCCTGAGAAGTAAGAACCCCTCATGTTGCCACAATTGGACCGAGAGAGGCTATGACGTTAGCGACCGAGGATCTCCTGTGAACACAACGCGCTCGCCCACGAAACCGTAATGAAGCGTGACTGAAATGAGACGAACGAAAAAGCAGCGTTTCTCAATAATTCGGATAATGTTTTTCAAATTGGTATCGTAATAAGTGACCTGATGCAAAACTCCAACCGACCTTCGCCTATGCCATACATACATGTACGCCAAAACCCATTTATATAAAATCAACATCACTGCCTCGTCGCTTCATGGTCCCGCGGGTCCCCAGCTGACCCTGTAGCTTCTGTCCCACCGGCATCCGGATTCAGATAATTTGCGTCCTCAGCTGCTTCGTACTCTGCGATGAGATCTGTGACTACTTCGCGGGCTTCGTCGAATTCGTCAAGATTTTCGGCAAAAGGGGCTGTCTTTTTATACCCCTCTACGAATGCATTTCGTTTGCGCATTCCATCATACTGTCGAACAATACGTTTGAAAAGCTTCATATCCATTAGCTAATATGAAATATGTAAAATGTGAGTTACTTACCGTTGCGATGCTCGTGTGGTTAGCCAACATGAGACCACTAACCCGGTGGTTCTGTTCAATGTATGGGCTCTTCTTGGTCAGAGCAACTTGAATACTGGCTGGTCCCCAAGGGATGAATGTTGCAAGTCTGCGTTCTCGGATTCGCAGAAGACTCTTGTGTACGTCGGTAGGATCCACGTCACCTTGAATGACGTTTAGTATAGAAATATAACAACTCTTTTTCCCTGGGACAGTTGAGACCATTCGGTTTTTAGGCTGGAGAAGGCGGCGCATGACGTCGAGTACAGTTGTTTTCCGAACAGTCTTAGCTTGCTCGACATTGTTTCCAGTAAAAGGTGTATACGAGGTCATTAGGAAGTGACAGCGTGGGGTCGGTATCAATGAGGCAACAATACTGACAAGATCATTGTGCATGTATCCTGGATAACGAAGGGTAGTTGTACTGGCAGACATGACCGTGGAGACCTATGCATCAAGTATTAGAGACAGAAATATCATCTCATTCAAGAAGTGGCTTACAAGCTGGTTAGTTTGCTGGAAAGATGGTTCTTGTACATGTAGCCTGTCTGCTGCGATTCGGGACAATGCTCCATTGTCTAGCACTACAACAGAGTCTGCATTCTGGGTCAATCTTCGCATAGACAGCAGACTGTTGTAAGGGTGGACAACGACGTCGCCAGAGTTTGTTGTGTCTGGAAATACCGAGTAGGTTTGAATAATCTTCTTGGGAAACCGATCATTGAGTTTTTCGAGCATGAAAGAGCCCAGGCCCGAACCGGTTCCTCCCGCTATTGAATGCAGCATCATGAAGCCCTACCAAAATTAGCAGAGTCCACTTGACTTAGAACGACAAAGTACCTCGAGCGAGTCACTTCCGTCAGCCTCCCTGTCCACCATTTCCATCATTTCCTCATATACAGATTCTCCCATCTGGTATCCATCACCCCAATTGTTCCCGGCACCTTTGCCCTCTTTCTCCATGAAAAAGTTCTCAGGGTTGTATATATTCTTGTAGGGGCCTGACTGGATGCTGTTCAAAACCTGCGGGTTGTTAGCACTCGAACCACCAGCAAAAGGTAGCGAGGTCCTCAAGTGTTCGTACCCTAGGTTCCAGATCAATGAAAATAGCTCGTGGAATGTATCTTGTGTCGTCGGACTGGTAGAAGAATACATCTTTTCGATCACCTCCTTCTGTCGCAAAGTCCTCTAGATTCCCGTCCTGACTGATGCCATGCTCTTGGCATAATTGCTGCCAGAATTGGCTGCCGACTAGATGACGAAGGTTAGCGATTAAGATACAAATAAATAGTCTTTGTTCCTTACTGCTGTTACCGCACTGTCCAGCTTGTACGGTGATAATTTCTCTATTCTGGCGGTCAGTGAAAATTCTAGGTTTCTAGAAGTTTGATTTGACTTACCTAGGCATTATTGCAGCATTAGTATCGAGCCAGAAATGTAAAAATCAAAGTGACTTTGGTAAGGGCGCAAATGTCCCTTTTACTGTTACCTCTCAGGAGTCGCGTTGGAGGGGTCAGACCGCGTTGAGCTCCGCGCTAGTATTCTTCCCCAGTCCAGAGCTGATTGGCTGCCGAGCTGTGTAAATATTAGACTCTACCTCAGTTCGACGCCGTATCAACAACCGTTGCGACAATTTGGGGAACGACATAGGAGAGCTTTTAAGGCTAATGAGGGTGAACAAAATTTGTTCCCAGAAACACAAAGCAGTTAGCGATTCACAACAAAAGCCGCAATCATGACCTTCCAAGTTCCTTACGACTATTCTTCGAGCCCTTTGGCGCCATCGACACCAGACCGAAGATCAGGCAATGGAAAGAACATATTTGCTATGTCTAATCCATCGACCACGCCGGCAGGGCCGCCGCCATCTTCCGCCAATTCCTTCACTCCAGCGGGACAACCCCCAAGCTCTGTCTTTGGCAGCTCTATGATGGGCCCGCCCAACCCCGTCAAGCCACTCTCTTTCGCTCAGAAGAGCGCATTCGAACCCGCCAACCGCGGCTACGATAGTCCCGGGTCCTCGCAGTTCGTAGAATCTCTGCAGTCATCGGCAGGGCCATCACGCTCAAGGCTAAACCAAGAGTACAAGCCAACTCCTCGACGTGGTTTCCAAGCGCCAGAAAGTGACTACGAGGACGAAGATAGCGGCGACTATACGCAGGAGGATGATACCTTTGACCAAAGTAGGAATAGGAAATCCACTGCCCATCAGGATGATGATAGCATGGCAGACGATGAGCCCAGATATGACGATGACGATGACATGGATGATTATCAATCTGAATTCGCGGAGTCAAGGATGCATGAGCGCAGTTTTGGGCAGCGTAGCCCAGGAGATTTATTACTCAACACCCCCGCTGCCTTGAAGAGAAGCCAGCAAGGTGGTGGACTTAGTCTGGAGGAATCTTTTGGCGCCAGACGAAAGCCCTCGACGTTTGGGAAAATTGCCAAAGACATGTATTCTCAGATGAAGATACCCGAGACCGACGAATCGGATGATCTCATTTTGAACACTGAGAGCATCATCGCTAGACTGTATGAGGAAGGAATTGAAAATACTAGTAAAGAGGATCTGCAAGAAACTTTGACAGATATTTCTGGAGAACTTACCATACTTTGGTCTGAGTATTACCAAAAAACACAAACATATGATAATGATGCATATGTTGCGTCGATCGGTCCTGGCGCCAAAGAGTCAAACTTTGCCAAAGCGAATTTCGTTGCCGGTCTAGCTATGCAGCTCCATCATCCACCACCCGACGCAACGCATCAGAACAACATTATTACACCATTTCCCTTCGTACTATTAATATGGATGGACTTATACCACAACCCATTTCCTGGTCAAATAGAAGAAGTTATGTCTGCGGTCCCAAGTCCAGCAAGCCATCGACTCTTTTGGGATACTCTCTTCAATTGTCTTCTTAGAGGAAATGTTGGGGCTGTTTTCACCATGTTGGAGAGATCGAATTGGAGGTCATCGCACGCAGAAATTCGCAGCTCGCATGGCGGAGGCTACTCGGAGCAAGTGATGGCAAATATCGAGAAAGTCATCAGCGCAGCAGCAAACTTATTTCGTCACTGTCCAGTAATGGCAAGACGTCGACATGACTGGAACACGCGAAGTTCAGACTGGACCATATTCAGATTGCAAGCCGCGCAGGCATTAGAAGATCTGAAAAAATTTGCTGAAGGACGAGATGCGGATGAAAATGGAAACCATTCTCGTGGAATGGGAAAAGTATCACTATCAGATACACACTCGTATAGCACAATTGCGGAAAAGGCAGGAAGTAAAATACCATGGCACATCTACCAAAATCTTGTCACGCTGTACAGTTTCGCTCTAGGAGACAAAAATACGATTATTGAAAGTGCTCAAGATTGGTGCGAAGCAACGATCGGGTTGCTTGTATGGTGGGATGAGGGCAAAGAGGATAGACGAGTTGCTCTTGGCCAGTCTCGACTTGCCCAACGTGGTTATCAAGAAGACGACTCCGAGGTGTATTTTCGCAAACTTCGCAAATCTTTTGAAACTGCCACTGCAGAAAGTACGGACTTTCAAGTGAATACTCTAAATCCCGTCGAAGTAGCGCTTGCTGCAGTCTTCGAAGGGGATTATGAAGCTGTCATAGGATTCCTGCGAGGATGGTCTGGCCCAGTATCTTCAGCGGTAGCCGAAGTTGCTTCGATTGGAGGATGGCTTCCGCCAGCTGAGCCACAAAGTCTTATTAATATGGGTAGTTTAGACCAGGACGATATGGATTTACTCGGTATCTCGTCCGCCTCTAAAGTCGATGGCGTCAAAGACCAAACTTTGATCACATATGCTAAATCTGTCTCTCATCGCGAGTTACTCAGATCTTCGGGCAGTGTTGGAAGAAAGCAGCCCTCGAGAGAAGGCTGGGAAATTGCCATTGCTGTTTTGGGGCGGCTTGAATCTGCTACTCGGTCTGAAGAGATGGTGGGAACGTTCTTGAAAGATTTCCAGCTCGACTCATCGGCTACGGTTGACAAGCTCTGGTTACTCCTTCAAGACGTCGGCATGGCCCGTCATGCTGAAAATTCCGCCGAGGCAAGTTTTACTTAATGTCGTACACAGCCGATGTAGACTTGCTAACTGACTTCCTTTAGTCTTATGCTGATAATCTTGCTAAGAGTACCCACAAATATGGTGAGGCTTTGTGGTACTATGCCCTCGCTCACAAAACCACGAAGGTGCGCGATGTGTTAGATTTGTTGATATCATACTCTTTGATTCAATCGACTGCGTTCCCGCCCACCTCTGAGCTTGATGAGTACCTAAAAGAGGTTATTACATCACCAAAGTCGAGCTTGATGAATTTATCAAAGATGGATATTGAGGCCGCCGAGCTGCTTCGTAATTCACTTAGCGGCTACGCTACTTTACGGAAATTCTTCGATGTTCGAGATGAAACCATCTCATCTCCATCCGGTGGGAAGCCAACAGGTACGGCAGTTCGAAGAAGAGAAGCTGCTGCAGCACTATTTGCTGTTATAACTAGTTCAAGTGATAACATTCGAGGCGGTCTCTATGATGAGGACCGCGGTGCAGTGGTGTCCGTAGACTTTCTTCTCGCCCTTCTCGGCGAAGCCCTCCCGTTTGTAAACCAAAACACTATTCTGTTGACGGTTGCTCAGATCGAAACCCTCCTCAGAGCCATCGAAGACCTCCAGACTGTTGGACCACGAATCTACAACGTCTGTTCCGAATTTCTAGAGACCGTTCTCGCTTCAGCACAAGGTCTCAAGGGTTCAGCTCCTTCTGACATGCTGAGAAAGTCTACGTCGAATATCAGCGCTGGGAGTTTCTCCATGGTGGGAAGTTCCATGCTGGCAAGTCAGATGAAGCAGAGTATGAGTAGCAGCGGTGTTCTAGTTAAGGGTAACATTAAGCGAGGATGGGATTGGAGAAAGAATGCATCTGCCAATATGAAGGGAGACGATCTGTTGAGAATTCTGAGATTGGGATTAGCAACGGCTTTGGCAGACGCGTGGTTAAGAGAGGCGGATGGTGGATTATGAAGCGAAGAATCGGTAATCTTGAAGCCTTGAGGATCTTGGTTATGGTAGCCTGTCTTGTAAATCATGTATGAAGGTAGGATCTGGAGCAAGAACACAGCTTCCTGGCATTGGGCGGCGTTATGATTGGACAAGCTATATTCGAGGCTTTGACGGTTATCTTGTTGTAGGAATATAAAATCATGATACCCTTGGCTCGCTTCACATAATTGATGACCTCTAAAATCTGTTAACGCTAAATGGAGTGAGTTGCACTACATCCAAATAAAACGGGAGAAGGCACCGCTGCTTCAATGGATAACGGAACAACATGATCTGAGAGGTGTCTACTTTAATCTACATTTTTGTTACAAACAAACAGCTTTATTAACACTACTAACAATATCCGCAAGCAAGTTGGGTATGTCCCTCCCCCCAAAACGCCATGTAGCATGCCAAAATGCAACCATCGGTACCTCGAATCTATCTTTAAGCCTTCCATCTAATTCGCCATATCGTAGTAGTCAAAAGCCATAACGCGGCCAAAACTTGTTCAATCCCATCTCAAGGTAGACTCCTCATGACTCCCTCAAAAGCCACAAGCGCAACAGCATTCGCAGGAAAAGCTCTCAGGAAACAAGGTACGAAGCCTCGCCAGTACCCTTTCCAGCCCGCTTCTCTATACACAGTTCTCGCAGCATCTTTCCAACTCCCGAACTTCTTGACTCCGTCATTTAAGCCGCCTCCTAGCGGATCTGTCATTATCCTCTGTTTAACAACATCACTTGGATACGAAGTACACCAGAAAACCTGGGCACTTAATCCTCCAGCCCAGAAATTTATGGCCGGGGTACTGAGCGCAGTGTGGTTTGTTAATAGTCTAGTGAAGACGTCGTAACTCCCCCACCAGAAGAAGAAGAATGATCTGAAAAGCAATGTGGCCGATAGTCCATGGTATATACCCGGTAAACCATGAGCCCGATATATCTTGGAGAAAGCATCAACAGGTCCTTTGTATAACCGTTCACTCTTCACATTACTATACTGAATCTGCAACCTTGCTTTAATGTGTTCTACCGGCGCTGCGATGAAGCTCACTGTCGCCCCTGCCATTACGCCCGCCATTGCGTGCCCGACTGTCGGCAGCTTACTCACTTCAACGGGCTTCTCTCTTCGGGCGTAGGACGAGGGGGACGCGGAGAGGTGAGAAGTGGAGAAGACGTTCTCATGGAGGAACTTGCGGTAGAATGTCAAGGAGCCGAGCATTATGCTATCCATAAACATCCAGCCTACGAGAGGTGGTGTCGCGCCTTTGTAGAGACCGGTTATGGACTCGTTTCGGACGGTTTGGAGGAGACATTGGAGGGGCCCGCTGAATTGCGCCGATGTGGAGGTTTGGAGACGGACTTTTATTGTGTCGAAGGGGTGGCCGACTAGAGGAGATGCGAATTAGCTTGAGTGCTTTGGTATGTAGCAGAAAGAATTCCAATTGTGCTAAGAACTCTTGGGATGAAAGTGACCTACCACTCAACTTCGCAACACCTGAGAACACTCCAGCAACGAACCCTTTGTAGTTCCCACTCTCAACCTTCTTTTCCATAACAGCCGAAGACTTTACATCCCCAATGACCCCATGGTCATTCCTCGTAGTCGTAGACATATATCCCAGGTATCCTCTGAAGTACCCCTAAATCGCGAACAGAACGTCTTATCAACGAGCACAGCAGATCAGAAAGCCAGAATCTTCAGATCAACCCATTCCTAATCACCGCGCACAATCCCAGATCAAGCGAAACAAAAATACACACGAAGAAGAAAGGAGATCGAGGAATTAAGAAATTATCTCCATGGAACAGAGGTACTGATGATGTACATGGACTGGTAAGCAGTCGGCGCGGCGCGGCGCATCGACAATCTCGATAGACTCGTACAGGGGTCACATAACCCTGCAGATTACACTGAAACTAATACCCCTCCACCGAAAAGTGTAAGCATAGTGGGGTTATCGCGATGCGACCCTTTGGCAACGTGCTTGAAAGTCTGGATGTAGAGGCGTTTTATGTGTCTTTTTGAAGACAATATATGAGGTTTAATATACTTCAATAAATTGTAGATTTGCCATCAAAACTTTTCGGGAATTCTTCTTAACTAAAGGTCAAAATTTGATGGCTTTCTCCTGTTAATGATCACGACATTCCAGAACACATCTTCTTACGTGCCGCGGTCCTTCTCCTCGCCAACATTATTCACTTGTCGCATTCTTGCTTCTTGACTTCGATTTGAATCGCATAACCCATCCAACTTTGTTCAAAATGACTGAAGGCAAACCTAGAGTCACAGAGTCCAGGAAAGGTAATATGATCGAGCTTTTCGAAGTACCGAATACCTGCTAATGTTTCCGAAGTCTGGACAACGCTTATTACCAACACCAAATACCTCTCTGGTCTTTTGACACTGGACTACTCGCTGAAGAAGCAGAAATCCAAGTATCCGCTTGTCGCATTATATACAGATGCATTCCCTGAAGGTATGTTCTATTAAGCTGGGCATGTTTTCTTCGCGCGCAATTATTCTCTTCCTGAACCGCATTATCTTACCATGATATCGACTAACCAAGTCTACAGAAGGACACGCAGTCCTAAAAGCCCGTTCAATACCCGCACAACGCGTCGAATACCTCCTTCCCACCAAAGGAAAAGACTACAGCGCTGACCCACGATTCTACGACTGCTGGACGAAGCTCACGCCCTTCTCATTGACCGAATATGACAGAGTCGTGCAGCTGGATAGCGATATGTTGGTATTGCAAAATATGGACGAATTGATGGAGATGGAACTTGACGGGCCAGAGTTGGGGGGAAAGGAAAGAAGGTGTTTGCTGCGGGACATGCTTGTGTGTGTAATCCGCTCAAGAAGCCACATTATCCTAAGGATTGGTAAGTGTTACGACCGCGCAGGGACTGATTTTATGAACAAGTCCTAAACGTTGAATAGGATTCCAGAAAACTGTGCTTTTACGTCCCAGCACTCAACACCAGATGTTGCGCAACACACCTCTGCCGACCCTTCAGTTGGGCCTCTCGGTTTCATGAACGGCGGCTTACAAGTCGTAAATCCATCTTCGGCAGTTTACAATCTGATCCTTGACCACATGGAATCAGGCGCGGCAATCGATATGGATTTCGCCGATCAGTCGCTGCTAAGCGACCTGTTCAGAAGCTGTTGGGTTCCATTGCCTTACATTTACAATGCTTTGAAAACGTTGAGGTGGGAAGGAGTGCATAGTCCGATTTGGCAAGATGACAAGGTGAAGAATATACACTACATACTTGCGCCGAAGCCTTGGGACGAGGAAGGAGACCAGAAAGGGAAGAGTGATCCAACACATGCTTGGTGGTGGAATGTTAATGATGAGAGGTTGACCAAGGAGAAAGAAAATGGAATTGTTGCTGATGGATATTGATGTTATATGAGTTGATGGCTGCCACAGGGAAGGTCTGGGAATGAGAGGAAGAGTACGATACGTATTCTTAGATGTCAGCTCCAGAGTGAGAGGTTTTGGTTACTGGATTTTAGAAATAAAACAAACGTAAACACTGAAGTTAGGATTGGCGAGAATCATTTCAACCTAATTGAACCTAACTTAGAGCGCCATCACCGGGCTACATTTTTATGTTAAAATCATTCTTAAGCACTTGAACTTTGTCGCATTATTTGGTCTGATAAATCCACAGTTATGGTCACAGATCAAAGACACAGGAAGACTCTTTTAGGGGACGGTAAGGCACGAAGCTCCGCTTATCATTAAAGATGTGAGCTACGATACGACATGACCTTTCCTTCCACCACATCACCCACCACCAATCAATTTCCAAGATTGATAATTTACTCATCATCCTCCTCAGCATCGTCGTTAACAACGTTGAAGAATCGGAGCTCGTAGACGCCCTTTGAGGTAGAGACGACACGGAGCCAGTCACGGAGTTGCTGCTTCTTGAGGAACTTCTTGGTCCTGCATCACCGTCTTATCAGCCTCTGCCTTTCACCCGTGACAATTGTCCATATATTCCAGTGGTCTGGAGTTTAGGGGTAGACATACAAGTACTTGAGGTAACGACCGGAGAAATCGATGTGTGCAATAACCTCGATCTTTCCGTCACCGACCTGGGAGATCTTTACGGCCTCGCCAAGGTTACCGACACGGCCATCGACCTTGATCTTGTCCTGGAGGAACTTCTCGAATGCGGAAACGTCGAAGATCTTGTCGGAAGCTGGCTGGGAAGCGTTGATGATGAACTGATAGAAGAGGTTAACACCAGGTTCCACGAAGAGCATGCGCCAGGGGAAATTGGCAAATCGAACTGAGGAGGAGTATCTCTTACCTTCTTGGTAGTCTTTGCAGACTTTCCTTTCTACACAAAATATATCTTAGCCTACTGTATCACGCTACAACCTCCCCAGCGCAGTGAAGACAATTTCTTCTCTTCAACGCTGGGAAAGGCGAGCCAACAGCAAAGCCGTTGTATTTCATGTTGGTGTACATACTGTTGTTGGTGCCATTTTTAAATAGGTCGCAAAGAGGTAATGATCCTGCGCCGGGTGGTTTGAATTGAGGGTGGTGGGTTGAACTTTTTGCTTGAGGTGGAAATGGATGCGGGAGGTCAAGGAAATTTTAGGCGTTGTGGGCGCCAAGATTTACGAGCTCGCTTCGACCCGGAAATGTCCAACACGTGACTATCTGTCTCCCGGCTCTATACGAATTTCTGGAAGATATTGATGGTTTAGGTAGGTAAAGAAAACCTTTCCATGAAGCTCGTGATGATGTAGATGGTTGTTGTATTACCGGGTATGATATATAGCTGCTATCCCAAATCAAACATCTCTGGCACCGTACCATAGATGACTTCTACTGCAGCTCAAAGGAAATGATGATGAGGTCTCGATGCAATTGGTTAAAGTATGTGAAGCACGGAATTGAACACAGTTCAGAAGAATTTATATGGGTATCAAGAATTATTGGACATTAAATTATCTATACAGTGTCCGCCTTCCGAAACCTTCAATTCTCGCAGTCCGCAGACGTACGACCCAAAACAAAGGAAATAAAGTCGCGCTGCCTAATGTCCAGTCCGCTTCTCCATGCAGCTCGAGAACAGGAACACCTAAACGTGCAAACCCAATAGCCATTAGAGGTTTAAACAGCTGGCAGCGCAGCTATCCGGAAATGCCGCGCCAGAAAGTATGAAGGATGCGCTCGAAACGCCGAAGTTCGTGGTTGACTAGAAAGCTTATAAGGCTATACAAATCGTGGTATCATGTTTGTGTTGCGGTGAAAGATGTAATGTCGTACGATCTGACGTGAGTTAGCCTTTGATTCCGGTGGTGACGTGGTTTTCCTCCGGTTTTGAGCTGCATGGTTGTACCCCTCATCTGGGCCAATGCATGCTCTTGCGGAAAGACAACCCAGGTATTTGGAAAGGGTTGAGAAGTGTAACTCACGATTGATTCTCTAATACTTCAGAATGATGTAGAGGGCGTGGATGATACCAGGAATGTACTGTAGGAAAATTAGCACAGAATCAAGACATCCCTATGGACAAGCACTTACACCAAGGATGGTCAACAGAATGTTGATACAGAGATCAGCACCACATCCTCTCTCCAAGAAGACACCGACTGGTGGGAGGAAGATGGCAAGAATGATCTTGCAGATATCTGAAGCTGTGAAAGGCATTTTGATAGTGGTGGAAGGTTGATTCTACTGGTGAGATGGTAATAGAAGTTTGGTAGTTGATTTAGCGATGAGCGATGGCTTTGTAGAATATGGTGTTCTTTGTTCGTGAATCAAAAATAACGGAAGCTACGGGAGAGGCCTCTTATAATCATCTAGAGCTCCGGGAATGTAAAATTATGCTTCGTCACAAGCACCAGGGCCGCACCGGGATTTTGCTACGTCATGCAAGCGTCCAAGCCAAATCCAAGCTTGACTGGTGCTTCCATGGTGACCACGCCACAGACCAAGTTCAATACCAATGCAAGGCTTGCCAAGTTTAAATACTGGGCACAATCTGAATGGTCTCAGGTCTCTGATTCGTTGAGATGAATTGCCATGCTCTAAATCATCGTACTTCGTATGCTATTGTGGCTCATGCTGTGGCTGATGTGTAGATATTCCCGTCCGATTTCATGTTGAACTGGACCATCACAACCTGCGCAAACTATCCACGCCATGGATCGAGGTGATCTTTGTCCATCTCTTGCGTGTGAATCAATTCAACCGCAGCAACGCGAATGCAGTCTGCACCGGTTCTCGTCCTGCATTACAGTCGCTCGAGTGGCCAATATCACTCGACTGTATTGTAGTTTGTTGCCTGACTCTCTACTTCGTATCTAGACACCTACAATTGCTGCTGGATTGTGGCCATTCTTGACTCTCTTGGCAATGTATAACCTCCTGATATTCTGCCGACTGTTCCGGCCATGAAACGATAGGGCTATTTCAAGGGTACGATCCGACTCCCGAGAGAATTATCTATGGATGGTGTTCGTAGCCGTTCACAGCCATAAGAGCTTCAGCCTTCATGGAACTCCACCAAGATATTTTCCTGGAGGCTGACGTCGTACTCGCAAGCATCATACAGCGGTACATGGGTGACCATGTGTGATATTGTACATTGGGGAAAGTTGGTTTCGATTTGGTTCCTGGATCCAGAAGTTCTCAAATGATATCGGTGTTGCCGCATGATCCACGAAAAGCCAGGCGGAAGAATACAGATGGTGGGTTGATGTTTTGTTGTATCGAAGGTGGAGTGAGTGTTGACTCGATTGTTCGAGGTGACCGCAGCCTGGCACAGACTACACGTGATAGGAGAAAATCAAGAAATGAATCTCATGCCCAATTGAACTTGACCTTATGGATTAATCCATTGAACAGAATCGGTCATCAAAGAAAGTCAAATGTATTCACTTAACCAAGTGACAGAATAAGGTTATGCTACTTCCAATATTCCCGATTGCAGTCTGCCGGCAGATCTTCCCCGCCTAGCCTGCAACTATGTTATCGATAAAATTTCGCGATGCGACAACACCATTTCGATGAAGCAGCAACCACCTTTGTAGAGCACTCACCATGCCACGAGAGCCTTTAATAGGCCTAGTCGGCAAACCCTCATCGGGGAAAAGCACGACGCTCAACAGCCTGACCGATGCGACGTCCAAAGTTGGTAGATAACCCCTCACAGCTACCCCTCTGTTGACATTCAACAAATTGACATGGACTGTAGGCAACTTCCCGTAAGCAAGGTCGCTTTACAACATTGACATCTTCTGATTGAGATCCATAGGTTCACGACGATCGATCCTCAACGCGCAATAGGATACCTTCAAATCGAATGCGCCTGCCAACGTTTCAACCTCACCGAACGATGTAAACCCAACTATGGCGCATGTGTCGGTGGCCGTAGGTCCGTCCCTATCGAACTCCTCGATGTCGCCGGATTAGTTCCCGGGGCGCACGAAGGAAAAGGGTTAGGGAATAAATTTCTGGACGACTTGCGACATGCAGACGCTCTCGTGCATGTTGTTGATGTTTCAGGTACAACGGATGCGGAAGGGAAAGCGACGAGAGGATATGATCCTTCGCAGGATATCGTATGGTTACGGTCAGAAATCGTCCAGTGGATATTGGGAAATCTCATGCAGAAATGGGGATCCATCAAACGGAGGCATATTGCTGTGAAAGCGACTGCAGTGGAAACGCTGCAAGGTCAATTCTCCGGTTACGGATCAACTTCTTCAGTCATTGCTCGAACTCTGGACAAAATGGCTTTGAAAGAACCGTTAGAGCATTGGTCGAATGAGACAGTAGAAAAAGTGGTCAACGCCTTTACCGACGAGAAATTCCCAACTGTCATAGCCCTAAATAAAATCGACCACGCAGATGCGGACAAGAATATCAGTAAGATTGCGAAGATGCAGGATCCAAAGTCAATTGTGCTATGTTCAGCCATATCAGAGGTATTTTTAAGGAAACTTGCGAAACAGGGATTTATAAAATACACAGAAGGAAGCGAATTTGTCGATACAAGAGAAGACTTGATTGCAGATGGTGACCCGACTGGTGGTGGTCTAAAAGAACTTGATGAAAAGCTCAAAACTCGAATCGAGAATCTGAAAGACATGGTACTATATCGCTTTGGGTCTACGGGAGTTGTTCAGGTGTTATCTCGCGCTGCCGAGTTATTAGGACTTGTACCTGTCTTCCCAGTGCGGAACGTCAGTAGTTTCACAAGCGGTAACACCGGTAATGAAGTCTTCAGGGACTGTGTGTTGGTAAAAAGAGGAACGACTGTAGCGGAGGTGGCGAGAAAGGTTATGGGAGATGCGCCATTGGCTTATGTTGAAGGTGCGGGAGGTGTCAGAGTTGCTGAAGATGATCTAGTCGGGGTTGGGAAGAACGATGTAAGTGACCTCGTGCTTATAACTCCCAATGCTAATCATATCAGGTCTTGTCGTTTAAAATCGGTAGAGCTTAAACGGATTCAACAGAATATTTCTGGCAAAGGAGGTAGGATGGTAAGGCGTCTGGTTTATTCTGCATAGCAAAGGCGTTCCGGGAAATACAGATGAATCCATCACTCAGAGCCAAATATTCATCCTCTAAACACATCATGAGAAGGAAATCCGACAAAACGCCAAGATTTATGCTACGTATGCTATACACACTGAATCCGAGCTCGTATCACATACAATTTTCCCTCACTTCCTCTACTCATACACACTCTTCACTCATCTTCACCCTCTACCGCCCCTTCCCACCCCTCTCATCCTGCATCCCAATAGTATCAGGCGCCTCCGGAAAGTCCTCCTTAGCCTTCTTATTCTCGCCACCACTCCCCTCATTCGCAGCCTATACCGCCATCAGTTCCTTATCCCCAACCCTCTCCGCATTCCAAAAACAAAGACAAAACTCACTCTAGTATTCCCACTCGACCCCTTCGCCCTCTCCTGCTTCCCCTCCTTCACAGCGTCAATCTGCACATTATTCGAATCCTGCTCGCGCGCTACGTGTTCCTCTGCTGGTCTGCCCGTCCATTTGCCGAGGGCGGGTGTGGTTGCGAGAGGACGTGTGGTTTGGGGTGTGCGTTGGACTATTGTAAATCAGCATCTGCTTATGAGAAGGCAAAGTGTCAGAGGAGACGTACACGCTCTCGCGAGGAGACGGTGGTTTGGTAGGAAATTCGGCATCTTGAGTGCTATTCAGATAATTCGACTTGAAGTGAGTAGTTGATTCAATCAATTGAAACCGCGTGTTGCTTAAGGTCAAGAGAGTGAGGTTGTCCTGGAGAATCTGGGGTAATTGATCTGATAGGTGGATAGAATGACGTCAGGTACATTGACGATATCATTTGACCGTTTCTATGGAGAATTGATGCCGAGGATTGTTATTCTTGGTTGAGCTTTTCATTGTCTGTTAATATAATGAGAGATAATCCATAAGTGTACAATCATTTTGAGGTTCTCCTTGTATTTTATGAGTTCTTGGAACTGGTCGCTTTTCATTATCTTTGGGAGGTTAGGCGATAGGACTCGAGAGTCAAGACAGAGCTTTCTTTTAGGATGTGGCTATACAAAGTTAATTGAATATAGTTGCGGATGCGAAACTGTTTTAACCAGTAACCTAAAAAGTTTCGAATGGAACATATACAATACAATATCATAATCATCATATATTCAAGTCTCCCTTATTTGCTAATGACCTCCCTCGAAAGCTATCAAATCTTATTTAACAATTGACGCCTTTCTACGCCATTTCCCTCCTCATCAAATCCCACCGATACTGGGATAATCGCCGGAACACCTGAAAGTTCCGTAGCCTTGGTTCAATTAAACTATAAACCCAATGACCCATCTAAACCTTCCAGTAAATACGATTCTCTGGGTTGCATTCCCATCAACCCTTGACTGGCATTGACATAATCTGCCAATTCTTCAGCGCTGCTCATCGACTCTTCGCTCAGAACACTCCTCGCAACGCCACTTCCTGCCGCAGAAAAATCTATATCCCCGGTACCTCCATACCCATTGCTTAAAAGGTCCCATGCTCCCGATTCGGGGCTCCAGTCACCATAATTAGACTGTGAGATACTGCTATCTGTCAAACTCAATGCCGGTCCTCCATATATAGCATCGTAGAGGTTGGTTTGACCGCCGTCAAGTGATCCGAGGAGCACCTCCCACTCACTTGGTGAAGCAGTAGTCTGTTTATATTGATTGAATATCGGAGCGTGCTGACGTGTAGCATGAGGTGAAGGTGGATGTGAGGATGCAGGTGTATTGCTCAGCGACAGATAATCTAAGTTTGGGGGCCTTTCGCTCTTTACAACGGGGTTTGGACGGGGTTTAAGAATCGTCGGCATCTGAGGAATACGATATTCACGTTTCGATAGAGACGAGTCCGACCTCGTAGAATCGATCGATGAGCGGGCGTGAGGCGAATGATGATCTGAGCGATACATATTGAGGTTTGGCACGGTGGCACGACGGAGTTTCTCCTGCTGTGAAAGGAGATCCGTTTCGGATATGCTCGCAGATGTGTGACGCATGGTGATCTGTGGCCGAATTTGTTGTTTTGGTACCGATGGTGATGCCACTGACTTCACACTTTTGGGCGCCGCCATTGATGATGATGGGCTCCGGACTGGAGGTGACATCGACCGAAGGTCTATCATGGATGATGCCAGTCTTCTAAAGTCTGCCGCCCTCGGTGCATCTGCTTTCTCCAGATACCGGACTACAATTGTCACGAGACGTTGGCCGTCTTGCATTAGTTTTCCTTCCTGCTTCAAATCAAGCCCTTGATAGAGAAGGCTCAGACCACATAGAGTGAGCATCTCGTTCTTATTCAAGCAGAACGAAAACGACATGCTCCTTTCCTCGAGGAGCTGCACAATCTGAATAATGTGCTTGCTTGAATCGGCGACTGCCAGGACAGAAGACGATGATTTGTTGCCAAGGCTAGAACCAACAGCAGGTCGATGGATTAAGGTCCGAATATAATAGTAAGCGAGTGACTATTCAAGTTAGCCTGATTTCGTCAAATGTTGCATATATTAATTTACCAAAATTGCGGAGCGACTGCCAGTGACATCTGTTGATGGCTTATCTTGGACAAAAGTGAGTTTCAAATGAGTTGGTAAATGTTCTGACCACGCATTGAGCTCGGCATCTAGAGCCAGGAGAGACTGAAGTGATAGTTCGTGTACTGTAGCTGCAGGGTAGTTTTGATCCAAAACTTTCGACAAAATACGAGAAACGCGGATCAAGGCCAGAGCGCTAGAAATTTTGGTGTACTCCCCGGGAAGAGTAGGTTGGAATCCCTTCTCGGTAACATATTCATCATCAGTGTCAGAAGGATATTCGCAATGAATGTCATCCTCTTTCAAAAGTTTTGGCAGTCCAAGTAGAGCAGCAGAGAAGCTATATCAGTCAGCAAGGATATTTGAGCTGCAGGATGAAGCTTACCAATCGATGATATACAAAGTCCAAAATACCTTCTTGCGTGTTTCGATAGTGAGAGCACCAAATGAGAAACGTTTCTGGCTCTGATGTAGGCCAAGTCGGTGCGAAAGCCCCACAGCGATGCCCTTGTAGTGTTGTAACCGGCTGTAGTCGGCCTTAGTTATACAATAGAGCAGCGAGAGAATGAGGCACTGCAATGTGGCCAAGGAGTTATCCATTAATACGACCTCAAGAGAGGTGCGCCATTGATACTCGCTCAACGCAATTTGTTCCCGATCAGGTGATTCGCTAGACAAGCCAGCGATACCGAATACCAAATGAAGCTGAGCCAACTTGTGGGGGTCGTCCAAGCTCTCTGCATGGGACATATACTCCTCGTACACGCGAAGGAATGTTGGCTTGTGTAAGACGGGGAATAATGGTGCCCATTCTTGGAAATACACATTGACACATCGATCAGAGAACATCCGTGGTGGCGTGGTGGATGTCTTTGGTGTTGATGTTCGGGATAGTGATCTGGTATCGCCTTGAATGTTAAGGAAGGCTTCAGTGTTGAAACCAGTAAGTGATTTGCCGCTTTCCTGTATGCGTCGCTTGAAAGTGTCTACGTGCGTCGTCAGTCATTGCCGCAAGAGAGTGTTAAGACAGTATTTACCAACAAACGCTCGTCCGCTCGAAGCACCCATGAAGTATGAATCCGAATTATCTCCTCCTAGTAACAACGGCGACGCCTGTACTCGAAACAGGTCATCCTTTGGCGGAGATAATTCTTTCCGACTGTCAGCTAGCGGAGTTGCGCTCCCAGACGACATTGATGGCCGCCGATTCGAGTGCATTTTCGACAACATGTCGATCTTTTCATCCTTTTCGTCCAACAAGTCTTTTAGTTCCCTGACCTCCGCCTCTAAGCTCCTTACTCGCTCTTCTAACGATTCTGTGTATCCTCTGGGAAAGGCCCGGCGACTAAGCTTGTCGCTCGTCTTGCATTCGAACCCGACGTTTGAACATTGTGAACAGCACGGTCGAATGCCGTCGCATCTTATTTTCTTACTGCGACACCTATCGCAAGCCTGCGCGATCCTGCTCTGCGCACTCGATCCCACCTTGATCACCTTCATGGGCAGTATTCCAGGCATGATCGCAATCGTTTGGGGATTCGTACTTGGGATGTTGCAGCTGCTCGTATGCCTCGGCTAGTGATGCTTCTCAAAGGGAGTGTGGACAGAATCTCATGAGGTCCTCATGCATAGGACGGTCGACGCTTCTTTCAACGCGAATGCAGTTCTGAGGCTTTGACGTGTACTCGATGGTGTTCATTGATTTTCGAAAGGTGTTGATAATGTGGTGTCGAAGGGAAACGGTGGGCGTGAGGAAGGAGAGTTGCTTCTATGTGGGGAGAACCAGGGCTCGGATGGGGATTATTTCCTCAGGCGACGGAATTGGGGCGTGGAGGGTGCCCAGGTGGATCAACGTGCCTCTTGGGTGGCTGCTGAAGTGGCTCCGCAGCCTGTTTTGCTAGTCAGTAGGCCCTTGAGCCCTGTAGTCCTCCCCTGTAGGCGTGCGGTGTCCCCCCTGTAGTTCCCCAGGAAGAGCCCACCCCCCGCATCAGTAGCACAAAAGCTGTCCCAACATGCGATGCGGTTGCGAAAACAATTGTAAGCACGCTGACTGGTCCAATCGCATGTTGAATCGCACCTACTCTATTGCTGTCTGTTTCCGTGCATATGGCGGAGATCGTTCAATTAGGAGTCGGCGCTCTTGCTCTTGCTCTTGCTTTTGCTTCTGCCGTGGTGACATCGCCATCGTAGACAGAGCTATCCTTCCCCTCTTGCACCTCGATTGCTCGACGACTGCTGCAGATCCACCTTCATCGAGCCCTCCAGCGCGCCACCAGCACCAGCACACGTACTCTAGACTGGAACTGGAACACTCCCAACGCAGCGGCTTTGGTGGTAGGCCATGCTCGCTGGGGAAACTGCTTCGGCGAGCACCCGTCTCGAGCCCGTACTATTCTGACCCCACACGTTTTCCGAGTCTTAGTGCCAACGCGGGGCGCCAGCGATGCGCAAATCGGTGCTGGGTCGGGATGACAAAGGTGTCTCGTCTGTCCAGATACAGAAACCACTTCTCAATCGGCCCTCACTGACGAACAATCAACAACTTCTTGTGTCAAGGGATATAATCCCTCATATTTCCTGCGGCGGCATTTTGTGTCCATATTGCAATTACAGATCCCGAGAAATCAATTTGGATGCGTCGAATAAGTAGCAGTTTGACGATGAGCAGTTTAGGCAGAATAAGGGCTCGTCCCGAATCTACCGATATCATGTGAGCCGTCATGGCCCAACTTGGATACGAATAATAATGATCCCGACGAGACTGCTTCATAGTTCACTTGTGAACCGCAAAAATTTCTTTTCCGTAAACGTCAGACAGAAATCTGTGTTTCCCCAGTCGAGTTGCCCAGACCCAGGCCAGTTGGAGAGGCTGACTGATTATGGTTGGTGGAAGAGCATGCTGCGTAGCCGTGGTAGCATACTTCGAAGTACATTATTCTACACGACTTTTCCCGTAGACTACTACCCGGGACGGAACCTCTGACTTCTAGAAAAACAGGATCAACCACCCGTAACACAGAGAAAGTGGTTGCGTATCAGCGTCTGCCGTTGCCAGCGATTAGCTCCATGCACTTCAGATTGCGGGGAAGGAGCGAACCGTTGAGGAAAAGCCCAATGTTTCTCATCACAGTCGACAAATGCAGCTTTGAGCCCGGTGTCATACAAAATCCTTGCAAACAAGTTCTCTATGTCCAATCGTTATATCGCTGGTGTCTAAAAGCATCCAGGGTACGCAATAGTGTATGCACGCTTGGCAAGTGTGCAGGGTCGTATCTGGTGTGGTCATGACTTTTGACTTCTATTCACAACCAGCAATTAGAAGCTGCGGTTTACCTATGATAGAATGAGAACTGGCGATGTTATGACATCTTTCCGTAAGACCGTCTCTATCAGTTCTGCATTACTGGCCCGGATTGCGCCGTCGAGGTGTATTAATCGTACGAGTACCTATATATCTTGCCTGTACACCTTGTGACGGGAATTCTCCAGATACTTCTCCACTTACGTTGCCAAGCTGACCAGAACTCTGAATAGACCTCAGCGATAAACTGCACTAGTGTCTTGGTTCACCGCAATGATTCGCAGCCTTAACTGAAGTCGTCTTCAATCTGTTTGTTGTCATTCGTTTCGTGCTGATCGGTTTCGTCATCATCAATGTTGCTACCCAAATATCCAATTACAACTTCGCTACGAAGCAGCTCCTTCTTCTACAGGAACTGTTAGCAATACTAATCACACCGGCCCTGGAATAACTTGCTTGTAATTGAAGGTTATCGGCAGCCTTTTGCAGGATCAACGCTTCACTCGCTCGAAGTTTCAGGGCATTCTTCTCCACATTTGGATCGATCTCAACAACACTATTCGATATGAAGGGTCAGTCAAAGATCAATGGTATTCCACTCACAGATCATGCTTTTGCATTGAACACTAGTGGTGCTTGAAATTCTCGAAAACCACAGGCAATCAAATGCAAACCACAAAGTTTCTACATACCTTGAAAGTTCTCGTACGGCCGTGACGGTGTCGTCGAGGTGCTCAATTTGCTGTCGGACTCGATCATCCAACAGTGTAAGGACCCGGAGTGTAAAGATATCCTCTAGCTCATGACTTTTGATCAGAGACTGGAACGTGTCCGTCACGTCAGTTACGTCCTTTCCACACCAGAAAACCCTTAGACTCCGTGAGCCGTCTACGTCTTGTAAAACTTTGAACTCTAGGCCATCTTCTTCGTTAAGAATCATGAAGTATAGGAATTTACTCTCCCATGTAATATCGTCCTGCTTAGCAGTAATCCGAACAACAGGCTGGCCTTTGAAAGCGATAACTTTTGCTTTCGCAAGAGGATCCTCAGATATTGTTTCGAGCGGTAGAACAAGAGTTTGAGCTGTTTTATCACTCTCATCTATGAAACCATAGCTAAAAAGCATCTCCGCGTTGCTCTTGGCGTACCCATAACTTATAGTCAGTTCCGAGCCAGCTTCAACATCTACATCTGGATTCAGCAGCAGAGTAACGCTATTGTCGGATGAAAATTGCTCGTAATAGGTATTGGCGGCGACAGAATGATTCGCCATGTCCAAGCAGGGGACCATTGCCTCGCCAGATTTCGGAAGTTCCAGTGATCTTGATCGAAACCAGGCGTCAACAAGTGTCCAATCCTCGAGCGTCAAAGCATGATTCTCCCACCAGAACTTTCTGCACCATGCAATACTGGATGTGCGGTCTTGAAGTTCTTCGAATTCAAGGAGTAAAGCACTCTTTTTTGCAACAAGAGCTGGCTAAACAAAGGATTTAGTATGTACGGAAGCCAGGTGGAAAGGCATATCTCCATACCTGTAAACTCGTGCCTGTAAGCATCATAGACTCTTCTTCAGACCACATAGTCGGGACTGGAATGTGTATTGGAAGAAATTTGACATATTCAGTCCATGGGTTTCTCACACCTACGCACTGTCCATCCGGATGGCACGTTATCTGCATCAAGAGAAATAGCATGATGTCCCTTCTTAGTCCCTGCACACAGTTAGAAATCTTCTCATTACGATTTCAATATTCACGGTTTTTAGACTTGCCTGGCCACCCGCAGCAGTAAGTAATTCTTTCAAATGTTGATCAACTTTGGCGAACTCCTCCACAGCCTCTGCCGACAACACAAGATCATGTGGGATGATCAGTAAAGTAGGACGTTCGGAAATATTCTGGGAGCTCAATTTCTTGAGCGTCGCTAAACCCTTGCCTCTCGCGTCTTCAAACTTTCGGGTCTGGCAATCCAGATATGTCACGTCGTTAAGTCTAGACCAGGGCTCGAGGGCGGAAAGCGGAAGAGTCGTGCAATGCATAGCTGGATCAAAGACCAATAACTAGAAAGCTTCGGTAGTGGGGACTCGTTTGATGTAGTTGATATAAATGCCGCGCAGACTTTGGTTTGAGAAGTGTAGATGGGAATGGTACGAGATTCGAGATGTTGAAAGTGGATCCCACGATACTCTGATCATCCACGTGATCAAAAAAATGCTCAATCCTATGTACGGAGGTACAAGTTTTTCGATTTTCGGCGAGGATCCCCTTTCTCCTTCTTGCATAGAGAATACAGATGAGTGAGTTCTCAAGTGAACTTGAAAGTACCGAACTACCGCCAACATAAATATACAAGATGTTCAAAATAGATCTGTGAAATTGCCCCTCGCTTATAACTTTTCAGGTCGTTTTACAACTGCCACAAAGTCACTTCGCATTCCATCAAAAATGACAAGCCTTTTTGTCAGGTGGGTTAGATACTACTTAAAATTAACTAAATTTTTGCTTCTTCTGGAGATCAGCGGGGGATAATTGGTATTACAGATTTGCCATACTAAAAATCCGAAGGAACCCGATAAAACAACCGTCATCCTCCACTACCTCGTATAAATGAGCTAACACCGTAGCCAGCTCCTGCCAAATCCTCCCTCATACTTGCAGTATCTCAATTATTAACGAGGTTGTCGACGCCTCAGACTCCTTTCTGGGATAGGAGGTGCTCCGTCTTGCAGTCCTGATGATTGAGTTGATCGTAAGGGAGAACTCCCATGATTGTAAGTCTCAAAATCCCCAGAAGCATGATTATCAAACTTCTTTGAGATTGGGATATTAATTGGTGTGGTCATACTGCGCTGAGGATACCGTGGCGGAGCTTGTTGAAATGATGTCGAGCTATCAGTGTTTTGACGAATTGGTGAGTCGGAAAACAAGGGTGGTCTGTCCTGGGGAGTTGATGTCCACTTCGCTGGGATAGGCCTTTGAAAAGCCGAACCCATATTATTTGCTGTTTGCTGTCTATGAAGCACGTCATCAGTAGAGTTGTACTGGTTCTTAAATTGGGCGTTCAAGGGAGGTGCTCCAGCAGAGTGGGCAAAATGTCCAATATCTTGACGATAGGTAGGGTCGCCTTGTCTCAAAGCTTGATATGTCGAAGGCATATTAACACTAACTGTTGATTCATTCCTATCACTTGCATCTAATTATTGTGTTTCCGCTTTTTTCTGTCTGACCCATCTGCCGTTGACCATATAAATGTTAGGAAGCTCTTTTCTCCTGCTGCCGTGATTCAACGAAGCACTCGTATTCTTTGGCCAGGTTCTTGATTTGAACGGCCGACCCTCCTCAGATAGTGGCGCTTCGATTCTACATTCATGTTGCGGAAGATTTGGTGGAGAAAGTAATTCTTCAGAGACATCCACAGATGTAGGCGGTCGATCACTCTCACTGGCATAGTTTCGATGTAAATTATTGAGCTTTTCTACAGTTAGACGGGCTGCTAAATCGTGACGCTCTTGATGACTTGAGAGCGCAGGAGTATTCCTGAGAGACTCGTTGATTTTGTTTCGTCTGTGGCTTGATGGCTGCGTTGTTGAAGTGTTAAACGATCGCTTTGGGGGCCCGGGCCCACTATCAAGTGAGCCGAAAGTAGGTGCAGTGGTGGGTTGGCGCGAGGCCATCATGTTGACTCTCCTCGTCGTGGCGTCCATATTTGTTTGCCCAAGTTTTGGGCTATTGCCGGAGCTCATTATTGTGGACCAGGTCGTCTTCCCGCTAACATTTGACTCTCTTTTCCTCGCTTCCGCCATCTTGATCGATTCCTGTCTGAAGGCAGCTTGTTCCCTCTCTCTCTTGCTCTTTGCTATGGCTGCCCGAGTATCCTTTTGTTCCTCTTGAATTCTCCTAGCCCTGTCAATGACTTCTTGCCTCTCCCTCCATTGTCTTCTTTTTCTCTCTAGTACCGCTTCCTCGATAGCTCGGGCCTCTTCAATCTCTCGTGCCTTTCTCGCAATTTCTGCCTTGTTCATTAACTCCTTCACTCTTTTCTCATGCTCGATTTCCATTTCAATTTCGAAAGGATACTTCCCAATAAGATTTCTGTAATCTTCGGCCAATTCCAAGGCTTCTTTCCCATCAGGATTCAAATTCCTATCAATATCAGATGCTTTGGAAAATCTTCTGACACGAGTATCCCAAATCTGATCAGCATCGAACTCGCCTTTCCCTAACTCATTGTCGAGAGATCTTTCGCGCATATAATCAATCTTCTCGGAGTACCTACTCCCACTTTCCTTCGATAACACACTAACTCTCTGTGGAGCTTCATCACTTGTTCGTTTCCATGACGTTGTTGCCTCTTTCACCTTTCGAGTCCCACTTCTGAGAAAGTCAACGATCTTGCGCGTTTCGCTTTCAGGCTTGGGTGGCGAGCTTGTCATTTCGGTTTGGGTTTTATTTCATGAGGACTGAGGGCCTGTAGATCGAGCGGAACATAGAGTAGGGTGATGTAGAGTGCGCCGCAGCAGGCGTCTGCGTCAATCGTAATGTTATGCTGAAGTTGGCCAACTTCGTGACACATTCCTTGAATTCAACCGCACTCGAGATTGTCGATAGCAATTGTGCTCTTTCCTGAAGAGAAGTTCTGAGATGTTCAGAGGCTTGGATTTTCGTTGGTTGTCTTGGTAGGGTAAAGATGAAGAGACGGATTCCCGTGAGATTGGTAGATCAAAAAATGTCGTCCTAGATTCACACATTATAGATAGTCTAAACATGAATTAGCATATTTTTGTAAGGGAGATGCAGGAATAGATTAAAGAGTCAAAAGAGCATGTGAATGGCAAAAGCAGAACCACAGGAATCAAAGCTCATTGGCCATGACAGCGAATATCGTATCCCACTATGGTGAATCCGTTTCCGCTCGTCGAAACCAAATTTGAATTTGCAGCGGGTTCTTTGTGTTCCCAATTATTTTGGGATTTATTTTCATGCTGTTAAGCCTCTATAGGTTTATTTTTCTTGACCTTTAGCTTAAAGTCACGCCAATAGATGACGATCAAGAAAACCCTCGACAGAATATTCATAAGGATGATCTTCGCCCAAGTAGCCGCCGAGAAATGTATAGGGGCCCCCTCATAAGTGTCGCAAACCTCGAGATACTTCTTAGGATCATCTGTGATAACTCCATCGACCTCTTTTCGGATACTCCACTTCATAACCTCCACCTCGTTAACAGTCCAGAGGAACAAAGAACGATTGTCCTTCTTAATTTTCTTGCGCATGGCATTACCAAACGGCCCAACCATGACTTGCTGCAACATATTAAAGCTGACGCCTTTGACGTTGAAAAACTGTCTCGCATATTCTATGCTAACGCCGATATGTGTTATAGGAAATCCAGGTAGATATCTGAAGCACAAGGGAAGCAGCTTGGCCTTTTTACAATCAGCTAGTGAAGTATATTTGGGTTAAGAGCTGACTTACTAGCCAACATCCGAGAACCAATCGTTGATTCCATGGCTTGGAGGGCGTGACGTCTGCGATTGTAGAAGCCAGAAGTTTGAAGAGTGTTTCGGGATCATCGTCAAGCTTCACTCATTTGTTAATTCACTTGTAAGAAGACAGATCAAAATTGAGACACGTACCTTAATATCTAATAGAACCCAGATGTGCTCCAACCCGGGTTTAGCTAGATATTTTAACAAATCTCTAAGACGTGGCATAGTTTCTTGAGGCTCTTGCACCGTTTTCAATGTCTTGAGATAATTCCAGTCACAATCACAGATTTTTTTGTCGACGCCAAAACACCTTTTGAGGGTAGGATCCTATCATAAAGGTTAGTCCTTGCTTATGCTAGGGTCTCGTTGATAACTTTTACATGAGATAGTACTACGACACCATCTTTAGATAGATGCACGTCCGTTTCTATGGCGTGAGCTCCGACCTCAACGGCTCCTACGAACGCGCCCATTGTATTCTCGGGGTGTGCAGCTTTGTATCCGCGATGGGCAATTGCCTGCGGCTTTTTACCTTTCGCCGATCGCTTTGCCCCCGTAAAATCTGGGAAATATTAATTGAGACGAATGTACATTTCGTACAGGACGGTGCGATGAGTGACTTACCCGTAGGAGACACCATTTTCTCAGCCAGTAGACAGCTAGACTCGTCCATTTTTTGACAAGTGTTGGGCAGAAGAAAAGCGCGATTCGGGCCAGAAAGGGCGAGTAAATTCAGTCAATTGCCTGGTTATTTTCAAGCTTATTAATGATCAAATCTGGGACTCGTTGTCGTTCGAGATGCCGGATGATGTAGGGAGCAAGTACTCTGATTGTTCAACTGGATGGTGGACAATGCACGCCAGCTTGCAGCAAAACAAAGCTCGATAAACAAACAGAGAAAGGTCTTATGGTGTAAAGAGTTGCACGGGTTGTGGAAACTGCGCTGCCAATCTGCTGTTCACGGCGGAGATCAGTGAAGTTTAAGTCCGTCGGTTTGAGACCGGTCATGAGGAATTGCTCCTTCGTACTATTTCCAGATCCGGAACTGGCTCTTCCCGGATGGGGCGTCAAATTGGTTCTCAAGTTCTCAACACGCCATTCGAGTACAAAACCACTAAATTCGGCAGCGTACAGTGTCCCGTTTGGCCTCTCCGTTTGTCGTCAATGTCATTGGATATCATGGAGGGTCTTGAGTAAGGGACCACGTGGTGAAACCCGCCACGAAAATTATCCCAGAAGTCTCACCAAGTCGCGGTATTATTCGATGCAAACCGTACGCAACATTTACTCGATGACCGAAAATTAGAGACACAGGAATCCGCAAGCACGTTTTCTGCATTGTATAAAGCTGACTGCTTACTTGTGGCCAGGTGCCTACGGTTTAATACAAATTCTACTCATTTTGGTGCTGTACAACGTGCCAGCCGTTTCACTGCGTACAACCTGAATATTTCCAAGAATATTCTTCCCTTCCATCTCAAAATACGACATTTAAGCGCCCTTTGATTTTGGCCATACAGAAGATACTAAACCAGATCAACCTTGTTCAAACCTCAATTCTCGATTACCATTGTTAGACTGCGATTGTCGCGCAATCTTTTAACGTGGTAGGCGGGCTCACGGAGCACAAAATAAGTGGCAGTCGAACACAATATTTCTTCGATTAAGTTGACGAAACATCGTATATCTAGTGGATTAACTTAGAACATTAGTACTATTCAGTCAATTATTTTCAGTAAATGAGATTTTTTGAGCTCTCTCAGAAGACGACTTATTATTTAGTCCAAGATTAGTGGATAGGTGACTGACACGTATTTCGTCCCCCGCGAGGCGGGATGGCCTAGAATGTTACTAACGCCTAGTTGGTATGATAATCCAAATCAAGCTGTTTCCACCAACGAATTTTCCCTGGACGTGTCGCAATAGATAAGATTTCACCGGCAACTTAAAAGCAAACACCAAGAATCTCACGTAGGGTCATGTTCAAAATCAATCTGAGTTCATTTCTCAAGACCCTTGTCAGCAAAACCGCGCACATTGATCTCCTTCAATCCATCATTGCTTGAAAGATCCTCAGCGCTGGGCATACTACTTCTCCTAGAAGTCATTCCATACGCTTCAGCAATACGTTTTCCAACCGCTTCACCACTCCAATATGCTCCTGTGACCGTACCCAAAGCAACGAACGGAGCCGTATGTTCGCCCGCAAACCAGAGACTTCGTCCTGTTAAGCCTTCTCTCATGATTTGAATATCTTGGTCGCCTTCCCGGAGACCAGTTCTGAAAGTGGTATAACTTCCGTTGCCAGCGAATTCGTCCGATACCCAGCTTGTAGCAAGGCAGGATGTAGGGAAACAGTCTTTGGAATGCTCATCAAAATTTGGCAGGCGACTGTAATACGGCTTGAAAAAATTGACCAAAAATTCTTGCTTCTCACTATCTTCGGGAAGGGCTTCAAGTTTAGCGGCAAGGGCGACTGATTGTTCTCCGAATATGTAGAATAATAGTGTAGGGTGCGAGCAAGAATTTGGTAGCGTCGACAGATCAACGGCCTCTTGGGTCCATCTTTTGCTGTTGGTGTCGCTAGCATATGCTGGTGAAATCCATTGTGTAAATCCGGTAAACTGGTCGTTTGGATCGACTCCCTCACTCAACCAGAACGCCCGCGGGAAGGTAATATATATCTGCACGGGACGGTCAATTCTCCAAATCATCACGTGTTCGGACAACTTGCCTTCTCCAGAGAACCATAACCGATGGCATCTATTGCATCCGAAAATCTTTGGGGTAATGGAGGCTCAAAAGCCATCTTGTTCTTTTTGAGCCATCCCAACGGGGCCGTCATCACCACCTCGTCGAACTCTAGTTCTTCGCCACTGTGGATGGACAGTCGAACCATATCCATCGTTGTATTTACTCGATTTACAACCGAATGTAACTTGATTTCAGCATTTTCTCTTGCCTGTTTTGAAATTAAATCCAGAATTGCGCGATAAGTTCCAGCGCAGAATAGGTTTTCTAGTATCGAATCAGTTTCATGGAAAAGCACACCCTAAGTGCTAAAGAGCCTCAGACATCAAATTTAGGGTTGGATCTGATAGAGAGGGGTGTTATTAGAGCACACTCCAAACTAGGATCAGGTTTGCTTGACAATATGACCAACCACAACTTGTAGACCTTACTTCAGTTGGAAAACTTACCGCCATCAATACACTCCTCCAACCAAAAGAATTTGAGGCTCTGAGTAGTCACAGGGCTTCCCACAAACTAGGCTGTCGATTAGAGACTTCATCCGCTTCATAAGACACGGGAATTAACTTACAGCACCCCACAGCTCCGCCATTTGCAACACGAGCTTACGCTTCTGTTCGATCTCCCCGCCACCGGGATACACTTCTTGGACCTTCTCGACAAAGAAATCATATAAACTCCTAGAAGGATCTATTTTTGCTGTGTTTTCCGCAGAATACTTGAAAGCCTGGACAATGATCCCCCACATTACCTCATGAGAAGATCTCCCTTCATCCAGGATGCATCCATTCTCACCAAAAACGTTCACATTTTCACCCCAGGTATGTGTCAGAGTGCCAGATTCTTTTGCGAGATCCAAAATAGGATTGTGTTCCGTCCCATGAATCCAGTTCGGGCCCAGATCGACAAGTTGTCCTGATGGTAATGTGGTTTGGCACAACCTCCCGCCGAGTCTGTCTCGCGCTTCAAGAATCGTTACGTGAAAGCCTTGTTTTACAAGAATATCCGCACACCGAAGGCCAGCTATACCCGCTCCAACTATTCCAACCCTGGTCTTCTTCGAGGGATCCGATACGCGGATCTAGTCACAGAGTAAGTAAATGCACGATGGATAAAAGTTTTGGACCTTGAGATATATTTAAGCCCTATTGATACTCATCAGAGCGGGGGCTCGCCACTAGGAGGGCGCAAGATCATGCATATATGACCTACAAATTGACATGCAGGAAGGGACACTTGAACTGACCTTTTGGGAGGAGTCCATTACGAGTTGTTGTATACGTTCGTCTGAGTAATTTCGATTTGATATGCGGCAAGCAGCAAGATCCTGATATATTCTTGATGTACCCCTGCGAGAAGGAGTGGTGTGAGATATTGAGTAAGCGTCCATGCTCGCGGGTGAACAGAAATGGAGTAAGGGAAGTAGAAGCTACGACTATACAATTTGTGCTAAGAAAGAATAATTGAGGATATATAGAGTAGTGTGTATATCATAGGTGATACATGCTTGTTTGACAAGCAACCATCAAAGCCTTGAAGACGGCTTGAACCAGCTTATGTTGGCAAATCTTGCTCACAATCCGCTATCTGGTTGTACAAAACTTATGAAATAGGCAAGAGCGACGGGGGGTGACACAGCTACACGCCCACCAAAGCCATGTGTGCTTATGAGTTCGACAGTTGAGGAATCAGAAACAGGCAATCGAGTGCGGTTGTGGTCAACTTTGCTCATATGACCGCTTTAGGCACCACGGAAAGGTTGACACTCTAATTTGGGAAGTGGTGGAAGAGAATCTGTGCAGGACTTACAATCTCAGAAGTAATCGCTGGATAATGATAGGATTTCGAAATTGCATTGGGGTCAAAGACTCACGTATTATTCATGTTGATGTTCTTGATGAAAGCCAGGTCAAGCAAGGGTCCGTCCCGTCTCGAGGAATTTAAGCGACTGATCTCAACATCATCGACCTCACGGCCCGACCCGCAAACGCGAAGCTGTTCCAAATCTTGAAGATGGAGTTATTCTCCTATCACGTTAAGCAACATTTGGGCATTGTGACTTCTGGTTAGTTTTGCCATACAAGTCAATATGCGAACCTCGAGAATTGCCAAAGAGACGTCGAACCTCATTGACGCAACCGCTGGGGCATCCCAAATTCGCCGAAGCACCAGATCATCCATTGCCAAATTCGCGCGCCATACTGAAAGCAAAGAGGATGGCTCATCGGAAGGAGCATCACGGGCTGTAGACATTGAAGATGTTATACCTTTACGGAAGCGGAAGCGCGATGCTCCCCGAACGCCTCAGCAGAAAACGACCATGGTCAAGACCGAAATCGAAGACAGTGTCAATATCTCGCCTGCCAGATCGCGCAAGGTTCGCAAACCTGCGCGCAAGGTTAAGAATGAACAAGGGGAAGTAGAAATCCATCCTCCAAACGATTGGGCGGAGGTATATGCGGCGATGAAAGAAATGAGGGTGTCCGGCGTTGCTCAGAACGCTGCCGTGGATACAATGGGTTCGTTGGTATTGATTGTCTTTTTGTTTCCCAAGCTGACTTTCACGCGTAGGATGCGAACGGCTTGGACAAGACGATGTCAGTCCAAAAGTTAAAAGATATCACACCCTCACTGCTTTGATGCTCTCCTCTCAGACGAAAGACACAACGAACGCTTTAGCGATGGGACGATTACAGACCGAATTGCCAGCATATAAAGAAGGAGAACCAATAGGGTTGAATCTTGAAAACATTCTGGCCGTAGACCCTGTGCTCCTTAACGAGTTGATATGGGCCGTTGGCTTTCATAACAACAAGACCAAGTACATCAAAGCTACCGCGGAAATCCTAAGGGATAAATTTGGGGGCGATATACCTGATACTATAGAGGGCATGATTTCCTTGCCGGGGGTTGGTCCAAAAATGGCATATCTTTGTATGAGTAGTGCGTGGGGCAGGACTGAAGGCATTGGTGTTGATGTGCACGTTCATCGTATTACTAATCTATGGGGATGGCATCAGACGAAGAATCCCGAGGAAACTCGTCTCGCGTTACAGTCATGGCTACCTCGAGAGCTTTGGCATGAAATCAATTGGCTTCTTGTTGGTTTCGGACAGAAAATATGTTTGCCAGTGGGACGAAAATGCGGCGAATGTGAACTAGGACTGAACGGACTTTGCAAGGCTGCCGAGCGTAGCAAGGTCACTTTGGGAAGAAAGATACGGGAGGAGAAGATTAAAGCAGATGAGGACGGCAATACAATGGAAAAGGAAGAAACAGTCAAAATCGAGGAGATCTCAAAAGATATCCCTGTAAACGAGGACCCTGGGGATACCCTTGATCTCGATGCTTTGTCGCATTCAAACAAACGCAACACGGAAGACAAAGACACGAGCGTGTTGACGGACATCCCCAGTGATCCCGAACAGGTGGACTTAAGAACTGGGGACAAAGCCAACTTATGACATACCTAGCTACATCTTTAAGGAAAAAGTACCAGTCCATGGAAATCCGAATCAGGAACCTTGCAATGCTTCGCCGCTTATCTAAGTACTTTCTCACACTTAACAATTATAAGGCTCCTGTTTTGTGAACATCTCGGTACAGAGTGAAGTGTAGGTAAGCAAAGACGTGGTTTGATATTCATGACAACAATTAGTCATTTTTGTGTATGACCTGTTCTGTCTAGAGATATTTTCAGACCGTGTAAGCGCTATCGTACATTCCCGAGGTCAGTGTGAACCAGCATACAATGCTTTGCTATTGTCTTACTCCACCTTGTTAGTAAGCTCCATCATTATTAGTGTTAAAACTACTCGAGGAACCCCAGATCATTTGTCCTTTGGTTCAATTGTCAAAACTGGGGCTCCTCTTGATTCGGGCTTTTCCGCGCTGAGGGTGGCTCTTTCAAACACGACAACAACACCTCGACAGTTTCACATGTTAGGGTCTAGGGCAAGATATGTGACAAGAACAGAAGGTATGAGGCCAATGACTGTATTAAGTGACTGAAACTAAGGAGTGGAGAGAGGTTCGGAGACCATTCCACACTCATACTACAGATCACCCGTTTGCCAAGTCACCTGACGACCTACTGTATCCAACTCTAACATCATCCCCCCTTGCGAAAATGAAAGAGATCGCTTAACAACCCCCTTTCGACTACCACTCCAACACGACAACAACACCTCGACAACTATTTTCTACCTTACCTAGGTATTGTCAGCAAAGGCCACAGACTCGAGGTTCTATCGAACTGGTCCCGTGCGCCATGTCTTGGGTGTGTCGGACATCCAAAGTCCACGGCCTTGCAAGAGACTTCCGCCTTTGCGTCGACGATCGTTACAACAACAGTCGGCAATGGGTCATGGGGAGAAGGAAAATTGCCAAACCACATGCAGCGGCTGTCAAATTCACACGAGCTAGCACTTATCGATGAGTGTTTCTCACTCAAGCCAAAGAAAGAAGTCAATCATCTTTAATCAAAAGGATTTGTAACTCGACTAATCAGGTTTATGATGTTAAGTTATACTAATCCACCGGAAGGTTCTTAAATTACACCACCTTCCGCATTATCGCACATGGTAGTGCACGTCAAAACTCGACTTTCTAAGCAATCCAAAACCAAATTCTTTCCAGGAAGTTCCTAGGAACTAACTCTGGCCAGTTCGCATCCTCAGCATCCAATGCCGCCTTTCCGCTCTGGATATCAGCATCGGCAGGGTTGACAAATTTGGTGCGCTTGAAGACCTTCCAGAAGAGGAAAAGGGCAATATAGATTGGGATACCAATGTATGCAGCGATGAAGGTGTCCGTGCTCCAGTGAGAGTGATTCTTGCCAACGAAAACATCGAAGCCGCTGAAGATGATAATCATGGCGAAGTAGATAAGAGCGAACCATGCAGTGTATGGCTGGAATCTGCTCTTGAAGACGAGCGTATTGCGATCGATTCCCTGCGCCTTCAACGCCTTGTGGAACTGGATATAGGCAATACAAATGGACACCCAAGTCCAGAGAGAGGCGATGGTGACGATGTTTTGGAACCACTGGAGAAAATTAGTTGGTGTTCTTTAAGAGCACGAGGTCAACTTACAGCGAAGGCTTTAGCCGATCCACCTTTGCCTACGGAGAGATAGGTAAGACCTGAGATCGAGGCAGTGACGGCAACAGCATAGTATGGGACACCAGCTTTGCTGCAAGTAAGAAAGATTCTTGGGGCTTGTCGGTTCTGGGCAAGGGCAAACAGATAACGTGATCCAGTATACAAGAAAGCGTTGGCAGATGAAGAGGCCGACGTCAAGATAACAGCGTTGATGATAGATGGAAGGACTGGAATGCCTGCATTGGTGATACCGACGACCCACTGGAATCTATGTTAGCGAAGTTATGAATAAAGAAAGGACTAATACTGACTGGTGATCGGGCAGCTCCTGGGGCGCCTTCATCCTGAGCCTTCAACAGATGCTCATCAGAAGAAGAAACAAGAACACCGATTGCTAATGAACCCAAAACATAGAAAAACAAAATTCTCCAGAAGACCCTACGCACAGCCTTGGGGATATTCTTGCGAGGATTTTCGGCTTCTCCAGCGGCGACTGCAACAAGTTCCACACCACCATAAGAGAACGCAGCGTTCACAAGAACGTTGAAAAGTCCCAAGAATCGACCGGTATCTCCCGTTGAATCATACTCTTTCATGGCCCCTGGGTTTTTCCAAAATCGGAATCCGAGACGGTCATGCTTTGGGCCACCGCCAAGATCAACAATGAATGCCATTATCAGGAGACCAACGATTGTGATGATTTTGACACTGGCAAATACGAATTCGGCTTCTCCATAGATAGAGACAGCAAAGATATTGAGGCAGATGACAACGACGATGATGATTGAGATCCACGCGGCGACATTGATGTCTCGTGCACCTTCCCAGAATTGGATGACAATCGCGGCGGCCGAGATTTCAGCACAAAGTGTGATGGCAGAGTTATACCAGTTCTATAAACAGAGTTCGTTAGCAGGTGCACGGAAACTCGATTTCCAATTGATTCAACGAATCGTGACAAGATAAGCAACTTACATTCCATCCGACTGCGAAACCCATAGCATCGTCAACGTAACGTGCACAGAACTGGGGGATAGATCCAGGTAGAGGAAGCCATGTTGCCATTTCACCCAAGCACTGCATCATAGCAAAGATAGCAATACCAGTAAATGTGTAACCGAGGAGGATTGAGAGAGGACCAGAAGTAGTAAGGGCACCTCCGATACCCAGGAAAAGACCGGTACCGATGGTTCCACCGAGAGCAATGAACTGGATGTGTCTTGACTTGAGTCTTTACGAGCATGATTAGCTTCATACCCTTCTTGCTTCAAAGCAGTGGTGAAGACCTACCCTCTGGAAACATATCCAAGTTGTTCGGCTTCTTCGACATTTCCGTAGAGATCGGCAGCCTCTGCCAGACGTCCAGTCTTTGCCTGATGTTCGCCTATCCCATTGTGGCCAGGCTTCTCATCAACATTGTATGATTCCTTCTCCATCTTGGCGATTAAAACACACTTTGGTGAGGTGCGAGAGGTGAGTGTGAAGGAGAAGGCCGCGAGCTCGACATGTGGCCGGGTCCCTCTATATAGCTCTCGGGTCACAACATGGAGGCTACACAGAGCGAAGTGAAGGTAGGCATCTAGGTGAATGGGGCGTCTCACGGACCCACCATTCACACCCTTTTGATAATTCCTCCTGCTGCTCTTGGCCTGGTCCTGCAGCTCACGACCCTTACCTCGAATCAGGTCCCTTGAGCCACAACTTTACGACTTTGATTCTCGCAACCAACGGGAATGCGCGTTGCTTTGCAGGGTCTATCGACGGCCATGCTAGCTTCTTCCTATCTGATAGTGATGGAGTGCTAAGATTGGTTGAAGGGGTATATGCCTGTCTAGTCATTTTACATATGGTTGCTTGACGATATGCCAGACCTGTTTCCGGAGACAAGCGGGGCCGTTTGGCATCCCCCATGCTCTTCATTTGGACCAAGAATTGCGACTATTCAGCCTATCAATAAGCCTAGATTAGACGTACATCTTCTGTTCCACCATTTTATTAGCAGATTACGGCGAGGCAACTTTGAATAATATAATGCTGCACGGAGGTACCGAGTATTCGTATCTACTGCAGATAGCCTGACGGCTTGTCATTGCACTTTTCGAATTTATAGAAATGAGCTGACTTTCGAGACCGATAGCCAGCGGCTAACGGCGGAACACAGTATAGAGTTTGGTCTCATCTGCAGCAATTCGTCATTCACTGGCGTGACGAGGCTTCTGCGCCTGAGTTGACATCGTCCAATCGTTAGCAAGCAACGAATTTGTAGCCAATTTTCTCCAAGAAAGCTTGAGTACTTTAGCACTCTTGTCCAGAAAGCATGGCATGCGTGGGCGATCTGGACCAACTCTTAATCTTCGAACTCGGGGTTGGAGAACGGATGGGGCATGGTACGCTTATCACTAGCTTAAACATCCCCATACGGCAGCATCATGTCCGATGGCGATTAGTGCTGTCAAAACCCAGGTGACCTGATTCGTCGCATCATTCAAGTTGGGCTGACGCTAGCAGTAAATAATTTACATGAAATGTGCCAGCACTCTCGATACATACACCCTCGTCGAGCACGCTTCGAGAACATGCGTCGAAACAATTTTTAACCGGGTCGCTCATGTTACGTGCCAAAATACCCAGCTTCGAAGGCAGGTTCGAGTCGCTTTTACAATGTAATGGGTCGAGTAAGTTACACGATTACGATACAGGAGAAAGAGTCTTCCCTTCCTATAGGGAACCTTCGTGAAAGTGCTTGTTGTAGCAATGTTTTACATTTACTAGAATCAGTGCTTCTGACCCCGGCACTGGTAATAACAATCTTGCCATTGCGCTAGAAGATATGCTACCGCAAGGAGACGCGTATTATTTCTTCCAAATTCTTTCCAGAACCTTTCCCTTTTTTCCCAAGTGGCGATCGCGTGCACGCCTACGCTTCTCCATGAATGCCCCCAGACCCGTCCAGGAGGGAGGGCTCACTGGTACGCACTACTGTGCCTTATCTTACCACTCATCCATCCGGTATCGAGAGCCATTCACAAGTCGCCAATCTACGCCAAATTTCTGAACATGGAAGGTGTGTTGGTCCTAATTGCAGGGTTTAGAAACTCGGCAGAGACAACCTGGAAAGAGACTCCTTCGAAAGCGGTTGGCCGCTATCATCAATCGCATTTGTGTGAAGGAAAGACGATTCGACACTCGTACGGGCTGAGCAGTAGTGACATGCGACTGCGAATAGTATCAGAGCGATCGAGGTACAATGTGGTGCTCTAGGAGTTTAATTTTAGGCTCGGGTTAGGATCTGTATTACCCCGACCATAACAGCTACAGTATGTGGTGTTACCATATGGAAGTGCAGTATGCACGGCAAGTTGCTGAGAGATGCCTCCGCCGTCTATTGTTAGGTGAGAAGGGCATGGCATGGCGTGGCAGATGCAGAGGCAGGTATGCTGGCGGCACGTTGGACGGTTGCAGATTCCACCATCCTGTGGTCCCCTCACTCCATTTCTCCAAGCGGGAAAACAACGAGGAGGATGGATGGTGGGCTTCGTACCCTTGCAGTTCTGGCGTTGTGGTCACTCACTTACAAACGATATGTCACGCGCTCTCAGCCTCGGCAAGCCCGATCGCTATCTTCGTGGCTTTCGAGATCGAATGTTTTGAAACTCAAAGTCATCGTCGTCGACGGCGCCGAAAGATACATCTCTCGAAGGAAGTGGTGCGCGTCTCCAACGATGCGCAATTCTGGGCGTCAACATCTCCACTCAGTTGGAAGCTTGATTGTCTTAGCATCGGAGCTTAATTTGCTGAACCAACACACCTCCCCACTGGAAGTTGGAAGCCCAAGAGAAACCCAAGAGCCCAAGAATCCAAAGCTTTCTTGGACGATGCTTATCTTCACGACGGTCAGAATCACGCCCATGTCGGCCAAGAGCGGTATTGGAAGTTCCAAGGCGGCACGGCTCGGCGTTGTGGAGGTTATCGATATTTGTCTCGGCCGTTCTTCTGGTGGCTCGAAAGTTGCAACGACTGGTGTCGGGTTGACGCCGAGTCGTAATTGATTATTGATGGCTGAGATATGAGCGATCTTCTGTGAATATGACAAGCTTCAAGAAGAGCTTTGGTTTCATTGCGACTTTGGGCCAAAATTGGGCCGCTCACTCAGTTGTGGCGATATTTCTGCCTTGTGTTTGCCTGCAGTCTGTTTGCGCCATACCCATCGATACATTTTGCAGGTTTCTAAAGTCGTTTCCATATACTAGACTTCTGAAGATTAGATGGAATTACGATAAACCAGAGTCTTTTCTGGCGGCGCTGTTCTTATTTCGTTTCTGCTTCTGTATTTTTACCTTTACGTCGATTCTAGATTTCTGTCTTTTCGTCACCATCATCGCCCTTTTGGATATATAGCTTCTTCTGTATTCTTTTTATTTCTACTTTAAATTGTACGCAAGCGCTATCTCTTCGCATCTGAGATGCAATGGCATCAGGTAGGCTGTTGGAAAATGTTAACAATTCACAATATACTCATAAGACGATTCGTTATGCGATGCAGGCAATTTTTTGGATTTCGAGTGCCTTTCTCCTTTCCAAGGAGAAGACTGGTCAAGTTGAGATGGCTAAATACTCAAAGCAAATACAGAATCAACATTGTCCCGAACATATCATGTCGGTCTGTAATTGAGAGACAAATATTCGACTGGATTATCATTTTGAAAGGTCAGAAAATCCATCTGGTCTTGCAGGTGTCATTCGTAGGTTTGAAAATGGTTACTGAGAAATAAACAAATCAATCTCGGGTTTTATACTTTCCTTCATACTTGAAGCGCTCTACGCGAAGATAATTTTGCTTCAACGAGTTCTAAAGCCGAAATGTCAAGCTATGAAATTATTCCATTTGTAAAACACGATTCTATCACCTAATCGAAGTAAAGTTTTGGATAACATTGAATCAAGCCATTGGGATCTCCCTTCAACTCAGAGTGCAGTGAAAGCAATCACCAGTCCTCTGATTAAAGTTGACGAAAAGTGAGCTGTTTAGTTACTTCGAAGTCAATAGTCTAACCTAGCAATGTCGTCTTTGGACAACATCTCCATACACGTATATCGACCTAAAGAGTAGGTAGTGAGCTGGGTTTGCTGACACATAGGATTCCGTGATAATATTAAGACTATGAAAGATACTCAGATACCAGCGTAAGAAATCTACTGGAGTAAAAGACTAAAAAAGCTGACAATTTCGGGGGCTATTGCCAAAGTAGAACTGAGCAGGTGATATTTCTCAGATCACTATATAGAGCTAGGGTATATTTATTAGTCTTGTCATTTGCATGTTTTCCTTGGGTCAAGGTAAGTGTACCATTGTGTCTTTATTTCGTTAATTTAAGATCGCAGACTGAAACTGGGAGATCATTAAGATACAGAAACCCATGATCTTGCGTCTCCGAAATGGTAATCTTGTTATTCATATCTTGACAAGACCTAAATATCTTCCTAAGTAACCCTTCAATTCCGAGTTCCAAGCGTTTATAGTTTCAAGCGTGAGCAATCAGCAATATCTATTCTAGTTACAAAAAAGAGATCAGACACTAAAGTTAATGATGATTATTTCAGGCAAGGCCAAACCATCAAAGTCATCTTTTACTACACAGAGCTGATTTTAAAGATGAGTAGTTGACGCAGTAGACAACCTATCTTCAAATCAGACGACACGAAGAATGGAAGATCCGAGAAAGCCGTGAGATACATTCCATCGATCAGCCATGAGCAGAATGTAGGTCTTTACTAACTGGGATCCTAGAACTCATGTAATAGAGTACTCAAGAGAGTTAGAGTGAAGGCGTAAAATGCACTTTACACGTATCGGTACCTGCTCAATCATTTGAAAATGTCTGATTTATTGTTACTAGCAAATAGAGGCACTGTTGGTTCTGAGCTTGTAATTTAAATAAAAGGCTTATTACTATCTGATAGAAAAATTGAAGTTACACTACCTGTTAGCAACCTGTGCTCGTGAACGTGGCCACACCAAAAGTAATAGAAGAAATCTTAAATCTTTCAGCTGGTATTGTATCTCGTATAGAGTAAGTGGGTGCCATGAATATGAGTACTGGTATAGTTGACATGACCAGTACTATCTATAGTACAAGAACTGGACAAAGGTCCCGCTGAGGCAGTAGATATTTCCTCAGAGCAATTCAGACTTGTCAAGCCTACAGGGAATCTTTCCTTGCAAAACTTCGTTTGTGCTGGTGGTGTAAATCACCTCTAGAGAAATTGAATACGAGCTTTAGACTTCGTCCAATGAGATAGCTTAATTTGTTTAATGATGAGCCCCAATTTCACGCTACGAAGGGTCGGATCCACATGAAGAGGATAAAAGCCCGGTGATGGAGCCGCCCAAAGTTAGAGGCCAAGAGCAAATGGAAAGAAAATACAGACAGCGAAACATTCCTACACCAATCTGATGATGTACAGCAGCTGCTATTTTTATTTATGTGTGCTAGCAGACAACGCTACGGAAGTGGGCCTTTTCTTCGCGGTAGCGCAACCCAGTTCGTCTCGCAGCCCAATACCGTCCCTTGAATATCTTCAGAATCCTATCCAAACCGTAGAGGTATTAAGAGTGCTTCGCTGGAGTCGTTGCCCAAAGAAGACGGCTAAGCTCCTTCAAGCTTTCTCTGCATGATAGTGTTATAGGCCAGTCTGGTCGGCCACCTGATTCGGAATGTGATTGAAGCTTACAAGCGCTGGCATACAGAACGTATAGCTTAAAGGCAATCGCTGGCTTGAACGTTGTTTTCTAACCATTGCTTCGTATTCTGATAGATGGTACCTGCTTGATGGTCAACGCGAAGACGTACCTCAGTAAGATTGCATATCTACCTTTCCATGCTAATAGCGTAAATTCATAGCGCTTCTCTCATAGTTCCTACGTGCTCCACCAAAGTAAAAATATCCCAGTCGTATTCTAACCAAGTCGACTGCCCATCTGATTTACACTCGTGCCTTTGATCTTGTGGTCATTCGGATTCGCAGCGGCCTCGTAGAGAATATTCGTAGGAGCCCTTCCCAACTGCATCCAGTCGCCCTTGAAGCCTAGGTAGCTTATCCGACTCACATCATCTCCGTAATTATCCTCCACAAACAACGTTATGCTCTGTACCTTCCCAAACAGGGCCCTTTTGACAGCAATATCTTGAATTTCGGAGGTCTGGGAGAGGGAGAATTCTTGCGTAGGCGCTAGATCACTGGCGGTCGCGAAATCGAGATCATCGCGATTGATGAAGACTTTTAGGGTTTGTGGTGCGGACGAGGAGGGTGAGGTGCGTATGAGGATTGAGTGCAGTTTTACCTGGCCTGTGAAGCTATCTCGGCGCGTCAGTCAAACTTGTCCATTTGCCACAAGGAATACGAACGGTATGCGCATTAAAAGCTGCTCATCGGCATCGCTTGCTAACTCTGGTTCATCCTGCAATCGCTCTGCCCATGTCTTCTTTACAATAGCTTTCCCCGAGTGCGGTTCTTCCTCATTGAATGTGGTTATTTCGTCAAAGTTGATGTGCTGGTACAAGGAGTATTGGAGAGCTGGAGTAATATCATCGGAGTGATCGTGACCTCCTTCGCTATGGTCATGTCCAGAATGATCGTGTTCGTCGTGACAGTGAGAAGACATTTTATCTGTTTGTCGAGGGAAGGACAAGGTTGCTTGGTTATTTATGGCGGGGTCGTTTGACGAAGTTCCAGGGCCACTTGTGGTACAACAATTCCTATGATTCGGTTCACTTGCTTAACTCACTATTTTACTTGAGGATCGTCATATATGTGTCTTGCAATGCTCGTGATGGAATCTCTTAATTCATTTGCACGGACAAATTCATAGAAGTCTTACATGGTGTCATTGAAGGGCGAGAGGTCTTGAGCGATAAGAATGAGTTACTGGATTTGACATTTATCAACTCCTTTCGGACTTAGCTTACTATGATACCATCGCGGGCGGAATAGGTGTCTTTAAAGGCAAATAGGAAGACCACACAGGCGATACTAAACAACCAGCGAACAGCGAGAAGTCTGGCTGCAAGGCGCCCTATTCCATCAGCGAAATGCAAGCACTTTCCCACCAGATTTCTTATGTGGATCACAAATATAGTATTCAGATTCTTCATTACATAAAATCATCCGAGTCATTCCCATCCTGATACTGATTATTTGCTTCCTCAGGATCTTCGCCAGTAAACAGCTCATCATAGGCATGCTCCTTCTGCCACTTCTTCTCTTTCCGTTCCTGAGCTATTTTGGCTTCTTCTTTCTTCTATAAAATAGTATCAGCAATGATTAGTCTCACGATTTGCTCGATGACTTACGCGCTCTAACTTTGAAGCCTGATCTTTCTTTCGCAAGGATTTCAGTCTCTCTTCTTTTTCCATTCCGAGATCTGGGAATTTCTCTACTTTCGTCTTATTCAGACGGTTGACTATAGGATTTTCTCGTTGGGTGACAATTATTCTCTTGACCTGGTCTATTATCAGCCAATCGTCTTCACATCAATGACTTTATTCATACCTTCTTGTTGTCCTTGAAGGACACTTGTCCGACCGCCATACTACCATCTTTCTTCAAATTCGACCACGGTGTATAAATCACGGTAACATTGTCTTTCTTGTTCCCTACTCGACCGTTAGAAATACTGAAATTGTTAGACGATTATTCTACTAGCCTTCAATAGAGTTGGCTTTTGTCAATTGGGCGCAATCTGTAAGCACGTCCTGAGGAATAGTCTCCCAAGTTTCTCCCTCATTCATGCGAAGATATATATGAGCGCTAGAGAGCTTATCGGCATGAAACCAGACATCCTCTTCAAGGCCATATTTTATGAGATCCTCGTCTGTCATCTGATCAGTAGCTGTCCTTGCAAATTTTCATAAATAAACGCACTTTCGACCTTATCCTTTCCTACGTAAATGAAGGCACTAGGCGACACAACATTTGAAGTGAAATAATAAACCATCTTGACCTCCTTATCGAAATTCCATAATGTGTGACACAAAACTGAATTGCAACGAAGCGAAGAGGCTTGATATTGGCGACGTGTATGGTGTTTGTGGGTAGCCGTAGCGAATTTTCACCCTCACGAACATCAACGACTGCAACTCGATCACGACGGCAAACCACACATCATGGCGCCCAAGCTACCAACAAGTTGGGTCGCGCTCCCTCCCTCATTCCTCCTCCCCGAATCGTTCCTCCCACTTATCACGACGCGAGGTGTCAAATATGGCTGGTCGACCGCAAACCATCGATCGAAACACAACCGATTCAACCAGGAAACCGCCGGTCTACCTAGACTTACCGCTTCGCCAGCTGCAGCACTCGAACGCAAAGCGAAAACCTTACCGTTAAGAACTGGAGTTCTGGGAATTAAAAAGGGCATGACCGCCTTATACGATTCAGAAACAGGAGTTAGAACGCCTTGTACGGTAGTACAGTTGGATCGTGTCCAAGTCGTTTCGCACAAGACAAGAGAACAACATGGCTATTTCGCAGTCCAGATGGGCGCCGGATGGAAACACGACAGTAACGTCACAAAACCTCTACTAGGACATTTCACGAGTCAGGGCGTGTCACCAAAGCGATTCGTCTCGGAATTCAGAGTTAAGGATGAGAGCGGTCTTTTGAAAGTTGGACAATTAGTTGGGCCAGAATGGTTCCTAGAAGGCCAATTCGTCGATACGAGGAGTAATTGTAGGGGAATGGGATTTGAGGGTGGTATGAAGAGACATGGCTTCAAAGGTCAGGGAGCTTCTCACGGTAACTCTAAATCCCATCGTTTGATGGGTTCGTCTGGTCCATCGCAGGGTGGTGGTAGCAGAGTTCATCCAGGAAAGAGGATGCCAGGAAACATGGGGGGACAGCAGGTTACGGTTCAGAACCTCAAGGTTTTGAAGGTGGATGCCGAGAAGGGGATTTTAGTGCTCAATGGCTGTATTGCTGGACCCAAGGGCGCTGTTGTGAAGATTCAGGATGCGATCAAGAAGCCATGGCCTGTTATTCCGGGGGGTGGTTTAGAGGAGGTCAAAGAGACGTTGCAGGAGCTAGCGGCTGCATAGATTCAGTGGTGTATATTATGATGTTTGTACAATACATGTGGAAATATGGCATACGCCGAATTTCATTGAGTCAACCAACCCCCCTCGTAACGCCCGTCCAATGCTTCAGCAACATTGCATCTTTGCGATGTGCCTTTCACTGTCTCATGATACTTTACAATGATCCAATTGGCTTTCTAGAACCCCCCATAAACACCAGAAGCTGTACACCGTTTTGAAATATGTTCCTCGTCATCTTCACTAGTGAAGTGCCCGAGAGATAAGTTCATCCTGAAAGATTTGGTGCATAACTTCCTCGTCCAACAACCTTCAGCTCATCAGCATCCATCTCAATCCCCTTAAACGGATCACTGCCATCCAACAAATCAATCTTCCTCCTCTTTCCATTCTCATCCACATCATACGTCTCCAAACTCCACTCCGTAGTCTCAAACATGCCCATCCTGGTCCTCCTGAAGCTCGTAAACCTCATCGTACCCTTATTCTTCTTTCCCATGACCTCGAAATGGATATTGATCCGCCCATGCAACTGGTTCATCTCGCCCCAGATCCAAGGCATCTTGTTCGCAAAGTATATCTCATCGCCTAGATATTCTCGGGCTGCGGGAGAGGTACGCAGGGCGTATAGAGTGGAGGAAACAACGGAGGATGAGGACTTTTGGTAATTGAAGATTGCGAGGGTCGAGGATATTAGGACGATGAGGAAGATGGGAACGGTTTTTACCCACTTCATTCCATTTTCTGGAAGCTCTATAGTTTTGGTCAGTTACTATTCGTCAATTTCTTAGGTAGAATTCTTACCAGGCAGTTCTCTATCCGCTCTTCTACTCATCAGCGGAGGATCTCCAGCTTTAGGTGCAGCAATTAACGTCCTCTTCAGCACCGTTGACGCTCCCACAGACCTGGCAGCATTTGCGCTTCTCGCCCCAACCAAGCTGGGTAGGACCCTCGAACGTAGCAATCGTGGAAGCATCTTGTCTCTCTGCAGTTTGCAACTCGAGGTCCATTGGAATCGACAAGCACAGCTCGGTTTTCATATCATCACGTGATCAACATCATTCCTCGGTCGCCAAGACAAGGCTGAACATTTCCCCATTATCATCAGCATTCTCCTGCCTTACCACAACTGGGAGCAAGCATTCCACACGCAGACCTACAAAATGGAGACGAGCACCTCCCGGTTGAGGAAGGCGTTTCGGTATCAGAACGACTCCGGGGATTCAGACGAAGAAGGTGAAGAAGCTATGGATGAAGAAGGTAAACAGTTGCTCGACAGCATGCATATTATAGGCAACTTGCTAACAACTGAATCTAGAACAAGAATCACTGATCCGTAATCTACGGACTCAAAACGATACATGGAATAAGACTTATACTAAGATTCTTCTCGCTCTCCCTTTAGTTTCTATAATCCCATATATTCTGGCGCTCTTCAGCGATACCTCAAAGCGACCACCTCTCCTCTCTCTTCTAAGCATAACCTCGCTGCTCTCGACCGCATATCTGGTGTACATATTTCCGCCAGAGACAACAGGCTTGTCGTTCGTGGATAAACAATCCAAAGTTGTGAGAAGTAGACAGGAACGGTTGGCTCAAGGAGAAGATGGCCCAATCCGAAGATATCTTCCTATTTTGAATGTTGCATTATGTGTCGCGATCTTGGGGCTAGGCAGATTGGTTAGCGACAAAGGCGACGGAGGAGAGTGGATAATATTGAGTGGCTTGCCGGCAGGAGCTTCAGTGGTTGTGCTTTTGGGGAAATGGGTAATGGGAAGTGTGGATCCGGAGAGGGAGTTGGCGGAGTTGAAGTATGAGCTCAAAGGGGCTTAAAATCCGTACAATACTGCGTGGATTTCAGTCGTTTGGTCGGATCAAGGGTTGAAGCTCAAATTTATGACGGCGTTCGGGTAAATATCATACTATACCCAAGGACGTAATGTTGCTTAACAATTCCAGGAGCGATTTGGAAGCACTCTATCTTTATGATACAGGATAATCATTCTTATTTTATTTTTTCTATATCTCTATTGAGAACATATAGCATTTACATGTCAATACTCTCATTGAAGCGTAGAACACCATTTGCTTTCAAGACCCCATCTATGCCTTCAGGTAGTTTGGGGAAGGGGTCGTGAATGTTACTCCGGTCCGGCGCCTCTGCCGTTTTATCTGCCACAAGTACCAGACCTTGTGCTTTGATTGCCTCGATCAATGCCGGCACCATAGTCTGTCACAACGTTAGCATTCATAAGCTAATAGCGAGAGAGGATATTGGGTTTACCAAGAGTCTCGAAACACATATCAAGCCCATGAAGTTATTATCCTGAGCAATCCGGACTGCTTCTTTGATAGATGTTGTTCTTCTCCCGCTACTCAATATGGCCGCCGACGTTTCTAGGATCTCGCCTTGTCTTCCTAGATCGTTGCACAAGAAGACGGGGTAATTGGGTTGCTTCCAATTAAGCGCGGTGCAGACTGTCGGATTATATGAACTGAAAACAATCGACCTCATGGTCTCCGGATCTCTTTCTCTAAGTGTTCGCGCATGATCAAAGACAACGTTGAGTATTACATCTCCGAACGTATTGATATTGACAGTTGGTCCGAGACGTAAGCTCTTCTCCTCTTCCACAGAGGGATACAAAACCTGGAGGTTGACATGCATTCCTTTGGGCAGTAAATTCAGAGCATCTCTGAGTGAAACGGCTGAGCCGGACAAGATCTGGTGAACCTCCTCAATGCTATCGACTGCTAGATTTGGAAGTGCTGATAGCTCTTCCGTCTTTCTTGCTCGACGCGAGCCAGCACTTACAAATTGATCATATGTCAGACGACTTACTGGAAAGTCAATATCCATATAATCGATTGTCCATCTTGGCCATAGAACAGGAACACCGTCGCAGGTATGTTGAACGAACAGTTGTACATAATAGCCAGACAAGCTCGACCCGGTGATAAATGCACTGGGGCGATGGTCGAACTGGCTTGTAGCCTTCCAGTAGGTCTCAAAATCGGTAATCTCGAGAGCCTTGCCTTGGAAAGGCTTGATAACATGGAAATTGAAATTTATTTGCCCGATGGCTCGTAAGCGTGGGTCGAAAAGAGGTAAACAACAGCGCCCTGAACTGCTCAATAACGCGCGGAAAGTGCTTGGCAATGCGACCGTTTTCGCAATGACTTTTGCACCATATGTAGGAAAGACATCGAAATCGATGGCAAAGGAATCTAGATTATCAATCTGAAAGGAAACAAGCCGGGTATCTTCCTGAAATGGGAGCAAAATATTCTTGGGTATTAAATCAGACAATTTTGAAGAAATCGTAAGACGAGCAGCAGGATACTTGCTGTCGTGGAAAAAGATTAATGGCTGCTCGCCATTTTCTTCGAAGCTGATTTGTATAAATGTTTTCGTGTCGAGGAAATTGTGGCCATATCGGCGTAATGGTATTATAGGAGGTGGAAGTTCGAGTTCAGGTATGCCATCTGCATCAATGCTCATCGGAACTGGCGCACTGCTTCCCATAGAGGAACCAAGCTGAGGAGGTTGCATGGAGCCTCGCGCGTTTCGAGTCTCAGTAATGATTGAGGATAGCAGTCTCATACATTCTAAATGTCCTTCCCAAGCAGCGTAATACATTGCCGATAGATCTTTCTCGTCTTGGATATTCGTTTTAGCACCGACTTCGAGAAGAGTCTTCATGCATGGGACGTTTCCTTCGCTTGCGGCATGGAAAAGTGGTGTCCATGAGTAGAGTTTATCAATCTGATCCAGATCTGCGCCATAACTTTTGAGTAAGAGGAGCAGTTGAGGCGTCTGGCCAGAGCGGGCAACCAGATGTTGTGGATATAAACCTTCCGCGTCCGGCAGTATGGCCGCGCCATGTTGGAGAAGCAGATCGACTATGGCCACAGATCCGTGTTCGCATGCCAAATTCAAAGGGACATGATCAGTTTCAGAGATGGGGTCCAGACGAGCAGATCGCTGTAACAGCCTTCCAGCACATTCAAGGTGTCCATGTATGATCGCGTGTATTAGGGGGGTGAAGTTGTCGTGGTCGATTAGATCAATAGTAGCAGGGTCGGCTGGGCCTCGCTTAGTCGAGGAAATGAAAGAGGGTGGAAGTAGCTTACCATTCAGAAGAGCTTCCATCATATCAATACGACCATGCATACACGCGTAATGCAGAGGCACTCGGCCATACACGTCTGTTCTACTCACGGCTACGCCTCGTGAGAGTCCGACCCCGAGGACGAAAGAGCTGCCATAAATAGTCGATTGATGAAGACAATTGCGTTCATTAATGTCATCCTCAGACTGTACATCCACAAGATTAGTATCCAAAAGCAGTTGTAAGGATGGCTCGGGTGCTTCGTTAATCGCAGCGAGGAAAGTTCTCGTTACTCGCTCGAGTAGTGCAACATCTCGGGGGCCGTTAGGGTCCGCCGCGCTTTTCAATCGCAAAAGTAGGTCTTTCAAAGCTTCCAAATTTCCGGAGATGACGGTTTCCAAAAGTAGAGTATCCGCATCGCCTTCATCGGTACCTAGCAGGTGCTGACTACTGACAATATGGTCTGGGCTTCTATCGAAACTAATATGGTCGCCCTCGGCCCATGCTCCAAGCTCTTGAAGACTAGTCGTTGCCTGATCTGATAATTCGCTGATGACAGTCGCATTGAAGAAAGGCTGTACCTCAACAGCTCGAGACAGATAGAGTTCTTTGGTTTTGGACTTGGAGGTCTTATCCCACTTCTTCAGGATTTTCGAAAAGGCTGTGCCATTTATTTCGACGAACTGCTGTAGCTTGTTGAGATCATTCCCAAATTGTTGGAACCCCTCTTCTAGTGTTGTGAACTTGGCGGACCGCTGAGAAGTTTTACTACTGCGAGACTGCAAGACCTTCTTTTTGTCTAGCAGTGTTTTCAGGCGTATTTTGAGCTGCATGTGGTCAATACACAATGAAAAATCGTGTTAGTATAACTTACCTCTGCCTCTTTCTGCAAATAAAACGCATTTACTTTCTCGAGTTCGCGCTCCTGTTTATTCATCTCAGTATGGATTTATCTCCTAGCGACGTAGAAACAGACCAGTTGAAAGAAAAATGTAGCTTTGTTAGCTTGTAGAGCTGCCTGGGAATCTACCACTCCTGCGGTTCGGTGAAGATCGTTCAGTGCGTGCAGTGTGGGTGTTGCCGAGAGCTTCTTTATGAGCTGTGAATACCAATGTATCAGCACACATGGTCAAGTGTTTGGTCAATAGGCTGGACCATGCCCTTGGAGGTATTGCTTTTTCGTGCAACCCGAGAATCGGTTAGACGGACCTTCTTCAATGCCTTGTAGTTGACAAAACTCGCCGCATATTCGGGGACTTCAAGTTGCCTCTTTTGAATCTGCTTGCCAAACTTCCTGTAAACGCACACTTGTCAGTGAAAGCTTCACCACTATCAGCTGTGACAGCCGAGGATCCGTAGAGGTATATCTAATGGGAATGGAATGCTTGAGACGTACATAATGCGGTGCGAAGACCTGCCAAACCCGTAGCGGGGTCACGGTTGGCTGAGGAACTTGTGAAGGAGATGAGGTTATATTAAGAATTGGGGAGAAGAAGCTTCCGTCACATGCAGAGTCTCATAGCTGCAGATCGTCTAAATGATAAGGTCTGGCGTGAGCAACTAGCTACTCATATGTGAAGTTGACAAAGGTTTAGCTAAATGACGTCGAGCAGCGAGTCTCTACCTAGGTATTGTCGAGGGGAAGTAGATTCGGGAGCGCAAGAGAAGTACCAACTGCAACGACAGCGCGAGATGCAGGACCTAGTCGCACGTGCGTCTCGAATGAGTGGTTGAGGGGAGCCAACGAGGTTGAAGAGAAGAGTGAAGGGACCGAAACGATCGACGGAATTCCACCTGTACTTTTGACACCGAGGTGATGGGATAGCCAGCTCCTAGTTCCCGGAGCTAGAAGCTTCGAAAGCTGGGTCGTGCTTATGCGCTGACTGGGTAATTGTATATGTTTGCCGGAGGATTTTGAGGTCACGATAGTTCCTAGTTTTGCTATCAAAAGGTTATCTATCTTTCAGAGTCTCAATTAGGACTAGTGAGGGGTAATATATGCAGTCGAAGTATGCAAGCTCATCAGTGACAGCAAATTGTGAAGAGCCGGCATCAGACATTGTACAACGTGAACCAGGGTGCGACCAGCTTGCTACGAAACGACTGAGATATCATTGATCGAGGCTATGAAGCTTCCCGGCTGTGTTGACAATGCTCCCAAAAACATTTGTTTTTAATTCGTTATGAGCCAATCAATGCGCCCACGTTTTTTGTGCGAGGCTGAATTCAGATGCAAGGCTGTGGAGAGCTACCTAGTGGAAGGCGGGGTGACGGGCCATGGTGGAGAACACACATTTCATTTGGCCGGACCATCGTCGAAAATCAATCACCATAAAATTGGGTTGGAATGTCACTGTCAGAAGTCAAAGATGGGATATCGTGACGCTGAAACCCAGTTTTGCAACACTAGGTATCCTCCAGAGCACCTTATGACTTTCCAGTCAACTTCTCCTCTGCAATCTTGTCTTTCGTCCCCACCGTCTGAGCGGGTTCTGGCTTGCGCTCAGGCTCCCCAATGTTATCCTGCATAGCTTCGGCAGCAGCCTTCTTCAACCTTTCTGCATCGTCCATCTTGATCTCCTTGCCCCCAACCCGATCCTTACTCTCTTTCTCGTCTTCACTATCACCGAGACTGAATGGGTCGTTGTCCGCCTCACCCATGGGGCTAGGCTCCACCGCAGACAGTGGCTGCCATTTACTTTGTTTCCCGGCATTGGCTGGCATAAATGTCTCTTTGGCAGGTCCCAGTTTTGGCGATGTCCTGTATATATCCATGTCTTCTATGGGCCGACTGTTAAAGGATACGTTACGGCCACCGGCGGGTTTCGGTGGAGCTGGTGTTGGTTTGAAGAGATCTGGATTTGCCAAAGGACGTGTGGATCGTCGAGCAGCACCTATACGAGTCAGAATGTATCACAAGATACTGGCACTCGATACTTACTGCCATCATCATTCAGTTGGATACCGCCGAAATCATCCCCAAGTACGTGAGGGTCGGCATCGTAGCGGTTGTAATCACCACTTTGTCGACCATCTCCACTCCTACGAGTTCGATAACCTGCATTCCCAGCACCATATCTCGGCTGACTGGACGAAGACCCCTCGTCATCATCCTCCACACCATCTATTTTCTTCTTCAAGTTCGTGAGCCATCCATTAACAGTATTTTGTGTCTCAAGAAATCCTTTTTTGAGGTTCTCCTTGATAATTGGCAAATCATCGTCTAGGAAGCTGTGTTCCTCTTCTCGCGTTTGAGCTGGCTTGGTATCGTTCATATAGTTCCCACGAGGGTTTCCTCTGCTGCTCACCCGTGGAGCATATGAACCCGAACCCCCATAGTGTTCTGCTAGTTGGCGCGCGTATTGTTCATCGGCATCCATCTGCGTCTGGGCGCGGTTCGATGGTCGAGGTGGTTGGGGTGGGGCAACTTCTTCCTGGACGACAGCATCAGGATCAGTCATTTCTGGGAGATTTAGTATATAGTATTTTAATATTCCAAGGTATAAAGTTACCTAGCAGAGCATTGAACGCAGGCTCAACGCGCCCACCACTAGCTCTAAGGACGGCTTTCACAACAGCAGCATCAATACTGGGAAACGCTTCTTTCAAGGTGTTTTCAGCCTGCTGTTGAGGACTCAGTGGACGTGGAGGTTTCGCAGGAGGGGCCTCGGCATCTTCGACAGTTGCTGGCTTTCCTACTTTGGCCGTGGGCGGGTTATCATTGAAGAGAATGCCGGATTCTTGCACATCGTCGTCATCCATCTCTAAAGGTCGAACGGTCGTAGGCGATTCAGCACCAGTCGTTGGGCTTTTCTAGAATGAAGAGTGTTATCAGTAAAGCTCGAGGTCAAGAATGCGGCGCATGAGTTTATGGTTGGGACTGTGAACTTACTGGGTTGTCCGTGATTTTGGAAGGCGAGGACATAATGGGTTGGCTTTGAATAGTACCAACCAGATTTGATGATATGTGAAAAGACTGGGAAGTTTTTGGTGGTTTTGGTATCGATGCCTGGAGCGACTTGATTGCTCTTGTCGACGAGTTCAGGGAGCTTCTGACGACGCATTAACGGCGCCACCTCGGCCCAGCCGTTTATGTTCCAGATTTCGGAGAATATTCGATCCATGCTCCGAGTGACGTCCGATTCGGAACAGCCCCCAGCACATAATAATTGTAACAATCACCAGCGAGGTACATGCGGGATCTCACGCTGGAATCAAGCACATCGGTTAACCAAAATGCCGCTCATCGACCCCGTCACGATGTCCTCTACCACTGCCTCGCCCAAGGCTTCTTCGCCAATTGAAGTCCTGCCCAAAGACATCTCACGAATAGTCTCACAAGCTCACCCAGCTCTCCTACTAGCAGCTTATTACATGCGATTCCCATCATTCGTAGTCGACCCTGTATCAACACTGCTCAGTTCACTGCTACCACTAGCAGTAATCCAAATCGGCTACACGGTCATTTGTCTTCCTCCGGCAGGAACAAGTACAAAGGCTACGAAAAAACCAAAGCCTGGAGCGAGTAAAAAGGGACTTGAAACACCTACCTCAGGGCCATTGGTAAATCACCGCCCCAGAATACCCAAAATTGCAGAATCTGACATTTATACAGACAGCATTCATCGCGCTGACTCTCACAATTCTTTCATCCCCCATTCTTTTCGCGATCCAGATCCTCTTCGGCGCACCCCTGACCACGCATCTCCCCCACACAATCCTCTCCTCCTTACACATCGCGCTTCTCACTATCTTCCCACTCGTATACGTGCACGGAACCGATGCAGGGAAATGGCGGGAGATAGCTTCATTCTATAGCCCCATTGACGAGGTGTTTGGCGGCGCTGTTGGATGTCTGTTAGGAGCTTGGATGGGCGCCGTGCCAATCCCATTAGATTGGGATAGGGAATGGCAAAAGTGGCCGGTTACGATTGTAACAGGTGCTTATATGGGATATGTTGCGGGTATATTGGTTGGAGCTTGGCTACTAAAGGGGAAGAGGATCGAGCTCGATTAATTTATCTTACTAGTATAGAATAAAGTCGCTCGAAGTTTTTTAGATTGACGTCCGTTGATAGTCATGAGACTGACTTGACTTGTAATGGGAGCCATTTGTCGTGATTTCGAGTTGAAAAGCTCAAGTGGCTGACCGAACTCAAAGTGACTTTTAAATAAATACCAGAATACCTTCAGGATTGCAGCTTTAAATCTAAACCAGCAAGCGCTTGCTTCTACACGCAGAATTAGGAACACCATATTTCTAATCGGCTGTAATAAGACAAGCATCAAACCTCTCACATCGAGAAGAAATACGTTGGCCCTTGTTAGCTGTTAGGTCCGTTGGTTTGTCTGGCTTTGTGAAATCGACTCATTGAATGAAGGCCGCTACGAGTCTTCAAATGATCACTGATAATCTCGCTGAAAATAAGTAACACGGTATGTTAAGATTATAATTTAGATCTAGTCCGACATATACCAGAATCTAGTCCCACTATTATTTTCATGATATGCATAATTTTACATCCTCGTCGCCTTGCATCTATTTGTAAACTCGTTTTCTTTACTCGCTTATAACCAATTCAAACCTGCCTATACCAAGAAGAGTAACCAAGAACGATAGCCAAGAGGCTAATAGTCCTCCCAGTGGGAGTTCCAAGGCTGATTAGTCAACTTGACATTCTCACCGTGCTTGTAATTAGAACTTAGCTCCTCCTGATCAACACCACAATGCATGTCCCCGTCTCTGCCAGCGAACCACCCGAGACCGTACGTCTTTCCAATCTTCCCCAGCCTCTTAACCATTTCGTCATTGTTCATCTTCTCTGTGTCCACAAAATCGTAAAGCATTTTTGATTGATGAATATATGCTAGGACTGAGGAAATGGTATTTGGCTGGCGAGGTAGAAAGGGCTGGCGACGGCGCATGTAGACACATGTAGCGACCAGACAGAGAAATGATAAAATTGCGAGAGCGAGGCCAAAGGAGATCCAGAAGGAGAGAAATGTTTCTTCTCCTCCGTTGATATTACCACCCAAGCCCTTATTATCGTCATCATCCTCACCGTCGCGAGAGAGTAAGCTAGCAAGTAAGGATCGTTTGTCGGGCTTGGGCTTAGCGAAATCAGTTCCGCTCACATTGCCGAAACTGGAGGCACAAATAGTAAGAATCTCGGCCAGCACAGAACCTAGACCAACCAGGAAAACCAGGAAGTGCCCATTGAGTAACGCTCTAATTGGCATGTAGCCAAACGCCATGGCGGTGTAATCTAGAGTCAAGACCTTGGGCGACGCGTGCCGTTTGGATAAAATGTAAAAAGGCTCCATCATCCTGACGTCTGTTTCCAATGTCCCCCAAGCCAACTTTATTGCGACTGCGATTACAGTCAGAAGCCAAGGCGCCTTCTCGGTAACCTTGTTAACTTCGCTTTGAAACAAAAATATCGGCATTACAACCATAAATAGCATCATACCGATGATGAATGGTATGCCTGCAAAAAGTCGAAGCATAAACGGATGCGGGTTTGAGTCTGTCTTTTTCTTCTGGTCATATTTGTCTGCTTCTTCTCGGGTCAAGACATTGTCAGAATCTGGGGCAAGCGAAGAATTGCGTAACGTGTATCGATGCTTCTTGAGCCTGTCGTGAATTGCGTCTGGAGTGGCAGTGTCCATGTCCTTAAAATCGTTCAAGATATGACTCTTGTTTGCCATGGCGGCAATACCTGCAATGCCTTTGACATCTGCAACGAGTCCCGACCGCCGCTTCTCTAGTTGCCACAAGAGGATGGAACCAAAGATAGCAATGACCATCAGAAGTGCACTTAGAAAGCGCGACCATACAGCATCAATATGAATGGTCTTGTCGCCATGAGGGTTTTCCTTCCTCGTTTTGCGATCAGGCTTCAGGATGACAGATGCAGACTGTAGGGTTGGAATAGCAGATACCGCAATCAACGTCGCAACAGACGACACGGCCACTGCATAATGCTTATACCTTAGCGCTCTAATAGGGCGGAGGAAGTTGAAAAAAGTGATGTAGTCGACGTTCAAAGATTCAGCCGCAAGAGCTCCATCTTCCTTCGAAAGTTGGTAGAATGCTTCTAGTCGTTTAACCTCAAAATCAGTAATCTGCCATAAAATGCCAAATGTTACTGCAATCATTGTTGGCATGTATTTAAAACAAAAGTAGTCCCACGTCGAGAGACTTTTGGCATCTTTAAAGGTATACAGTGGCGTCGTAGCCGAGCGTTGATATAAGAATTCCTGGACAGCAGCTAACCCGACTGAAATGGCTATCAAGGCCGAAAGATACGGCCATCTCATAGAGAAAGGTTTCCAATTGGCTTGAGGATGATAAACTTCGGTTTTTGTGGGTAAAGTCGTCCTTCGCCTGGCCCATCCCGATCCTGTTACAGTGTCGAACGTCGCACTCCGTGTAGTGCTAGACCCTTCCATAGAACTCAGATCCATACCGACATAATTCTCGTCATCCTCTTTGGGCTCCGTTTCCAAGATCACCTCAATGACCTTTCCACTTTTGTTTGCTTCTATCTGAGCCAGGTTTCGGAGCGTAGGAGCTCGTCCAATGCGAGCGGACCCAAGCGTGAATCTCCGGACGAGCGAAGGGGTGGTAGGAGTAGGAGGGGCCTTCGCAAGGAGATCAGTGCTTGTCAGCGTTTCATCAGGTGTCCATCCAGCCCCCAAACCACCCGTCAGTTGCCCATCTTTCTCTTTCTGATTGATTGCCTTCCATTCAGCCTCATTCTTAGGGTTCATTGGTCCAGTTAAAGAGGTTAGATCCACCGAAACCCCACCAACATCATCGGTTTCGTCTTCGGCCACCGTGGAATACCTAGTCTTGTGAGGAACAAAAGACATTGGCACCGCATTTTGCAACAACCCCATATCAATTTCTTCAGTCTCTGGAATCGAACCATGTCTCCCTGAGAGTAAAGAGCCCCTCCTAATGGCCGTATATTTCTTGGACGGTGTTCTGCCCACCAAAGATGACCGCCTCGAGGTGTCGGCGGAGGCCACGGGAGAGTAGGAAGGCGAAGAGTTCGAACTCCGAAAGGTCGGAAAACCTTTGGGAGATGATGAAGCAGGTGAGCCCACGCGAAGAAGATCCGGCAGGGTAGACACTCCACGGCTGATGCTCGAAGTACTTGACGGTCTTGGTATGCCAGACCCTTCAACATCCGAAAGCTGCACATGACTGATATCGCTCTGTTCGCTGTTCGGATGTGAGTGACCAAAGTCCGGCGATGGTAGAGACACCACCGAAGCTTGCCGGCTTAAGGTGTCAGTACTAGACATCGTACTAATCGCCGAAATCGAGGAGAACTTGTGATTGAGAGCCGGCCGGTCAGACATTGCGCTCACAGCCGACACAGAGGAGATTTTATGGTTCAGTCCATGAGGTGTATGATCGTTTCCGTAGTTGGAGGGGTATCCCCATGGTGGTAGGCCATCCCCACCCCCATATTGGGCCATGCCCTCCTTAGATCTCCTGGTAGGAAGGTCGCAACCAAATGGACATTCGAACAGGCAGTTTGTCGTAGGGTAGCAGAGCGTTTGCGCAAAATGAAGGAATCGATCGCTTCAGTAACGCAGACCTGAGGAGAGTCAGTTTTTAAGCTAAAAAGGAGTGCAAAAGGAATTACAACGGCCTGAGTTACTTCACATACCAGTACCGACTAAACTTATCGAGATGAGATGAGATTGATTGATCGCCGTCCTCCGGGAAGCGACAGAAGAATCCTGCCTGGGAGAAATTCTGTATTCCTCTTGGTGACCCAGCTTCTGGGATAGCTCGCTGTCTTGCGTTCTGCTGCGATTGCAACGTCTTGTACTACCGACCGTTTCGTAGGGCTAGATGGTGACCGTTAAAGCTTGCGAACGTATCCGTGAGAGCTCCTAAGGTGTAATGAAACACAGAATCGCGAGAAGGTTCTCCCCTCAAGGCTGGAACCATGACATGTAGAGCCCTTCAGTCGGGACTCGTGCTCCATGCTGTGCTGTGCCAAACAGGTTGATGGGTGCAGGCTGCACTGGTTCGGGCTGGGGCTGAAGGGCCAAGACCCTGCCGAAAACTGCCCCCATTCGCGATACCTCACCAATCATGTCGTCCATTACTGATGTCAAGTTGAAGGATGGTGGAGGCTGTTCGCACATTTATGCAGCCCATGGCAACGTGGGAAACCCATGCGGGTTTGATGCTCGATTGCGAAATCGACAACAATGGATTAAAGATGGTGAGAAGTGTTTCTGAGAGGGGAGAAGGAGCCAAAAGAAGAGGCCCAGATTTCACGGCTCGCGAAAGGTTGGAAGGACGGTTGGTCCACAGGGCTGATTTGGGTTGACGTTAGTCCAGTTCCAGTATTTTGTACAGTACAGAGTGACAGGCTTTAAGTCGCCCCTAGCTTCAATGCGGGTACCTTAATTCCACGCGACAGCAGAAGCTACAGGGAGCTCATGGTCGCATCTTTCTCGACTAAAAATAGATGGTGTGCTATCAACTCCAACTTCATATATTAACAGCAGTGGCAACCAGAGGGTGCTTGTTAATAGACTTTAATATTAAACTGTAAGTAAGTAGCAGATTTATCAGGAGGGAGGTGATTAACAGAGGCAGGTGATGGGGACATAGGATCATGGAGATTCTCCTTTCTTGTTTACTACCCCACTGAGGCTCGGCGCTGTGCATACGAAGTAAAGATTCAGGGTGACAGCCCTCTTCTCGCTCGCTGCGAGGTCAACTTCACAGGACTATTGTGATTGCGATGAACTGACACCACTCACATTAGATCAAGAAATACATAGCAGAGAATATCAGTCCGTGTGGATTAAGATAACGGCGACCTTTAGGGGGGTTGACAACTTGAAAATGATTGGGTTGGACTGGCTGATTGATTGAATTGCTGCTGAAAGAGACCCAACATCTACAGCAACATAAGCCAACGAGTGTTTATGTTCTGTTCTCACATGCAATTGATTGGATAGTAGTGCAAGGATGAGGGCTCATCTGCTCTTCTTAACAAGTCTCTACGCACAAGTAACAAGGGAAATGCCACAAATCAATGTCACAGAACGATCGAGTTGTAGGCAGGTTTAAGTAGTATTAAATTATTATTATCCTCCTCCTATCTCACAAGATATATTACACCTAGTCAACTATCATATAAACCCGTAACCTACACACTTACACACCTAAACAAGCAATCCTTCCTCCCTTAGGCCACTACAGTCACCACCAGCAGCCATGATAGCTCGCGCGGCTGCTTGACTTAATTTCCTTCTCTTCTCCATTGCTTCCTTCTCCCTTCTCGCCTTCGTTTTACTACTTCCGCTTGGCGCGACGCCAGTCAAGATCTTCTTACTATCTTCTGGAGTATAGTTCACAAACTCCCCTAACGTGATGGTGTTGCTTTTCGCACTCCCAGGTGTTCGGGGCCACGAAGATTTCTTCTCCGCCTTGAGGTTGCCAGATTTTCGCTTCTTGATGTGAGGGGATGTTGGGGACATTGATGATCGGTGGGAGGACTTCCTTGGAGAAGTCTGTGGAGAGTGGTGATGGCGAGGAGTAATGTCATGATATCCTCGTTGAATGCGGGAGTTTTCGGAGTGAAATGAACCATATGTACTTGGCGTTTGGATCATAAGTCCGTTTCCCATCATATTAGATGGATTGCACCTAGCCATAAGCCCATGGTGCCTGTAGTTTTCCTTATATTGGACGTCATTTTGTAATTGCATTGCTAAGGTCTTTGTAGCTAGCTGAGGATTGGTATGATACCCTGAAGGCAGTGGATGGGCCAGAGGAGCTTTAGCGGCATGAGACCACCATACTGGAGGCTGGATCTCGCTGCTGAAAAGCGTTGGGTCGGCAGAAGATATCATCGGTGTCGGCTTCGGTGGGGATGACCAGAAGGCTGCTGAGCTATGGATTTCAGGTGTAATAGGGAGGTTATTTTCGCTCGCTTTGCGAGAGTGATTAACACACAGTTCTGGTGTGTCTATGGGTGTTCCAAGTCTGAAAGATGGAGACGGTGTGTCAGCCTCTAATCGATCCTGCCCAACATCTTGTATGGAAGCTTTCGTATCGATGGATAGCGTTGATGGATTTTCTTCGAAATCAAATTTAAATTTCAGAGCGTCGAGCTGGAGTTTATTTTCAAGAGAGTCGACCTCGGTCTGACTGTGATTTGAGTGACGATACGCCTTGTTGGCAAAGCTCTGTTTCCTGATAGGACTTCTGAGTGTCCTTTCGAGATTTCCGCTTGCTTTCTTTAATGTTTGTGATAAAGACTCGACTATACGAGTCTTTCTTCGTGCATTGACAGCGACGGATGGATGTGGTGTAGACGGAAGAGAAGATTGGGCGAAGGTTTGATGGTGAGGAGATTCTAAGTGGATTCCTTCTAGGGCAAGGAGTTCGCTATCCGAAATGGCAGCTCTTCCAGTGAGTTCCGAATAGAGACCATTCTCATTGTGTAATGAGGTTGCTGTGAAATCAGCTGCCCACACGTTGCTGTCCCAAGGCGATTGCTCACCAGTGAGTCGGGCATCTTCTTCGTGCGAACTAAGCGAGGTCTCTCCAGAGTTGCTTTGGCTAAAAGCCCTGTCGATAAGTTGTGAGTCTGGAACCAAGGAGTACTCCTGATTCGCACTATGACTCAAACTAAACGTGAGAAATTCATCGAAGAACTCGTTGTCGAGATTGTCATAGCTCGGCCCGAACATGTCGGTGGCTTTGTTGCTGTGGTAAGAAGCAACTGCAGAGAAAGACATTGTGAGGTAATGTTGACTCTGACAAGAGGCGAAAGTCTGAGAATATGTGACAAGTGAGGTGCAAAGACGGCAAGAATACCGGGAGGCTTGATGCTAGCCAACTGTTTTGACAAATTATGCACGTTGCTATGTGAGAAACAAACATGCAAAACATCCCAAGCGGGGATACTTATGCAAGAGATCAGCTGCATAGAATATACCCCAGCCCTCGGATTTACTCAGACATTATTGGCACAATAGTAGCTCAAGAATGTGGTGGCTTGCAGTCTAGGACCCCCCCCATCAGTAGCAGTTCACACACGTGATCCTGATAAAAAGGCCCCTAGACACGCGAAGCATTCTCAGCCCCGCCATCTTATTTTGGCGTAGGTAATGGCCATATGATACGTGGTTGGGTCTAGGAATTCTTCACATTCCTCACGATGGCGGGTTGGCAACGGCATTCCTGAATAGCTCCATGTGAGACACACCCTCAGATAACCGGGGATCTCCACCACTAGAGCAAGAAAGCTTACTGTAATGTCATTGTGAAGTTCGTAACACAAAGAACGGTTTTAGCAGTACACGACAAAGAAATATTTGGGGTTAATTTGACCTTGCAGAATAGACCCAACGACGCCAAGATTAATGCATATAATGAATGATTTTCTGACGCGAGGGCTTGCGCTGAAATTCAGTTCCTGTAAGTTTTCGTCATTACTACAATAAGTTTTGTTCATATGAACATGTTATACAACGGCGTGTCCCGAACTCATGGTCTGTCAGTCTCAAAGACTGGTGGCATGAAAGCCATTCCTTTGATAAATCGTTAGCAGGCACACAGTTTTAATTCTTTGAGGAAGACTTACCACCACCTCCCGTTCCTTTCATGCTCTGCTCTGCTCCATCAACACCTACATCCGTTCCCTCGAGTACGCCACCAGCAGATCGTGAGATGACATGGCGTCGTAACATACCCAGAATCTCACTATTCTTCCACCTTGCTGGTACGGGCCGATATGCAGGTTTGAATGTACCGACCGTTTGTGCCCATTCTCCACTCCTTGGCTTGCCTTGACGCCACTCATCAGTCTCCAACTTTGGACCATTCTTGTCAATTCCCCGTGCGTTCAGCGTAGCGCCTTCAGGTCCACCTCCGGCACCTTCCGCAGTTTCTCTCGAGGTTGGCGACGGCTCCTGTGTTGCCCAGTAGTATATATCCCAGTCATTCTCATCCAAAAACAGATCGAATTGTGCCATCTGAGCTACAGTCATGTCTCGTAAATGTGCCTCTGCGAATGTAGACATTAGGAGATCGCTTTCCAGAGTACCTCTCTTACGACTTTGATCTATGCGACCATATGTTAGCATATTCCAAGCTATGTAATACAGAAGAAAACAAACATAGCAATCTAGCTCTCATGGTATTTGCATCCTCGCCCGTTCTTCGTAGAGGTTCAACCTTAAACTTGGCTCCTTCCATTTCTCCTACTCCAATCTCGCCATCAGTTTGACTACCACTTTCACCGATTTTCATATCTGCATTCTCGCCCGATTCTGGTTCTCCTTTTTGTGTGCCGCCAGTCATACGTTCTGTGTTCTCCGGTACGGAATCTTTAGGGACGAAATCGCCATCAACAGAGGTTATCAGCTCCGGGGGCGCCTTCTGTTTGCCCACCGACGGCATCTCATTTGCAATTGTTGAGTTGGTGTTTGTCATATGTGGATTGAGTGGCTTTTCGGTCTGTATTTTGCGATGCTCTTCGGTTCCTTCGTGCTGTTGCGCGTTTCCAGGGCCAGCCATGCGGCGCGCGGTCATGGAAATTGGGCGTCTGAAGGCCATTGAAGGCCTTACAGCGCGAAAGACTGACCTTACTGAAGACATTGTATAGTGTGTATGTTTTTTGCTGACAAGGGATCGAACAAAACAATAATGTTTTTACTTGTACAGTTCGAAGTTCTACCGAGGTCAGCTTGGGGTTCGGTAACGTCATCGACTTTTTTAATTTATCACGTGATGACTTCTTCGGGCAATTTAGACTAGAATTGAAATTCCTAGAAGATTGGAATAATGCAAGCCACTTATTACAACATTATTCAGACTTTGTTTCATCATATTACTACTTCACTACATCCTCCGGCGAGAATATCATGACAGATTAACTTGTCCTCAACAGATTTCCTGAGACACAATAATAAGCGAGGTGCCCCTTAACCTCTCTCCCCCAATGCACTTCAAAAGGGTCGCAAAGTGGTAGGGCAAAGCCATGTTATGAAAAAGCGAAATTCTGTATTTCTGACATGCTTTCCAAATTTTGCTTTTCGCTAAAGACCTACGCTTCTTCCCCAATTACTTGTTCAGCTAGACGTTAACCTGCCGTTGGCGTCTCGAAATACTAGATTTTCTGCAAATGCATTAGATCTACATAACTTTATCATTTTGTACATTGAACACGTAGCACCATTAATCCGACGATGAAAAGGCTGTTGCGCGTCCAGAATCGAAAGACTCTTGAATGCGTTCTCCTATGCACGAATCCGAAATTCCGTTGTCAGAAGATGTCGATCTCGTGAAAACAACCCGCTTTTTCGATCTTGGATAGACAGTAGAATCCTGACCAATGCTGCTAGATCCTCTTTGTGGATTATTAGAGGGTGTCTGTTCCGTTGCCTGAGTTGGCGACCTCGATGAACCAAAGTACGCACTAGAACGATTCATAATATGCGAATTCCTGATTGAGCGCTTATCTTGTTCAGATATTTTAAGCCCGAGATCCAATTCAGCCGCACCAGTATCATATGATCCGTCGCGTACGATTTGTGATCTGAAATCAGAAACCGATGGATGACGTCTCGGGTATAATTGTGAGCAATTGTTCTCGTCCATCTCGGCTAAGCTCTCGACAAAGGAAGATGAGTTGCCACTTCCTCGTAAACCTCTTCGCGGTGTCCCAGTAGCTCGTAACGAATCAGGTCCTAAATTTCTTTTCGCAAAAATATCAACTTGCTCACTATCACTTCCGAACACTATTCTCTTCCAGATCTCATCACCAGGGTTCTCCTCGATCACCTCGGGACCGAAAGGGTCCCCCACTCTGATATCAAACGATTCAGGAACATCTTTAACAACCCCGACCACATCTTCATAAGTACGCGCTATGTCTCTTACTGGCGGAGTTGCGTCGACATGCAGTGATCGGTTTGTCGAGTCTTCCGAGTGGTGACATGTTTTGTCAATTGAGGGAGATTTCGTCGACTCGGGCGCTGCTTGAGAGTTTGTACTTTCTGAATCCCCAATAGGCGATGGCATTTTGAACTTCATGGCAAGTAACGGTGATGATAAAAGAGAACTATCAGCGGTTGGATCGTTCGGTTGAGCCAAATTCTCATCAGAACCTGCACCTTCAGACAAATCATCCACGAGGCCATGGCCAAAATCTTCATCTTCATACGCATCTTCAACTTCAGAAGGATTCATTTGGTCGGTTTCGTTTCGGGAAAAGTCGTCTTGATCTGTTGAGTGGCTGGTACTAGGCGTCGCCTCGTCGCGGACTAACGCATTCGTCGGTGCAGCACTTACTCCCGGGCTGATATTTCTATGATATTCTCCTTGTGTGTATTCAGATATCGCGTCGCCGCGACCTAAGGAGGCATTAGCAGGGAGAACTGACTCCATCCACGTCTGCCATGCTTCATTCTCTAGCCATTGAGAAGGTGAAACAACAGGCCGCGACTTTCCCACATGAGCTATCAGGCTCTCTGTTATGTTTGAAGAGGCACTTCGCAGTAATGAAGATACTTTGCTGCTCTGGGGCATTGGATGCTGCAAGGAGGCCGATGAGGAACTAAATCTGGGTCCCTGAACGTTGGGAATATTCTGCATATTTTTGTCGTCCTGGCTTGCATTTGAGTGGCTATGGGAGCCCAAAGCTTGCGATCCTCTTCCTTGATAATCAAGAAGCATAATATCAGAAGAAGACTTCGATGGCGGCCTGAGCGAGAATTGTCTCCCGGAACTACGACTAGCTTTCTTGCTGGGTAAGGAGCTTGAGCTAATGCCAGGTGGAATGATCCTACCTCCAATTGATATTTTGACATCTGATTGGCCCGGGTTCCGTGGTGTTGCGTGTTCTATTTGATCTTGCGAGACTGGTGGTGGGCGATGAATTCCAACCGCAGGAGAAGGGGGATGTGGTCTTAGGCTTTTGTTGTACCGTGCTCGATGACCGTCGGTCACTCTTCTCCTTCTGCCAATCTCCTCATGATTCTTGGAAGCAACAAAATCAAGTTGTGGTGGTCGTTGAAATCCAATGCTGACCCAGTCGCCTTTTCGCAAAATCCTCCGCCGTTTGTCTGAAAACGACTCGTCCACCAAATCTGTTTCGCTTTGAGATGCAGCAGAAGAACTTATGTGACGTTCCCGCTTGATAGGCTGGCGATCTGGTGTTGTGGCGTAGATATTTTCATCCTGCGCTCGAGGGTGAACTGATGAATGCAATGCAGCTGGATCCTGGCGTTCGCGATCATTTGACTCCCGTTGCAAATTCTTCGATGGACGATGTTGATTTGTGTGGGTGTTCTGCTTCAGGTGGGGAGTTTTGCGCACATCGACATTCTGATCCTCCTTTGAATAACTCCCTCTGGCTTCGAGGCTGCGAGGATGCGAGCCGTCATGGACATCATGGAGCTGACGGATACGGTCCAGGTTAGGTTGCTTCGGAGAGATTCTTCTTTTTCCTAAGAGAAGATTCTGCTTGACTTTTGCAAAGTGCTGCTCCTGCTTCCGCTTTAGAGAGCTCCCAGCGTTCGAGTGCCTATGCAAACGGCCGCCTGTCCAGTTCATCTTTGGAAAGACGGTGGTTAGGTTTAGCGACCGTGAAAATTCATACGCATGCTGAAGTATGTATATTATGGATGTTGATCAATGCCATAGAAGAAATATGGAATGAGAAAAGATATTCGAACGCGTCGCACGCATGTTGTGTTGAGAAACAAGAGGTGACTACCAGGCGTGGAAAAACCTGAGATGATTTTCTGTCGACGTGTAGACACCACAAAGCTATGCTCACGTGGTACCTACCACAATGTAAAACAGAGTAACAGTTTCGAGTCTGTCTTCTTAAGATGTAACAATTATAAATTAGATCTAAGATGATGACATCAAAGAAGCTATTCTGCGCTCGGCCACCGGCATGTAAAGTAGTATATTTCAGTCAAGAACGTATCCAAGGTTCTTAGAACCAGCAGCATCATGTAAAGATGATTACCTACCTACTCCGTTTTACACAAACATCAAATAGTATAATTTCTGGTACTGATCTTGTACAGACTGGCACCCGTATCTTGCACCAATGCAAGTGATGTAGCCTGCACGATTTTGGAAGATCTGTACTCGAAGCCTAGAAGTTGAACATGTGAGTCCCAGTGAGACAATTACGCAACAAGTGGTAGTACAAACTCGTGAGCAACCTTGGTATTTTCTTTTCCATGTTGACCGCATCGATCGAGCAGATGAAACAATAAGTCTTTGATTTTGGTAAGAAGGAAGGTTGCGCAGTCAATGGCAGCAAGGTAGCTCAACACCGACCGATATTTACCCGCCAGCCCCTCAACCCCACCACAAGCGAGCCCACATTGCTGCGTACTTTATATAATCAAATAGCAAAATGTGCTTCAAATCAACCTAATCGGTGGTGTGGTGGTAAGTCCTCCAAACCAACAACAACGATTAGCACAGCTGAGCTGACTTTCATTCTAGTAATGGTAGCACGTGACGTTGTGGTGTTCCTCTCTCGGATCAACATGCTGACCCGTTTCAATCTGGGTTCGATTCCCAGCACCGCCAGAGAGGATTCCTGGATTGAAGATGAAGATGGTTCGATCCCATCGCATTGACAAATTTTTTGCCTTTTTTTTGCTTCAGACTCTGGTTCGATCATATTTGTGTTGTTTTATTGGTGATCTTGGGGGGACGCCCGATCATAATGAGATAAATTCTTAACTATCAAGGTAGCCTAGGTTTTTATTACCTTCTTATATCGAGACAGTGACAGTTTTGTCTAAGTGTTTAAAACATTAACTCTCAGTTAAGAGTAGTCGTATGACCTGAATTTTCAAACGAATAGGCACTTGGTAGAGTGTACAAAGAGAAATGCCTAATGTACTCTACAGTTAAGTTCCAGGGGTTTAGTAAAGCACTGTAAGGTCCTATAGTTTCCATTACTTTACAATATCCTAGTGTCTAAAGTTCATCCAAGCCTCATTGAATGATGCATGTAATTCCGCCTTCGGAAGTGAAGCCAATAGATCCATACATGAATCCAACAAATGTAAGAAGAACTCCCCAACACCAAACGGAAACATACCCAAAAAATATCAATCAGAAAGTAACATCGTGGTACTGCCCCCTATTACACCTAGTAATACCAACGCCGTCAGAATACCGGCTCCAACTCTATCCGCATTCGTTACTCGTTTAACACCGGTCAAATGGTCCCCATCAGTCAACCCGGTGCCAGCATTCACATCTCCCTTGCTCGTTCCTGTGCCCAGGACTTCACTTTTCCAAGCTGGAGCTGCGTCTACGAGATTGCTCTGTATGATTTCCATCACGGCCATCTGCTCTCCAACGCCGACGCTGCCATCATGAACAGGTCCCTCTGTCCACCTTAACCCACAAGCTGTTCCGGTGGATCCTCCTGAGCATGTGGAAGCAGCTGCAACGGCCGATGCTTTAAATTCGCGAGTGATGTTGTCGTGGGTATATGGAACGAGTTTCGCGGTTGCCGCCAGCCAGCGGGAGTAATACGCTTTGAAAGATCGCTGATCTACGTTGCATGTCCCCGCAGGTTCACAGCCTTCGTGCAATACGTCGTTGATGAAGAACTTCTTTCCCGCGCCTATTAGACCATCCACTCGTTCTCTCCAAATCGTGCTACCGTTTGTCTATCGACTGTTAGTATGTTTTTGTTAGAGTGCTGAGCAAGAAGCCAGGCTTACATGATTATACATTGCGGCAGCCCCGAGCAGGAAAACGCCGCTGTTGTAGGTCCATGTGTTACCATCCATCTCGGTACAATTGTCAGTATTATGCGCTCCGTCTACGATCCAGTATGTATCATGCTTGATGAGGTTGATATCCCACATCCAATTCCAGGTCTTGATTGCCTCATCTGCATAGGTTGTGTTGCCCGTGTACAAGGCCAACCTCGCTGCCAGAGCAAAGTAGCATCCGTTTGAGATACTGTTCTTGTAGTTGAAACCGGTGTTGAATGGGAAAATCTGCCATCTCAGTCCACCGCCACACGAAGGGTCCCATCTAGGCACTTGCGTATTATATACTGCTTGAGCGAGGGCGAGCCATCCAGGTCCTGTGGGAGGATCTGGAAATCCTGTCTCTGCTGCCGTCATTGCTGCCAAACCCCAAAATCCCTGATCGTCGTTTCCTAGCGTTTTTGACTGATTGATGGGCATAAAATCGAACTCTGGTCCTGCTTGGTGTAGCATTCCTTGCTCGACATTGGCGTTGTACGTTGTATCTCCAGTATAATACCAGTAATTAATTAGTGATCCGAACCTGATCATCCGGTGTTAAAATCATGTTCATCTCACTTCCTAAATAAGACCTACATTGCTCCGCACTCCCACCAAAAATATGGATCTGGCAAGTTCCCAGGTACATCTCCCGTCTCGTTTCCTGTGTAATACTGCATCATATCCCATGCTGCTCGACCTGCCGCTTGCTTTATTGACTCTGGATCCTCAATATCTAATGTGATGGCCGCATTTGCAATTTGGCCGGCAAACGTGCAAATGGTCGCCGAGTAGGCAAGGGAAGAAAGTCTCATTGCGTCAGATTGATGTGACTGCGTCTGAGTGAAGGAAATATGAGAAAAATTACTGATATCACCAAGGTGTATATCGTGGAAATGCAGCGAGTGAATATTTCGATACAGTAGCGACCGTGACTCTAGTCATACAACTCGAGTAAACAATGGTAACATCAAAGAATATCAGAAGGAAGAGAAAATGCAGACGTGCCGTGGTGGTTGCTCATGAAACGTGAATTGCCAAGCCAGGAGAGAAGAGCACTGCCATAATCCCAAGTGCCTCCAAGACAAACTCCAAGAGACCAATTGGTGTCATCTTGGCGATACAAAGACATTGGCATCACTCGGCTTCGTCTCAAGACCTAACAACTGGCACTACACACGCGCCGGCACGTTCGGTAGCGAGCATTTGTGAGTTTCGTACCGTGCCGCCGTCCGGACTCGTAATTGTTGGTGTGTTTTTGTCCAACTTAGACTTTCTTGGGACATGACATCGCCAAGTAGGTGGGGAAACAACAAGTTCAATTTTCCGCAGCTGCGCTTGCATCTCTTGGTTCATTCCGGAGAATAATGAGCAAGGAGTCGATACGCAATCAAAAATATAGAAATGATCGTGAAAAGAGAGATTGGGGCGAGTACTGGACTTGTCGACTTGTCACTCCATGAAAATGGACATGCAGCCATCATATCGATACCAAGAAGCGCGCCTCGCCATCACAGCTTGTGAATCATTCAGGATCGCTCAAGGAAACAAATAGGAGCCGCATTCACTTGAGTCTGTCGCATGCTGATTTTGTTTCTTGTTTGTGTGGATGCAGGAGGATGATGAGGGGATGAGACAACAAATATCTTGGAAGGCTAACCTAAATGATCCTCAAGATCACGGGATACAGAGCAATCCCTGCATCTAGACAACACACAGCATGACCGTATACCTGTTTCCAGTATTCTTAGATTACGATATACTTCAAGGCTCTAAAGTTTCCCACTATATGTTGATACATGTTTAGCAAAGTTGACGTTATCTGTTATTAGAATTGAAGTCAGATGTCACATGACTTACCTCCCTTTTGCAAGAAAAATTATTTTCTATTCCCTAGTTAAGTCTGTTTCATTTATTACGATTAGTGTTTAAATCAAGTCGTTATAGTACAATACATTACTAATAAACACCTACTATTTCAAAGCAAGCGAACTCCATATTTGCAATTAAATATTTTTATTCATAAGTTCATCGCTCATTATTACATATCAAACCCTCCATCCTATATTACGCCGCCATCTCAGCATTCCCTATCCTCCCATAACCATGCCCTCAACTCCCCCAAAACCAACGCATGAAATCCCTTCTAAAATCATCGCTAGAAATACATTGCTCATAAATATAACTTGCTCCAGTCTATCGTGTGAACATCCAACAATCTCTTTTTTTTGGTTTGGGAATGATTGCTGACGTGAAGAAATCCTCCGTTCTAACTTTTAAATGACGAACGTACTTTTGCCAGTGAAATGCATCATGTGAAGTGATGAATGGTGATGTATCGCCTATGATTCTGGTTGATTTGGTGCAGGTGATTCTGCATTGGATACTGGATTTTTGTCTTGCGTTTTCTCCGCTTTGTCCATTTCATCCTCTTTTTCCTCTTTCTTTGCAATCTCCATTCTCAGTAACCCCCCAGACGTCCTCTCCCTCAACCCTCTCACAGCATTCCCAAGTTGTCTGTCACTGCCGATCACGAAGTCCAGACCTTCGACTACCCAGACCAACTCCTCTTCGTTTTCGCTCTCAATTAGTCCGCCCTCCTTTAACTCATTCTTCAAAGAGTTCCACCTCAAATCTTTAATGTTTATACCCACGTCTCCCGTTGCCTCAGCTTGCTTTTCGGGATCGAGAAGAGAGAGTAGGGAGATAACATCTCCAAGTCTAGGTTTATGGCGGACAGTTATCAAGAGTTGGGAGTTCTTGAGGAGATGTGTCGCTGTAGTTGCTTGGGGTGGGGGAGTCTTTGTCTTTGGGACCTTAGGAACTTTGGGAGCTTTGGGTACTCTAGGTTTTCGCGTTGTCGGTTGTTTCGAAGGTTTGGCGGGCTTTTCAGACTTGGGAGGACGACCACGAGGCTTTTTGGGTACTTTAGATGCCTTTTCGGGAGGTGGTGTTGTCGTTGGAGTTTGAGACGCTTGCATTGAGTTGGCCAACGGCGGAGTGGCAGAGCGGGTAGCTCCAGATGTTTTATCTCTCGTTTCGGAATCCATAACTTGTTCGATGTTTTGCCTGTTTGCTTCGTCGGAAAGAGCAGTCTGATCGAGAGGGGCAGTGGTATTGGTATCAGATGTGGGAGGAAGACTGGTAGCTGGCAATGGTTCAATCTCATCGTCTTCGTCACCCATCTGAATAGTAAAAGGAACCGTCTTAGCTCTCTTGGCAGGTGGTAGAACGTTGTCATCGGTTGGCTCGTCGCTATCAGTGGCCTCCTCGACATAGGACTTGGAGACGGCAGCGGCTCGGGGCTTGTACTTCCTCTTCACGGCCACAGTTGGCTTCTCCCTCAGAAAGCCCTTCTTCCCACCTCTAAGGACTATCATTTTCTTTCTCTGCAGTTTATCCTGCAACCCCTCCCCAGATTTCCTCATCCAAAGCGCAACATGCCTGACCCATCCCCGAATTGCAAAATCAAACCACCACGGCGGGATGCCCTGTTTGTTTAGAATCTTTCCGAATTGTCGCTTCACCGTACACTCAATCCCATGAAACTTGATAGTTGTCGCAAATTGACTGAAGGGTCTACAAAATAGACCGTCTTCAAAAAGATGATCCGCTATCAGCTCTTCGATTGCATCGAGTTCTAGGTCGGAAAGATTGAAGCCGATACGAAACAGTTTCAGGTTCCACTGTGTATGACCCCTGGGTTCACCTTTCCCGTCTTTACGATTTTCATAGAATGCCAGGTTCGCATCCGGATGAAGATTCGGACCTAGTCGTTCTTTTGCGTTGGCTCGTTCCGCTAAGGCAGCAGCAACTGCTTCATCGGCATCTTTTCCAGCGTCTTCAGCCATTACACGATAGTAGCCAAGAGAGCGAAGAGGCGAGGGTTGACGTCGTTGATTTGGCCGAGGTGTGTTTAAATATCGAAGACGATCGTCATTTATTTGGAGATAGCGACGAAATTCGAGGTCTTCTTCTTGGTCTGGGAGGTGAAAGTATGGAACTGTCCATGGATTGGACTTTTGGTTACCTGCACTTGGGGACATACCCTAGTCATGAGTGTTGGTTTGGAGGAGTAACTGTACTGTGATGGTCTAACACTTTGATGCTCAACTCGCCGAGCACCCAAAGAATGTGAGGATGACGAGGTAGCTAGGGGTGATGTGCAGAGATGAAGTGATGGAGATTTGTGCGATGGTTGGAACAAAAGCATTTGTGGAAATGATCTGTTCCTGATATTCAAAAGAAGGTGTTTATAACAACGAAGAAAGAGCTGTGAAATGATTGTGATGAGATGGTGTTGATAAAAGATGTTTGTGGGTAAAAGTTGATGAGGAAGAGAAGAGAGCTGAGGTTTATATACTATCTCTGAGTGGGGCTGATTTGACGCCAGATTAGAAAGAGCTGGAAATGAATCGACTTCAAGTCTGATGATAGTTGGGACGAGAACATAATATGACGTGCCACCCGCAATTCCAAAGGTGAAGGTACGGCTTGACAAGAACAATGGAAATCCACTTATGAACCGTAAGAAGTCCTCGAAGGATGTGGTTTTGGTATAAACATGTCAGGGTGCTATTCATGGTTAGCAAGCTAATCTGAATATTGCTAGGATGATATAGGTCTCTCGGAGAGACCGATTATCAGAACCAGGTGAGGTTTCACTAATCTCAAATTGAGCGGACTTGCGCAGCGGATGGTATGGAAAATCTTAGCACAACTAGTCTAAAGATCATTGCTACTCACTGAATTTTGTAAAATTCAGGAGCATACTCAACCAGCCAGCCTTTTTCAATCTTACTGACATCTCTAATGAAAGTCTTACTGCCCGTCTCCATAACCTCGTGGAAGATCACCCACTCAGCCTTTCGATTAAACATCAGAGATGTGGGGTGGGCATGCAATACTGTTCCTCCGGCTACGTTTCTGAAAGTGCCATCTGGTTGCATCTTGGCCGCGTGTGCGAAATAACCTGTGGTGAGACATCGCCGGATTTGTTCGCCTTTGTCAGGACCCCCAACCGAAAGCGGCTGGAGATTTGGGTTCGATGAGAGTGTTTCTGGAACCGTTATACCGAAGCGTTCGAGGTAGCGTTTTAACTGACCACGAATTGATACAGCGCGGGTGAGAGATTTGAAGTTTAGATAATTGTCATGACAGAAACGAGCTTCCTTCTTCCCTTTTGTTATGAAAGCTTGATAGACATTTAAAAGAGTAATATGGTCACCCTCTTCAACGGCGAATTTGCGTCGTGCGGATTCCATCTTCTTTTTCTCGCCGTCATGAGGAACCCAGACACTACCACCGAGAGATGTCATTGCTGCTATAGTGAGGATCTCAGAAAGACAACCAAAGGTTGCAGCCGACAGGAGTGTTTTTGCCATCATTGGCTCGACAGCCAATTCTGCCATACGTGTCCCCAACGGTCTGGTGAGTTTAGCATAGGTGTCCAGTGCGCCAAGGGAATAAAGAAGTTCCAGTGCACGAATGACTAGCTCTGAAGGTGGAGAGGTGAGAAACGGAAAGCGGACAATATTATCTATACCAAGAGCTTTGAGCTGGAGGATCACTGGCGCGAGATTAGAGCGCTGAATCTCGGGGACAGTTGATTCTAAAAGTCGTTCAAAGTTTGACTCTGTATATAGTCTGAAGCATTTCCCTGGCCTCGTTCGCCCTGCGCGGCCTGCTCTCTGGGTTGCGGAAGCTTTTGAGACTGGGGTTGCAGTCAATGTCTCAATACCGGTCAAAGGATTGAAGGCTCTCAATTTGACGAAACCGGTGTCAACAACATAGACGATTCCATCGATAGTTATTGATGCTTCGGCGATATTCGTCGAGAATATGACCTTTCTTGTATTCTCAGGCGCTTCTTCAAAGACATACATTTGTTGCTCCGTGGACAGCCCAGCATATAATGGTAAAGGCATTAATGCTTGTGCTCGAGGATGCAAACTTGCAGCTCGTTCGGAGATTCCTTGTACCGCGTTATCAATCTCTTCTCGACCAGTCAAAAATACCAGAATATCACCATCTGACTCTTTTGTATGGATTTCAAACACGGTTTGGACAGCTTTCTCAACATAATCCTCTGAGGGCGCCTCTAGATAGAGGATGTCGACTGGGTATGTTCTCCCTTCTAAGTTGACAATCTGGCCAGTGGAATGGCCAGTGCTCGTAGATTTATTTGCCCCTTGGGAGATCAGATCATCTAGAGTAACGGCACTTTCCTGTCGAGGCTGGGTATCCTCATCACCAGCGAAGAATTTCAGGAACTCTTCAGCCTGCAGAGTGGCACTACTGATGATGATACGAAGGTCATTTGACCGTCTTTTTAGGATTTTCTTCAAGACTCCAAGAAGTACATCTGTGCTAAGAGATCGCTCATGTGCTTCGTCGACCATGATGACCGAGTAACGTGAGAGTAGTGGGTCTACCAATGCTTCACGAAGTAACAAGCCATCGGTCAAGAATTTAATACGAGTCGAAGAAGAAGTCACATCCTCAAACCTAATCGAATAGCCCACCTCGGCACCGATCTTACATCCCATCTCTTCAGCTACCCTGATGGCGACCGTTGTTGCGGCAACTCGACGTGGCTATGCGAATTAGCGAATGATCGATAGTGACATGGCTGGAAGAGCTACCGACCTGAGTAACAGCAATGATCTTGCCGTCTGCACACCATCCTGCCTGCTCGAGGTATTGGGGTATCTGAGTTGTCTTTCCCGAACCTGTTTGTCCGACGACAATAGTCACTGGGTAAGTCTCGATGGTGTACAGGAGGCTTTTTTTGTGACGAGCGATAGGTAGTAGAGAAGCTGGCTTGTGCAATGAAGGAATGAAAGTGGCAGCAAGATCAAAATCCGCCATGACTTCAACGATTACATGATCTCCAAGTCTCCAAGCACCTAGTATAAGGCTTCACAGTTGGCTGATGAGACGATGCCGGCTTTACCTGAGCAAAAGTCCGGGAAGTTCCAAGGTTCGTTCGTGCGTTCAGACCGTTCTCGAATTAGAAAATGAAAATGGAGCCTCAAGAATGTGACGTGCTGCCTCAGGCTGATAAATTCAATGTCTGTCGTTGTGCAAGTGGGTCTGCCACGAATCAAATGTCTTTTAGAACTTGTACGGAGGACTAGGCATATGCCAGGTGCTGCCCAACAGCTTGATCACGTACTCGAGTAATTAGAATCCAACAGGTAAATCTAATAAATGCACATACTGTATGCAGTTGGATTTTGGTTGAGTTTAGGATAATTCAATCTAATTTCCATGCTGAACACTGCCATCATCCCCTAATCCGGATTTCACATGACGAGAGCCATTCGAGCAAGCGGCGGCGGCGTCAAGCTCAGTTCCATCGGCCAATAATTGGAATGCACGGTGCGTAGCCGCAGCACATAATCTATCGTCTTTCACAGCATCTAAATTGGTACGACGGAAGCCATTTCGTACTCGCTGAAGACTGACAAATTTTGAAGGCCATGGTCACGTTTGACTGTGTCAACGTGAAGATAAGCTGACAGTCGAAGATTTATTTGACATGCGGCACCAGGAGGGAGGATCGCAACGGAAACCAAACAAGACTGCAAACGGCCAGCAAGCCAATTCGGCTCCTCCCAGGCCAAACGTCTCTCTCAAACGGCTCTCGAGCTTCGGATTCCCTTTGAGCAGATTTTGGTGTGTCAGAATCTCAATGTGAAGATTCAAGCCTTGTGAGAATCGGAGAGACACCTGGGCAAAATGCAAGTAAAGGTTAGCCCCTGAGTGGCTAAACTGTTGGTGGCACATGGACCATGGTGCTCATGAGTCTCGTTCCTGACTAGACCAGAACGAGCGTAGCGGTTCCTGTTCCTGGACGATGGTCCGCCGATGTTCAAGCCAGGAATAACTCAGCCAACCATCCTCCGCCGTGCAAGCCGCACAATTGAATTGTCCGTTGCGTTGTGTATCCTTAGCGATTGCTAGATCCCGTACTGAACCCTTAGAATCGTGCGCCACGGATATCTAGAGATACCGAACTTGCGGAACACGCTCGCAATGGCACCAACCCACCGTACTCCGCATTCATCTGGAACATTGCATGTTCGTCCGAAGAGCGAGTCTGAGTTGTCAGTCTGCTTCAGTGCTCTGCTTTCTCCCCATTTCAAGCTCAATTTCGTTAAGCGGGGAGAGCCAGGGTCGGATGCTTGCTGATGTTGAATTGAACCTGTTTCGCTAATCCCCTGACGCCAGCCTAAGCCGCATCCAGATATTGGCCCCTCTTTTCATCATCCATCCGCCAATCACCGCCGCCATTTCCCCTGATCCTCCTGAAGACCACTCCAGGCACTGGCACAGACGGAGCCTCTGATTGCACCCGCTGCGAGTCGTCGTCGCTCAATTCCTTTTGCTCGATCTTCTCTTTCTCTCTCTTCTTCTTCCTTCGACCGTCTTGCGTCCATCATCATTCACGACTTCGCCCTCGTATTGCTCTGCAGCAGACAGACGACGAATTGCCTACTCGCTGGGCCTGCCACTCCTTTGGTTGCTATCACATTTACACGCTCCTTACCACCAAAACAAGCCCATTCTCACCTCTAGTCAATCCTTCCAGTCGGAATAGCTGCAGCGCCTGTGTTTGTTTTTCGAATAACTCAATTCACCCACCCATATCGACCTTTATTGAACGTTTCGATTTGCGTAGTTGATACAGAACTTGCCTACATGAAACCCGATACATCTTCACCTTTGAGGAATCCTTCGCTTCGACTTGCAAACATCCTAGCCTGCGGTTGCCTTTGAAACCAGTCGTACCTGCTCACGATCCTATCACCAAAATCAACAAACGAACCCTACCGTCACTTGACCAACTACAGCCTCATCCCTTGGCAAAGGGCACATCCTCCGCCGCTCAGCATGGAGGCTCGCCGTGGAGAAAATATTGTTAGATTAGGACCTCGAATCCCCTCGGCCATTTATGGGGTGATGGACACGACAATGAATATCAAAATACCGAGCCGCGTGGTTGAGCCACGAGCAGATTCGACATCAAGTAGTGATGCAACAGCTACCAGCAAATCATGCGGTGAAAACCCGTGTGAGCTGGGTGTAAGCGGTAAAACCTTTACGCTGCCAATTGTCCTTGGTGTGGTGTAAGTAGACGGTTCTATCTACCTAGGATACTGGTTCTGACTGTCAATATAGAATTCCAGTAGTGGGCGCAATTATCCTTTTGATTATCCTCACACGAAGACATGCCCGAAAACAGCGTGAAGAAGATGCTAACGACCGACACGCTTCCATGGACTTTGGACTGGGCAACGTTCCTCAACATCGTCCAAAGAAGGCGCCAATGATGGCGGAAACCGCTGGTATGGAAGAGAAGGAATACGGAAGTCGCCGTCAAGTGTCGATGGACCTGGGAGTAAACAGTCCATATCTTCTTCCTCCGGAGTTGCAAAACTCCCGCGAGTCGCTTCACTCGCTTTCCAGAACCATTCATCAAAATGAGGACCCATACCGACCAGTCACCCAGTACTATCAAGGAGACGGCCAGTCCGTGCGATCCCAAAAGAATGGCTCCTCAATCTACACTGGCTCCAGCGCCGCACCATCTAGAATGCAAGAGGTCGCGCCTGTAGATCTGACCGCCTTACCAAAATCCGCTCCTCAAGTATTTGTACCACCACCACGACAAAACTCTTTACCTCAAAGCAATGCATCGATGAGTCCAGTAGACAAGATGGCACCAGCATTACCATACCCAGGAGAACTCCAACAACCTGAACCTGTACACCTTCAGCAGCCTACTCTTCCTGAGGTCTCAAGAAAAGACGTACCCAACTCTCGTCTTCCCGCGTCTCCTCGTCCAGGCCACGGTCTCGCACCTTCGCCAATTGCTCCTGATGCCGCCCGAGAATCTTACGCCAGTACTAGTAACAATTATCTCGGGGCTCTAATCGACTCAACCCCAGCTCCAGTAACTCAATCTACCCTAGCAAAACCACAGGTCCCAAATGCTCTTCCTTCCAGCCCTCGTCCTCCTCCCAAGAATTCGGTCGTTGCACCGCCAGCGGACAACGACTATGGTGACGGTTTCAAAGTTACACCTCCATCACCTGGTCGTGAGGAGACTATTCGTGGCCAACGGTATTCTATGGACGTTCCTCCAGAAGAATTTGCGCACGCAGGATTAGGAGCACCTGGTTTCGATCCAAAGCGCCTTTCAATGGGCTTTCGTCCACTACCTCCAGACGCCGTCACTGATGTCGATGATCCAGAGCTCAGAGCTAACAGGATCCGATCGTTTTACAAAGAGTACTTTGACGAATCCAAACCAGAACCCGCTGGACAGTACTACGAAGATTACGATGAGAACTACCTAGGTGATGCGGCTTATTTCGATCCTGAGAGTAACGCCTTCGTCATGCCGTATGCTGAGCCAGTCTCAAGACAAGCAATGACCCCACCGCCGGGCGGCCGTAGACCAGGACCAGGAGGACCGCGATTCATGGGGCCTCGTCCTCGAAATGGCTCTATGGGTGCAATGAGCGTTGGAGGTGTCCCAAGAGGCCGCGGTCCACCCCCAGGATCAAGAGCTTTCTCATCTGCCTCTGGACGTATGGCTCCCCCTGGCCAAAAACCCAAAAAGCAAATGCCCCCACCACAAGCCCTCACCACGCTTCCTACGCCCTCTAAGATGGCAGAAAATGCTTTCGATCTTATGAATCCGATGGACTTCGCCCCTCCACCAACGATCCGTGACCGTCAATACGGTCGGTCGCAGAGCCCATTTGGAGAGAGAAAGGCTTTCTCGCCAACCACTGCTATTTTCAACCCAACTGTCAGCGCGTTTGACGACCTTGCCCCTATGCCTAGCCCGTATGTAATTACCCACTCTTTTTTAAATTCGGATTGCTAATCAGCCTATAGACATTTGCTTAGAAAATCTGGAACCTTTACGGGACTAGACTTTGCTCCACCAAAAAGAATCAGAGATCCTGATAGCATGAGCGATGCAGGAAGCATTCGAAGCAACCGAAGTGGAGTTTCTCAAGTGCAACTCAGCGCTATTCGCAATGGAGCATATCGTGCAAGCCGAATTCCAAAAGAGGCTGTCTTTACCAAAGATGACATGGCTTCTCAGCTCAAACCTTCATGGGGTATGCGAGCTGACAAGTAAATGAATATCCGACGTCAACATAATCATCGCTGCACCTGGCATCTTTCTGACTTTGTTTCTTCCAGCATTTGAGCGCGCATTATGGTCATTCTCATATATTACCTGAGCAGGCATTAAATTATGATGATCAGCTTTACCAACAAAGGCGCAGGATTCCACCTCAATTTGGAAACGCGTTATGTATTCCTCGCGATATTTTACATAGCAAGCGATAGCGGTTTGAGACAAGATTCGAAAACTCTCCGGCTTTACGATAGCCTGGCTAATGTCTTTTTCGTTCTTTAAATAGATGGAGGTTGGAGTAATGGAGGATTTGTCCTTTTTTGTCGTCTGTCGTCTCCTTTTCGCATTACTTTTTCGTATATGGGACTGTGGTGGAGAGAAACGGCGAAGCGAGGCGATCTTCGGAGGAAGTTTTGTAAATGATCTTGAGGGAGTTGAGGCAGTGGAGGAAGTAGATATGGGAAGGGATTTGCACATAGATGTATGGAAGATGCCTAAGCACAAACAAGTAAAAAGAAAGAACTGGAATCAAATCTGGGACTGGCTGGTGTTCGTACCGGATTTTGGGTTTCTTGTATAACAATTGGAATGATACAAAGATGATTGTTTTGCTCGTACGTCTGCTGTGATATGATTTAAATCCTATCCATAAATCTTAAGTACTTATATAGCAGTTACAAGTACTCATATAGCAGATGCCATTCCTCGCGACCGACGCCCAGCATGTAGATGAAGAGATTCAGAAACAAAAAACCTTCTGAGTTGGTTATGCTGGATTGGAACGACTTCTGAATAGAGAGTCTTACAATTTCGTGTCTTAAAATGGTCCATTGACATTTCAGAAAAACAATAGTCAGCTCAAGCTAGCAAACCTTCGACAACTGACAGGTGGTTTACGCTGTGTAGCGCGCACTCGTCTTTCAGGTGTTACCAAAGGGCGCGGTAATCGACTTGAGGTCCTCAAGCATGGAGACTGCTGGATTTAGCTTGAGGGAGACTTGACGATTGTCGAATATGCTGGCGATGCGGGTTTTCTTTTCTCTGTATACGGGGATATTCTCCAATGAAACTTTTTAGTACTCCTAACAGCACGTCTCTCAATTCATTGTCTCCTCTCGATTTCGACGTCTCTGTGTAATAAGATCGAGGGAGATTCTGAGGATATGATATCTCTTAGTTTTCCATTCGTGGCTGAGCTGCTGAAGATGAGCACGAACTTGTTTGAGAGCGCATTTGTGAAGGTTGTTTGTTACGAGGTATAAACCCTGTTGATTGACTACTTAGAGTTAGATACATGGTGTTTACAAACAATGCTACGATTCTTTACGGGGCACATTGCGTTTTACACACACACCTCGTCGTTAGTGCGTTGTGAATATTCCTTATGTCTCCGATCAAAGGCTTTGAGATACCGGCAAGTCTCTCGTGTCTGTAGCGCATAAACCAATTCATGTTGAGTGTTGAGATCTAATGGATGATTCTAGACAAGGGAAGTATCTCGAAGCAAACATATGTTGTATTATAGAGAGCCAAACTCTCGGGGTGTGGAAGAAGTAAGGCTTGGGATTGATTCGCCGTCGTTGACTCATGACTCTAGATTGAAATGACATATCAGGAAGAACCCGAATGCCTTGAGCATGTAGTATTAACACTCAACGTCGCTGCTTCTCTTCAAAGTACTTTTGACTAACCGGAAAAATCACCACTTAAGACTCGAATAATTCAGTCCTCTCGTCCCAATACTGACACTCCTTTCTTCTCCACGTGTCTTCCTCGATCTTCACTGCCATTCCTTTTTCCTTGCCTCCTGCAATCTCACTATTTCCTGAACCGAAAATGGCTGCTCTACCATATTTTCCATCAGCACCCATTGTGAACCTCGGCCATGTTGCTCTCTCTTCCCCTATGATAAAAGTATGCGGTTAGCAAAGTGTATAAAAAGGATATGGAACTGGCAAATGGGAAAGGTACAGAAAGTACGCGGAAAGATAATGTCACAGAATGCACTTACAGACACCGCCATCAGCGTTGGGATCTCCCGTTGTCACAAAACTCGTCCAATAAGCATGCATCTTCCCACTGATCTCCCTGATACTAGGGGATTCTGCCCTGACATCCTCATTATATGTTACAAAATCATCATGGTCACCGTGGTCGGCACCACCTTCGTAGCGACTGTTGACTTCGAAACGGTAGAGCCAGACTGGCGCAGATTTCGACGCGTAATGTACGGTTTGGCGTACTGGATTTACGTAGGCGAAATGACCGTAGGCTTGTTCAAGACGTGTGTATTGAGGACCGATGTCATCGCTAGTTCGAAGCTCTTTGAAGGTTGATTTCTCGTCGGTGAGAGGGTCTGGATAGGTCTTCCCTAAAGCTTCAATGTCTGACGCACTAAGTTTTGGGAGCAGCAAGCTGAAGAATGATGTAAATTTTTTGTCGGTGGCTACGGCAGGGTCGACGAATACAGCTCCTTCGTTGGTGTTGAAACCCGTGAGTATAGGTATAGGTTGCCAGGTGCCAGATTTCCATTTAGTTATCGGTGCGATCGGGATCATCCCTCCCTCGCCATCGATGACTGGTTGAAATGGCCAGCGAAGAGTCTCTGTATACTGGATGAACACCTTTTCAGAAGCGTCCTTGATCTTGGACGTTGGAATCGTACGTAGAACGTCGAAGACCTTTTTTGGTGGGGTTTGAAGAAGACCAAGATTTCCGAGAAAGTCGTTGAATTGAGTTTCGTGCATCTCGTTGTCGTATGGAAGGCATGCTCTCGCTGTTGCTCCGCCAGATTCGATGATGGCTTTATGGAAAAGAGGTTTGTCTGGCGAATTGACAAGAACGTGATGACCTACCTAGGAACAGAGTGAGCGTTTGTCCAAGATGGGTATAGGATATAGAAAGTGGCGATTTGAAACTGTTGTCGAACTTAGGCAGGGTATGTTAGGACGTGATACATGGAAAAACATGACTTACCGAATGAGCACCAGCACTAGATCCCATGATTGTAACATCATTCGGGTTCCCGTCAAAAGCTGAAATATTATCCTGAACCCATTGCAGCAGTAAACTCTGATCTCTCAGACCCAAATTCAATGCGCCTTCCTTCTTAGCCAACTTCGAGGACAAAAATCCAAAAGCTCCGAGTCGATAGTTGAAACTGATTCCTATAAACGGTCTATCACTCCATGCAACCATAGAATCAATGCGTCTATAATGGCCCGCTCCAAAGTTGAAACTACCACCATGGAAATAAACAAGAACAGGTAGTTTCTTATCTTTTGGTCTGGATGATGGACGGTAGATGTTGAGGTTCAGGCAATCCTCACCCATGTCAACCATATCCTCTTCTCCCGCAGGACATCTCTTCCCCAACCGCCCAGCATCAAATTCTCCGGTTGAAGCTCCAACAAGAACCGCTTGCTTCCATCTATGTTCACCAGCGGTACTCAATGCATAAGGCACGCCGAGGAAATAATCGAGGGTCTGAGGCGTTCTGCTCTGATCATTTGTGCCTACCATCTGTTTGCCAATGATGGTGCCTTGGCGCAACACCACTCGGGGACGCGATGCGAGAGACATGGAGGGCAAATTAATTATTGATTCGAAAGGTCGCTGGCACAGGCAGTAATAAAGAACGATCCCAATCGTAACGGGGAAGATGAGTAATCCAAGTCGGCGTCTAAAAGTGCGGACCGGCAACATGATGTTGGTCGCTGTCGCTGCTGAGTTTATCCGAAGGGTGAATGGTATCTATTCGTTCTCGAATGTTGTACTTTCACCATAGAAAGCGTAGCCTTTCAGGGGACATAGTCATAGCAGTATTGGGAACGTCTTGAATACTGTAAAACACCTTGATTGTTTTCAAGAGGTGACGTGGGCGCGTGATTGTGCGATCGGACAGCTGTTGAAACTGAATGGAACAAACAAACATTGCTTAGCTGATCCTGATGCAACATACCAGGTACCTAGCGGAGTTTCGGGTATATATTTTGAAGTAGACAATGTAGAGAATAGGTATAAAAAAAGTGCTTCTACTTATGTAAAAAATACGATCTGACCAACCACAGTGGCATCATTGACATGCGAACGGAACTAACCAACTAACCAACAGCTGTGAGTGTAACCTGACATGCCTACTAAAAATTGTTGGTTTGTTGACAGGTGATCACCAAGTCTGTTGTGTCCCATTAATAGTTTGTAGAATTTTATGAACCTCTCCAGAATACGGTCTGTCAACTTCGCTATTGGCTTCATTGTTAGTACAACTCTCAAACGATCATCCAAAGGCAAATACCCTCTGCTATATCATCTCGGTGTTAGTGCCACCAAGACAGCAGAAAAGGGTTCAAAACTTGGTTTGTGTGAGAATACTATTCTTATTCAATATCTAGGCCTTCATTTAGCCAGTCTGTTAAGAAAATCCATAAAGAGCCAAGTATCACTACAATCCGAGGCGTCCTCCGTAGGATGATAGTCAACCTTCAGCGGAAAGAATCGGTTCATTACGCTGAAATGATTTCTCGACACGTGCACTCCAAAATAGTGCAGATAAATCGCCTAAACTCCGTACTCAGGACATGTATAACTCCTAACGCATACGCTTTCCAATACCGATAACAAAGGGAAACACTCCCATGTGTTGATAAACCAGAGTCATAAAGTTGTAAGACTTGGAAACCTGTTTAAAACAGGTCGTTCCATGAACTCGTCATTTCAATCCCATCTGACCGCCGGGTCCGTAGCCAGCACCGAGGCCTCTGTCTCCCTCTGCGAGTTTGCGGACACGTTGGCGCTCCGCCCACTCCCTACTAGCTTGCCGTCCACGTTCCGCAGCGGCCTCACGAGCACGCTTTGCGGCTGCCTCGCGCTCCTGCTTCTCTCTCTCCATTTCCTCTGTCAATCTGGCATCTCGATTGTAGATTTCTCGGGCTCTTTGCCGTTGGAGATGAACCTCTTTATCTGAAACAGTTCTTTGCACAGCAAGGCCGCTCATAGAAGGGCCGCTCGTCGTCGAGGGCTTGCGGGTTGGTTTGGGACCTGGGGCGCGAGGTGCAGAGCAATTGGCTAGATTGAGCTGTTGAATAGATGGATGATGGGCGCCAATGGTACTGTTCCGTTTGGAAACAGCCAGCTCATTGATGTTCTCAATTCCAATCCTGCTTTGGCGGGCTCGACTCGCAGCAGTCTCACGAGGTATATAATCTGGAACGAGACTTTTGCGGACTGGTTTGGCCTTGAACTCCCGGCGCTTTCGCTCTTCTTCCTCTCTCGCTTTCAGTCGGGCTTCATGAGCCTCCTTCTTCTTACGAGACAAAGCCTCCCCTGGAAGTTCGAAATTGGATTTGGTCGGCGCTTTGGTAGATTTGATAGTCTTAGGGCCAGACAATATTCGAGATGAGCTAATGTCTTCTTCGCTAGATTGACGTTGCGCGAGTCTTGCCTCTCGCTGTTCCTTCAATCTGCGAGCCACGGCTTCTCCCGGTAGCTCAAAGGCTGGCCGAGTGAGTTGTTTAGTAGATTTAACAGGTTCTTTGGGTTGCATTAAGCTTGTCGGACGTCTGCTCAAAGTCTTTGGTGGCTGAATGACAGTGCTTTGTTGCCCTGTTTTGCTGGCTGTAATGGGTGGTCTGAACGACATAGAGGCAGACTTCCGGAGGCCTGGCGCTTGATTCGTCGCGGTTTGCTTGATCCGTACAGAAGCAGAACCAGACTTCAAGGCTACCTGTTTTGGTACATACTCTGAGCGGACTGCTTGTGCAACGAGTTCTTCGTGCGAGACTTGTGGCTTGTCAGTGAAGGACTTGCTACGAGCTTCTTTTACCCTAGTTGGACTTTGAGACGTTTTTGTGGAAACGACATAATCTACTAGAGCTGCTTCGGTGACCGCATCCATAGCATCTTCCAGCTGATCCAGCGCCTCAACAGTATCCTCAATACGGGAAACGGATTTTGCTGGCGACCGACTGATGATCTGTTCTACAAACGAATCATCATCGGACACTTGAGTTGGTGTGGAACTCTGTTTTGCGCAAGTCTCTTCGACCTCTTCTAATGTTCTGGCTGCAGAGTGTACCGGGCTGCGTGGGAACTCTTTCATTGGGGTATGGATAAGGGGTGAAGGTTGCTCATGGAACTCTTCATTGTTTGGAGAGCATTGCTCACTCGTGGACAAGGCGCTATCACCCTTCAAGGATGACGATAAACTTTCCTCTGCTAAGTATACGCACATGTTAGCACCCATATTCGGAAAGGGAAATTACCATAACATTTGGGGGAATGTAACAGTATCATTGTGTTAGACTAACCTGCTTTTTGCTGAGCTAATTGGCGTCGGGTGACTCGACTGGTAGTTGGGTTCACAGCGCGCCGTTCCGCTTCGTCAATGCCATTGGAAGTGACAGCATTCTCCATTGTCAATGTATCGAGCAGAGCCATCAGCCCTGTGTCCTGAGCGGGGACTGGCAGACTGAATTCCGGCGCGTCACCACCTTGGAAATGGTTCTCATTATTGACCACAATAGAACTCTCTGTTGAAACGTCCCTATGCGTATCTTCTCCATCCTTCTTCTTGCTTCTGGCTTTCTTGTTCTTCTTCGTACCGATCGCATTACGGTAAGCTGCCTTCAATTGCTTGATGTGTGAAGGGACGGACGCTGTAAGAGATGAAGCCTCAGAGGACATGTTATTGATACCAGTTTGGTTACTAATATCTATCAAAGCCGGCTCACTCGATATAATGTTTCGCGGAATTGCTTCGTCACTAACTTCGGAGACGTCCTCTGCAATGTCGATTTTGCGCGACCGAGTAACTCGACTCATTTTGGCGTGATACGAAGACTTCAAGTCTTGTTGCGGATATGAAATGTCGGCAGCTTGGGTCGGAGATTTGAATGGCAGATGCTTGACACAGGTGACAGGGGCACAGCAAAAATTATTAACAACGTTGCAAAATTGTGTATCGATACTAGGAGGGGTTGTGATGCGAGGGCGATTGTGCAACTGTCAGTGCACACTGAATTATCGATGGAGGAAGAGTGAGACGGACGTGGGAGGAAGGAAATGCCAAAAGGCTTGTACAATATTCGTATGCGCCTTCCAATGATGCTGTGTTCGGATATTTACAAGCCACGGCATAGCAACGGCTACGCGACCAATTCGCCACGCGATGATAGGCTGCAGTGTAGCCAATGATAGCACTTTGTCCAGGCCCTGGTATATCAGGTGGATTTGTGCAAGTATTGTACTCACTGATAGAACTGTACTCATTGATAGAGCTCTAGGTACTCCTCCGTATCGATATCCCTCCCCGAGCTCCACACACAGAACAGAACTTTGTAAGAGGAGTAAAGGTGGGTATTGTAGGCTGGAGATGACTCTAGCGGCTGCTTTTAACTATGCTTCAAAACAACTACAGCATTGTGAAGATGTTGGGTATCTCATACGAATTCCACTTTTCAAAACGCCCGAAGCTTTCTTCTAATTTCCTCCAAAACGCCACTAGCCATATCTGCATCGTAATTCGTAATCACATAAGAGTGCGTTTCATTGCGCACCACGATCATTCTTCGTTCCCCTCTGTCTGTTGCTTCAACATCGGCGCATGCTCCGTAGGTATTCTGACCAGCGTTTGTGGAAGCTCTATTTCGTCTTTCGCTTTACTTTCCGGCATGTGGTCCTCGCTGTCCTTTGGTTTGGGTATTTTCACTATACTAGGTCAGTACTGAAAGACCTACAGGGGGCTGTTGAATAAACGCACTTGATGCCATACTAATCGCTTGGAGGACATTATGCCAATTGCCCAACACGGTTGCGACAGCTATTGCACTCAAGTAAGTACACGTTGAAAGAAATTACACGTCTGCAAACCTTCAGTTCCATCCGAAAGCGTTCCAAGCTTCTCCTCGAGCATTTGCATCTGACCTGCTAGTCCCGCACTTAGATCCCGCAGCTGCTTAAGATTTTCCAATTCTGCCTTCTTTTCGTTTATTCTGGCTAACAACACTGGTGAGGGACCCGAAGAGTTCGTTGTCGAGCCTTGACGCAAATGTGAAGCGATCGGTCTCGACGAGTACGACATATTGCGTGACTGTTTGGCGCGGATTGAGGCAGCTTTTAGCAGTTTAGAGTATTAGATAGCTCGTGCTTGCTATCGGTGGTAATACACTATTTTAAGTGAGGATCCTGATAGAAGATTGGGTATTTTGTGTGGTTTGCGTTACTTCTTCCCACATCGCATACAAAAAAGTTCCCTGGTCGTCATGTTGTCAGCCGGGACAGGGGTATCAGCGCTTTGGCACAACGGAACCTTTCCCTTTTTGTCCGAATGTAAACATGATATTTCCCCTACGATGAAATTCTTCAATTTTGATTGCCATAACTTTTTTACGGCCAGTCACGTCGAGCTCAGTCTGCTCTTTGAGGCACCTTTGGATTCCCTTCGGATAAAAGTTACGTTTTTCTTGTCCAGCCGCAGGTGTATCATTATTAAGGAGGATTGCCGCATGTTACTGCCGTCATGGCTCGTCTCAACGAGGTTCCTGCTTCCGCCTCGACAGAGAGCTTAGAATCTTGTAAAACTTCTTTCCAGGAATATGGTGGCATACGCTAACAGGAATCTCAGTGAAGCGCAAGTTTATGCGGCAAAATCGTGATATCGCCCGAACCAATTCCTCCCAATCTTTACGAATTCGAAACCTTGAAAATGAAGTATCGAAGTTACTTGCCGACAATCTTGCTCTTCGAGGACAAATACTTCATCTTCAATGTGAGCTTGACAACGGAAATGCCCAACGAACAGCAGCGTACGCAATACACATCAAATCAGAGCTTGAAGCCAAACTACAAGAGATCGGTACATTACTTGGCGGATTGGGTGAAGCACCAAAGACTGTCAATAGATCATTGAAACAGGGTAAACTCGCACGAGCCAGTCTTGGAACAAGTCCAGAGGCAAAAAACTGGAAGAACATGTGCACCTTGAGTGAAGCGATGGCTGCTCAAGAAGGCAGGCTGCCACCAATTTTGGAGAACAAGCAGTACCCCCGGAAAACACTCGAGTACGTTGATTGTTTATATTTGCTTCATTGAAACCATTCCCTTGTATGATGATAATACTGGTCCGTGTTACTGAGCGGCCTCAAGAACCGTCATATGACGAACACCACTGCACTCATGTGCTTATCTGACATTCAATTGTTTTCACCTATCAGTCACGAATATATGCACACGGACATGTACTGACCCATACAGGCAACAAGAGCTCAAAGAACTGATTTCCAATTCCGAAACTACACCGGAAAATACGGAGTCGCCAGATATTGGGCCTCCGCCAATATCACAGTTCGTTGACGAAGATCCCGTAAAGATTGACCTGCCACGGAGGCAGCAACCAGTCAGCTTGGAGAACGAGGACGATGCCGGTCCCGCATTTTCTTTCAACTTGGAGCAGAGGCGAAAGCGGAGGGAGAGCGGCGGCATAAGTGAGCAGAGTGAAGAAGATAATCACAAGGCTTCGACAGAGCCAGCCCCGGAAGTCAAAGAGTCGCTCAAAGCTGGAGCGAAGAGGAAACTCAGCGTGAGGGAAGATGACGACAACATTAATGTCACAGCATGCGTGGGCAGCTCTTCCGATGGTTTCAAATTCAGTCGTGCTGTGAGCGACCAGAAGATTAACGACACAAATGCTAGTCAATCAGCGGTAACTAAAAGCAAGACAATTCGGGAACTTGCCGTTGCAAGAGGAGTTAGTCGAGAGAAGAGATCTACCACACCAGTGAATTCGACAAGAAAGGTGTTAGGCCCAAAGAGTGTTAACAATTCCCCTAAGAAAGCTACAAGAGGGCCTGTGAAGGACGAGATCAAGTCCGCCAAAGCGAATGTTCAGATTCCTACTATAGGAAAAGACAACTCCAGAGAGGCAACTCAGCGAGCTATTGTAGTTGAACCAAAACCCGAAAGAATTACCGATCCAATAGAGGTTCATCTAGAACCGGAGACGCCAGCAGCTGTAGACATTTTCTCCCCTTCTTCCTCTCAACCGTCGACAGCAAGGGATGCAGAAAGTCGAGATACTCCACCACCTCCGGAACTCAAATCTGGAACAGAAGGCATACGGCCAAGCCGGAGGGCTCGAGGTGCCATCAGTTATGCGGAGCCCAGTTTAAGGGACAAGATGAGACGACCAACAAAGGCCTTTGCGGATGCTGTTGATAAAGATGGCAAGATCGTACACGCGCCAACTATAAAACATGAAGATGGCCATGGGGTTTCCTTCACGATCAAGACAGAGGCGGAAGACGAGGATGCTTGGAAAAGTATGCCATCAGCTTCCAGAGATACAATTGAGAACAGCCCACTGAGAGCAAAAGCCAACCAAAGCGACTTGTTGCCAAGTAGTATCACTACACATCGAAAGCGGCGAGAATCTATTTTACAACAACCCCCATTGAACGAGGGGAAAACTTCATCTGAAAATGCCATTTCGGCATTGGTGGCAGAACAAAGGAAAGCCAAAGCTTTCGCAAGGGAAAAGGCCCTTGATCATGAAAGTCCTAGCTTAGCGGCGAGCATGGAAAACTTATCCATGAACGGATCTTCCGGTTCCTCCCCAAATGATTTACCTGCATCCTTTCTAGTCAACGATGCGAAAACCAAATCGCGTCCCACAAGGCGACAATCTTATGTGCCGCGAGACTTGACAGTTAATGATGATGGCGACGCTTCTGATATCGAAACAACGAAGCGAAGGCAAGTCACGATTAGTCGCCGAAGACAATCTCATTTGGATCAACAGGGAAGCACAATTCCAAATGGTGAGAGACTGAGTGCCCTCAAGAAATCCAGCAGTTCCCAGGATATGGTAAATGCGAACTTAGGTGATGCCAGAAGTGATAGGATATCAGCAAGAAGGAGGAGTATGATGTTATGATTCATTGACGCTATGGTATTCATGTGGTGTCTTTACGATGGTATTTCCGGTGTCTGAGCGATGTGATTTGGTCGTTTTGGAAAGCGTTTTTGACGAATTGCGTATGGAGTTGGATGCAATACCCTGCATTGGGTAGTGGCCTGTTTTGCCGCCATTGTTATGATCAATTTTATGATACCAACCAAGTTTAACTTTAAGTACGGGAATTATAAATAATCCTTCTTTCTCTCACCACTTACCCTGGGTACGTTTGATCATGATGTATCGCAGCCTTGGTCTGGGTCAGTGATATTCAAAGTGAACATATTTCGTTAAGTCTGCAACAAATCATTCCTCAACCACTTTAACACAGCCTTAGCAGAATCTTGACTATACCTTCAAAAAGATACGAGTCTCAATGTGTTCAGGCTTGCCCTTCTACATCTGTTTAAAGTTTAAACTTGTGTGAATGCCTGTATCATCACCATGAAATTTTGATTTGAAACTGTCTCTTACCAAAACAAATAGTATCATTTACTTAATTTCATGAAGAGAATCTTATTCTGAATGTAAAGATTTTACGCAAAGTCATTTTCAGGGTAGTGAGAGAGCTAAAACTGGGTCTTCTCGAGAAAGAAACCACCTCTTTATATCCTTCCGATGGTCTTTGTAAACACGGTACATGGTACAAAGAAACTAAGTGTTTACTTTTAGAATACATGCATTAGATATGATATGGCAAAAGTCTACGTCAGTACCTTTTCAACATATGTCGCCCCCAACCGCCTAAGATTAAGGCAGCATCTTGCAAAGGCAAAATTGCTAGTGCAAGAGTGCTGTCGTTGTTATAAGCTCCGAAGGTTGTTCAACTAATGTGTCTGTGTCATTATGTGAGGTTATGAGCTCAAAGAGTACTAGGTGCCACAAGTGAGAGCTTGATATTTTATACTCTTAAGAGGAATGCTAGAATTGTGTCTCTTGTCGTTGGGCAATAACAGCTGCTCCTTTGGTTTACTGGATATAAGGCACACTTTGAGTAATCTGAACCTGGCATGATAGCCTTATCATCTTTCTTGACTCCGATACTGGAGTTGCAACTTCTTACTCGACGATGTTACTCATGATATCAAAGAAGACTACCTAAACATTTTCATGCTGCGGAAGAGATGGTCAGTCACTTAGATTTGAGAACTCTGGAGAACGATCAAAACTCTTGTCAAGATACTGGTTGAGTCACTTAGAGGAGTTCTCATTGATCATATGAAGAGCCCGCGCCATGATGATGGATCAAAGACTGGCTCGTATCCGCGTATACCTTCGAATTCAGTAGAATAAATTACTTCAAAGTAATATGTGTAGCAGAGCCTTAACACCATCGCTTGTGCCTAGAAGAAAAGTGTTTTGAGCCTCTCTTTTAAACAACTAGATTCAGAAATACGACGTGTCACGGTTTTTCTCCACCTTCTCAAGACGCTCTCGCCTGCACACCAACCCCTGACTCAGATATACTTTCAAGGTGCTCGATCCCACATTTCACAATTCAAACATCGTAATTGCTCGAGTTTCATCCGACAATCAGCCGCTAACAAATGAGATTGTTGTGATTCGAACATTGCCATGTTCAGCGTCTGTGGCAAAACTGGAAACATGGCAGCTCATGCATAAAGTCATGACGTTTCGCTTACCGAAGTTTTGGATTTTTGGAACCGACGGTGATGAGATGGCAGGGTGTGGTTTGTTTGGAACGGGATGGAAGTGATTTTGGATAATGAGGGAACGGAATTGTGTATACGGAGTACAGCGTCGAACGAATTTGATGTTCACTTAGAGGAAGCGATAGAGATTTATGGTTTGGTAACGGACATGTAGAGAACCGAGTGTAGAATCAGCTGACAGAATACAACACAGTTCTGTACTGCTGTAGTAGAAAAGGCCTAGCCTTTGGAAGGTTAGGCAAAAAAGAGTAAGATTAGAATGAGCTCAATGACCTGGATTGAGAAGGCGGTACTTCCTGTTTGGTGATTAATTTCCTGGGGTACGAAGGTACAACACTTGGACGGCGAACAGTGCGGGGTGAGTGTGGAATTCTAGACCTCGTGAATAATGTGAGCGTGATGTATCTGGATATGATGCAGATGCGAAATTAGGGGGCGATGTGAGTTGATGAGTGAGTGGTTTGTCGGTGTAGATTTTTTGGTGTTGTATTCTTTTGGTGAGAGTGTTGCTAATGTGAAGGGTAGTTCACTGGTTATTGGATTGGTGGATTTGAAGTGACTTTATTGAATGTACTGTGCGATGATGAGTAACTTGTGGTCACCCGAACTGATTTCAACTACCGATGGAATAATCAAATAAATCCTGCTGACGTTCAAACAAATCTCGGAGGAAAGAGGAGAAAATGTGTTGTGCGTGGAATTGATGTGGGCATGAGGCGTGGGTGTGCTCTCGGCTTCAGCTACGCATGCGGCTTCAAAGTCTCCGAAAGGCTATCTCAAAATCTAGAATTTGAGATGCAAGTTAGACTTTGCAATTTGCTAAGCAGTGTGCATATGCATATTTGGTGTTTGAAAAATTACTTCAGGAGGTAACTGATGGAAACTCGCCTGAGCAGAAACTCATGATATCTTCGTCCAAAGAAAGGGTTGTCTTTGCTTGGCTTTGACTGTAACCCGACGACGAATGGCTGAAGCAAAACAAAGCCAATCGATAAAAATAACTTATATAGTCCGAAGAAATTAGGTCTTCGCTACAACATCTCCAGATAAGGCTGAGGATTGTGGCTACCAACTGAATGCGTGCCGAATGACTGCAGCGAAATAAAGAGTTGACGTGCGGTTCAATTGGACCCTGATGTCGGCTCGATACCAATTGTGTCAACTTTTTAGTGGTAACATCGGTACCCGTCACCTTGGAAAGACACAGCCCCATCCATTAGACCATCCGACAGCGGTAGCATGCCCGTCGAACCAGTAACGAACATCGGCCGGTTCATGGATACAGCAGAGATCGCTCTTCTCAGGTGTTGTTCAAGTTGTCGTAGCCGTCGATGGCGGCGGCAGTGCTGGTGTTGAAGCTACAGTGCTCGACTAACCTGGCATTCCGAGAATAACAAGGACTACTACTGTATTGTAGGTACTTGTACAGTAGTACTCGTACGGTACCAACACCAACGCACTTGTACCTACGCTACCTCGACTTGTCTACAACGTTGAATTGAGCTGCATTAGAGAGGTTTTGCAGATTTTGGGATTACCGTTTAACTTTCTATTATGGTTTAGCGCTATAGTTTCATGTAATTTATGCTTTCTCTCTTTCGGAGCTCCGATAGAACTTTATAATCCCAAAATCGCGTTTAGGACTATATAGTCCCATGGGATTTATTTAGGATTAAATCTAATCGTCCTGATTAGGAAGTTATTCGGGTCGAAACAGTCTCTTACGCGCTAAATTACGAACCGAGTCCCAAAAGCTACAAAACCTCTTATTTTGAAAATAATAACAATTGTAAGACTCGTAATTATGCAATTATAATCCCATAAGTTGCAAAACCTCTCTATTAGGACCATCGATACTTGCTCTTCTTGGTCTAGAAAGGCTCTTTCCCCTCGATGCGAACCAACCAAACCGTGACCTCATCGACCGACAATGTTAGCCTGCTCTTGACCCTTTGACGATCTGCCAACTGGATCTGCGGACTTCCCCTAACGGTATTAGCACTCCATCGGCGCATCGCATGGCAAGACACTTCGGATTAGCTGCTCGGGCAAGCGATTGAAGTCTTCCCAGCTTGTTTAGCTTGTCTAGCTTGCTCACGTATCCAAATTTACCTCGTACCCATCAAATATTTTCTTCACAACTTCATCCTCCACCTCTCACCTTCATCCTACACTCATCAACCTCCCTCAACCGCCCTCTTCACTCCTTACCACTCACCGCACATCCAGCACATCCAAGACTCACAGAGCCGTAATCCTTTGTCCTCGCCGTCGCCGTCACGAGTCTTTTTTCGTCCTTTCCATATTGTTCTGCATCAATTCGACCCACGCGATAAAGGAATAGCAACCAACAAACGCCCTCAAACAATCCGTTCCCACGAAGATTCAGACAAAGAAGGCTCCATCTCATCTGAATACTTTTGCTGTCTTGGCATCACCGCGCTCCATTTCTCGCGGTCTCACCTCATTTCCTCGTCCTCAGACCCTGGCCCGTCCGCGACCTTCCCCGTTTAAGCACCAAATTCGCTCCCTTTCATTGGCTCTCAGCTCGCCGGCCCTTCTTTTGCCTGTTCATCAACACGAGCGCCTTCGCTCCGTCTCCTCTCTTTCAAAACACCACGACACCAGAGCCAATTCGCTTTTGAATTGTTCTCGTCAACTTCTGCATCATTGGCAGAGGACGCATTCGATTGCTGTCTGAACGCCGTTACCTTTGTTTACCACCCCCTTCCTCGAGTCCCTATTGTTCACTGCCGATCGATCGCGTCCGACACCCACTGCACCCCAATCAGCGAATCCTCAGACACTCATCCGTAAACTCGAAACAATCGTGCTTTCAGTGGAACTTGCACCCCTAAGCACAGGCGTCGACACATAACATCATCATTCTTCCTTGAATTCAGGTACGTTATTACTCTGGAACTATACCACTGCGCTTGAGATGCCGTTAAGACGGCGCGCGCGAGCTTTTGTTCTATGTTGAGGTTCTTTGTCGCTGACATGGCGACACACAGACGAGCGAGAGACCTCAGGGTCCGTCAATTTACGATGTCGTCAAATTCTACAAGTACGGAATCCAGTGTGCCAACGGCATCACCCAGTTCCCAGGCTCCCTCTGTAGCGTCGACGACGAGTCTTCCCGAATCGTCGCCGTCGAGTAGTTCATTCTCCTCTTCAACGGTCCCTTCCAGTACCTCAGCTAACCCTAGCCCTTCCCCAGCTACTTCTTCTTCTCTTTCTACCACTCCGGAATCAAACACGCCAACAACGCCTCTACCCTCTACCTCGACAATCCAGTCGACTACCCAAGTCCCTACCGTCCCGACAACCCCTACACAAACTCCGACTACCAATCCCCCAACAACCACAACTCAACAACCCAGCACAGTAACCCAGACTCCGACAACATCACCTATAGCAATTCCTACGCCGTCTACTTCCATCATCACACAAGATGGTAGCACACGAACAGTCCTAATAACCTCAACGGCACAGCCGACGTCTCCAACGGGAGTAGCCACTGGCTCATCCTCCTCCTCGTCCTCATCTGCGTCTTCAACTGCTGGTTTACAAGGAGGAGCCAGTAGCTCGGGTAGCTCGGGCCTAAGCAAAGGTGGTGTAGTAGCTGTCGCTGTCGTTGTTCCAATCGTGGCTGTGACGCTGCTCGTCCTCGCCGCACTTTTCTTGTGGAGGAAACGAAAAGCACGTAAAGATGCAGAGGAGTTAAGGCGTAAAGAGGTAGAAGAATACGGCTACAATCCCAACAATGATCCTACTCTTCCTGCTGTGGCCGGCGGCTCCGCTGGACACGATGGTCCTTTTGAGATGCGCGAGGATGGCTCTTCTGGATATCGAGGATGGGGTACTACCACAGCTGTGGGTTCATCGGGTCGAAAAGCCTCCACAACAATTTCTGGTGGGCAATCTGCCGGTGGAATCGGCATGGCATACTCGGAAGGCACGTCTCCAACACAGGGTCCAACGTCGGACACCCGATCGGACAACCCGTTGGTTGGTGAGGGTCATTCTGTCGAAGGCCATCCAGGTGAAACAGAGGCTTTGGGTGCGATGGGCCCTGCTGCATCAGGTAACCGGAACGGAGACATAAATCGCGGACCATCGAACGCATCGTCGTCCTACAGCGCCGCTGGCAGATCTGATGGCTCTGGCGAGATGGGAGGATATGGCGGTGCCTACAACCAATATGATGCCGCTGGTAACCCATACAACGGAGAAACACCATTCGGCAGTCCACCAGGGAGGGCCGAAATGGGTGGTCAGCCGGTCATTCGCGATGTACAAGCTCGACGAAATACTCGAATCGAGAATCCGGCTCACTTCCCACAGCAAAGTGCTGGAATATCACAAAACTTCTAATCGGCATCTCCTTTCTTCAAAATTCACTCTAAGCTCTGTCACCCTGCATAACACGAGATGTGTAGCACGAGCACTTCATTGTAGTCATATTATAACAATACCATACGGGGCGTATTGCATCACAGCATGTTGACGGTTATTTTTCCTTTGTCTTCAAAATACACAACACACACGGAGACGCTCGGCGCTCCATCTTCGAGAGATTTGTTGGTGGAATCTTAAGATTTATTTGGTTGCATTGCACAGTACATTGGGCGAGGCAAGATGAGCTCTGCGTCGCCGTCTTTTGGCATTTTGCTAGCTCTTGTCAAATCATGGGGAGCCGTTATGTTGGCTGGTGGATGCGGGGCAATTGGCGTTGTACATAGAATACTAATCTGAACGGCAGTAACTGCTGGGTTGAAAACTTAATAATGTCCAAATCAAAACAGTCAAAAGAACATTTATTCCGTTGTGTGCAAACTTGACTGGGAAGAGATACTAAGAATTGTCTGGGGTGCGAATGACGGTGTGGAGAGTGATTTCACTGATCCTGTAAGTCGCGGCGCTTTTACTCAGCTAGGCATTGCTAGTCATCATTCCTGAAAGTCCTTTTATCGATATGCGTGACATACGCATTCCTATGATCTCCATGGCGTATCGCGCCTCGCAAAGTCTCACACCTGGATTGTGCTGGTTGCTATCTGGTTTCTCTATTTACCCCCAGTAGCACTGATGTGGTATAGATAAAGTCTCAATGGTCCGATGCGTATGTAACATGTATCTGGACTTTTTATACGTCAAGTCAACGGAGAATATTGGCTGAAGACAGCCTCCATCACTTAACACAATCATGCAAATACCTAAATACCTGGCCCTGGCCTTGATAGTAGAGACAAATTTGGTGCAATGTGGACTCATACCACTTCTTACGCCAGATTTCCTAGGGGATGAAGCAGAAGATACCTTTACTGACCCAGATTCGATAGATGTGAAAGGTGGGGCAGATTTAGATCCAACAGTGTTTTTAGAAAAGAGAGCACAGCCTTTTGACAGCGAAAGATATGTATTCCCCCCTTCAAGATCAATTGATAGATTTCTAGGTCGTCGACATCCTACCACACTAGATTTGATATCAGACACCTCGGTCATTTCCACAGCAACGGTTTTACCAGTCAAAGCTACAGGAGGAGGATTACCACCGGGACGGCCAGAGAAGGAGTCGATACAGGAGGAGCCGTCGCCGGTCGAGGTGTTGCTAACACCAACTGAAGATGTCAATAACCCTGCAATAGCTCCTTCATCGACCGAGGGAGAACCGCCTGCACAAACATCTATGCCTATGTTCTCGGCGATTGATAATCTCAATATGGTTGGCCGTATTGCAGGAGATTCAATGCCTGATATTGGTCTGGTAAGTATTGAGGATGATAATGTTAATATGTTAGTCACGACAAGTCCAGTTCCGGCGTTAGGCGGTGGTTTACCAGCTCTGGCCCCATCCACTTTTATGATGGCCGACGTACAAGCTGCGGTAACTTCATCCACGGACCTAAATATCGAGTCGATTATAACTGAGAGGATAACTGTGACGGTAACAGCGATATCGACGGTGACCATTACTTCGCTACCCGATTCCTCTTTCAGCATCACTGAAGAAGACACCACAGTGATGGTAACGTCAACTATATCAACAACAATCACTATCACTTTAGTACCTGATGTAACCTCGTTGGAGATCACTACGGATAGCCCCGCTGGATTTAGCACTGAAGAACTGAGCAGTAATACCGATATTCTTCTCCCTTCTTCGATGGAATCATCTACTCCAGTCTCAATGCTGCCTGAGACAAGCAGCCCAGCTATCTCCACGGAGGTCCCAATACCTTCTGCCAACACAACAGATTCCGCCCTACAGCCCGAAGTTTTCGATAATGCAGGAAATTCTACAGAAGACACGCCACCTTTTGGGAATGTCCTGGGTTCTGTACCAGAAGCTGAAGTGTTTGACAATCTTGCCAATGCTACAGAGACCACAACACCTCTAGCGAACATCACGGCTTCCACACCAGAACCCGAAGCATTCGATACTCAGGCTAATTCTACCGAGACCATCCTGCTTCCTGCGAGCACAGCATCGTTGCCAGAATCTGAGGTGCTGGATGATACAGGCAACTCTACTGAAACCACAGTTTCTGTTGTAAACGGCATGGATCTCTTGCCGGAATCTGAAGCATCTGATTCTCAGGCAAACTCTACCGAAAGCACGGTACCTGTGGTAGATTCGACGATGCCAGAACCTGAGGTATTCGACAATACAGACACTTCTACTGAAACCACAGTACCTGTTGTAGAAGCCACAACTTTGGTACCAGGAACTGAAGCATTTGATTCTCAGGCCAATTCCACTGAGAGCATAGCACCTGTCGTTGATACCACGATTCCCGAACCTGTGTTCGATAATCCAGGTGGCCCTACGGACAACATAGCACCTGTTCTTGATACTACGGTCCCGGAGCCTGAAGTTGTCGATAATTTAAGTACTTCGACCGAGAGTACAGTACCTTCTGTGGACACCGCAACCGTGCCAGAACTTGAGGTCTTTGGTAATCCTGGCAGTCCCACCGAAGATAACACACCCTCTGAGAGCACCACTTCTTCTGTCCAAGAACCTGGAACGACTGACGATGCAGTAACGCAGACAGAGGACACAGTAGTAGACGGCAGCCCCGATGGGGAAATGAACAGTACCGATGGCCTGGATTCATCTATTGCTAAACGATCCATCTTTAATCCATCTGCAAAAGCCAATGTTGCGGTGTATTATGGTCAGACCCCTGCCACGGCTCAATATGACCTGCTATCGCAGTGTTCTCAATCTTCGATAGATATAATTGGTAAAGACACCCCTATCCACCTTCCAGCCCTCTGTATCAAAGGTTTATTGACTAAAGCTAATATTTCTTGTACTACAGTGTTAGCATTTATAACGGGCAAAACAGCCGGTAACAAGCCAACTTATGACTTTGGTCTTGGATGTAGCGACACTGTCCCTTCGGCTTGCACAAAACTAGCAGCGGACATCAACAAATGTCAACGTGCATATGGAAAGAAGATCCTCATTGCAATCGGTGGTGCAACAGGCAGGGTGACTTTCTCAAACGACGCAGAAGCGAGAGCATTCGGTAACGCAGTATGGGATACTTTCGGTACAGTTTCAGCAAAGAAGGTGGGGAGACCTTTCGGAAATGTTGTCGTTGACGGTTTTGACTTCGGTTAGCAAGCAACCCCTTTTCCACTCGCTTAGTCTTCTAACAAACTCAAAAACAGACAACGAAACTGGAAACCCAACATCTTACCTCACACTTTCCAACACACTAAGATCGCGCTTCCCTCGGTCTTCCGCTTCCGCGAAGCGATTTTACCTGAGCGCCGGCCCTCAATGCCCCTACCCTGACGCTTCGAACCCGATGGACATGTTACTCACGCTCGATTTCGTGTTTGTGCAATTCTACAACAATCCATCTTGCGAGATTGGCAGCGCTGGATTTCAGGACAGTTTGAAGACTTGGAGTCTCGCTCTGAGCCGAAATGGAAGGGTTAGGGGACCGAGGGTGATGATGTATGTTAATCTATCGCCTTTTGCGGCTGAGCTTTAAATGCTGTACCTGAGATTCAAATGATATTTCTGTTTCCTGACTTTTTGAATCTTCAGTGGTGCACCCTCGTGGCCGCCTGCTGGGCCGACGGCGTATAATAATGGTATCAAGAGTGCTAAGGGCATTAATGCTATCGTGGCGAGCACGAAAGGGAAATATGCGAATTTGGGAGGGCTTATGTTTTGGTAAGATGATCCAATAGAGTCTTTCTGGCGAGTTTGATCATTGACATTCTCATAGGGATGGACCGGAAGGGACTGCTAATGTTGAGGGTGGAAGAAGCATTCTGGGATGGGCAAAGAATGCTTTATTGCGTTGATGTTGCCTATGAGACTTTTGGCGTTGGAATCATCAATAGACAGAGTGATGTTGTTTGGAATGGATGTGAACATTAATACATAGACGTATTGTTATTATCAATTATTTTAACCCCGTGCTTGCTTCAGATGGGTAGGGATCTAGTGAGTGGAGGGATACACGACTTGTGCATATCACTAGTACTGAATGTAAGATGAAGACATATGCAATTTATTGTATTGATGTGCTCTCGCATACATTTTGGTTTAGTGATGAACCATTTTTTCGAAATGATACTGCTCCGCCTAAGTGTAAACCAACATATCACAACGCATATCTGAAAAACACCTAAAGTGGAATTAGCGACTCTGTCAAACGTTGCAAATGGCGTCAGTGGACTTACATTTTTCATATCAGTAACATCCTCAAATCCCTGAATTCGACTCTTCTCCTTCAACTCCTCGACCTCGCCCTCGCTGAGACCTTCTAGTGCCTTGTCACGCTTGCGGTTCTCAAGCATGTAGAGTAATCTTAGCACCTGGTTAAGCACGAGGTTGAGCACGAATGCGCAGAGCATAGCCTTGATACCAGATGGGTATGCTGGTTTCTCGGCGGCTTTGAAGAATTGAGGACCTGGAATTCGTTAGATGCACGCTTGAGAACTGAGAGTAGTGGAGAACATACCTGCAATTTGGCCAACACAGTAGCCTACGAAGACTAGTCCGTTGGCGGTTGTAGATTTTGTGCTTCCCGCGATATTTGTGGATAAGAGACCGAGAAGGACCATGAACCCTACAGGGTAGGAGACTAAAAGCCATACCCCGACGAGTCTACCCCAGCGATTCGTAGCATCGAGGTTGTTGATCAAAATGGTTCCGACAATAGAGGGAAGCATGCAAAGAGAACCAATAATCAGTCTACTATTGGGAATCTTCATGCAAAGGTAACCTGCTGACAAGGTGAAGAATGTTTGTACGGCACCAAGTGGCATGTTGAGTAGTGTGGTTGTCAGAGGGGTAAATCCAAAACCAGAGATGATGATGGAGCCGAAACTGAGACCACCAGATGGAATGGCGTTTACAAACGAGATGAGGAAAAGCAAGATGACTTTTGGGTCTGTGAATGCTTCCATGATCTGGGATACGTCAAAATGACGGCTCTTTGTTCCAGTCTTGTTCTCGATGACTCTTTGGATGGCGATGATCTTTTGTTCTTCTGTAAGCCAGCGGGCTGTGGTTGGGTTGTCAGGGATGATCCAGATGAACAGGATACCCCAGCATACTGTGATGGCTCCGAGGATAAGGTAGATATATTTCCATGTGCTCAAAGCACCATCCATATGACCGATGCCAAAAGTTAGAAGACCACCGAATGTTGAGAATACACCGTTAAAAGCTACCCACGCCATTCCCCTGATCACTTGTTCTTCACGCGTCCACCAAATTGCGGTGATGGCAACGAAGCCAGGAGTGATGGTTGATTCGAATACACCGAGAAAGAAACGAGCCGTCGCGAGACCGGCAAAGGAAGAACATGATGCTGTGATCATGAGAAGTCCTGCCCAGAGTATGATGTTGGCGCCGAGGAATTTGGCAAGAGGAAGCTTCTGGATTAGAGCTACACCTGGGTACTCTGCAACAAGATAACCGAAGTAGAAAATTGAAGATGCCTAGAAGTGTCAGACCGATGTGATACAGGTTGCTACAGACGTTGCAAAAAGAAAACACTTACCCAAGCGTATTGCTGCCCTTTCAAGTTGTTGTCTTCGATGACACCGAATACTGAAGAATATCCAAGTGCGGTTTTGTCCAGGAATTGGAGACCTATACTATCTATTAATGACCGTAATATTTTAAGATGGGCCAGGAAGACTTACCATATGTAACGCACATGATAGGTAAAATATACAAGTCGATTTTGCGAAGAACCACCTTTCTATCTTCAGCTGAGGCAGCATCCGTAGCGAGAGCCGTCACAGCAATATTTCCTGCCTCATCCTTGATGTGCAGACCAGTCTTGCCAATCTCTGTGTCATCTACATCGTGAAGACTAGTGATGTTGTGCCCCTCAGAGACACCTTCAACAGGACTCTCGGTAGGATTCACTTTCTTTTCCGACATTTTGTGAATGAGTGTGAAATCAAAAGAAAGACTCAAACGGATGACTGAATCGAATACCACGACTGGTACCTGGACTCCCTTTTCATATTACCATCCTTATCTTCATCGGAATGTTGTCCGTCAGCTACGGAAGCTAACGGCGACAACCTATCGATAGAACGATTCGGCCAATGAGAATGATTTACTAATTATTTAGATTTCACGGCCAGGTACGACAAACGTCGAAGCGTATGGAGAGTGGGATGGTGTTTGCTTGGATTAAATGATCTCTCGGATAGGATCCTTCTTGGCTTGATTGGCCATAAGTGGAGTTGCCCGGATAGTTCGCCGAAGAAGCTCCTGGGCTTCTCGTGACCAAATCGTATGATCTCAATCTTCCTTCAATTGATATACCATCTCCATTCAAAGACTGGTAATTTCATCTGGAGTTGTCTATAATGAGAGTTGCGTGGCGGACAGACGATCTGGCTGATGTTCTTGATGGGAAGTCAGCCTGCGAAATCCCAGTGGATACGACAATGGGCACTGACTACCTGGAGTTTATATCCGACCACATAGACTCATGGGAGACGAAACTGCGCCCTCTCAATCTGAAAATACACGATAACCCCGAGCTCTGCTATGAAGAATTTATCGCGCACGAAGCATTCGTCAAATTCTTAAAAGGATGTCCTGGTTGGAAAGTGACCCCGTCGGCTTACGGAATCAAAACTGCTTTTATTGCTGAATATGATAGTGGAAAGCCGGGACCTGTGGTATCTTTTAATGCTGAATATGGTAATTATGTATTTTGAATATTCTACGGATTGCACTAATATTCATAGATGCTTTGATTGGAATTGGTCATGCTTGTGGACACAACCTAATCTCCATAGCATCGCTATCTGCTGCTCTTGCTACAAAGGCTGTCATGAAAGAATACGGCTTAGCAGGAAAAGTAGTACTTTTTGGAACACCAGCAGAAGAGGGTGGAGGCGGAAAGATCAAGCTACTCGATGTTGGAGCGTACCGTGATCATGGTGTTGACGTGTCGATCATGGGACATCCCGGCAATGTAAAAGATGCTGCTCTGGTGAGCACTTCTGCATATTACAGATTCAAAGCTGAGTACTTTGGCAAAGAAGCCCATGCAGCTGCAGCACCATGCAAGTTTTACTTCTCTATAACCCAAATCAAAAAGCTAACAGAAGTCAGGGGAAGGGGTATGATTGTGACTCTCAATTGAGTTGAAATGCTAACAGTTGTAGATAAACGCACTTGATGCGCTTGTCATGGCGTACACAGGACTTTCAGTACTTCGGCAGCAAACCAAACCTGGAGATATAATCCAGGGCCACATCACCGATGGCGGAGCGGCACCTAACATCATACATGCCTACTCAGCAGGAACGTTTATTGTGCGAGCTCAGACTAAGGCTCGGCTTTCCGAGTTGAAGAAGAAAGTAGAAGCGTGCTTTCGTGCTGGAGCGGAAGCAACAGGTTCGACACTGAAAATGACGTCCGAGGGGTCATATGACGACCATACGCCAAATCATGCACTTGCACGATCATATCGACACTTCAGAAATCGTCTCGGTGGCGATATACCTCCGCCAGATATCGATATTGTCGAAGGACGCTCTGGGGCTTCCACAGATCAAGGCAATATCAGCTATGCGTATCCATCTCTGCATAGTGGCTTTCATATTATATCAGAAGCAGGAGCCCATAACCCTGGTTTCACAAAATCAGCGAGGTCTGAAGATGCTCATAGAAGAGCACTTACTACTGGCAAGGCGTTGGCTGCAACGGCCACTGAAGTTTTAACGCGAAAGGGATATTTGGAAGAGATCAAAGCAGAGTTTGCGAAACTTCCGAAATCTTGAATGTAAGAACACAAATATTGGTGTATAGATAGAAACAAAACCCGGGTATCAAAAATACAGAAACTCTTTCCGCAATGTTATCTTGAAGGATACAGTAGGACACAGTCAGCGATAAGTGTTTCCAACTTCTGCAGCTGCATATCTATCCAGATATTCAGCCAGACAGTGGCAACTAAATGTTTTCATAATCCGTCAAACCCCTCCGATCCCTTCAATCCTTCAACCTCTAGTAAAATGTTGTTCAATGAGGATTGATTTGGATGTACCCAAGGCAGAATCGCTGAGACAGTTATTTGAGTCTGGACAACGAATTGGGAAACACCCAGATTATCGGACAAAAGAGGAAAGCTACAACATCGTTAATCAATGTAAAAAAGGCTGACCACTTAGTTAACCTACAAATAAGTGTTTGGAGTGGAATTCAACGTAGTCAGGTCGAATGCCAAAAGCCAATTTGTGGTAGTTGATTGGCCACAGCAGTGAGAGCACGCAACAAGCCACCTTTGCGGATTCTCATTGATCGGGGCTATAAATAACAAAAATCCATCTGTCACTAGACATATATAAAACTCGCCCGGAAGTTCGTCGCCAAGATGTATTGGTGAGAATTTGCGGTTACTGTCGAGATCGTTACCCGATCTAGACTGCTCCAACGGGCGACGTTTTGCAAAGGAAAAAAGACACCCTCACACACACAACACAACCTGTCAACCTGACATCCACCGCCTGACCTCGCAGCCTTACCAGATCAGGCAGCAAGCCTAGGCTAGCGCGGGTCACCCTTGAACTCGAAAAACTTCACAGATCTCAGGAAATCTCTTTCCTCGCCGTTTGAACCACTTCCGCACGACACGCGTTTGGGCGCTTTATTCTTCCTTCCTTTTTGCTGTATGGATCTGGCCTGTGGTGCTTGTTTGTCGGTTGCAGAGCCAATCGGTGGTTCCCTTCTTTCGCTGCCGTTAGTTTCCCCGACTTAAGACCCGCGTGGGAACATGAATCCAACGGAGCCCTCGAGCTTTGAAGCTGCCGCTGCCGCTGAAGCTCCAATATCTCCAACTTCTCCACACTCATTCACGCTGGACAGCCTTCGTGAACAGACAATCACACGGCCGGAACACCGACGGAGCAACTCGAGTTCGTCTACCGTCACCGTCATCTACTCTCCACTACCATCGCCCTGCCACCAACAATCGATCGCGACCGCACAAGCGCCCTCCAACTCTCAACCCCCAGAGTCTGATCACCTCCGTCCGCCAATTTTCACCTCCAACAAAGACCTTGCAATCAACACGCCGTCGCAGTTGGATTCGACTCAAGATTTCCCAGATCTGCAAAGGTACCAAGACATTGATAAGGAAAACGCCAACGTAACGGCAGCGTCATTTCGCGGTCCGCAGCCATCTCTATCCAACATCGGCGAAGCGTCCCCCGTACAAGAATTACAATTTTTCGGGCCATACACAGTTCCTGTACGCCGTCGAGCTCGCGCATATTCAGAAAAGTTTCCCGAATTCCCCACCAAAAGCTCATCGCCTGTCGACTCCGTCGCCATCACACCAGCGAACTCGCAACCGAACATTTCGTCAATTATAAGCACACCTCGAGCGCATCTACGTTCTATATCAAACGGCTCCGCCTTTGCAAGTACAGGCTCCCTAAGCTCTCCGCCGCCAGTTACACAAGTTCGAACTCGGGGGCGTGCTCGTTCAACTACCTTAACGTCCTGTGTTAATCCTCTCGACGAACCAATTACTGCTGAGGAGCAGGCGATATCGAATCTAGCTCAAGCGATCAACAGGCAAAACAGGAGAGAGGCTGCTTTTTCCAACCCCATTCACAACAACTCAATCACTCGAGCTGGTACCTGGAGCGGCGGTGATCAAGCCAGACGAAGCACATTGCAGTATCCTTCACGCGGAACAATTGCGTTTAAGAGTCCTCCATTATCACGCAGTCCAGAACCTGCATCATCGCGCTCTCCTGAACCGTTTCCTGTTTTAGTCGAGTTGCCAGAACGCAGCTACAAGGGCAGCCTTGATCAGATACAATAATCAAATAAGATCAATTGTGGTTACAAGAATTGTAGATAATAAAGATATTAATTGACGGAACCATCAACTGTCGACCCCGGATAATTTGCTTTTCCTTAGGAAAGTCAGTACATCAGAACACCGAGAGTACTTGCGCTACAATCTTACAAGAACCCTTCCTCAACACTCGCATAAAGATTCCGCGACAATACTTGTGCCACTCGTTCAACAATATAGGGTGTGTATCTCTTCTCTGTTTGTGGTTATCGAGTAATTCGGGGCATTGCTGGCACAGATTTACTCCAATTGGGTCCGGTAACTGGCAATTTTTGACGTTGAAGTCCGTCGGTTTATGAACTGTTGACGGAATATGAACTACGGTGGTTATTCAGACGTGTCTCAAGGAGGCGCTTCCAATCCGCGACAAGCTCCTCCATCTCCGTCCCCAGGGCTTCCTCACACTAACGGAATGAATGGCGGTATGGCTGCCGGAGCGGCCCTTGTTGGGTATCCCACACCCGCAGGTCACCAATCCGACCTCAATTATGTTATGTCTATGGTCGAAGAGTTATCTGGTATTTTACGTGTGAACCAACAACTTACTGCCAATGTCGTCGACAAGATGGGCAAAGTTCGGGAGCGGGCGAAAAATCTTGATTTGAGTAATGACGAACTGATTGCTGTTGTGGCCCAAGAACTGAATGGTAGGTTCTTTAGCATTTGTCAAGCATAGTTATATGCTAACGATCCCCTAGAAGAGTCTGAGAATTTGGAAAAAGAAAATTCGGAGTTGCGCAAAGCTTTAGACAGCACAGATTTTAACAAGAAAGAAAATTGGAAGCTCGCCGTTCACGGTGCAGAGATTCTAGCTGACGTCGCTGAGAAGCTCCATAGGTTTAAAGAGCAACATGAATCCGATACTCTAGCCTGGCATAAGAATTACCGGAAGCAGCTTGCAGAAGAGCGAGAAGAGAATCTGAGTCTTCGCAACCAAATCAACGATATGAAAGCTTCGGCTTCTCGAGCGAGCGATAACTTGCGCCAAATGAGACGTTTTGTTGCCGACAATGATCAATGGACGGAACTTGAGGTTGAAAACCACCGCCTTCGAACGGAAAAGCGGTTCTGGAAGAGGATGGCATTGCCATTGATACCAGACAACGATTCTGAATGGAGTGATGATGACGATTTGATCGATCCGGAAGAAAAGAAACGCGAATTTATCAAGCGAGAGAAGGAGAGGAAGGACAAGGAAGATAGTGAGGATCAGCTTGCTTGAAAACGTCGCATGGGAGCCAACTTCTTTAGGGTATGGTCTAGAACCTCGAGTGGAGCATTACGATATGCATTTGTAGGAGTTTTACGAAAATGATACCCGGACTCATTCTCACGGCTCACAAATGCTTGGAGACCATGGACCAACGCGCAGTAACTTGAAAGTCTTAATTGTCTGTATTCTTACAGACGTGCTGTCTATCTGATGAGAGAGCTCTGTCCCTCTGTTGTTCACTTTGAACGGGACTCTTGTCACTTATCGTTAGATGGCATGCGACCATAATCGGACACTGTTTAATAATGAGTTGTGAGAAGTAATAGTAATACACGGCTCGTCGGTGAACAAAACACAGGGTTGTGGGTTTCCGATCATGAAGAAGGTTCCGTGTGTTGAACTAGTATTGGGTTACCAATGCAATTGTGGACTGCCTCTGAGCTTCTCCATTGAGCTCGTCCAGCCACTTGCATTAAATAGGTCGAGCTTACTCCGCATAGCGATGCACGAGCTGCATGATTGCCCGAAAAGATACGAGCCTTCGACGGCCTCCCTCGTCGCTATGTTGCAGCAGTAGTTCTGCACCATTTATCGCTCTTGTCTCCACTTTTGAGTGTAAATTTCCGCGTCTGGCTGTCTCCAGCTATGTTCAGCATGCTGATGGCTTTACAGTACGACATGACGGAAATCAGCGGTGGTCGCAATCGGTTATTTCAGACGCGGCTCGTACCTTTATTCCGACGGGGCCCCTGATTTAGTGCGTTAGCTTCCGCTTTAGGAGTGCTTCGACTCGTTAGTGCTGCCAAAGACTTGGTGTCTGAAGTCAACAAACTGTACATCCTGTGCTACCCAAAGTCGATTTATTGAGAGCTTAGTAGTACTTACTTACAAGCTTGTCGAGTCAGCCAGCCGCGAGCGATTGCCAAGCAATTGCACTGGGCCATTACGGAGAATAATGTCATGAGCTTTCATGTGGGTACTTGCACTAATACAAGCCATTGCGGCCTGTATTCTGATGGTTGTTCGGCCATTAGAGCGCTCAAGTAGAATTATATATATTTGGCTATCCCCTTCGTTATTGCACTCCAGCTCACAGTTCATTATATCCATCACTACCTCCTCGCTTGAACTGTATAGTTACTGGTACCTTTGTGAGATCGAGCCTTTGATACAGTAGCAAGACCCTACAATGATTAAGACAACTCTTGCTCTGGCCCTAGCTGCCACATGTGCCCTCGCTGCACCCTCATCTTGCAACCAGGACAACTGCTTAAGGGCTCTTCTCGCACCAGCAAGACCTGCGGCTGCCGACTGCTCCAGCTACCTGGTGAAAACAACTACACCTGCTGCTGCGTAAGTTTGCGCTTGCTCTTTCGATTCCCTCAGGCTTACATCAGATAGCACAGTGACAGCCGTCGTCACCTCATCCACAGCTCCCCAGAGCACACCTGCTCCTTCCGCTGTATCAGCGACTATTCCAACATACGCATCTGCGTGCTCTGGTGTCGTGAGATACACTAGCGCCTGCTCCTGTGTTGGCGTTACTGCCACAACCGTTACCGCAGTAACTCCTACTGTAACAGTCACTGTGGTCAGTCTGCCTTTTGAGAACACATGTCTCAAAGCTAACACTTAGCAAACAGACCTCCACCACCCCGTCCTCAACTTCATGCCCAAAGACCAACATTAAACTCAAGGCAGTTGGAGGAGCTTACAACGGCCAATATGCCCAATTGATCAACAACTACTCGGGTAAGACAGTTGTCTTCGTCGACACTCTAGCTTCCGCCACATCTTTCAACATCGACTCCGCAAACCACATCTCCGCCGTTGGCACCGGAGATCTTCTCTACGGCAGCACTGTGAACTACTACACAGCCGCTTCCTTGCAATTCAGCACCGTTGCGAAAATCTTCCAGTATGGAAATTCGGGCTATGCCACTTTCGACCTCGGAAGCGATAACAAGATCACCGTTACCAGTGCTGCTAATTTGAATGTTGTGCAAACTTGTGGCAACGTGTATGATGCTGGTGCGGGAGTTACTGTTTATGACAAGCTAGTTACTGATAGAGGAGAGGACACCACACCATGCTTCTTGTTTGATTTCTATGCCGTCTGTTAGAGGAAAATTTCAAGGATTAAAAAGGTAATTAGATTAGACAGAGGCATTTAAAAACGAGCCGTTAGACGGATGAGTTCAAGATATAAACAAATCACCGTTTGAAACACTTCATATATCTACAAGCGAAGCAACATGGACGATCTCAGTTAAAGTGAAAGACCCCACACTAGAGGCAATTATTTATTGAAATTCTCATTCTATATGTGCCCGTCTTTCTGTCAACAAAGAAGACATAAATCAGCTGATCACACAAAGTTTGAGTGGGTAAGGGCAGTTTCGTCCTTCATCAGAATCTCGATCTAGCTATGTTGTTGACCAAAAAACCGAAAGCTTGTCGAAAGTCACAGTGTCGTATAAAAGATGAAGTTTGCATTCTGTCAGATATCAATGTTACTGAAATTGAATATGTCTTGGATATTGTGCAAATATTAGTATCATTTCATCGAACTTGCAATGACACAACAACAACAACATATTCCACCTAAAAGTGCAATTTTACCTCCATCATTTCAACCTCCAAGGCCAAAATCCTGCACTCTATCTGTCACTTTCACCTTGTGTAAAAGTAAAACTCCCCCCAACCATACAGGTATGTAGAAGGAAAGAGCAAAAAATGAAACCATTGCTTGGACCGTGAATCGAACACGGGGCCAATGCATTCATGAATCCAGTTGACTGGACTCATTGGCAAGCATCGATTTTACCACTAAACCACCCAAGCTGATTGGTTGGAGCACATAAATTGTTTTTGTTAACATAAAGTGTACATTTGTGGGTAGACTTCGCCTGTGGGTCCTTCCTGTGGCACATAGGTGGGTGACGAAGTGGGGTTTGGCTCACTTTGTTCGAACCCCCTCACGAAGACTTCTCTACCTACCTAGGTACCTATCCGGACACGTCACTGGCGTTTTGCAGGAGCTGAATAATACCACAGGCTGTTAAATTGAATACAGATAGCAGAGTCTGCCGCAGGTATGTGAATTGCAAGTTCTACAATCACGTCACTCCTCCAACCCCCCGGACTTGATATTACACAAACACTTACGTTCTATTTGGCAGGCATTGTTATAAATATCGACACTATTCACATTAGACTTCTGAAAATGACTATAGAATCTGAATATTTACATAAGATCAGTTCGAAACGAGTTGCTGATTACGCGCGTTTGAGTTTATTATTAGCACTGTAGAAATCTTTAGGACTTCGATCTTACAGGACTAAGCACTAACACATCCCATTCATCACTTGCCTTTTGGGTGGTCAAAATAGAAGAAAGAGGGTGGAATTGAGTAATCGACTAGATGTACGCAAGACTGTCAATTTGGTCACTATTGTCGTCAGCGGGCTTGCACGGAGAGATCATGACACTGTGAGAGAGGGATGTAGGCTCGATGACCATCGAGACTAGTAGCGAAGCACAATACAGAGATGTAGCGGCGCTAAAGACGCTGGAGGGCTACTCGAGCCAGGTCTCTTCCATCACTTTCTCACCCGAAAGCAAGCAGGCTATCTCGGCCCTCGGGCTCTAGGAATCATATAATACCAATCAGGGACACTATAATGAGAAGTAGTACTCTAGACACTGGAGGACGAGTCGCACAAGGTTACTTCTAAACTCATCTGGTAGCCCTGTCTCGTACTTACTTGGTGCATTTAAACGAATTTTACTGCACGCTTCTCCATTGTCCACACGACCACGCCGAAGTACGCTATTATTCTCTTAAGTCACTTTAATATATTGGGGCTACTTACTCATTTAGGACAGAGGTAGAAAGCTTCAAGGTCAAAAGGCACGAGAACTCGATAGCTAAGAAGCCAAACAGCTTTAATCTAGGCTAATGCTCAATGCCAGAGGATATAGAAAGACAAGATTAATAGATCAAAAGCTTTCGGTGACAATAATATAAACTTCAAGCTTTTAGGCTCCAGCGTTTCATGGATACGAGGAGTTATCTGATTCTCGATTGTTGACCTTCCCGATAAGAGGCTCGCCAAGGTACCGGCGTTCTTGGTAGACCTCAAAAGTACTCACATAACTCAACAGGATATTCACATATAGGTTTGATTGGAACGACGAAGGAGACACCTCGAAATTGCTTCGAACCCTCACTCCAATATCAGAAGTATAGATACGTATCGAGTAGAGTACTCTACTAACACATACGGTCAGACCTCGAGGATGGCTTATGAGCGAGGAACGCCTCTCGTCAAGACGATTTTCTCCAAGACTTTTACCCTGGTTCTACTCCATAAAGACTTTAGCCCGTGTTAAGCTATTGGCTGCGGAGAGTAGACATAATACATGATTAAGGTATGTGAGAATCGCACATCTATAGGGGTGTTATCGCTCTTCAGCTTCCAAGAGTTTCTCTTGCAAAATCAGCCCACATGTGGGAGAACTCCAGAGTATTAATGAGCAGAATATAACAAATGTAGAGACCAAGACTTTCCCTCTTGAAGTGATAAAATTTACAAGAGGAACGAATTTCCCGTTTTTCAGGAACACTAGCGAGCTCAATCACCTCTTCATACTTCTTCGTCTCGGAAGATCCAAGCTCATACAAGTGCTCTAAAATACTATTGAACAGTTAAAGAAACACTTATCATCATGAAGTTCCTTAATATCATCACATCCCTTGGAGCTGCTACACTGGCCTTGTCCGCTGCACTACCGGCTGCCGAGCTTGAGAGCAAAGTCGAATTCAGAGCTATTGCCGATGTTACAGAACCACCACCATTTGTGTAGGTCATTCAATCTCGGCGTTATAAAGTCAAGTCTTGCCTAATACATCTTGCAATCCAGGACCGACGGAGGAATTGATATTCCAGGAGCTGTCAATGACAGATCTTTGGTGCCAAAGGCAGGGGCGTAAGTCAAGACACTGGTTCCTCTCGCTTTCGATATTCGCTAACTGTCGGATCACTTTAGCTTGTTCGATCGTGATATGTCCGTGATGTGTGGGTATGCCGAGTGTATTGGTTCCCGCTTCATTCATCCTCAACATGAAAGTGAAATGTGGCATGCATTCGACCGGTACTACGGAGGTGGATTCCGCGTAAAATCATACCAAACCTAGTAAATATTCCCCTTCTTGCAATATTAGAAAGGAAAGTAACTGACAACCCTATCCCAACAGTTGCATCAAATGTAGAGGCGGTGTCATTGCTTTTAGCAATATAGTCAGCTACTCTATCGATGTCACTAGAAATGATTGGCTTCGATCATACGATTGTCTTAGACCATTGATCTTGTCAGGAAAGAGTCGCTGTTTTCTTGGTAGTTTGACTTTTGGTTATCACGGCGGATGGCGCGTCGGTGCTGTTCAGGAATTCGATGGGTACGATGGGTGCATCGAGGGTTGCTAGACCTCTGGTGTTCTTGTCCTCGAAGCTTAGAACCGGAACTTGTAGTGTCGTGCTTTCATTTCGTGGTGACCGGTTGTTAGTTACCTGCCTACCTAGGTACCGTAGGTAGGTATTGACAGCATTCAATCGGTAGCCAATTAGTGGCATATATGAGCGAGGCCTAGAAGCGCCTTGTACAGCATGCGCACAGTACTAAGATAAGGTAGTCTCCGTTAATCTTACATAAAGCCAGGAGCCAGATTTTGCTATCGTAAGACTTGTTCCAACCTTGTATGCCCTAGTTTCGTTCCTTGACAAAGCCGATAACTCCGTGGCCCCACGGAGCATCAGGAAGAAACTCTCTGGTTGACAAACCCACCTCTTATGATGTGATGCTAACCTGAATTCACTTATGTTCAGCTTGCTTGCAGGGCTTGGGCTTGTCCAAAGTCAGAGCCAAAATCAACATACTCCCAAGGAGCATCAGCAAAAATTTCGGATTGATTGTTAGATTGTCTCTCTCCATCTGTTCACGGTTAGGTACCTACCTACCTATAGGTACCAGGTAGGTAACTTACCTGCGACTTGGTCATGTTCCATCTCAGTAGAGCGACAAAAGTCTACCTAAGGTGGGTAGATACATAGGTAAGGTACCTTATGCTCTAAACAACACCTGCAGGTTCAATTCAATAACGATTCATACTATACTGAATCTGTGGTACCAATTTTGAGGTTTCACGATTTCGCGACTTTGCGATTTTCGGATCAATTTCTTACTTTGGTTTTGGGGAGAACAGGAATACAGACCGTCACTTAACTTTATTGAACGCGTCCGGTGGGATACACACTATAAATAATCTGAATTGCCGCGTCACGAAAGTATCAGGTAGGTCCCAAAATAGGATTGAGATTCAACCCAAGACTGAAAAGGACGCGGTTATTTTGGAGGTTGCGCAGGTGGGTTCCGGTCTACCACGACTTCACGCTGAGGAGATGTTGACGTGAAAGATAGCCCAAGTAACTTCTATCCCAGAGATCAGAGGCGCAAACCTTCACGAGACAAATTCACACCTAGGCGTGTAACGATTTGCGTTAGTTTGAGGTTGAAATGTTCAAGGTTAACAACCTCGACATCCGAAGGGGGGGGGTTATAGTCCTAGACCGCCCCATAATTCCTTCCTCGTGACACAATCGGTCGTCGCCCTCCTCTCTGATCGAGAAGCTTTTTGTCTGGGAGGGAATGTTGATATTACGTCGTCCCAGGGCTCCGAGCCCCATTGTGCGAGGGTTGACCACCGGGGCAGGTATCACCACAACTCGATCTCATGAGTTGAGACTGAGCGGACCCTGCAATACCTCACCCAACTCACGAGCGTCCAAGGATGCCCAGGTGACATTCATGCTTTCCAAATTTACTGTCACTATCTCGAGGCTCCTTTCTGTAAAGTATCTCCGTCTGCGCAAAAATCAAACGCGTACCCCTGACTTGATGCCGGCGAAAGTGAACATGTGCTCTGTTCACCTATCAGGGAGCAGGCGTTCTGAATCAAACCGAGTTAACTTAGGTAAAGCCTAAAATGTGAAAAGTGTGGCAAAGTTGACATCTAAGGATGTTTTCCCTTGAGTTCTTTACAGCAATATCCCAACTGCAATGACGGTCACAGTTGGACGAGCGATTTAATTTCGCGATGGAATCGGGAATCCAATTTGCGAATCTTAACGGTCGTTGCCGAACGATACCTTACTTGACTATCGCCCATCAAGCTAACTTCTCTTTCCACGCATCAGCCTCCAATCACTTTACTCTCTAACTTGCAAGTGAAATTCTATAGAGAGATTTGCAGTTCATGGATCATCTCTGTACTAACTAGTACCTACGCTTTTACTTGTGGTCTCGATATATGTGTGAGAAGCTTCGTTTTTCTTCCCAACTGGGTACTTATCTAGCAATACTTTGTCACACTTATACTGCGCGATCATCACTTGTACGCAGAATAAACAGCTCATAAGGTATACACAGAAAAAGCTTAAGGAGCAAACTTTAAAAGTTCCGGGAGATGTCTCTCGTCAAAAGACCATATATAAACTTGTTTCAAAGTCAACGACGAGTTATCACATTCCAGGCTTCTTTGCCTACAAATTGAACACTTCGGGGCGTGTCTATACTACAACTGAAACTTGGTCATATATCCTCCGTATTCGAGATGTACGCGCCTTTGATATGCCTTTTATATCTCTACCTTATGCAGTCCCGAAGTCCGAGGGATGTATTTGCGACCTTAATTTATAAAGTAAAACCAAGCAGGCAGACGACCCGCTGGCCCCAACTTCCGAAAAATACGCAGACGTTCAAAAATCTCACTTAGCCAGCAGAAAAGGGAACAGTTGTCATGATACCGGCAGATAGTCACTCAAAACGATATAGTTGACATGTCTTCATGGAATTGGTTCTTTCTTGGCCTCAATCTCTGTCATCTGCGCACTTACTCGCCTGCAACCCTCCGGAATTGCCAACTCTGAAGGGAGACTTTCTGACACGGCACTGGCGCTAGAAAATCAATTACCATTTCAAAACCATGATATATTGGTCTGTGATCATCTTTCACTTTGACACCAACAGCCAACAAACTTGAGGTAGGGGACATTAGCTAGGACCATGGTACCGGATAGCAATATAGCGAACATCAGCATGGATTGAGGTCTTGGGAACGGGACCGTTCTGGATTAGGAAGAAGACGAAGGTGTGATTGCGTGATGGGTTTGGGGCTGGCGGGTTGTGGTTATGTTGGAGGAGGGACGGTTACAAAATCTTGGGTAAATGGGGTAATATTTGCTCTCCTGAGATTACATAGAAGGGTTTGATGTATACCTTACTCCAGAATATGAAGGACAGCTTTGCATGCAAATCCTCAAGGTATAGCCATTGGAAGACATTGAGTGCGTCGTCTTGCTCCAGAGACACACCGAGCGATATCTCAGTATCTCCAAAGACAAATTCTAGTACCTGGAGGTGATATGATCGACGTCCCATGGAGGAGGAACCAACAAGCTAACAAACATCACTAAACAAAGTCACCTCACATCACACCCACGTGCCCTTCAAGCCGCTCACTCAATTCCTCCAACCTACCAACCAGAGCCTCAGACGGTCAGACCTCCGTTAGATTCCCAGAAACCATTGTTTGCAACGCAACGCCGAAGCCACCAACCAAGCCAACTCTCGTAACTCACCCACTTGGGTAAGAGTCCTGATCTCTTGGGACAAGAGGGTTTGCGAAGAGGCTGATGTGAGACAATGATCGACGGTGTGTTGGAGAAGTTGAGAGTGTGATGAGATGTGATGTGACTTGCTTTGAAGCGAATGGTAATTATTCTTGCGGCTAGGTTGCCCATAGATGTAATTTTGCATACCTACGTGGCTCGCAGGAGCAATAGCAAATTTTCACAACACTCATGTTGCACGATAGTTGTTCACACCTCGTGTAATCAGACCTCACTCTAGAAGGAGAATACCTCCAACCAAGGAGCAAAAGATCCGAACCCCTTTGAAGACGACTTCATTATGCTCAAATCCTCGCCAAATGATCTTCCACAACTATTTTTCTCTTTTATCCATTAATTAACACCGTAGAGCTTAGTGCTCAATCTCATCTCAGATGACGTTTCCTCTGGCGCAGGAATCGAAACCTACGTAAATTAAACATAAATCTAAAATAGGTGTCTTCCAGAAGCTCTTCCAAAGAAGGAAATAGTTTGCGTAATGATATCGCTGGAAAAGTCAATGGAATTGCCAGATTTGACACTGCAAATGAACTTTAGGAGAACGTCACTTGATGCTCAATGTCGTATTGTTCAGACGCATCCGTGGTAGAGGTAAAAAATACATCGCTGCTTGAGATATTGGTTCTCAGCGCTGCTTTGGCGGCAACATGACAGAGATGTGCTAATCCGCAGTCCTCCGATGACCGTCAAGGATGACAACCGCATGGTGCTCGTGGTCCCGGGTCGGGGTATTAATCAGTAGACGGAGATAAATTTTACAAGACATTTCGAGATAACAGTCCTTGGCCTCTTACCGCCGATAACTTGACTGAACCTTCTTCCGCGTCACCTCTTGCGACTAAAAAAACGGTGTGGCAACGGCAAGTCCTGAATAAGAGAGGTATTGTGTGACGGGGGGTAAGACATTACGATCTCGTGGTTTCCAGATCTTTGTACTCCAACCACTGGTAGGACAAAAAGAGCTTGAGCCTCTGGGTACCTCACATGAACGACCGCCTTACGAACACCAAACATGAGTTCATCCAACGAGAGCCAGGCAACGGTCCCAAAGATACTCTGGACACAGTAATACGTGAAGCCGCGCATAACGCCTGTATTACCGCTGGTTGTTGCTCAGGGTAATGAAATGGTGTGATGAAGATGACAGACTGCACCCCAGGCTTACAACCGTCGAGGTTTGAGAAGGGCACAGTAAGAAATATCACACCCACTGGTAACCGCAACAAGCCACCTTGAACAGAAACCAAGTGGTCGGGATTGGTGATACGGGAACGGATATGGAGAGTTGAAATTTGCATGTTGGTATTATCTCCTGTGACCGAGTAGCGACAAGCAAAAGGTACACTTGGATGAGCGATTTACAATCGATGCCCGTAAGCTATTTTCTAAACTCACATCAGCAAACCAGCTCCGAAACAGCGAGCAATACGACAGCCAATAACAGCCAACTCAACCATGTGCAATGTGCGACGCCGCGATGCCTCTTATTTGCTTTAACTCTCAAGCCTGAGGAAGGAAACAACCAGCTGTTACACACACCTCCGGCATACCTGAGTGCCGTGTCTGTAGTGGCGAGGCCCGAAGGCTGAAAGTTGCGCGTGATCAACCATAAACATCCCGCTTTTGCGATGTATGGCTACCACATTTCTTCAGTTGTGATGAAGTGTGCATGCCATCTGCTGTTTGAATTGGTGGATATTGCCCGTTGCAGGCTATCAAAGTATGCAATGGGAGGATCC